AAACAAATGTTTTATTAAATTGTACGTGTGTCGTGTTCAGAAAGCCATGACTCGATTAACTCGCGCGCGAAATTAACGTGCCAGTAAACATGTTAATTGGAATGTGGAGAGTGTTGATACTAGCGTAAACATTGTAAGTCGAGTATTTTAAAAAGTGCACGATTCGAAAGATAAATGATACGAATTTTAGTAAGAAAGTCCAAAGTGCCAGGACGCGTAACGATTTTAAATAAGTATACTTTACCGACGAATTAAGCAAATCGAAACCGCATTTTTGATCAATCTTAATGTTTGTAGCATGTACCTTAGGGTGGTCCTTATGTTTCGACTTTTGATTACTTTTTGACGCACCCCGTGATCGTGACAAAAAAGTTCTGTGCATTTCAGTAAGATTGGACAATAGGAACACGTGCTGTATTTAAATTAGAGTTTTGACATTTTTAGGATTTCGTGCCGGCATACGGAGCCACACTGAACGCGAACAAATTGTTGATGGTATTGCGAATGGCACCGACCATTTGTAATTCTCGGAAACTACTAGTTACGTTCGCGCATGCGCCATCGTTGTCGCGAGTACAGGTACGTTAGGGTGGACCTTAGCTAAATTGTGACACTCGATGACGAAATCGTTTATGCCAAATAGCGAGATTGGACAACAGGAACACGTGCTGTATTTAAATTAGAGATTTGACATTTTTTGGATTTCGTGTTTGAGTCAGATGCACTTGTACCATCTTACAACAAAGTTGTCGACTGATACGTTTTAGTGGAATTAGAATTCCTTGTGTCTGAAACAATAACGTGTGATTTTCATTGTTGTGTTTAGAATCCTATACAATGTAGCGTCTGGAGTAGAAAAGTATAGTACATATTAGGGTGGCTCCTATTTTTCGACTTACGATCTTCTTCGGTGTTATTCTCTGATATTTTTTGATCAAATTATAATTCCGTCAGTGTAAAATAATAACATTACTATCCAATACGAATCGTTCAATTTATTATTAAACATCGCATGTAACATAGGAAGCCAGTCATAATTCGTGGCTTTTCCTTATCTATGAGAACTAACAATTGAATGTAGGTATGCCACGTTTTGCCATACGATTATTTTCAATTTAAAGGACACGGAGACACGTTCGATCGTGTATCAAAAAATTACGTTTATTTGAATCGTGTTAAGAAAAGGTCGTTTTCCTTTTTTCACAAGAATTAATAAAAGCTGCTTAATCGTTGGGTTAATGGAAGAGGAGATCCCAGAAATCATGTTTCCAATACACAAAAACTATACTCTTTCTGCAATAGAATACAAAAAAAGGATTTACCGCGAATCTAGAAGTAAATTAAAATAAAACTTCCCTTTGGTATACAGTTAGGAGCAAAAGTAAGTGGACAAGTGTTGAAAGAGGAAATCAATGAAATGGTATAGCCGAATAAGGGCGTCAAATGTGCCCCTGAACCAAAGACATACGATGAATCCATCGATAAAGAATCAAAATCAAACATTCTATGCCAAGTTTCAACCCTCTATCTTGTCCGGAAGGGTAGTTACAAGGAAAATCCGGATTATCGAACTCGTGTCTGTTTTCCGTATTTAATCGAGTACGAAAATTACGTAAAAAATCTGGTGCATCGTGGTTATCGAGATACGCGTTTGAGAATTTTTTCCGATTTTTCGATTCCAAATCCTAGGCGTAAAAAATTAAAAATGCAGAAAAATACCGATTTCGTGTTGATGCTTTCGAGACACTAGATTTATATAATTACTGTAAATGCGTATTGTCATTGGTTATGTCCCTGAATTTTTTCAGATTTTTTGGCAGGGTGCGCCGTAGTAGCAAAAATCGAAAACCGATATTTTCGGCGTTTTTTGCGTGAAAAACCAACTTATACTTTGAATTTTTATATTCCCTTTAATGATTAACTATTCTCTATGGTTTTAAACAATTCTATGTTGAATAGAATGGTGTATAGAATAGAAAAACAAAAGTAAGTCACCAAATTAAAGGTGCTATGCGAGTTATATTCAGAAGTATCAGCATTTTATCCAAAAGGTACGATGGTGCAGGGAGTAAGTTGCTTGATTGTGGATACGCGATGATCTTTTTGACGCTGGTTCGCGCCCCATTTAAAGCACATCTTTTTATTCATTTTATTAATTATATATTTTTTCAATATTCAGCTATGTAACAATGAAAATCTATTTAAAATATTTAAAAAATATTTTCACCTAAAATATACATAAAAACAATTCGTAACTATACAGAGTGTTCGGCCACCGCTGGGAAAAATTTTAATGGGGTATTCTACAGGTCAAAATGCGACGAAAATCAAGAATACCAATTTGTTGATGGAGGCTTCGTTAAAAAGTTATTAACGTTTAAAGTTCTGCCCTTACTGAATTTTTTTCTCGAAAATATGCAAGATTTCGGGGATATGTCTATGCACCAAAAATGATTGTAATTGGCCCCTGCACCCGAAAATAATTTTTCCAGACGATTTGAAATTTCTTTTTTCCTCGAATAAAGTCACCTCTTGATGATTTTTCTTAAAAATTGGTTTTTCATTTTTAATCAATTTGGTTGGCGCTGTTCAGAAAAGTTGTCTAATAGTTTTTTGTAGGTACCTATGAGCTGTAGTTCAGAAAAAAATTTCAGTCAAATCCATTCACTACTGTAGGAGTTATGGTCGTTTGAAAATTGGACCAGTTTTTATGGGGTTTTTGTTACTTTACGTGGTTAGGAATCAACATTTCGAATATTTTTGGAATTTCTACATATTCTTTAGTAAAATTAGCGTTATTTGCCGTTCGAAACATTAAAATCCACCAATCTGTTCAGAAGTTATGGCATTTTAAAGATTTGCATGTTTCGGGGGTGCATTTTTGGCCCCACATTAGATTTTTGGTCAGGAATTTTTTTCTCTAAAGTGCGTAGGATTTCGGGGGTATATCTATTCACCTAAAATGATTGTAATTGGCCCCTGCAACAAAAAATAATTTTTTTAGAACGATTTGGAATTTTTTAATTTCGCCAAATTTGACCTCCTTTCTGAATTTTTTTCTCGAAAATGAGTAGGATTTCAGGGCTATGTCTATTCACCAAAAATGGTTATAATTGACCATCGCAAACAAAAATAATTTTTCCAGAATGGTTTGAAATTTTTTATCCGTCGAAAAATTTATGCCCCGTTCTGAATTTTTTTCTCGAAAATGCGTAGGATTTCGGGGGTATGTCTGTTCACTAAAAATGATTGTAATTGACCCCCGCAACAGAAAATAATTTTTCCAGAACGATTTGAAATTTTTGAATTTAATTGTTAATAACTTTTTAACGAAGCCTCAGTCAAAGTTCGAAGCGTTTCCACAGTCAAGCACAATAATGCTGATACTCCTGAATATAACGCGCATAGCAGCTTTAATTTGGTGACTTATTTTTGTTTTTCTATTCTATACACCGTTTTATTCAACATAGAATTGTTTAAAACCATAGAATATAGTTATACATTAAAGGGAATACAAAAATTCAAAGTATAAATTGCTTTTTCGCGCGAAAAACGCCGAAAATAACGGTTTTTGATTTTTGCCACTATGACGCACCCTGCCAAAAAATCTGAAAAAATTCACGGACCTACCCAATGACAATATGCATTTACAGTAATTATATAAATACAGTGTCTCGAAATCATCAACACGAAATCGGTATTTTTTAGATTTTTAATTTTTTACGCCTAGGATTTGGAATCGAAAAATCGGAAAAAATTCTCAAACGCGTATCTCGATAATCACGATGCACCAGATTTTTTACGTAATTTTCGTACTCGATTAAATACGGAAAACAGACACAAGTTCGATAATCCGGATTTTCCCTGTAACTACCCTTCCGAACAAGATAGAGGGTTGAAACTTGGCATAGAACGTTTGATTTTGATTCTCTATCGATGGAATCATCGTATGTCTTTGGTTCAGGGGCACATTTGACCCCCTTATTCGGCTATACCATTTCATTGATTTCCGCTTTCAACACCTGTCCACTTACTTTTGCCCCTAACTGTATACCAAAGTGAAGTTTTATTTTAATTTACTTCTAGACTCGCGGTAAATCCTTTTTTTGTATTCTATTGAAGAAAGAGTATAGTTTTTGTGTATTGGAAAAATGGTTTCTGGGATCTCCTCTTCCATTAACCTAACGATTAAGCAGCTTTTATTAATTCTCGTGAAAAAAAGGAAAACGACCTTTTCTTAACGCGATGCAAATAAAGGTAATTTTTTGATACACGATCGAACGTGTCTCCGTGTCCTTTACATTGAAAATAATCGTATGGCAAAACGTGGCATACCTACATTCAATTGTTAGTTCTCATAGATAAGGAAAAGCCACGAATTATGACAGGCTTCCTATGTTACATGCGATGTTTAATAATAAATTGAACGATTCGTATTGGATAGTAATGTTATTATTTTACACTGACGGAATTATAATTCGATCAAAAAATATCGGAGAATAACACCGAAGAAGATCGTATGTCGAAAAATAGGAGCCACCCTAATATGTACTATACTTTTCTACTCCAGACGCTACATTGTATAGGATTCTAAACACAACAATGAAAATCACACGTTATTGTTTCAGACACAAGGAATTCTAATTCCACTAAAACGTATCAGTCGACAACTTTGGTGTAAGATGGTACAAGTGCATCTGACTCAAACACGAAATCCAAAAAATGTCAAAACTCTAATTTAAATACAGCACGTGTTCCTGTTGTCCAATCTCGCTATTTGGCATAAACGATTTCGTCATCGAGTGTCACAATTTAGCTAAGGTCCACCCTAACGTACCTGTACTCGCGACAACGATGGCGCATGCGCGAACGTAACTAGTAGTTTCCGAGAATTACAAATGGTCGGTGCCATTCGCAATACCATCAACAATTTGTTCGCGTTCAGTGTGGCTCCGTATGCCGGCAGAGAAACGTTTCGCGAGTTCCTGCCGGCGAACCGGAAGTTCGTTAATAACAAACTCCGTCGTGGTTCGTTCGATTCGATCGACTCTTGCAGTGCACCGAGAAAAATGAAAAACGATTCTCGTGTCCGAAACCAAAATCGAAATAACTGCGTTTAGTGTTTCAACGATGTCTGATCACGAATTAAAAAAAAGAAAAAAAAAAGAAAACTCGATACCTCGATTACAAGATGATCGACCTTTGAATCTTCTTATTTGGTACATAATATAGAGAAGCGGTGTTTAACGTGAAATGTCGCATTTCGATTTCCATGATTCGCGTAGCGTTTATTTTTAATTTATGAAGCACCAAAAATTTCGAATTAACGAATCGTGTACCTTTTGTTTTGAATATCTCCCATTTATAATGTTTACACGCCAAAAAAAAAAAAAATTTGCTTATTTAAATCGTTGCCCATGAAACCGATCGTTTCGAAATCTAGCGACACCGATCGTGGGTAGTCCTGTTTTTGATTGCTGAATCGTTTGATGCGTGATCAGGAAAAGGATTACGGCTCGGTTGTCGTGTCGTCAATGTCGTTGGTCGATAAAATCGAGATAAAAGTGACTGCAGAGAGAGAGTGCCCAGGGGAGGAGCAAGAAATCGCTCGAAAGAAAAGTATGCAGCTACTTTCCAGTTTCATGGCGAGGCACCTGAAGCGAGGATCATCCTTGAAAAAAGGTACGACGCCGCGGACGAGCCTGGCGAGCACTCATTTAGAACAATGCCGCTATAATTGCTACGACAGAAATTACGAGCTTCTCGAACTACGTTTTTCTCGTGGCTGGGTAGACGACTGGAACGTTCCCCTCCGGCCCCGATACCGGGAAATTAATAACATTTTTCTCACGATCGAAAGACTCGTTGACCGGTAGCTGAGAGTAGCTTCCACGCGGCCGAAACAATTACGTTTCGAGAGTCTTGATTTATGGCGCGCCTTTCTCTTCTCCGATTTACAACTTTAACAAGCATTATTTCGGATTACCGTTTCCTTTTTAGATCTTTAATGGAAAATATTTCGATTTTCCTGAAGATAATTAATGAAAATGTAATTTGAAAAAAAGCAAACAAATTGTAACTGCTGATTTCAATTTTGGACTTTTTGTTTTTAATCGATTGATAGGTATATGGCGAAAAGATTGAATTAAATTGTGGCTTATACAGGGTGTTCCATATTTTTCTGTAGACACTTTAGCAGTGTGTTTTGCAAGTAAAAATAAGACTACAGTGTTATACAGGGTGTTATAAGACGAAAATCAAGAATACCAATTTGTTGATGGAGGCTTCGTTAAAAAGTTATTAACAATTAAATTGAAAATTTTCAAATTGTTCTGGAAAAATTATTCTCGGTTCCGGGGGTCATTTACAATCATTTTTGGTGAATACACATACCTCCGAAATCCTACGCACTTTCGAGAAAAAAATTCCTTACCAAAAATCTAATTAGATGCCTAAATTCAACGAAAAAAAAAATTTCAAATCGTTCTGGAAAAATTGTATTCAGATGCGGGGGTCAATTACAATCATTTTTTATCATTACACATTTCCCCGAATTCCTACGCACTTTCGAGAAAAAAATTCCTTACCAAAAATCTAATTAGATGCCTAAATTCAACGAAAAAAAAAATTTCAAATTGTTCTAAAAAAATTATTCTTGGTTTCAAGGGTCAATTATAATCATTTTTGGTGAATAGACATAACCCCGAAATCCTACCCACTTTCTAGAAAAAAAATCAAGAAAGTATATTTCTCGATAAAATTAGAAAATTTCAAATCGTTTTAAAAAAATTATTTTTGATTGCAGGGGTCAATTGCAATCATTTTTGGTGAATACACACACCCTCGAAATCCTACGCACTTTCGAGAAAAAAATTCATTACTGAAAATATAATGTCTGATCATAACTGTCTGTAACTTTTTGTAAACTCTGATAAAGGAATGTTTAAATTATCCACATAATTCTGCGTTAAAAATATTTTCTCGTGCCTCAACTAATTGCTCTCTTTAAACAAAAATTTTTATTTTTTTGTTTAGGAAATAAAAAAACATCACATTTCATATTTTTGTCATAACTTCTTAACAAAGCAATTATAAATTTTTTGTTCTATAACACTTTAGTCTTATTTTTACTTGTGAAACGTACTAATGAAGTGTGTGCAAGGAAAAATGTGGAATACCCTGCATACAGGGTAAAGTACCTGGGAAAAATTTTAATAGGAGATTTTAGAGGCCAAAATAAGACCAAAATCAAGGATACAAAGTTGATTAAGGCTCCGTTAAAAAGTTATAGAAACATTTCTGGCCACACGGTATATTTTCAGTAAAGAATTTTTTTCTCGATAGTGCGTAGGATTTCGGGGGTATGTGTATTCACCAAAAATGATTGTAATTGACCCCCGCAACTGAAAATAATTTTTTTAAAACGATTTGAAATTTTTCAATTTCGCCAAAAAGGGAACTGTAGATTTTTCTTAAAAATTCGTTTTTCATTTTTAATAAATTTGTTTTACGTCCTACGGAAATTTTGTTTAGTACTTTTTTGTAGGTATCTATGAGCTCTACTTCTATACTAAATTTCATTGAGATACGTTCACTATTGTAGAAGTTATGGACGTTTGAAGATTAGGCCATTTTGATGAAGTTTTTCTTACTTTACGGGGTTAAGGAACAACTTTTCGAATATTCTTGGAATTTCTACATATTCTCCACTAAAATATGTGTTGCTTGCCTTTTGATACATTAAAATCCTCCAATCCGTTCAAGAGTTATGATATTTTAAACATTTGCATGAAATTTCAGGGAAGCATTTCTCTGGTCAGAAATTAAATTTTCGGTAAAGAATTTTTTTCTCGAAAATGCGTAAGATTTCGAGGGTATGTGTACTGACCAAAAATGATTGTAATTGTCCCTCACAACCAAAAATAATTTTTTTAGAACGATTCGGAATTTTTTAATTTTGTCTAAACATTTGTATACTTTCCTGAATTTTTTTCTCGAAAGTGTGTACGATTTCGGGGGTATGTCTATTCACAAAAAATGATTGGAATTGTCATTCTCAACTAAAAATAATTTTTTTATAACGATTTGAGATTTTTCAATTTCCCCAAAAAATTTCAGATCCTACTCGAATTTTTTTCTCGAAAGTATGTACGATTTCGGGGGTATGTCTATTCACCAAGAATGATTGTAATTGACCCCCGCAACCGACAATAATTTTTCCGTGAATGATTTGAAACTTTTTAATTTAATTTTTTAATAACTTTTTAACGAAGCCTCAATCAACAAATTGATATTCTTGATTTTCGTCTTATTTTGGCCTTCAGAATCTCCCACTAAAATTTTTCCCAGGGATGGCCGAACGCCCTGTATAATGTTCGATGAATTTTCAGTGGAATAACTTTTATAAAATAGTTTTTTTACAGGTAAATATTGGAGCTGTGCAGCATGAACTGTATGTAGGTTACTGTATATAAACAGTTTATAATCATCTGCTCGAGCATCGTACGAAAAGTAGAAAGCGCATAATTTAGTATCGTGTATCCGATCAATATAACTCGAAATATCCACGTGAACTACGAAGGAACCGGTTACAATCACGCGATATTAATCATTAACCTAAATATTGTTCTGGACGTTGTACGTTGGAAATGTGTACACGATTCGTCCAAGCATGTTTAGAATTTTCTGTTTACACGTGAATATACAGTGGGTGTAAAAAGTATCCATACAGCGATTAATTACGACTAAAATGCTGAATAATAATATTTATCAAACAATATTTTTTAAACAAACGCGTCACATGTATTCTCCAAAGTCTGTAGAACAACAATATTAAGTAAACAAAACGAAATATTTATATTGCTTATACAGGGTGTTCGGCCATCCCTGGGAAAAATTTTAATGACGGATTCTAGAGGTCAAAATAAGATGAAAATCAAGAATACCAATTTGTTGATGGAGGCTTCGTTAAAAAATTATTAACAATTAAATTCAAAAATTTCAAATCGTTCTGGAAAAATTATTTTCGGTTGCGGGGGTCAATTACAATCATTTTTGGTCATTACACATACCCCCGAAATCCTACGCACTTTCGAGATAAAAATTCCTTAACAAAAATCTAATTAAGTGACTAAATTCAACGAAACAAAAATTTCAAATCGTTCTGGAAAAATTATTTTTGGTTCCAGGGATCAATTATAACCATTTTTGGTCATTACACATATCCCCGAAATCCTATTCACTTTCTAGAAAAAAATTCGAGAAGGTATGAAATTTTTTGACAAAATTAGAAAATTTCAAATTGTTCTAAAAAAATTATTCTTGGTTTCAGGGGTCAATTATAATCATTTTTGGTCATTACACATATCCCCGAAATCCTATTCACTTTCTAGAAAAAAATTCGAGAAGGTATGAAATTTTTTGACAAAATTAGAAAATTTCAAATTGTTCTAAAAAAATTATTCTTGGTTTCAGGGGTCAATTATAATCATTTTTGGTGAATAGACATAACCCCGAAATCCTACCCACTTTCTAGAAAAAAATTCAAGAAAGTATAAAATTTCTCGATAAAATTAGAAAATTTCAAATTGTTCTAAAAAAATTATTTTTGGTTCCAGGGATCAATTATAACCATTTTAGGTCATTACACATATCCCCGAAATCCTATTCACTTTCTAGAAAAAAATTCGTGAAGGTATGAAATTTTTTGACAAAATTAGAAAATTTCAAATTGTTCTAAAAAAATTATTCTTGGTTTCAGGGGTCAATTATAATCATTTTTGGTGAATAGACATAACCCCGAAATCCTACCCACTTTCTAGAAAAAAATTCAAGAAAGTATAAAATTTCTCGATAAAATTAGAAAATTTCAAATTGTTCTAAAAAAATTATTTTTGGTTCCAGGGATCAATTATAACCATTTTTGGTCATTACACATACCCCCGAATTCCTCCGCACTTTCGAGAAAAAAATTCCTTACCGAAAATCCAATTAAATGCCTTTTTTTGACGCAAAAAATGAACAAAATTACAGAAATGAACGCGTAATAAGTATTTGTATAATTCTGTTGCCATTATCAAGTACTAAATTGCAAGTAATGTAAACATTTTTAATAAAAACAACAAATAATTGTAAAATTTATATTTCTAATCAGTATATAGTAGAGTTTCCCTTTGATTTTATTATTGCAGCCTTCTAAGTATCGAATTAACTAAATTAAATATGATTTTATTAATAATATTATTCCATTCGTTGATTAAAGCATTTTTCAAGTCTGTTTTAAATAAAATTTCATGTTTTCGAATTGTTCGTTCCAAATAATCCCACAAATGCTCGATAGGGTTAATATCTACTGATTGGGGGAGTTTTTTAAATATACTAGCGTATTATATGCAATTCACATTGTAATTAGCACGTTTAGGATCATTATCTTGCATGAAAACAAAATTATTTTCAATACCCATTTTTTCAGCACTTGAACGAAAATGAGTTTTTAAAATATTAATGTACATTTTGTGATCCATTATTTCATCAATAAAATACGATTAATCTACACCTACTCATGCAGTCCCAACACACATAATCGTAAGCGTAATTTTCAATTAATTACGTTGTGTTTACACAACAAAATTTGAATCATAGATCAACTATAAATGTACAAATACTTATTACTATTACACGTTCATTTCTCTCATTTTGTTCATTTTTCTTAACATCTATATTAATAATATAAATATTTCTTTTATTTACTTGATATTGTTGTTACACAGATTTTGAAGTATACATGTAACATGTTTGTTTAAAAAATACCGTTTAACAAACATTCATCATTTTAGTCGTAATTAATCACTGTGTACGAATACTTTTCACACTCACTGTATTTCAGTTTCGATGCAACAACATTTTATTCAAACATATCTAAAGGGAATGTTTAAAATATTGAAAAAAATAATTGTCTGTGTTTATTGTCAGTAAAAGTTCCTTTTACATCCTTAAAGTCAAAAGTTTAGTTAGTAGGTCGTGCGGTATCAATTTCTATGCAACAGGGGGGTTACTTGGAATGCCAAGGTCTTCCCCTCGATTCCCTCTGCTTCTTCTTTAAATTCGTCGTATTTTAAATTTCATTCTCTTTTTTTTTTTAGGCCCAAGGAATGGTATTTCATATTTCGTTCCGACAAATGGACCTGTAAACGAGTTTTTCGGGCGGCCTGTTTTGAGTTCCACGCCCAGCGTGTATATTCCACGCCCGTGGCTGAATAACGAGGGAGAGCGTTGATTATTTTGGACGGTTGTTAAAGGCGAAGAGAGACATCAATTTCCTGGGAGGTCTCTGTCGCGAACGTTCCTGACTTTCGAAATCGTTTTCGATCCGTGGATCACGCTTGAGATTCACGTGACGTTTCCGAGGGCAAGGCATAAATCGAGCCGGGCGACTTAACAAATGGATCACGTAAACGCGACATGCTGCAAAGACCGTCGCGTAGTTATCGGGTACGAACGTTGCGGTATCGTTAATTGTGCTCGTACGACGTTCGTCCTTGCACCCCTAGTTGCATTGTAATTGATATGCGCGCCAGTTAAGAGACCATTACGGCCCGAAGAATGCAAAGATCGTACGATATCACGGTTATTACACAGAAGGCTGAAAAAAACTCGAGTATTTTCGTTACGGTCTTTCAGGGGCCATGTAATTACGTTCCTTGTTAAGGGGACAGTCCTCGATGTGTACGTTGCAAAATTTAACCATTTTTATTCATTTTTTTTTTAACTATTAGGTGTACAAATTGTTGTATTTCTTTCATAACCCCTTAACGCTCACATTTTTCGGGCGAACCAACAATAATCAGTTTTCTTTATTGGACTTGTTTCTTAGCTGTATAAAAATGCGATTTTTGTTAATTACATGTTGTATCTAACGTATAATTTCAAGGGAAACAAATATTGTCATCCCTTAAATCGTTAGATTAAACAAATATCATTTTTTAAAGCAGTCAAACTCGAGCATGAGCATTAAGGGGTTAAAAACTCCTTAGTCTTCTCGATACACCCGATATTCCCCTCACTCCTCACTACCAACCACACTCATCATCACTGCCAACTTCCACAACCAAATCATCACCAGGAAATTATCCCCGAACACAAATGAATAATTCAAATTATCTCAGTTATAAAATCAAGTTTAAAGTCAATTGATTTTCCCGCTCTTTTGCGGGCATAGTGTTGACATACAGGGTGCTCGGCCACCCCTGGGAAAAATTTTAATGGGAGATTCTAGAGGCCAAAATAAGACGAAAATCAAGAATACTAATTTGTTGATTGAGGCTTCATTAAAAAGTTATTAAAAAATTAAATTACAAAATTTCAAATCATTCTGAAAAAATTATTTTTGGTTCTGGGGCTCAATTACAATCGTTTTTGGTGAGTAAACATACCCCCGAAATCCTACCTACTTTCGAGAAAAAAATTCGAGAAGATGCCAAATTTTTTGGCGAAATAAAATTTTTGAAATCGTTCTAAAAAAATTATTTTCGGTTGCAGGGATCGATTACAGTCATTTTTGGTCATAACACATACCCCCGACAATCCTACGCATTTTCGAGAAAAAAATTCCTTACCGAAAATCTAATGTGAGGCCTGAAATGCTATCCTGAAAATGCGTATCTTTAAAATGTCATAACTTCTGAATGAATTGGAGGATTTTAATTTTTCAAAATGCAATCAACGCGTATTTTAGTGGAGAATATGTAGAAAATCTAACGAAATTGAAAAAGTTGTTCCTTGACACCGTAAAGTGACAAAAACCCTCTAAAACTGGTCCAATTTTCAAACGGTTATAATTCCTACAATAGTAAAGATATCTCATTGAAATTTTTTTCTGAAGCAGAGCCCATGGGCACCTACAAAAAAGTATTAGACAACTTTTCTGTAGAGTGTCAAACAAATTTATTAAAAATGAAAAGCAAATTTTTAAGAAAAATCGACATGCCTAAATTTTTCGGTGAAAAAAAAAATTGCAAATCGTTCTGGAAAAATTATTTTCGTTTGCGGGGGTCAATTACAATAATTTTTGGTCATTAGACATAACCTCGAATTCCTACCTACTTTCGAGAAATAAATTTGAGGTGTGAAATTTTTCGACAAAATTAAAAAATTTCAAATCGTTCTGGAAAAATTATTTTCAGTTGTGGGGGTCAATTACAATAATTTTTGGTGAATAGACCTATCCCCGAAATTCTACCCACATTCTAGAAAAAAATTCAGTACGGGCGGAACTTTAAACGTTAATAACTTTTTAACGAAGCCTCCATCAACAAATTGGTATTCTTGATTTTCGTCTTATTTTGACCTCTGGAATCTCCCATTAAAATTTTTCCCAAAGGTGGTCGAACACCTTGTATAGCTAGTTAAAAGAAAGGATAGTTTAGTGAAAGGCCCAACATAACTTTCAAAAGTATTCAATTCAGTAGAGTCGAAAATGGCAACAGATGAGATGCACTATCCGACACTGCATTCTTTACGAATTCCAACAAAGGGAAAATGCTGCAAGAGCATGCGAATCGATTTGTTCCTTTCTCGGTGAAGGTGTTGTATCGTATGATGTGTGTACATGGTTAAAGCGGTTTAAAAGCGGTGATTTGAGTCTAATCGACAAACATCGCCCTGGAGGTCCTCGGAAACGCGACAACGATGATTTGGAACAACTGCTCGCTGAGAATGCGGCACAAACGCAAAAAGAACTTGCAGAACAGTTAGGAGTAACCCAGCAAATGATTTCCAAACGCCTTCGTGAGATGGGAAAGATCCATTCAGAAGGAAAATGGGTTCCGCATGAACTCACTGCAATTAACAAAAATCAACGAGTGGCAGCGTGTCTTTCTCTTCTCAATAAGCAGCGACGAAAGTCTTTCTTGTGGAAAATCGTTACGGGCGATGGGAAGTGGATACTCTATGACAATCAGAAACGCAGAAAGTCAAGGGTAAATCGCGGCGAAGCGTCAACATCGGTTGCAGAACCCAATCACTTTGGAAAGAAGGTTCTTCTCTGCATTTGGTGGGATATCAAGGGCGTGGTTTATTATGAGTTGTTGGAACCGGGTGAAGCAGTTACTGCGGACTGCTACCAACGTCAATTAATCTGCTTGAGTCAAGCATTGGAACGAAAACGTCCGTATACTGGCAAAGGAGAACGTCCAGTGCAATTGTTGCATGACAACGCCAGGCCACATATTGCTTCCCATACAAAAGACACCATAATGAGTCTTGGCTGGGACATCTTGCAGCACCCAGCGTATTCGCCAGACATTGCTCCATCTGATTATCACCTGTTCCGGTCGATGCAACACGCCTTATCCGATATGCACTTTCAATCAGTGGATGAGATCCGAAAATGGCTCGACGACTTTGTCGGGTCCAAAAACGTAAAATTTTTCCGAAATGGAATTCATCAGCTGCTTGAAATATGGTTTAAAGTTATAGAAAGTAACGACGAATACTTTGATCGAACAATTCTATTTACTTTCTTTTAAAATAAACATTGAATGTGGCTGAAAAAATTAGATTACTCATTTGTACACCTAACACTTTCAAAAAATGAATTTAAAAAATTGATTATTTGAAGTTTCACATGAAACTGTCCCCTTAAGAGACCGTTATGGCCCGAATAATGCAAAGATCGTGCAATATCACGGTTATTACACAGAAGCTGAAAAAGTGTCGAGTATTTTCGTTACGGTCTACCAGGGGCCATGAAATTACGTTTCTCGTTAAGTTATGAGAATCATCGAATGACATAATAGTTGGAATGCTAGTAACGTGTATTTTCTTTTATTCGTTTTCAGGGAAACGCGAAGGTACCGGAAGTGGAAATTATATTGGTAATAATCCGCCGTCGTCAGGGGGTTCACCCAGGGTCACCACCGGTTACGGTACTGCACCTGGGGGTGCCAATATGATCCCCGAGGATCCTGCTCCCGATGAAGAGTTCGCCTTAGCTATCACTCAGAAAACTCAGGTATGATGGATATCCTAAAAACGGATGGAAAATAATTGATCAGCGAAATAAATAATTAAGCGTTCCGATTTTTTTTCAGAGTACATTGTCTGTTATTTAGCAAAAGATTATTTGAACAAAGGTTACCTACATTTTACGCGCTGATTAACCAATGTAAGAATACATTAGCATAGCACAACATCATTTAGTACGTTATTTAAGTAGGTTGCACCGATTAATAACGTCCACTAATATTAGTTATTACCAACCATATCGCAATTATATTAAATCTTTCGCTTAACGATCATCGTAAACATACCATACAATTATTATTCCATCCGGTGAATTTAATAAATTAGCCCGATATTAAGTTCGTTCGTTATTTGTTAACAACATTAAAAAACATTCTCCATAAATTATCATTAAACGAATAGCGCTTTAATCGATGCAAAAATGCTGTTTGTCGTATACCTCTGTTTTTTATTATAACTTTACAACGAAGCATTTTCTGAAACACATTTATTCAAAATTTTCGACTTATTTTTAACCACGGAACGTCTTGGCAAACATTGCACGGAAACTACTCGGATATACTGTGTATCTGTAACAATATAAATAAATACAGTCTCTTTTACGTTTAATACGAAATGCGCTGCACGCAGGTACGCACATAGTTTGAGTGGTTCGTGTTCTGGTAACGGTAGGAATTTTTCGACTGGTTTTACGTGATTCGAATTGTCAACCTCGCGAAAGGAACAGGCACAATAGTACATATTCGTTCGAGGGTTCCCTCTAGATGTCGTACACTCAGAAACAAAAATATACAGATTGTTCGGCCACCCCTGGAAAAAATTTTATTAACAATTAAATTCAAAAATTTCAAATCGTTTTGGAAAAATTATGTTCGGTTGCGTGGGTCAATTACAATCATTTTTGGTGGATAGACATACACCCGAAATCCTATCCACTTTCGAGAAAAAAAATTAGGCAAGTGCTGAAATATTTCGGCGAAAAGAAATTTTTCAAATCGTTCTAAAAAAATTATTTTCTGTTGCGGGAGTCAATTGCAATCATTTTTGGTCATTACAATTACCCCCGAAATTCTACGGACTTTCGAGAAAAAAATTCGAGTAGGTCCTGAAATTTTTCGGCGAAAAAAAATATTTCAAATTTTTCTAAAAAAATTGTTTTCGGTTGTGGGGGTCAATTACAATCATTTTTTGTGAATAGACATACACCCGAAATCCTATCCACTTTCGAGAAAAAAAATTAGGTAAGTGCTGAAATATTTCGGCGAAAAGAAATTTTTCAAATCGTTCTAAAAAAATTATTTTCGGTTGCGGGGGTCACTTACAATCATTTTTGGTCAATACAATTACCCCCGAAATTCTACGCACTTTCGAGAAAAAAATTCGAGTAGGTCCTGAAATTTTTCGGTGAAAAAAAATATTTCAAATTTTACTAAAAAAATTGTTTTCGGTTGTGGGGGACAATTACAATTATTTTTGGTCATTACACACACCCTCGAAATCCTACTCACTTTCTAGAAAAAAATTCGAGAAGGTGTGAAATTTTTCGACGAAAAAGAAACTTTTCAAATCGTATTGGAAAAATTATTTTCGATTGCGAGGGTCACTTACAATCATTTTTGGTCAATATACAAACCCCCGAAATTCTACGCACTTTTGAGAAAAAAATTCGAGTAGGTGGACAAATTCGACAAAATTAAAAAATTTGCAATCGTTCTAGAAAAATTATTTTTGTTTGCTGGCGTGAATTGCAATCATTTTTAGTCAATATACATACCACCGAAATCCTACGTGCTTTCGAGAAAAAAATTCTTTTTCGAAAATATAATGTGAGGTTAGAAATGTTTCCCTGAAATTTCATGCATATGTTTAAAAAACCATAATTCCTGAAGGGATTGAAGGATTTTAATGTTCCAAATTGTAAATAACGCGTATTTTAGTGAAGAATATGTAGAAATTCCAAAAATATTTGAAAAGCTGCTCCTTGACATCTTAAAATGAGAAAAATCCCATAAAAGTAGTTCAATTTTCAAACGGCCATAACTCCTACAATAGTGAACGTATATCATTTAAACTTTTTTTACCATTAGAACTCATGGGTACCTACAAAAAAGTATTAGACAACTTTTCTGTAGGGCATCAAATAAAATTACTAAAAATGAAAAACGAATTTTTATGAAAAATCGACAAGGGTCCCTTTTTCGGCGAAAAAAAAATTTTTCAAATCAATCTGAAAAAATTATGTTCTGTTGCGGGAGTCAATTACAATCATTTTTGGTCATTACAATTACCCCCGAAATCCTACGCACTTTCGAGAAAAAAATTCCTTACCGAAAATCTAATTAGGTGCTTTTTTCGACGGAAAAAACAAATTTCAAATCGTTCTGGAAAAATTATCTTCGGTTGCGGGGGTCAATTACAATCATTTTTGGTGAATAGACATACCCCCGAATTCCCACTCACTTTCGAGAAAAAAATTCGAGTAGGTACTGAAATTTTTTGACAAAATTCAAAAGTTTCAAATCAATCTGAAAAAATAATTTTCTGTTGCTTGGGTCAATTACAATCATTTTTGGTGAATAGACGTACCCCCGAAATCTTGCGCATTTTCGAGAAAAAAATTCAGCACGGGTGGAACTTTAAACGTTAATAACTTTTCAACGAAACCTCCATCAACAAATATTTATTCTTGATTTTCGTTTTATTTTGGCCTCTAAAATTACCCATTAAAATTTTTCCCAGTATGTAACAGATCTCATATTTATTCGTGCTCAGTAATATAATCTAAAGAAAATACTTAAATATACATTTTTGCCTACTTTTTTGGGCATGTATCTTCCACGAGAAGAAGGCACAGCGTGTTTACATCCCCACTCCTGTTGCAGTCCACTGACTCACAGGTATTGGTCGAAAACGGTGACGATGGTCGGCGACAGCCAATCAGCGGACTGCAGCAAGAGTGAGGATGTAAACACGCTGTGCCTTCTTCTCGTGGAAAGACGATTTGTATACAGGATGCTTCGCACAATTGAGAAACTCTTTTGCATCTCTAAAACAGTTAGAGAGTCCGGTACACTAAATTCATAGAATTTAAGGAAGATAGATAAACCGTAGGATATGTGTATCCAAGTTCTAAATTTATGGATGTACGGAGGGGGAATTATCGTCTGCGTGGGAAACACTCCAAGTAATGCTTTCCGGTATGGAACTCGTGAGATTTCTCGAGCGATTTTTATCGTTACATTCCTTTCCTTGCAGGCTAGTTACAATAGAAAGAATGGGTCTCCCTATTAAAAAGCGGATTCCTTAGAGAAAAGTGCTCCCATCAAAGAAAGTCTTTATTCGGTAGTTGACAATGTAATTTGCACAAAAAGATTGTTAAACGTCCATGTTACACATTATGTTCGGAATACGTGGGAAACACGGTACAGAAAGCAGGTCACTTAATTTATAATAATTGTTGCCTACCGTAGTAGTAGAATACGTAACAAACAAATCGTACTAAATCGTTTATTATTGGACATTAACTTTTAACTCTAAGCGTGATGCGTTTTAACATTTATTATATATTTTGATTAATAGATACATTAGTACGTTTTCCAAAACACATCAAACCGGAAGAGAGGGTAACCAGCGCGGGGACATCCTGCGTGATACCAACGCAATATAATAAAACGTTGCCAACCTAAACTATCTCCAACACTTACAAAGTTGAACAAACTTGATTTTCTCGAAAGCTGTGCTACGAATATCGGTCCAAAAACTGAATGTCTGGCACTGTAGGATATTTTGAAATGCAATACGATGATCACTTCGACATAATATTAAGGATACCACTATTGGTGCTTTTACCTATGGTGCATTTGTTTTTAATACATATGGTACAAATTGAAACGTAATGCAACGCGTTTGTCAGGTCTGGTACACTTTAAAAAATTCCAGAATATTGTTGGTGTTGTACAGGTTGTTTACGTTACGCGATCTCGTTGCCGCAGCGTGATTACGCAAACAGCAATTGTCAAAATGACACGAATATCCTGTTTGTTACGTCGAGAATACGGTAAAAAAATATCATTCAAGGCTTCATCTCCGAGTTCCAGGTGCTTTTCGATCGAACTCGGTCCCTTAGCATTGGACGACTTTCTAATTAATGAAATGTTACGTTCTTGACGGGGCAGGTAGTATTGCTGTTGCATAAGTGCACGATATGAAACAGGGGACAACAATGAACGTTTCTTTATTCTGTTAAAATGAAAAACTATTTAGCAGAATCGAAGGATGTTGGCAAGGAGAATACGTTTGCACAGCCATTCAATCTCGAATGCGTTTTTTAACAACGTTGTCTTGTTGTTTATATTATGACCTGTATTTATTCAAATACACGGAATTCCTTGAATTAGTACACACTATACAAAATTTCTGTTTTATTATTTTTTGGTCGCGAGAACAAATCGAAACTAAGATAGCGCTGTTTCATATTTACTTCAATTGGTTTTTTTCGCATAATAGAAGATATTGACACAATTTAATGTCAGACGATAGCATGTTTCTAACTGGTAGCACCAAGTATCCTGTTTTAGTCAACTTTCTCCTACAGGTTGTACTAGTATTTTTTAGCTAAACTATGTCAACGTTTTCTATAAGTAAAAATAAAAACAGGCCCTTCTACAAGATAATTCTATAAATACAATATTAAACAATAATGACCAAACCACAAAACACAATTTGACAATGATAGTTAATATGTTGAAGCGAATTATCAATAGTAAGCGATTAATAGAGATTACATTGATTAATTCTATCTCAAGTAGCAAGCATATCTTTCAATGAAATAATTAAACAATTATCATTGACCTCTCCTTACTGCGTTATCTTGGCTAAAATATTAATTATAGATCAAGGATGTGTAAAATGTTTCTATACATAATAAACCTACCGGAACCTACTTTCTCTTTATTTCTCATTAGGGATATCAGTGTTTTTCATGGAAAATTTATTTGTACAAATAGAAAACAAGTTTACTTGAAAGCAGCTATGATACAAACTTCTTACAAAAACATCCTATGAAACGAACTATTTCATTAAATACAAATTACGTGTCATTTTTCCATTTCAATGTTTCGTATGTGCCACTTTGTTGTAATTTCTCCAATAACAAGTCTCTCTCTCAATGAAAATTTCATTAAAGGAGACTGTAACAAATTGCCATTTAACGTGAAATACTTTTAATTAATTATTGATCGTTTTAATGAACATATTTCTTTTATTTATGAAATAATAGTACTCTTGTTAATTTTTGAAACCCCATGTTTTGTACTAGTCCTTTGTTTCACCTACCATGTTATGGGGGAATACTTGAATATAAATATCAATATACATATATATTGTTATTCACAGAGTAAACAGAATAATACAAAGTTTTTATGATCGGTTTCGCGATGAAACTTTCTCTTTTCCGTTAATTTAATTACACCTTTCCTGCCATGTGTACGTATAATTACACTTTAATTATTATCTATATTTTTTCAATAAAACATGAAAGTTTGATGAGATTTTTAATATCCATATGAGAGATTTTTAATATCCATAGCTGTATTTGGTTTTCTCCATACACTTTTTCTTCCATCCGAACCGAACATATTAAATTTTGATTCGTCAGTACAAATTATACTTTTCCAAAAAGTAAACTGTTTCTTTATATACTTCTTAGCAAACTCGTACCTCTTCTTCCTATTTTGCAAACTTATGAACGGCTTCTTTCGAGCAACTCTACCATGATACTTCTGTTTTCTTAATACTCTTCTAATGGTTGAGTCACTTACTTTCTTATTTAAATATTTTCAACTTTCGACTCTAATTTTGGAGCACTAATCCTCGGATCATCTTTAATTTTTCTAACAATCCATCGTTCATCCCTGATATCCAGTTTCTTATCAGACCTCTCTTTTAATTTATTCACTATACAGTCTTTTTTGTATCATTTTATTATACATTGAACTGTGCTTCTACTTCGATTAATAATTTTACTAATTTCATTATAACTTTTCTTGTTTTTATAGTGATAAATAACTAATTCACGATTTGCTACTGTAGTTTGTTACATTTTAAGTCTTTTTTGTTGTTGATGAATCAAAATGCTGCTAAATCAGCTAGATTCAATCATTGCTAAGCGTTGTTAGAAAAAAAAGCAATTGGGGATTCACCGGATTTCCAATGTTACCAACAGTGTACGATTTTTACTGATAGCTAAATTTCATACACAACCTCAAATGTTATTTAATTGACTGAGTACTACTTATGTATCAAATAAAGGAACATATACCTCTATATGACTTTCAATAATTCAATACAATTTTCATGTTCTATTGAAAAAATATCGGCTGAACCGCTAGGTGTACGATTTTAAGCGACAGACACTATATGCTATCCATAATTACGAGCGTTCGTTTCTTTTGCACAGTAAAAAAAAATATTAATGAGGATTTATAGTTGAGCCAGTAGTTTATAGTGTTTACAGAACTATAAAATCCGTTAAACCTTTTGATTTGAGTCAATTGCGTTTATTCATGCGACTTAATCAGATTACTCTAAGGCTAATGACGTTTTCCATGACGCCAGTGAAACTTCTTAGATATTCTTGCACGCGATGTTGCGTGAGTACACGCAGATTGTGTCGTCCTATATATCTCGGCCAGATGAAGGAATAATGATTTTCATTATCAACGACTTTCGCTTTGTTTCATTTTCCCCTCAAGATATTAATACGTTTTCTGATGGAAATATGGCACCCACATTATCGATAGCTAGTTCAAGCAAAGAATCACGAAACACAGTTCTTGGTACGAATATAATTTTTGTAATAATTTCACATTTTAATATTACAAACAGAGCGATTGCTTTTTCTTGTAGAGGGACGCAGAAGCCATTCGCGGTACGCTGTATCTTGGTGTGGCCCTAGCAATTTCATGGATAATAGGTGCAGCAGGATTATCGTTAGCATGGCTGGTATTAGTTCTGGCATTAGCAGGAACGATATTTAAAGCAAGAATATCTCGTCTTCTGCAATCAGCGCTTCAACATGAATTATCCAGATTACGGCGAAGAAGGGCTCTGTACAAGGATGAAACTGCCGAATGGTTAAGTTTACTCCTTAACAAATGGTAAGTATTAGTTTAGTTAGATTTTTAATAACATTACGGTCAATCAAATACTTGTTAATGTATATAGATTTCATGTTTTATAATATAATTTCTCATCAATGATGCAGGTGGAGATTTAGCGCTGCAAGTATATTTTATTTAGCAAAGGAAAGGCTAGAGCCTCTCTTAAACGAAGCTAAACCTGGAATACTTGGTAAGATTAATTTCAATTAAAAAACAAGCTTTATTCGAAAGTATTGAAAGTGAAATTTTTAAGAAATAGCCAGAATTATGTACATAAGAAAACATCGAACGATAATATTTAAGTAAATGTAATTTCTTTCCACAATTTTGTTGCACGTACATGTTAGTTCATGGAAATATCCAAACACTGTGTTTTATATATTCTTGTAAGAAATATTATTTTAGGTCCACTGGAGCTAAGGGAGCTCACTCTTGGCGAGCAAACCCCGTGTGTTACACGTGTAAGAACTTTAGATTATACCAGCGATGATGACGTTCTCGATGGTCAAAGTGGACAAACAAAATTGTCCATTGAAGCTGATGTACGTCTCGATTGCGAGCAATTTCGTATGCTCATTACGACAAGACTATTTGGAAAAGGGTTAGTGCACATGCACATTTATTCTCTTCAAGAGAATTACCTGACGTCTAAGGGAACAAATAGAATGTTTTTATTATGAAATGATACCTTTCCGATAGATCATGTATCAATAATGTAACATACTATCGATCTCTGCAGTGACATTTAAAAAATATTCTATCAAATACTTGGAGTATTGCAAAAAAATGTTCCTACGATATTGTATGTGTAGTTTAATTTACGAATTAATTTCAACTGAAAAATTTGTTATTCGATTAAAGAGTCGGCATGGACGTCGATCTAGCCGTGGAGAAACTATCTCTCTCTGGAACTATCCTTACCACTCTGACCCTTAACTCCATGGCACCGTTTCCGCACGCAACCTCTTTAAGCGTGAGTTTCTTGGAGAAACCGGACGTTTGGTTCAGCGTGAGAATTCTACGGGCCGTACAAATGATGGAAATGCCTTTAATTAAGACCTGGATCCACGCGGTGGTCACGGACGCTTTAGCCAGCTGGATCGTTGATCCAGGTCATTTGGAGATGGATCTGAGAGCACAAGAACGCCCCGGACCCAGATTGGACTCCGTAGCCAATTCCATACCCCAAGGAGTGCTCACTGTTGTTTTATCTCAAAATGGTTGTTCTGGTAATTACAATGTAACACTATTTTTACCGCGGTTTTATGCATACTTATTTTGACCAAAAGTCTAACGATTTACATTTTACCAGTACTTAGTTTTAAATTAAAACTGCATCTAAAAATAGACAGTTTAATGTTGATTATAGTTCCAATCGGAGACGAAGTAAGGTGGCTGGTAGTAACACTGGGAGATCAAAAACGTGTTACGGCTCCCTTAAATTCTACGTGGAACGAGGACGTCTCGTTCCTGGTAGGAACATTGGATAATGAAAAAATCTCCATCAAATTAAAAGCAAAACGACTTGTCAGCACAATTACTTTGGCACAATTTGAATTGGCGCTAGGAGTTTACAATTGGGACAACTCGCAAGTGTATGTTAACAAAGTTTTCTGAAATTTGAGCTTTGCGGTGTAAGCGTACATTTTTACACTATTTTGTTATTTTTTATTCGACAGAATCGAAACCATATTGCAACAGAAAAAACCATCTCGTAATAGTGCTAACATTCCAAACATCAATGCTCGATTAGAGTACACAACGCTTCCAAAGTTGGATCCAGATCTACCTCAGCCGGAACCAGCAGAGAATAATTTACATCTATCAGGTATATTTTCAATTTCTTTTTATTCCCAATGGATTCTCAGCGCGCAATTGCTGAAACCAATGTATCTGGAATAGTATAACATTTTTTCAAAAGTCAAGTGTCCCTATTTGGTGTTATCCGTATCTGGTATTTTCAGTGCCGCGAAAATATCTCAATCGAGCACAAAGATCAGGTAAAACCCAATAAGTATTGTGATAATGGTATTGAATGTGGCTTTCGAGCATGAACTCTAAATGTTTTCATTTTTTTTTATTAAAGCACGTGCAGTATTGCCACTTCTCTTTTATAAACATTGACATGCAACAACATTATATGACGTATTGAACTACAATGTTTTTTACATTATACAATAATTTGTTCGATGTATAGTAAATATAAATTTCAGGAGTACTTGTGGTTTATATCCATTCGGCGGAAAATCTCAGTAGCGACAGTTCTCAATGTAATCCTTATTGCATGTTGTTTAACAACCGAAAAAAGGTACGTTCTCTTGTTTCACAAAGGACAAAGAAAGGGTATAGTCCAATAAGAGGGTCAAATGTGTTCTTGAACCAAATTTGAAATATGATAGATCCATCGATAGAGTTCTGTGCCAAGTTTCAACTCTCTATCTTGTTTCGAAGGGTAGTTATAGGGAAAATCCGGATTATCGGATTTGTGCCTGTTTTCCGTACTTAATCGAGTACGAAAATTACGTAAAAAATCTGGTGCATCGTGGTTATCGAGATACGTGTTTGAGAATTTTTTCCGATTTTTCGATTCCAAATCCTAGGCGTAAAAAATTAAAAACGCAGAAAAATAGCGATTTCGTATTGAAGCTTTCGAGACACTAGATTTATATAATTACTGTAAATGCGTATTGTCATTAGTTATGTCCCTGAATTTTTTCAGATTTTTTGGCAGGGTGCGCCGTAGTGGAAAAAATCAAAAATCGATTTTTTCGGCATTTTTCGCGTGAAAAAGTAGCTTATACTTTGAATTTTTGTATTCCTTTTAATGGATAACTATATTCTGTAGTTTTAAACAGTTTTATCAGTAGTATTTCCAAGAGGTGCGATGGTGCAATGAGTAAGATGCTTTTTTTTATTATTATTAATTATTTACTTTTTCAATTTTCAACTATATGACAATGAAAATCTATTTAAAATATTTAAAAAATATTTTCACCTAAAATATACACAAAAACAAGTATGCAGCAGTTTCCAGTCCATCGTTTCTCTAGCTGCGTAACATTAATACATAATTACAACAGCAACTATTCAAAACTAGCGCGTTATAAAAGTAGTCGAATGATATTGTAGAATAGCATGCTTTTTTAACAATTTATTTTGAAATCGTTTAAATTCAAACGTTGGACTCCGTGTTGAAATATTAAACAGAATGTCAAGTCAACAAACTGAAGAAGTTGTAACAAAACACTGTAACTGACGAAAAGTACCATTTAACATTTAAAACATTCTATTTGTCGGATCGCATCACTTATCGCAAGCAATTTCGCATTTAGCAGAAATAATGGTCCGAGACAACAGTATTTACATACATTCCTCAAAAGAAAATAATATCATCATTAAATTCCAAGTAAAATCACGCCATAGCAATAGTAAAATGTATGGATGTTACATGGATTATATATCAAACTCAATTGGCTATTTCGGAGTGAAACGCTATTGCTGCGAATGTGTTAATGGTAATCACACCATCGGGTGTTGTTCACATATTGCAACTATTATTTATTATTTCTCACATGCTCGATACTTGTCGACAATTATAAGACCTGCAGAAATATTAAGTAAAATATTTAACGAAGAGCAAGTGGCATCTGTTATTAATGAAGACAGCGATGAAGTCTAAAGACATCAGATATGACTTCATTCAATTTACCTAACGATCATGTAGAGGAGTATCACTATAAAAAAGTTCATATATGGTATTAAGTATCGAAAAATATAAAGAATTGTATGAATAACAGAAATCAATATGGACATGTATAATGGAAATGGGTAACAATAGAACACTTTCTCGTCTAAAATATGTAATTTAATCTTTCAATAGATGTAAATATTGTAGACGGAGAATTTCGAACTTCAATTGTGCACATCATAAACCATGTCATCATGATATCTTTCTATTCTTTTTATTGAAATCTGCTTCCTCTATTTAGAGTTATTAAAGGTATGAGATTTTAAAACTGAGCACGTATATTCATTTAACGTAGAAAAAATAAAACAGTAGGGTATTTAATACACAGCTAGAGAAATGATGGAATAGAAACTGCTCCATAATTGTTTTTGTGTATATTTTAGGTGAAAATATTTTTAAAATATTTTAAATAGTATAAATTGCTTTTTCACGCGAAAAACGCCGAAAAAATCGGTTTTTGATGGTTTTGATGGTGTCCAATAATAATATAGAATGTAATTTATTCATGTCAATAAATCATACAGTGAAAGTGATAAAACTTTCGATATTAATAAACACGCACGAGATTCCCCGCGACCACGTGGCGAGGTTCACTTGGGGTTCCCCTACGGTCGACCAGTACTCTCACGTAAAGCGCCATCGTGCGGCCATATGCGCGCCACAAATGACAATACACATTTACAGTAATTATATAAATCTAATGTCTCGAAAGCTTCGATACAAAACCGGTATTTTTCTGCGTTTTTAATTTTTCACGCCCAGAATTTGGAATTGAAAAATCGAAAAAAATTCTTGAACACGTATCTCAATAACCACAATGCACCAGATTTTTTTCATAATTTTCGTACTCGCTTAAATAAGGAAAATAGGCACAAATTTGAATAATTCGAATTTTCCCTATAACTACCCTTCCGAACAAAATAGAGGGTTGAAACTTGGAACAGAATGATTCCGATGCTCTATCGATGGATCCATCATATGTCAAATTTGATTCAAGGGCACATTTGACCCTCTTATTCGACTATACCCTTTGAATTAAATTTTATTAGTTTTTATTCAACCTACAGGTAAAGACAACGCATTACGTTCGAAGTTCTACTTCACCATGCTGGGAATCGAGAGCACAATTTCTTGTTCAAGATTACACTCAAGTATCTTTAAGCTTTGTTGTATATTCTTGGAATATATCGAAATCAACTGACAGCGATATGCTTGGACTCGCTATATTGTCCTTGTCTCAAGTAAGGTCACATAAATTAGTCGTTCGAAACAGGCATTCATAATTATACAAGGTGTAATATAAACACAAATTTTAGAGATTGACTCTACATTGAATGATATTTAAATGATATTCTAATGTACAGTAAAACTCCCGTATTCAAGTTCTCAGTATGTGCAGCTTTAAGTATCTGCGGTTGGCCGTTGTTTGAAAAAATTAGTTAAAATCATGAATCAGTTCGAATTTATAAAACATACACAATACTATGTTATCTACATTTTTTATATAACGCAGCAACATTCGATCGTCACCTCTTAAAGCAAATGCAGTCTAAGATATATCAAGTTTCGTCAGCTTTTTATAATACAAATCCAAAATTGGAACAAATTTGTTGGCTTAACATTTAAAAGCGTTTTCGTTACAGGAAAATACGTGGATAATTAGAAAAGAATTGACACTCAGTGGTTCAAACAATATGTCGACAATGACAGTTTCTGTAATGTTTTATCCCGTTAAAAGTGTACAGCAAGTAATCACTAGTCGAAGAAGTAGCTTGGCACTTCCTGTTTCAGATGATGAACCAAAATCAAAGAGGAACAGCCTACCATGGATGCAACAAGCAGTCAGTGAAATTAATAAAAAAGATCATTTATTTGTAATAACATTATAGCATTTTATTTTTACATTTTTTTCTATATTTTATATATTCCCAATCGTTTTCAGAAGCTATTATTGACTCACAAGGATATAGATCCCGCCTCGTCAGACGTATCCAGTTTACTTTCCACCGGAAGTGGATTAATGGAAGTGACTCTGATACGTGCTAAAGATCTCGTTGCGAAAGATCTGAATGGGTTCAGCGATCCTTTTTGCGAACTAAAGCTAAACAACGAAACGAAGTACAAGAGTAGCGTAAAGAAGAAAACTCTGAATCCTTGCTGGGATGAAAGTTCCATCATGGGTTTACCTAGGACCGGCGAGACTTTAGACGTCGTGAGGCTTTTATTAATATTTTTCGTCGTGTCACGTACAAAAACAATAGGGATATTTTTAACGATCTTTCGATACAGGTTTTATGGGATCATGATACTTTCGGTATGAAGGACTATCTTGGGAAAGTATCATTGACTCTCGAGGATGTCAGAAAATTATCTAACAGTGATCAGTCCCATTGGTTTACGTTAAGAGGAACCAAAACTGGATCTGTGGAGTTAAAGATTAAAGTCTTGTCCGAAGAGTGTGAGGTATTAAATGTTAATATAGATCTCAACATTCTTTGTTTCTTTTTTAATTCGTATTGAACATTTTATTCGTCTTAGACTCAAAGCACATACGCAGCCAGTAATATCAGCGAAAGTTCAATGCAGTTGAACATTGAGACTTCTGAAACAGTGTCGAACATTATTAGAAGACCTTCGATGGAAAAATCAAAGATGAGATTGCATTTAGATGTTGTACCGCCTCCACCGCCACCGCGTACAGTCACTCTATTAAAACCTGCTATTTCTAGTCAATCCGGTATATTATTCTCCAAATATCCGACTTAAAGTCGATTTATATTATCTGTTCAGGCAAAGAACGGTTCAGTTCAAACAAAAACATTTAGTATTTGTACTGTACGCACTCTTCATGAATTGTACCAAAATGGTACGTGTAATCCGCATGCTTAATTAGATGGTATGATGATTGAGTTATCAGAAGATGATCTCTACGCTTTAGAATACTGTAGAATTATTCATTCTTTCAGAAGCTGCGTATCACAACAGTCATTTTGTTCCTAAGATGGGAGAATTAAAATGAAAAAAATGATTCAAAATTTATTGTACCTGAACGGATAATATAAGTCGACCTTCGTTTGTGCGACACGCATTAGTCCTTTATGCTAAATAATTTATCTTAATTGTTCGAATTATTTTAAACAGACAAAGCTAGTATTGGGAGTAAAGATTCTAACGAGATGAATGGAACTCAAAATTCATGGATACCCAGCGTTATTACCGAAACTGGAACAGACGTGATCGACAATTCCGAAACGATAAAGTTAAGAGAACGGCGGTCTTCTCATAATAGTTTAACTCCAAGTCCTGAACAAAGCTTTGGCAAAAAGTTACCGCAATACAACAGCTTTCGCGTTATGAAGCAAAAGGTAAAAAAAAAAAGTATTCATTATTTGAAATTTCTCAAGTATGAAAAATTCCTCCCTCTTTATTTTTACAATATGCACATTGTAGATATACAGGGTGTTCTGGCCACACCTAGGAAAAATTTTAATGGCCAAAATAAGACGAAAATCAAGAATAACAATTTGTTGATGGAGGCTTCGTTAAAAAGTTATTAACGATTAAATTCAAAAATTTCAAATCGTTCTGGAAAAATTATTTTCGGTTGCGGGGGTCAATTACAATCATTTTTTATCATTACACATACTTCCGAAATCCTACCCACTTTCTAGAAAAAAATTCGAGATGTGAAATTTTACGACGAAAAAAAAAATTTCAAATTGTTTTGCAAAAATTATTTTCGGTTGCGGCGGTCAATTACAATAATTTTTGGTGAATAGACGTACCCCCGAAATTCTGCGCATTTTTGAGAAAAAATTTCGTCTTATTTTTGCCTCTAGAATCCCCCATTAAAATGTTACCTTGCATACAAACGTTTAAAATATCATAACTTTTGAACGGATTGGAGGATTTTAATGTTTCAAAAGGCAAACAACGCATATTTTAGTGGAGAATATGTAGAAATTCCAAGAATATTCGAAAAGTTGTTCCTTAATACAGTGAGGAGAGAAAAACCTCATCAAAATGGCCCAATCTTCAAACGTCCATAACTTCTACAATAGTGAACGTATCTCAATGAAATTTAGTATGGAAGTAGAGCTCATAGATACCTACGAAAAAGTACTAAACGAAATTTCCGTAGGACGTAAAGGAAATTTATTAATAACGAAAAACGAATTTTTAAGAAAAATCTAGTCGCCTTTTTTGGCGAAATAGAAAAATTTCAAATCGTTCTGAAAAAATTATTTTCGGTTGCGGGGCTCAATTACAATCATTTTTTATCATTACACATACTTCCGAAATCCTACCCACTTTCTAGAAAAAAATTCGAGATATGAAATTTTACGACGAAAAAAAAAAAATTTCAAATCGTTCTGGAAAAATTATTTTCGGTTGCGGCGGTCAATTACAATAATTTTTGGTGAATAGACGTACCCCCAAAATTCTGCGCATTTTTGAGAAAAAATTTCGTCTTATTTTTGCCTCTAGAATCCCCCATTAAAATGTTACCTTGCATGCAAACGTTTAAAATATCATAACTTCAGGACAGATTGGGGGATTTTAATGTTTCAAAAGGCAAACAACGCATATTTTAGTGGAGAATATGTAGAAATTCCAAGAATATTCGAAACGTTGTTCCTTAATACAGTGAAGAGAGAAAAACCTCATCAAAATGGCCTAATCTTCAAGCGTCCATAACTTCTACAATAGTGAACGTATCTCAATGAAATTTAGTATGGAAGTAGAGCTCATAAATACCTACGAAAAAGTACTAAACGAAATTTCCGTAGGACGTAAAGGAAATTTATTAATAACGAAAAACGAATTTTTAAGAAAAATCTAGTCGCCTTTTTTGGCGAAATAGAAAAATTTCAAATCGTTCTGAAAAAATTATTTTCGGTTGCGGGGCTCAATTACAATCATTTTTTATCATTACACATACTTCCGAAATCCTACCCACTTTCTAGAAAAAAATTCGAGATATGAAATTTTACGACGAAAAAAAAAAAATTTCAAATCGTTCTGGAAAAATTATTTTCGGTTGCGGCGGTCAATTACAATAATTTTTGGTGAATAGACGTACCCCCAAAATTCTGCGCATTTTTGAGAAAAAATTTCGTCTTATTTTTGCCTCTAGAATCCCCCATTAAAATGTTACCTTGCATGCAAACGTTTAAAATATCATAACTTCAGGACAGATTGGGGGATTTTAATGTTTCAAAAGGCAAACAACGCATATTTTAGTGGAGAATATGTAGAAATTCCAAGAATATTCGAAACGTTGTTCCTTAATACAGTGAAGAGAGAAAAACCTCATCAAAATGGCCTAATCTTCAAGCGTCCATAACTTCTACAATAGTGAACGTATCTCAATGAAATTTAGTATGGAAGTAGAGCTCATAAATACCTACGAAAAAGTACTAAACAAAATTTCCGTAGGACGTAAAGGAAATTTATTAATAACGAAAAACGAATTTTTAAGAAAAATCTAGTCGCCTTTTTTGGCGAAATTGAAAAATTTCAAATCGTTCTGAAAAAATTATTTTCGGTTGCGGGGGTCAATTACAATCATTTTTTATCATTACACATACTTCCGAAATCCTACCCACTTTCTAGAAAAAAATTCGAGATGTGAAATTTTACGACGAAAAAAAAAATTTCAAATTGTTTTGCAAAAATTATTTTCGGTTGCGGCGGTCAATTACAATAATTTTTGGTGAATAGACATACCCCCGAAATTCTGCGCATTTTTGAGAAAAAATTTCGTCTTATTTTTGCCTCTAGAATCCCCCATTAAAATGTTACCTTGCATACAAACGTTTAAAATATCATAACTTTTGAACGGATTGGAGGATTTTAATGTTTCAAAAGGCAAACAACGCATATTTTAGTGGAGAATATGTAGAAATTCCAAGAATATTCGAAAAGTTGTTCCTTAATACAGTGAGGAGAGAAAAACCTCATCAAAATGGCCCAATCTTCAAACGTCCATAACTTCTACAATAGTGAACGTATCTCAATGAAATTTAGTATGGAAGTAGAGCTCATAGATACCTACGAAAAAGTACTAAACGAAATTTTCGTAGGACGTAAAACAAATATATTAAAAATGAAAAACGAATTTTTAAGAAAAATCTAGTCCCCTTTTTTCGACAAAATTAAAAAATTTCAAATCGTTTAAAAAAAATTATTTTCAGTTGCGGGGGTTAATTACAATTATTTTTTATGAATACACATACCCCCGAAATCCTACGCACATTCAAGAAAAAAATTCTTTACTTAAAATATACTGTGTGGCCAGAAATGTTTCTATAACTTTTTAACGAAGTCTTAATCAAGAAATTTGTATTCTTGATTTTCGTCTTATTTTGGTCTCTAGAATCCCCCATTAAAATGTTTCCCAGGGGTGGCCGAACAATCTGTACATTAACCAAACGTGTTATTATATTGTTACTAACAAATTACTATTATGAATGACTTTAGGTAAAGAGGGGACTAAAACTTCGTAGATTCCGTTCAGAGGTAAATATTGAAGAGAAAAACGAAGGGAAAGGTATAACGTTAAGTTTAGAACCCAGAGGCGGAGGAGAAGCTGATGCTACGGAGCTCCTACAAGAATCTGGTTTAGCTCATGCCGTATCACAACCTGATATGTTTGGTAGAATAAGACAGCCCAGTCCACGTTTAAGACTGAGACCAAATGGTTAGTATATTTATATTATTAATAATGTTTGAATATTTTGCATTTCAACTTAACTCTGCAAAAAGCCAAAGACATCATTAATTATTGAATTTCTCATTCTCTAATATTTACATAGGACATTTATCATTATTAAATAATATTTTTATTTTACTAGAACTAAAAAAAGTGGTGAACGGTACCAGAGAAAAATATTCTGGAATAGAAGGCAAAGTTCTTCAAGCTCAAGGTCTTCACGTCGCGCATATCGCTCAATTATATTGCAGAATTAAGCTTCAAACGTGAGTTACAATAACAATCCATAAGTTAATACATTTTGATACCCGTTATTTGATAGATGTACCAGTCCCGATAAGATCGCGTCCTCGATCAACGGTGGTAAAACATTAGCGAAATCTCGACTTTTGCCTGCGATGCCTAATCCTCAGTTCAGCATAGACTTTCACATAGAGGGCGACAATGTTCCAAGACAATCTTTATTGATATTCGAAATCAGAAGTGCTAGTAAAGAATTATTGGCTAGTCGGCGCATCACACTTCACGAATTATTAGGTATTTTTAAATTTCATTATTTCTTTATCTTGTGTTTTTTAAAAAAAGGTATTATGAGTTTGTCGGCATACTCGTAGAAAGTATTAACCCTGGAATAAATTATGCATACTTTGCAGTGGCTTTAACAATTACATATTACGTGTATATGTATCGTCCTTCCGCGAGAAGAAGGCACAGCGTGTTTACATTTCTCACAGGTAGTACGGTGATAGCCAATCAGCAGCAAGTGTTGCTGCAGTCCGCTGATTGGCTGTCACGGAACTTTGGCAACGTTTTCGACCAATGCCAGTGAGTCAGCGGACTTCAACGGGAGTGGGGATGTGAAGACGCTGTGGCTTCTTCTCGTGGAAGGACGATAATTATATTTCTAAGATGTGCTCTCTTTAGGTGTTTCCGCGGCAACCGATGAAATTCATACATGGTTAGCATTGAATAATGGAGCATCATTAGAAGTACAAATTGCTCATGGAAGAGAACTTAAAACCAAATCCACAAAAAAGTTATTCCGATCTTGGTCAGTGCACAGGATAGGAAAGATATAAGATAGTTTAAAATTGTATATTTTCAATGAATTTTTCATATACTTATTACGTATTATAATTCGCCAAATACAGCATTGTACAAATTAAAAATTTCTTAAAACTATAATCTAGTTAAAATTGTTACATGTTCATTTCAAACTTCAAATATTTTATTACATGTAAATATATACATATATATAAACATCTTAACGTTATTTCACAACGAGGAATTGTAATACTTATATTTTGTACCATAAAATGTGTATAAGAAAATATATTGTCATTATAAAACGATTTGTACGTGAAGCTACAAACACGAATGCTATTCATTTGTCATCATTTAAATTATAATTTAAATGGAACATCTAATAAAAATAATTTATCGATATTTGCAAAATAAAGGAATAACATGAGTTCTGCATTTAACATGTAACAAAATATCAACTATTTATTGTTAATGCGTATAATGTACTACAAACCATTAAATACATTAAAATATTTATTATAATTCACGATACATCTTGTAACGATTTCATTATATAATTATATTCATAAAGTGACAATTGTATACTTTTTGAATTCTACATATCTTACAAATTTACATCATATGATATATAATCGATTAACAATACACAGCTTACATTATTTTAAATATATATATTGTAAAAAATAAGTACAAATCAAGTCTACTAACGCGTTAATCATTTTGTGTATCTAATTGGCTACACACCTACGCGAGTTTAGGGCGCCGCGTGTATTAATTTGAACACACATTTCTCGTTCACTATCATCTGTATATGAAACGAGAATATTACATTGATTTTTATCTGATATATTATGAAGTTTGAAGAAATCTATTAACTTGGTCAAAGATTTTTATTTAAAAAATTTTAAATTGGATACATATATGATAAGTATGGTATCAAAGGACTTGTTACAAAAACTCGTGCGGTAGTCAACATGTTTATCTTTTATGATATTATTATAATCAAATTTATGAAAAAATTATTTTCGACCTTTGTTTTATTGTTGAAACGTGATATAAATATCTAAATACATATTTTAATAATGATATGCTATATAGTAACAAATTGAAACGTGAATCTCATATATTTTTTAAACAATATTAAATCAATACTGGTATTACATATAAATTTAAAGCTTTAATTAATAAATTACAGTATACATTATAAATTTGTGTGAATAACCACGTATATAACGAAAATATATCTCTGTTTACAATAGTAATAATATAGTGTGGAACAAAAATAATAGTAACAAATAGGCAAAAATCATTCATACGTACTAATTTTTAACGTTTTATACGTATGGCCAGGGCTTGTGCAATTACACTGCCGGCACTCTTTTTCTTATTCGTATGCCATATAAAATATTCATATTTAATAGAAGTAGTCAAAGTACTATAGAAAATGCCGCGTGAAAACATGTGTATATAATTTAAACATTTCCTTCGAATATTTAAATTTCACAAAATACAAACCTATAACTTTATTACGATGATATCGTTCAATATATATATATTCTTGTGTGTTATTTATAATTGATTAACGATCTTTGCTTATATTATGTGTTTGCTCCGTAAAATATAATTCAAAGGTAGCGTAGTTACCTTCAGCTGTTCTTCCGTTAAACTTGCCACTGAAATAAAATGAAATTTTATCGTTATTAAATAATTTTTGTATATTCCTAGGAAACGGCCCGTTCAACGATCGGAGTGAGTTATACGTCGTTCGATTCGTTTAATTCAGTACATTATTGATATGCATTTTATTATCTGCGGAAATTCGTTATTTTTTTATAAACTTGTCGCAATATTACAGTAAAAAAGTAAGATTAAGTATATTTTGACAGGTTCACAGGTGGAAACAAGTGACTGTCGTTACTGTGTTCAAAATGCCAAGTAGTCAAATGCTAATTTGTTAAACATTTATTGAATGAAACCACCCCGCACAGATCTTATGGAAAATGGCCCCCCGTTTAAATTAGCTGAACTTTTGATACGATGTAGTTCATTACGTCTTGATGAAAAGTTCCAATGGGCCCAAGCTCGTAAATTGAACAGTTTCCAAGATACGGGGGATCAAAAGTCAATAATGGTGCACCTTATTCTAGACTACCACGTTTGAGCATATTTGAGCGTAAGAAGCACTGTTGTGACCCTGTGGGCCCTTAACCCTTTGCGGTCTGATTAAATTTGGAGATGGGTATCGTACTGGTCGGAATTAATTTCCATCGATAGAGCAGGGATACATAACACGCAAGTTTACGATGTATAAACAAGATTTAGTAATTCTTTTGTGAACTTTAGATATATCTTTATTCAATACACTCATCTTGTGATATGTTTTTGTATAAAAATTATGTTTTATAATTCTCCTTCGTGTGATATTTTTCAAAACACTTTCCAACATGCAGGCCAGGTTTTCGAGTGCATGTATCGCATTTTGGGGAATTATTTTGGAATATTTTATGAAGAGAGAATGTGTAACTACTGTTAAATACAATTTATAAAATATTCTTTGGAATTCTACAAGGTATCGTCGAACGTTGTCGATTTCACTACGTTCAAAAGACAACTGACTCGCCACTGCGTCTTGCATGGCGAGCGCTGAGTTACAACTTTTGTGTACATTAGATTACGTTATCTCCAATTGATGGAGCACCATATTGGTTCGTGAATAGGTCCTTTAGGCATTGAAGTTCGTATAGGAAAAGTGTAAACTGATACATGAATGCATACAGTATACGATTCGTATAGTTCCTTGCTGTGGTGGCTGAGAGCAGACATACGACCAGAACGGTAAAAAGGCTTTGGTGGCTGAGAGTAGACATACGACCGCAAAGGGTTAAATATTACCCTTTGATCCCCCTGACCCTCTGACTCCCATTCAGGAATCAAAATAAACAAATGCAAAAAAGGTAAAAAATGAAGAGTCTAAATTTGGCAGAAGAAAATATCATAGAGATCATCGTGTGGAAAGACAGTGGGTTTTCGGAGGAATAGAAAGGGAAAGTGGGAAAATATTCCTGGTCCTTATTGAAAGTAGGGACACAGGATCCCTTCTTTCAATAATTAAACAGTGGGTGTTGCCTGGAACTACAATTATCTCAGATTGTTGGAAAGCCTACAATATTTTGGAAGAAGACGGGTATACACATCTCACCGTAAACCATAGTTTACATTTTAAACACCCAGAAACAGGCGCTTATACGAATACAATAGAAACTACGTGGAGGCATAGTAAACAACTTTTGCGTGAATATTGTCGGTTAGTAGCAATACCATAAATATTTTCTATTTTCAGCAAAAATGATAATTTCATTGGGTACTTAAGCCATTACATATTTTATAAATCTTCCAAGCAAGGAAAGAATGATTTATTTAATCAGTTATTAAAAGAAATTTCAGAAATTTCATTTGATTCGGTAGAAAATCAAAATATACCAGACTTAGACGATAATGAAATTTAACAATAAAAAAAAGTTAAACCAACGCACTGCATACAATAGTAATTTATTACATCGTCTACCCATAAACACTGTCAGAGGGGTGTGGAAACATTGCTTACTGTTGCTGCATGTACTGTCTACGTATAAGTACTGTCTGAGTAGGTCTGGGTTATATGGGGGGGAGGGTTAATTGTTGCGGCGTATACTGTATACCTGACCGACTCGTGCAAAGTCTATGCGTAAAAGAATGATTTTTATGCATACACGTTCTACAAATCCCCATTTGACAATGTAGCATTATCAAATTAGATCAATCATTTATAATTTGTAATATGAACATAGCAACGATAGTCACTTGTTTCTACCTGTGCACCTGCCAAAAAATGTACTTAACCTTACTTTGTTAATGTAACTTTACAAGTTTTATAAAAAAGTAATGAATTTCCGCAGATAATGAAATGCATATCAATAATGTACTGAATTAGACGAATCGATTGACGTATAACTCACCCCGATCGTTGAACGGGCCGTTTGCTAGGAATGTTCCAATAATTTTTAATAGTAATAAACAACTGCTAAGTACAGTCAAACGATACAGTCTTCTTACCTTCAACGTAGGTTGCACATTTATACTACTAGCTTCTTCCATGCGTTTGTCATGCTGTTGATCTAACATTTGTTGCCTTCTAACAGCGTCTATATTTTTAATACCTCGACTCTCTTGCTCAGCAAGCCTCCTATCCACAGCTTCTATTTGTTTCCTTCTCCTAACTTCCTAAACGTACAAACATTTTCTTCAATGATTGTAAATTTCATTAACCACAACACAAGAGGGATACATATTGAAGTCAATGAAAATTAATTTGCACGGTAGCATGTAATTTTGTAACAACGTTGAATGTAAATGTTAAAAAGAAGAAAACAGAAACGAGATCGAACAATTACATTAACAAGGTTAATATTAACTGAAAAATCATAGATTCATATTCGTGTTGATTGTTATCGATGCCTTAACCTTACCACATCTGGTGTTACGTCCTCGTACGACGCTGACTCTTTGCAACAAGATGTACAAAAATTTCCCATAGTAATTGCAGTATAGTTTTACTATGGCTAACTATATCGATTATTGATATTATGACAATTGTTTTAATAAAAAACGCATATGCACGATGAACGTTCCAACTGGTGTCAGTCTTCAATCAATAAATATGACCGTACATAAACATCTGTTAAATGCATACATCACTACATGCATATTGCGCGCAATTAAAAGGAAAACATGTAACCAAAATCACATGACTGTACTGGATATCATTATGACTAGACCTATTAAAACACGTTAAAAACGTATACAACGAATGTTTTAGAATAAAACTATGCAAAATATTATTCAGAAATTCAATCTATTTAGAAAACGTGCTATCAAGATTTCGAGGCATGTTTTTATTTAATAGAGTTAGAAATACGTAAAACATTCCTTATATTTATATTAATAGAATATCAAAATCATAGTTCTTATTTTCCATGCTTTTTATTTAAATACTCCTCCTCCATTAATTTCTTAATTTCTATAATCCTTTGTAACTACTCTAAATATTATTCGAACCTAATTAATATCTAATTAACTTCTTTAATTATTTTCCTACTCATTTTTTTATGTAATTAATTAGTTATAAACGATTAATGGAAGCGATAATTATTTCAATATTGCGCTAAAAAGTGCCTTTGGGGATTTCCACTAGGGTTGTTCGTAATGGCGCCACCGTCGCGTCGGCGCTTCGATCGCGTTGATTGCAGCGAGCGCGTAGAATTGGAAGATGATTACGTCAATGTTTTTGTTTTATCGCTAAGAAACGGCTAGGAGTTTGTTTAACAGATACAAGAATAAACTCAGACTTCTCCATATCTTCAAAAGAGTCGTACATATTTTCTAGTTTACCACGGCTACAGGCTATGCTAGGGCACAGCCGACTTTAGTACTAGCCGTGCTATGGAACGTGGCAACACCGCTCATGTGCGAATCGGGAGTCCTATTTTCAATAGTGGAGTTTTGTGTTCAGGATTATAATCAACGTTATTTTGCGATATAAAATTATACTAATATACAGTATTTTTTATTAATTATGTATAAGGAATATATGAATATCATAACTATAGTAAGTAGAAGTAATACAGAAGTATATTAATATTTATAAATGTGGTATATATTTTGTGGACTGTCGGAATAGTTTGGTGTTGTGATGCATTATATTTGAAATATTTACAGAGATTTCAAGAAAATAGAAGTGTGAAACAAGTTAAAACCATCTTTGAACCAAACTGAAGGATTTAAAAATTTATAAAGGTATGTATAAGTTAATAGAGACCTGAAATAGGCAAAATTATTGGTACGAAGCCAAACAGGTTAAGTGCCCGTCGAAAAGAGGTTAGCATAATTAGCTATTGAATGGAACAATTATGGAGTTAATTATAAAATCGTGTTAGAGGACAGTATGATAATTGTGAAATATTTCCTCACCACCCTAGGGGTATTTACCATGGCGCGTTACCTTTTTTTTTTTATTATAATGGGTGGTTCGCCAATAGCCATATCATCCCATTTTCTAAAATAAAATTAATATTTTTAAATAGAACATAACAAAAACATAACTTTTGTATTCTTAAAGAAATAAAGTATTACATTTTGAAATAATAATAAATAATTTTGAATAATATTAATAACAAAACATATCAAAACATACTTTGAAATTCTCTTGAAATACAACTAATAAAACTTTGAATCTTGCGAAATAGTATTCATAATAAAAATATACTAAGCAAGTAAATAAAACTCTATTAATGTATTAAAACATATTGAAAGGAATAAGTTAAATATATATAAAAATTAATGTTTTAAGAAAGATGAAATTAAAAAAAATCATTGAAAATCTAGTTCCTATTAAAAGTTTTTAATTTACGATTTTTAGAAGCGATGTCTGTACGTGTTTCCAACTGACTATTATTTACAGTTTTCACATAATCGTTTAATAAAATATTTGAAAAAATTGATAATAATTTAAACCAAATACTTTGGTAAGCTCGACCACAAACGCATGTACCTGAAAATGCTAAATAATGTATGTCTGATTGAATGCTAATATATGTTAATTTACATAAAATATGTTTATGATTTCCAGATTGCAAAAATTGAGATTCTAAATTGCCATCATTTATTATGGCTTCCATTATTGCATACATATGAATAAATGAGGCTATCGCTTCTTCAGTGGGGACAGAAAGGCCCCCTCTTTGTAAGTGATCAAAATATAGATCGCCTACAGTTTTACCTTTATCCTCCACAACTAATAAACGACATATATTGCAATTTAATTTTTTAGCAACAGAATGGGACCCATAACCAGAAATATAAATTTTAATGGAATCATCTACAACACAATCGGACAAGTATTCGGTATCGAAGATTCCTGAGAAACAAGTCACATCAGTGGGAAGATCATGAAGATCGTTATTATTGTCATCACAAATTCGAAATTTATTTTTGATTTCAGTAAAAGAAAACGAATTTGCCGATTTTGTAAATGTATGTTTTAATCTAATTTTTTTTTCTGCATGAATTATTTCGTTATATGACACATGTTAATTACAACCAGATAAAAGTCTATAATTTCCAAATCGTTTTTCTAATTTTTCGGTTGTAAAATGGAGGGTACTACATACCTTATAAGCCTTGGATATCTCAACAAAACATTCTCCAGTACACCATTGGGCGATAGAACACCGTGATACCTTTCAATATCAGTTTCTGCAAAATGCAAACTACAGACGGCAGAATATTTTGATGGTGTCCAATTCTTACGAGGAATAGCAACCCTCCATTTCTCCCGCAATTCCTCATCTTTGGGGAATAAAAATATAGAATTGTAATTATTATCTTTTAAGGTACTATCATAATTTCCCTTGCAATTGGGAACACAGCAACGCCGTGGCATTATTAATGAATATGTGAAATTTATAAAAAAAATGTATATAAAACAGAATGTCCAAAAATGCTATAGATTATATTAAATAAGTGTGCTACATACCAAAATCAGGATCTGTAGAGTTAATATAAATAAATGAAACACCTGGATTATTGCTCCGTTGCTCGCATTTAATGAACTTCGGTACATTAATATTTGAAACATTTGAAAGATAGGCGGGAGACCGGAAGGCCGGTAGATGGAGCCTATGTAGCCCAGAGGCCGGTGGGTAGTGGGAGGCTGGGTGGCTGTTACGGTAGGTTGGGCTAGGTATATCGAAGCCGGACTCCCGCGGTGTTGCCATTTTACCTTCAGCACGGCTAGTACTAGAGTTGGCTGTGGCTAGGGTTGTTCGTAGTGGCGCTACCGTCGTGTTTCCCACATTGATATCTCCGATGCTCAAGCTACAACGTATTAGGAGTACCATGAGTAGGGGAACCTGTACTCCGCATACCTCCTTTAGTATTCTGTGATCCTGGCACTATTTTACCAGTTCGAATCCCTAATATTAGATGACGACATATAAGGGGGTTGACACGGGCAATCAGCGCACTAAATACTGACACAATTTGGCCCGAAATATGGGTTTACGGAATAAAAGATTTTGCCCTTATATGAGCAGATTTTGGGCCGGGTGAGGTCTCACTCGAAAGAGGAAGGTCCAATGCAGCGCGCCCTGGTCATGATCGAACGAGATTGCGTTCACATTTATTAATATGAACGTCGAAAGTCGGGGGACAAAATTGACAAAATACAGCCACAGAATCAAGGTCTTTTTGGGTTATTAGAAGAATTATGCGATTCCCATACTGACCAGCGCGCGCTGCATTGGACCTTCCTCTTTCGAATGAGCCCTCATCCCTCATCCGACCCAAAATCTGCTCGTATAAGGCCAAAATCTCTTATTCCGTAATTGCATTCCCAAAAGCGAGTTTCGCCATTACATGGGTAATAATAGCAACCCTTTAATCGGTAACGTAGAGCACAACCTCACAACAAAAAACGCACCTGTCGCCACAGCAGGAGTGGGGGGATACGTCCTCTAACATTCTGCGATCCTGGCACGTTTTTGGCAGTTCGAATCCCTGATATTAGATGGCGACACCATTTTTCGGCACTTTTCAGCGCAATATCGGGACAAGTATTCCAGCAATCGTTTATAACTAATTAATTACATGAAACAATGTATAGAGAAATGGTTGAAGAACTTAATTAGATTCGAATAATATTTGGAGTGGTTTCAAGGGCTCATGATACTTTAGAATTTAAAAAATTGAGGAATTAATAGGAAAGGTAGGGAATTAAAATAAAAAGGAAAATATGTGCTATGATTATAGTATCTGTAAAATGAGAATAACGTAGAGGAGAATGTAAATAAAAAGGCATAAAAATAAATACTGTTATTTTAATTTTTTATTAATAAAAACGTAAGGAATGTCTTACACTTTTCAAATATCTTGAAATCTTAAAAATATATTAAATTGTCGAGTAACATATTCTGAACAATTTTATCTTCATATTTTAAAACACACATGAAATGTATATTTTGTAACGATATCCATCTTAACAACAAATGCCAATTGTAAATCGATCTCTCGTTGGACAGTTTCTTAAGGATTTCGACATGATGTTTCCAAAATCAATTTTACATTCGTTTAATACTAAGGAATAACAATGTTAATCCTTCGCTCTATCTGATTCTTCAATAGACGTCGCTGAAGACATTTGTTAATGAATGATCCAAGCAGCGGTGGACATTCGTGGGAATTTTGGACATGCGCACTAGAACTTTCCCTCGTGGGATCCCTTTCTGCGCATGCGTTAGCTTTCTGCCATGCGCAAGAAAAGGTGAATGTTGGGAATTCCCATGTTTCGTAAAAAATTGAACTTTCTACTTCAAATGCTTAAATTTTGTTCCTTACTGGGATCCAACGGATCCAACGGATTTAAATTCTAGTTAAGTGTATACGGCAGTGATCATGCGCTCCAGTGCGCATGACCAAAATTCCCACGAATGTCAATCAGTGAATTCAAGTGCTGTTTTGTGATATCCTCTTCTTCACTCACGGACAGTACATTCTTACTTAATTCCTATGTTGATCTAAAATATAAATATAAATTTTTAATACATCTATATGCTTGATAAAGAGACCAACGGTCCATCATAAAAATACAAACACGATAATACAATGGGTGTGCATCATATTACCATAAATGTATAGTAAGAGAACATGAAAAATTCGTTCCGTACTAATAGTAACTTACAAATCTGAACACAATGAGTTTAAATCTTGAGGTATGAGGTATCGCGTATGCATAGATAAATCAACAAACGGATCATCTTCATTTTTAAATCTTTCAAATCCTTTTAACCTAAAACATAACACAATACAGCGATAATGTTTGCACTTCGATATAAGAATATAACGGTCACAATTTATTAAAAATCTGATGATTTCTACAAAGTATATTTATACTGACCTTACGATAAAATGTTTACGCTGCCCCAGCGGTGAATGTTCAACATTACGTTTGGCTAAATTAAATATTGTCAGGAATACTGTGTCACGAAAATCGCCAATTTCTATGGAATCATATTGTTTAGAATCCTTTACGATAAAATCGGTTTTGGGTGTTCGTGTAATTAGAGATCGCATTGCTGGGATATCTATCCAAATAACACGATATCCCTTATCGAGCATTTCGGCGAACCAATCGGAACCACCGATCTCAGCCACGTAGTTCCACTCTGTTCCATCGTACCAATCGTGTACCTATAAAATGTGGAACGTCAAACAACGCGTAGAATATAAAATATTATCGTTGCACTCTCCAAGACAAAAGCAGCTTTAACTTTGTTAAATTGCTAATATTTATGTAAATTTTCAGCAACTCACATGACAATGGCAAAGTCTCTGAAGCATTTCTCGAAAATCTTTCATCAACGCCATAAAAGATTCAGAGCTTTTAGGATATAACAGCACAATGTCTGTGTTTGTGGCGTGAATGCTTTCACACGATGTTTGCTTGATATTCTTTAAGGCGCATATATTAAATCGATTAGATTGCTTCTGATTTATCTTTATGATGTTACTTTTACCAACATTTACGCAGAATCTCTTTTCCTGTATACAAGTGTGTACAGTGTACAAGAGATACAAAATTCCAAGTACAGCGAACATAATTAATGTGATAATACCAATGGACCAGTACAAATAGGAATTTGTGGTTACGTAAGGCTCGGAAATACCAACTTCATTAGATATATAATGACATTCTGTAAAAAGTAACTTTCAGTCATTGCATGTAACTTACTGTATTTTATGCAACTATATTTTAGTCGAATACCCACACAAATTTGAAACTTGTAATTGGTTTCTTGAGAAACATCGAAAAGAAATTATTAAATAATTTTAAACTCGATGTTCATTTTTACACGATTATAAGAAAATTGATGATCGATACCTTTAACCCACTGGCATGGTTTGTATTTATCTATAAAGGGGTTCCAGAGAGTATATTCTTCACATCTTACGTCATTCAAACGTATTTTAAAACAATAATTCGACTGCTCTGAAACTTCAATTTCGAATTTTTCAGTTTTCTCGTATTTCCCATTTCTGAACTAACGAAGAAACATGTATTGTTTAAATATTAGTTATTATGTTACGATGCCATTGAAAAATAACAAATGCATCAAACTTACCAAGCTCATGCTAGAATCGTATTCATTTTTTGCATAATCCTGAAAATAATATAAAAGATTACATTATCAAGGTGTAATCGTTACCTTGTACGCATAAAATTTCATATATTTAGAACGAATGTTTTATAATGCTTTGTAAAGATATAATACATAGATGATAAAATTTGTAGCATTAAAGTATTACCAAAACATTAAAAGTGTAGTTTAGTTGTTTATTCTTCGTAATGCAATATTTATTTCCATTATAATAATAGAATGATCCAAATTCCAATGTCGCGTTAAAAATTATTGGTAATGAAATGTCAACTTCAAAGTGGTATTTTGTACTGTAGGATTTAAATATAATAGCACATTAATTTGTGTGATCAATTACTGTGAACGAATTTTAAATATTTGGTGTACAAATGAATAATCCAAATTAAGCAGTTATAAAATCAAGTTTAAAATCGATAGATTTTCCCGCTCTTTTGGGGTCATATAGTGTTGACATATAGGGTGCTCGGCCAACTCTGGGAAAAATTTTAATGGGGGATTCTAGAGGCCAAAATAAAACGAAAATCAAGAATACCAATTTGTTGATGGAGGCTTCGTTAAAAAGTTATTAACGTTTAAAGTTGCGCCTGTGAGACGGGAACCGCGCGCGCTGCACACTTTAACTTTAAACGTTAATAACTTTTTAACGAAGCCTCAATTAAAAAATTACTATTCTTAATTTTCGTCTTATTTTGACCTCTGGAATCTCCCATTAAAATTTTTCCCAAGGGTGGTCGAACACCTTGTATAGCTAGTTAAAAGAAAAGATAGTTTAGCGAAAGGCCCAACATAACCTTCAAAAGTATTCAATTCAATAGAGTCGAAAATGGCAACAGAGAAGGTGCATATTCGACACTGCATTCTTTACGAATTCCAACAAGGGAAAAATGCTGCAAGAGCATGAGAATCGATTTGTTCTTTTCTCGGTGAAGGTGTTGTATCGTATGATGTGTGTACATTTTGGTTAAAGCGGTTTAAAAGCGGTGATTTGAGTCTAATCGACAAACAACGCTCTGGAGGTCCTCGGAAGTGCGACAACGATGATTTGGAATAACTGCTCGCTGAGAATGCGGCACAAACGCAAAAAGAACTTGCAGAACAGTTAGGGGTAACCCAGCAAACGATTTCCAAACGCCTTTGTGAGATAAGAAAGATCCATTCAGAAGGAAAATGGGTTCCACATGAACTCACTGCAATTAACAAAAATCAACGAGTGGCAGCGTGTCTTTCTCTTCTCAATAAGCAGCGTCGAAAGTCTTTCTTGTGGAAAATCGTTACGGGCGATGAGAAGTGGATACTCTATGACAATCCGAAACGCAGAAAGTCAAGGGTGAATCCCGGCAAAGCATCAACATCGGTTGCAAAACCCAATCGCTTCGGAAAAAAGCTTCATCTCTGCATTTGGTGGAATATCAAGGTCATGGTTTATTATGAGTTGTTGGAACCGGGTGAAACAGTTACTGCGGACTGCTACCAACGTCAATTAATCTGTTTGCGTCAAGCATTGGAACGAAAACGTCCGTATACTGGCAAAGGAGAACGTCCAGTGCAATTGTTGCATGACAACGCCAGGCCACATATTGCTTCCCGTACAAAAGACACCATAATGAGTCTTGGCTGGGACGTCTTGCAGCATCCAGCGTATTCACCAGACATTGCTCCATCTGATTATCACCTGTTCCGGTAGATGCAACACCCCTTATCCGATATGCACTTTCAATCAGTGGATGAGATCCGAAAATGGCTCGACGACTTTATCGGGTCCAAAAACGTAAAATTTTTCCGAGATGGGATTCATCAGCTGCCTGAAAGATGGCTTAAAGTTATAGAAAGTAACAGCGAATACTTTGAACAATTCAATTTACTTTCTATTAAAATAAACATTGAATGCGGCTGAAAAAATTGGATTATTCATTTGTACATCTAATAAATTAAAATTACTTTGTAGTATATGTATATTACAAAAACTATTCAATTTTTCTTAATACTAATTTTTATCATGTATTTCTATATTGCTTTACAAAATTGATGTTTCGATGGTCGATTGTAACTTACCCCTTTGTAGTGTTATGTACAGTGAGATATGAACATTTTAATTCTGGTAGTGTAATTTCTGTACGTTTGTAACGCGCTTTTAAGAACTGATTAACTCTGAAGCATTTATTTTGATCATATCGAAATTGAATAGCATAGCATGCTGTAAATACATATGGAAAAGTCATTGAAGTATTGCTCTATGATACAAAAAAAAATATATATATAAAACATGTCAAATCATAGAGAAATATTAATACTATACAGTTTATCAGAACTGAACAGATTTAGAAGAAAGAAAAAGTTACCTGAGACTCATTCTTATTTGAAATAAAACATAAGGTAGTCGTAGGTGTGTGCACGTTACTGTGAAGTGAATTTTTGAAGTTGTAGGTCGTACACATTGTTTCGTTAATTGATTCGTTCGCTAATAAAGTAACGCTGTACTTGCATGTTCTTCTTGGTGGCGCAAAACTGATTTCCAAGCCAGCTGCCAAAAATGATTTATTTACAATTCGCATATATTATTATTTGAAAGACAATTATGCATTTAATTATTACTTACCAGACAGCTCAAAAATTTCATATTTAGTTTCTATTAATCGAAAATCCACATCATTTGGAATATCTTCCTTTGTACAATATCTTATGCTTTGATTAGTTTTACTTAAATCAGATTTTGATGAAGGCTCGCACTTATTGCTGGTACAAAAATACTGTAAATAAAAAAACACGTTGTAGGAGATTTGAATTTAATATTTGTAGATTTGTTCCAAATATAATTCTCTTTGTTAAATCCTACGATATAATACTTTAACCGTTTGAGTGCCACGGAGCGATTTTGCGCTTCTCCTCTGTCTCTCGAACAGTGCCAGCGCTCTAGGCTGCGAAACCGTAGTGAAAATAGTAATAGTGAATATTTTAATAGTGAAAATTTTACTGTACATACCTTTTATATATGCAATAAAATATTTAAATTATATTCTTATATTATATGACGCAACCCAGACGCTGATAAATCTGTACTTACGCTCAGAAAGATGGCAGAACAACAATGAATTGAAACAATTACAGCTACTGTATAAATCTGAAAACAGCGCAATAGCGCTCCTTGGCATTCTTGGAGAGGGAATAAGACAAGCGCTATCGCGCCGCTTGGCACTTTTGGATGGGAAAACAGCAAAGACACGTGGCACTCAAACGGTTAAAGTTCAATAAATCCATGTAACATTCTTGCAAATTGGAACATTTTAAACTCTTATACAGGGTGTTCGGCCACACCTGGGGAAAATTTTAATGTGAGATTCTAAAGGCCAAAATAAGACGAAAATCAAAAATAGTAATTTTTTAATTGAGGCTTCGTTAAGAAGTTATTAACGTTTAAAGTTGCGAGTCTTGCGAGTGAGAACCACTATCACGCATGCGCAGTTGTTCGCAGATTGCCGATCTACAGGCGGAACTTTAAACGGTAATAACTTTTTAACGAAGCCTCCATTAACAAATTGGTATTCTTGATTTTCGTCTTATTTTGGCTCCTAGAATCTCCCATTAAAATTTTTCAGTTAAGAAACTGTAAAAAACTTTAAAAACATTTCTGGCCACACAGTATATTCCCGGTACTGAATTTTTTCCTCGAAAATGGTTAGGAATTCGAGGTTATGTCTATTGACCAAAAATGATTGTAATTGGCCCCTGCAACCGAAAATAATTTTTCCAGAACGATTAAAAATTTTGTAATTTTGTCGAAAAATTTGTCCACCCACTCTAATTTTTTTCTCGAAAATGGTTAGAATCTCGAAGGTATGTCTATTGACCAGAAATAATTGCAATTTCCCCACGTAACCGAAAATAATTTTTTCGTGAATTTTAATAACTTTTTAACGAAGCCTCGATCAACAAATTGATATTGTTGATTTTCGTATTATTTTGGTCTCTAGAATCTCTCATTAAAATTTTTGCCCAGAGATGGCCGGACACCCTGTATTATTTCAAACTATGTAAACAGATGAAGTATCAGTATGTGAAACAAGAAAGATATAACCTGCAAAATTTAAAAATTCGTTTCTTTAAGATTCCATACTCACACTACAATTTGTCAATCCTAAAACAGATGAACAGTGAACGACAATGATAATTGTAATTGTTACATAACCTTTATACATAATTGCACTGTAATTTTTAAACAATCGCGTAACTGTAAAATTTATAAAAGGTTATCGCTCCACTTCATTCTAATATTCTAAATTTCCCACAAGTTTGTAAACATTGAATTAGTTATATAGACGACGCATACTGTTTCGTTTGAAAGATTAGCAATACTGCTGACACTATATTCGTTTCCGACGCATGCTCTTTTAACTGCGCATTTAACTGCGTGCAACAGAAACGTGTGGTAGCTTGTCAATAATCGTTAAAAATAAGACGAATGAAAGTACTTGTACACGAGAACGCCACTCGTACCAGAACTTTGTTAAATTTATTAATAGAGTTACATATAAAAACTACGATTAAAATATATTTTTTATCTTCCATAGAGAATTAAGTTATCAATATGTGGGGGGGCGCTGCTTTGCTGAGGGTAGGAACTCGTGAAAATCATAGGGCACAAAAGGGAAAAGGGGGGTACACACACAGAGCTAGTAGACTCATTTATTTAGGCTTTCTAGCAGAGCCTGTCTTAGACGACTGAGATATTAGAAAATCGTTCGAGAATATATAACCGAGGGGTCACTCGAGCGCTTGTGAGAACGCGACCCCTCTGGCGGGGATCATGGGAAACGACGCCACAAATATTCAAATCAACAATAAAGATAACAAGAACAAACAAACTGCAACTTACTGATCTGAATGAATAATATTTAATTTCACTCTCGGAAGGATTCTAAAATACATTAGCAAACAATTCATAATACGAAACATGCCTTGTAGGCCTTGATGTTTTACGCGTAAAATTACATAAACAAATGATATACAAAAATTATTGTTATCTGCCATGTAAACGATCTTTTACATGCAAAACTTCAAGGACTATGAGTCAAACTTTCCCATGATCCAATTTACCTGCAATTTTTGCAATTTTGCAGGAATTATTTTTTGTAAAAAAACTATTCTGGAGGATAAAAGAAACAATGGTCAGAGAAAAATTTCGACAGTCGTAACAGTTATATTTGTTTGTATATTGTAACTGTTCTGATAGGAAAGAGGATGAGTGAGACTATAAAACTAGTATACGTTATTATTTTATTCTTTTCGTATTTTAGTAAATTTCATAGACAGTTATAATATATATAATTTTCATTTTCCTAATGCAAGCCAGTTACACATAAATAAAGTATAAAAGATACATAAAACGGATAAGTTCAAGCACATTTAGAAATGTGTGTACCCGGGGGCCGTTAATGTGCATACGCGCGTGCGTTTTTAACAACGCAATTGTCCTAAAATTATATACATCTTTCAATACTCATGGCCAATGAGATTATTAACAATAAATATTGCACAATAACACTTTTATTGATAATTGTAAATTCATATTAATTATACTATGTTGCCGTAAAAGGACAGCTTAAACTGTTTAAAAGAAATGTCTGCATTACTCTAATTATATCCCTTCACGTCTATTTGTTTTACGCGATAAAGAGCATCGTGATAAACTTATTAAACTTATAGAACGTACACGGTAATTAAAGATTATTTTTTTCACAGCCTATCTAACATTCTTACTGCAAGCTTTGATCGGTTTTCAAAAAGTAAGACACCGGTGTACTATTTGATTGTGTGTAAACAAATAATCTTATGATTCCTTCGTTCGTATAAAGGATAGCATAATGAATACGTGACGAGACTTACGCGCTATAATAACAATTATAGGAAACGAGAGAATGTAATACTAATAAAGGATACCTGTCCCGTAAATTGTTCTCTAAAATCATGCTAAATACTTGTTTGCATCGTTTAAATTCCAAACAGATGATTTCAATCACGTTTTCCTAAGAGACAGGCGCATAGGAAATTGGAACAACGCAAACAAGCCTTACATCAAACCTTAAAACTTCTTCTCGCGAAGAAATAGACTGTTTCGATATGAGTCACGCGCATGTTATTCGGAAATATTATACGCTTAAAATTAGCTAGCAATATAAACCGTTTCCTTGATTCTCGAGCAGATATTTTTGCAAATACTGCACCGCTTTCTCGCTCAAGCCAAGATTTGGCAAGTCTTTCTCGAATTGTTCGAATGTACCAGCGCCAGCTATATAACCGTTCAGTTTAGCGGCCAACGGAGAATTTCGGAGGACCTCGTCGCTGACGAGACCAGTAGTTTCGATCAACCACGGATGATTTCTAAGCCGATATTTCTGGTGATAGCTGAGAAAAACGAATAATAAATTAAATAACAAATGTCTATCTTCGGTTTACAAGATAAAGGTAAAGCTTACTCTTCAGCGGGATAAAATTTTTCGAATCTTCGAATTTCCGTGAGGACCAGATCTGTACGTTTCCGTTGCTGACGCTCGCGTGACTTTTCAGCTAGTAATTTCTGTTCCTCGTCGTGATACAAAATCAGCGACATGTACTGAAAAAATTTTGAATAATGTATTTTTTTGGTAATTCACGACATAATAAATTCAGATGGATGTCGATAAATTTTGGAATATCAAAAATAACGTTACATCGGGGAACCAAACGGGAACAGCATGAAAGCGTTTCGGTGACCTTGACATGCTTAGTTTGCCTCGAGTCTATCGAGTTCAACAACCGAAACGCGGCTTTAATTTCCATGCTGGTCGAGTCAGCCTCGAGAATTTCACAACGCTAATCTTTTTACAGTATGTTAATGCTTCTCCGGCGCTCATTAATTCCTGAAGGTTGTTCTACGACCCACCAAAAATGTGAACAAATCTAGTCTAAAGGATATTAACTATTAATATTTGATAATATCAATTTCATATTTACTACTTTTCCTGACACAGGAAAATGCATTTCAGATTTTTTCTGTCTTGCGTTAGAGTTGTGTAAATTTAGTCACCGTAAGATGAAACATAAGAAATAGTGTCTGTTGGGCATTAACTTTTAACTCTAAGCGTGATGCGTTTTAACATTTATTATACGGGGTGTCTCAGCCGATTTTGATATCTTGATTTCTTCTGTATTGTGGTACATAGCAAAAAATGTTTCATAGAGAACTTGAATAGTGTAGAATTGGGAATATTCTTGATACGAAGGCCAACTTTGTTTTTTTAAATGGAACGAGGTACTTTTTTATGCATCGAACGATGCAGCTAGACATTCTTTATAAAAATGCATTGATCTGTGTACGTCGAAAGCAACTAGTTTAGAAGATATTTCAATTTAAATACAAAGGCATCATTTCTGCCGTAGTAAGACATGAGCTTTGTTTATACCAATGTCTAACAGAAATGATTAATTAACGTTGGTTGGGTTGAAATGTAAACATTTGAGAACGATTATGGAAATCGTTCTTCAATTTGTTTACGCGAAAGTTTCAACTACAGTGACTGACACGAAGCAGCGTATTATCAATGAATGTGGTAAAATAACGTAGGCCAGTCCTCCATCGATTTAAAAAATGCTGCAACACAAATGGTCGTTATATTGAACCGTACCTGTAAATAAACGCTAATGTCAGTACGAATTATAGAATCATTTAAATTGAAATATCTCCTGAACTACTTGCTTTTCGACGTACAGAGATCGATACTTTTTTATAAAGAATCTGTATCGTTTGATGCATACAAAAGTACCTCATTCCATTTGAAAAAAATAAAATTGATCTTCATATAGCCTTGATGCGTCCACCTACGAAAAAATTAATAACATAAGAGTATGCCCAAGAGAGACCATTTAAGTTCCCTTTTGAAACATTTCTCGCTACGTCCCACAATATCGAGGAAATCAAGATGTCAATATCGGCTGAGACACCCTGTATATTTAATATGTAACTTACAATTATATATTTGGATTAATAAATGCATAGTACGTTTTAGAAAACATATCAAACCGGAAGGGAGTTTTGGTCATGCGCACTGGAGCGTATGATCACTGCCGTATACACTTAACTAGAATTTAGGGAAATTTAAGGAAGTTACAGGGAAAGAGACAAAAACAAAAAATTTCCTCTTAATCTACATGAGTATAGCTAGAGAAATACGTAGGGGACCTTCGATAAGTTAATTTTTGTGCGATTGGCGAGCATTTGAAGTAGAAAGTTCAATTTTGTACGAAACATGCACCTCTTTTTGCGCTAAAGATACATCTATGGTAGCGGACGACAGGTAGCTGTGACGTCAGCTTACGCATGCGCAGAAAGGAATCCCACGCGCATGACCAAAATTCCCACGATGCCCATCACTGAGAGGGTAACCCGCGCGGGGGCATCATACGCGGTGCCAACGGAATATAATAAAACGTTGCCAACCTAAACTATCTCCAACAGTATCGATGTGTCGATTGATTTACCTGTCTCTTGATCTTCGTGGTGAGACCGTATTCATGATTCTGCCAAAAAAGTGCAAGTAACTGCACGTACGATATTACATCAGGATTGTACTCGATGTCAACGACTTCCGTATGGTCACCGCTGCGATAAGAAGAACGAGTTATTTAATGGAATGATATAGTGTAAATGAAATAAAATACAATCGAGACGTACATATTCCTGTAGGTTGGCGATTCTGTTTGTCCACCTGCATAACCTACGCAGGTTTTGATGACACCCGGCAATACGCCGAAGAGGCAATCGCCTGCCCAAAAGCAACCCATTCCAAAAGTTGCACGCCTCGCTTTGATCTCTTCCAGTTGTCCAGGCATTTTATTCGACTAATGAACCGTTTCAATCGCAACACAAAAAGAAAAATTTAATCATTACAGAAGCCGTTACAAACCATGCGTTAAAATCTAATAAACCAGTTAATAAAATTAACGCGTGAAACGCAAGCACGAGCTTATACGTTCTACGTGATTCGCGCGAAACCTATTAAATAACGGTTACGTTTAAGTTGACAAGGAATAAAAGTTTCCGTCGTTGAAGATTTCTGCGGGACAATCACCGTGCCCCGATGTTGACAAAAATAAAATTTGGCATCGCGTCTTGTTAGCTCACCAAATGGATTGATCTTATTTAACAACGCCGAAGAAATTTTTCAAAACAACAACTTTACGTTCCGGCTATAGTTCTCGTAATGCTCGTAACTAAAAATTTATGAACTCGTGTTTGATGAGAACGATTATTGTCAAAAATATAAACACGTAATTATTTTAATTTCGTTGCATAAATTATAGAACATTTTCTTTCAATTGCACGCAATTATTTTATTCTTTTCAGCATGAAACGATGAATAAATTGATCGCGTGGCATTTAAATCATTATAGTAATAGTTCAACAAAATAACGAACAGGCGTGCAACATAAGTAAAATTTTCTATAAAATTTCTATGCTTCGCCCAATGTTTATCTTAAACGGAAATTTTACAAATTTTCAAAATGAACGATGTTTACCTCTTTCACGATCAAAAGTATTATAACGCACGAAACAACTTTAAGCATTTTGGCACCGACAGAATCTAACATTTTTTAAAGATTTTTCGTTTGGCAATAAAGGATTATCTTAACATTGTTCACTGTCTTCATAGCTTTCAGAAATTCCGGTCTTTTTAGGACACCCGGTATGGTTAAGGTACAGGTCCGATACGCCTACAAAAAAAAACACGACCAAATACATATACAGGGTGAACCATATAACTTGATTACCTTGATCGTTGCTACTTTTAAACGACTGTTCAAAAATCCTCTTACTAAATTTCGTTCGGAGATTTAATTTCAACTTTTTTATAATGTCGGTTTAAAAAATTCGGAAAATTTTATTCCCTCTTGTATTCTTTATATTTTCTCTGTTGGATTGAAAAGCATAATGGAAAGGAGTGCCCAAAAGGAAACGTAGACTGTCAATCTTGCGGTATTTAAAATGCTGTTCGTCAACTTCGATGTACTTGAACAATGAATGCCTACCTAGATCCTTACGCTACATTTTAACGCGTTCGTCGAGCATTATTATACATACCTGATATTTGATATTGTTTAAGAATCTATATAAACAAAGTATTTCATTACTTCTCGCCGTTCTCGAAAGATAAAATTTACGAAAACTGTATGCTTTGTTCCAGACCAAAACGTTAGTCCAATCAAAAGCCAAATAGTTTCGAGTACCTTTTATCATTGCACTTTCAGTTCTAACATCGATTCTTATTAAATCTATTATAATTTTAAAAGATTCAAACGATCAAGACGATTCAGTTATACGGTCCATTATGCATAAAAGACGACGCGTTGCCACGAACATCAATTTCCTACGTTTCTATTTTATTCAATTCGGCTAAAAATTTTTCGAACAGATGACCCACGAGTAATCGTAATGAATTAGCATGTTGGCCAACATGTTCTACAATGTAAATCTCACCCGTACGTACTAAGAATTTTAATTATGCTTAAAAAATTCTTTACCTCGATTTACAAGAAAAGAGTAGCGAGATCGAGAGGAGATGACAAAAAGAGAGTAAGTACGTAGAGAAACAAAATTCACTTGAAAAACGGAAGATACCTTCGTCGAGATAGAAGCGACACGAGGAACTACCGCGTGCTCCGCCAGCGCTACTTTTTATCTACTCTGTCCCCCCCCCTCTCCTCTCTCTCTTCCCCCACTCCGCGCCGCACAACTCCACTACCCCCTCCGCCGTGTGCATCGTCTTCAACCTTTTAAACTCACGCGTTCGAAACTTTAATTTAATTTATCCAGTTGGTATATATTTCCATTTACACCTTTCACCGCGCCAATCGTGGCTCGTCCGACAACGGGAAACGTGCTTTACGGCACGGTGGAGGATCATCCACTAACGGTAAACGTGTCCAGATCACGTTAGTACATATATTTACACGTTCCTAGTAACCTTTTTATTCGCGAATTTAACGAGATCGAGGATATCGATATTAACCTCTCCCCTGTCTAAATGCCCGCCAATAAATGTCGAGCTTCATTGTATCGATTATCAATCTGAGCCCGATAAATTCTCTGTAAGTTGCATCAGAAATTTGATACCACGTGTGTCCGTTCAACCAGATAGATAACAATTGCTGGATCGACTGATGTAATCGTTGTTTCCTGCGAACTAAGCCCGATTGCTCGACACTCTTGGTTCAAAATGTGCGGTGCTTTTGTGTCACGCATTCGACATGAAGGTTACTATCATATCTTTTCGTTTCCTGCCTGTTCGATGCTTACGCCGAGCAATTACTTAATGCGTGTAACTTGTATACTTTTAATCGTATCCGACGATATTGATAATTTCGTTTCGAAACGAGAGTGATCTTGTATCGCAGTGGATTCTAATCGGGCATTTTGCTTGATGTAATGTATGTCGTTGAAAAATGAACAGTAATGGTTACATACCGTATTGCGATATCCGACTCCACTTAAACTTCGACGTAGTAAGTTGATTAAATTTGGCGTGATCATCTTCGATACGAACATTACCGTAATTACAAGTGTTCTGAAAGAAGATCCGTCCACTCGTCGACATCGTGAAGCGACTTAAAACGCACAGTCGTGTCTGTATTGTATCGGTTTTGTCATCGAAAAATTTTGCCCCGAACGACAGAGAATCTTTTTTCCCGATGAATTGACAATTGATAAAACGAATTTACTGACTTTTGATACCTTTCTTCGAAAATCAATCTACCTTTAACTGGCGCAATCACATGATTACTATTATTGCGTTCAACGAGGGGAAAATGTCAGGGAAATTTTGAAACACTTTTGAGAACTTGGGATAAAATTTATTCTATGCACATGATTAAAATAAACGTCGTTCCAAAATTGAATCCATTGATTTTGTTTGTTTCTGCGTTTTTTTTTAAAAAAAAATGCAATCTACATTGGTATAATATTTTCGAAAATATTTATATTAACAATTTTACCTCCGTGTGTATATATATCTCTAAAGGACAAAAAGAATGTTTTAATAAATGTAATATGAATTAAAAATAATTTCGGCATTATCATTGTTGATAACGCATTGTTGATAACATGATTATTTGTAGGAAATTTTTAATTAAAGAAAGTACTATCGCGAATGACATCCAGGGTGTATAAATTAAAAAGTTTTCTAAATGAGAAATGCAATGGTATTTACACTTTATCAGTGTCCATAAAATACATTATTGCATACATTGCACTGATAAAATATTAATATTTAGATGTAAGATACGAAATTAAGTTTAATTAGATGTCATATAATTTACGATGTATTTTAAAGGAAGAAACAGGACATATGTAATACGATAGAAAACATCGGAATTTACAAATAAACGTGTTCGTAGAAATATAGATATCTAAATTAATATAAAAAAATACTCTTTATGAAAAACGCGGGGAATACTCTGTATCATACACATTAGCTGCAAGGACGCGTTTCGCGCAATATACAATTTGACAATTATTGTTCGAAATATACATTAATTTACGCAATAATAAATAAAATTATGTACAAGTTCAATTTCGTTAAAATTATCTCTCGCATTCCAATTGCTACTTAAATACTCGTTTAAGTACAATACGTATTAAAAAAAATCCATTCGTGAATCTTATGTCTACGGAGCGCATCGTTTGAGAGAATATCTCAATAAAAGATTCGAGACTGTTTGAAACAAAGATGCATTAAAATATTGTTCATTCTGTACATTTCTGATCTTCTTTTTAAGTAAAAAGAACGGTTCGATCGGATTGTTTACAATAGCGAACGTGGTAAAAGCGTGCAAATAAAAGATATTAAATGCAGCGAATGAGATGTGTTAGGTGACGATGCAGCAACTTTTCTCGGAATGATTGTCGCCGACGATGTCGCTGGTGTTCCCGGTAAAACGCTGGAAATCCCCGGCGGCGTTCATCTCAGAATTGGCGATGGGCGATACAGGAATACCATTTCCATTCGCGTCTATCGAGCCGGTGGATATGTGCCGGTTTTGCGCCCTCTGTTTCTTCAAATCCGACAACGATTTGACAAACACTACCGAGACGTGTATGTTGATCTTGCCATTGGTATCGCGGTCCGGCGTGTAGATCGGCTGCTGATTGCCAACCGGCGATTCGGACCCTGTCACTGCCGAGGCAAATATGTAAATCCAAGTTTCCTTCCCCGAAATATCTCTCCATTTCCTCTCATTCCATTCCATTTCACTCGTAACCTTCTCACTTCGTGTAACCCTCCACCTAATTACCCCTCATATACTGAAATTGCGCTTGAAAAGAAACTCGGACTAGTATCAACTGGCGGCCATGCGCTAAGCGTTACATGCTTTAGCGATAAGCGTTAAAAACATTGCATCATAGAGCAACCAGGAACATGTTTCTATATTCTACATGTACCTACGCAAACACTTTCACCTCCACCTATGTTCCGAGTCATTGCAGCTAGTAAATTTCCAAACTGTTTCATCTCGGAAGAAAGAAGAAACTTTCAGCGACTTGTTCGCTTCTTCCTTGCTCCGATAAATAATTTGCTTGTTCTTTCGCAGAATGTAAAGTAAATTTGTAATCTTTCGACCGTAATGTACCTACGCAAACACTTTCTCCTCCAACTACCAACAAACTTTTTCTTTTCGGAAGAAAGAAGAAACTTTCAGCGACTTGTTTGTTTCTTCCTTGCTCCGACAAGTAACGAAGATAGCTTTTGCTTATTCTTTGGCAGATCGTAAAACAAATTTGTAATCTTTGAGCCTTAAATGCATCGACTCCAAAAAGTACACTTAGTTTATAATTTGTATATAATAACTTTGACATATATATATATATACGAAAACATACACGTAAAGCATATAGTTGAATTCTCTGGAACATTGAAATCACTTACTTCATTTCCCTTTAAGTACGAATTAATATTATTTTGTGCTGTGTCGATGTCCAAGTAACATGTTCATATAATAGTTTAATACCATCTCGAATCAATCATTTTCTTTTTACGTACTGATTTTCGTTTACATAAAATTATAATCAAATTTATTAAGATATAACAATAAATATTGTAAATAATACAAACAACCATGGATTGAACCATATTTTAATAGTAATTAATTTACTACATAATGTTAATCAATACCTTATAATTTATTTTTCTTATTGAATTTCTCTAATAACAATTCAAATTTACTTATCTAAAATTTACAAATTCACTTCTCTATGGCTTACAGAAACCCAAGTCAGCTGTAATCACATCGATTTTGAAAATTCATTAAGAACTATAACGAGTATGTTACTTTTCACTTTTAATTCAACGCAAAAGCAATTATCGTATGAAAAATGTTGCGTCATTGTGATCGATCTGATTTGTGGAATCTGTGGTAGAAATTCATGAATGACTAGTTATGGTATTAATAACGTGGAACGATCTAATGTCGTGACACAACTGACCTCGTAACGACTTTATCGTTTAGCAATAAAACTAAAAAACAGGAAGACACATTGAGTAAATACAGTTTGTCATCAGCGCAACTAATATGTTAGATCTGTGAAAAAACTTTGTTTCCCTGGATTGTTGTACGCAGAATTAAACAATTGCAAGAAATTGGAAATGTAATCGTAGTTATAGTTTCAGAAGAAGTGTAAATTTTTTATGCGAATAGACCGAGGCAAATCTTAAAAGTGGTGAGCAGTCTTAAATAAAAAATAGTTATTAGAATATCAATTATCATCATAAAATATGAAAAGACGAAACAACAGAATTTTCTCATAGATCTAATACATATATAAAAGTTGATCGATATGTTTAATAGGCGAAATACATTTCATTTTACTAATATATTCGTTTATATGATATGTAGTAAGTATATCTGAAATTGTTCGTTGAACATTAATTATGAATGTATTGCAGTATAGTTCAAACTCTGGTTATTCGATTGGAGAAATGGAAAATTGGAAATTCCATTATCAAACGTTACTAATTTCTAAATGCCTACTTACTTTAAAAAGTGACGTTGGGAAAGATGTTCGAAATGTAGTTGTTTTGATTTTACTCGTGTAATGTAAATGTTGCGTTTTAGTTTAGAACGCTCTGAATTGCATTAGGTATAAAAACAATGTCATGAGAAATTCGTAACAGTCAATAAGCTCTGCTAAAACGCTAACATATGATTTGCAAAGAAGTGCTAAGAATAAAGCCAATAGAAAATTAACCCTTGCCACAAAAGAAACTCGACGCGGTTGAAACAACGAACGTCTCCATACCAGAAGAATATTTTCAAAGAGAAAAACATATTACATACGCACACAACATATAGAAACAATTCATCGTGTTGTTGATCAATATTTAAAAACATACGATAACGTAGAGAATTTGAAAATAATACAAACACAGCGTTCAATAGTACGTTTACAGAAATAGGAAAGTGACATAGAAAACTGACCTCACAATTATTCAGGAACACGACCCAGTAACAACAGAAAAAGGAAATGGCTAATAAATGATCAATACTTAATATTTAAACAATTTACCAGTAAAAACTACCGTTCTACTTTTTCTATACTACCATGATAATGCACGTTCATTTCGAGTGATAAATTTCGTTTCTAGTCGTGGAACCGACCTATGGTAAATCTTTCCCTTAAATCAGGAAAGAATTTCCTCTATTATTTTAAAATGCAACACGCATGTTGCATCATGGAATTTTAATTACTATGTCACGTTACTAAGGCCAAGTTATGCGTTACGAACGCACAATTTTAGTGGACACAACACGTTATTGCTTCCCTTTCATTTTATGCACAAAAAAATACCATTTACCAGAGGATTCTACTTAACCACAACCGATGCAAGTGTAACATGTTTTGGAATATACCTGATTCTTTATCGACGTCTTCGTGGAGGAAAGATTCATTGTCCTTTCCTTCTGGAGCTTTGCGTACTGCTGTTGGCGGTGCATTAGAATCTGTCTCATTATTCGTATTTTCACGCGCGTTGAATTCGTTTTCCGTTTTCGGCATATTCGCAGTAGAACCGCCAACGTATGTCTAAAGCATATAATCCTTTTATTACTTAATTTCCCATAACTTCTGATAAAGTATCCGAAAGGTTTTGCGGCGCTTAATTCAAGATCTGTTGAAATTTTATTACCTGTTGAGCTTGTAATCTGAGACGAGCCTCTTCTTGAGCATCCTTTTTCGTAGTCAATACCTTATCTCTGATCGAAGTCCGTCTTACACTTTGAGTACGTGTATTTATACTTTGAGATCTACGTACTCGTCTTCCCTGCGCTTCCCGTAATCGTTTGCTTTCTTGCTCCGTTTTAAGTTCCATTATCCTTTCTCTTATCTCGGGATCCTCGCAAATATCTGTAAAATTAAATTTAACGCTTAACATTGGCATCGACACTACGCGGCGAGTCAGCCGAAATTTTTACCAGCTGGAGTTTCATCGTGTTTGTTTTTGGCATTCAAGTCAGCTCCATTTTGTACCAATAGCTCGAGTACTTCTAGCTGAAAGCAAATAACGATGTTACAGAATACTTTTTGTTCGAACAACTCAATGAACATATGTAGAATATGTTATTACATGTCCCCAGCATGCAGCTGCATGAACTGGCTGCCATTTGTCGTTGTCTTCAACGTCAGTTGAAACATGCTGATCCAAGAGAAATTCAACTACCCTTAAGTAACCATTTGCAGCTGCAATGTGAAGCTACAATTCGAAAAAGAAACAGATTACATCCTACTTGCCAAACAACTAATATTTATTGTCTGAAAGTGAGATTAATGAACTTGCACACGTACCGGTGTAGCACTTTGATGATCTTTGTAATCGAGATCACCACCTAGATTAGCTACATGTTGCAAATGTCTCAACATCTGTACTTCTATAGAAGCTCTAGTTTCATCAATTAACTCTTGAGTAACGCCACGTCTTGCCATTTCTCCTACATTATACAAATAAAAGAAAAGTGGAAATGTGATGTCATTTGAACCCCTTGCACTATTTTCAAAATTTTTGGCCAAACTTGAATATCACGAGTCGAACTCGTAACTATCGATATTCCGTCGATCGGCATATCGTGTTCCAAGTACCGATATTAGGGCTCGTTCCGATCATTCGAGCGTATGGGTTAGGCACGGCTTCTTCCGAATTTCAGCGTGGTGCAAGAGGTTAATGAAAATTATTTACTCAAAGTTATATACGTTTTTTCTGATTTGAACAAAAATAATATCTCGTTATAAATACTTTCAGGATTTTTTACCTTCGATACAATCCAATGTTTTTTCATCTTCACATATATCATAAGGCATATTACCGTCAGCGTTAACGGCTAATAAATTGGCACCTCTGGCAATAAGATTTTTGACTAAATGCAAGTGGCCGCAAGTGGCAGCAGCATGTAACGGCGTCCATTTTTCACTGTCTTCTGCATTGACGTTTGCCCCGAACTCAATAAGTAATTTCATCATTTCTTCGTTGTCGTCTATGCAACATTGATGCAAAGCTGTCAGTCCATCTTCGTTCGTTGAATCTGGATTCACTCCCTTTTTCAAAAGCCGCCTTACTAAAATTGTGTAAATTAACGTGTAACAAGTTACAAGAAATCATAAATAACAAAATTTATTGAGTTTATATCGTATCACCTTCGTCTATGTCATTTCTTGCCGCAGCTTCTAAAAGCATGACATTGTCGCTGAAATATATATGACGTTTGTTACTAGTGTGCCTAGTTTGATGCCGCATCCATTCCTTTTCTCGCTGACGCCATACTTTCAACTGTTGAAGCCTTCTATGCCGAGCCAAATGTAAACGCTCTTGAGTCGTTAATCTTTCTACGTGTACCATTTCAGCGACTAAGTCGGAATGTTCCATCGTTACAGGCATATGTGTTGCGCAGCAGTATTTACCTGCTTGGAAAGTAAACTACATTTGATTCTACTTATGCGGTGACAAATTACAATGATACTTTTGATAAAGCAACGACAATAATAGGAATACTATGGTATTTAAAAAAGGGTTTGGATGCTAACTAATTTACCTTTACACTTATAAATATGTATTCCAAGGTATTTAAAAACTTTACGATAAACATTAGACATCATTCTGACACGATATCAAGTTTGTTGTTTTGAGATTCAAAAACCTGCATAATTAAGCGACCTTCGTCCAGAACTCTGTCATAGTTATCAAGTATTAAAATAATTATACAAATGTTTTTAAATATTGGTTTATAGCTATCACGTAATAAATAATATCCTGTATTCTTTTTTAGATGAACAATAAAATTATAAAGAAAATACATATCTAATTGATAATTTTGAAACAGTTACTATATGAAAATACCACTTAAAAAAATTATGATCTACGTAATAAATTTTTCTAATAAAAGTACATTAACTAAAATGCAAGCAACTGAATTATGTAATTAATAACAGAATTGATAAGATAAAAGAATTATGTTATTTGATACCATCAGATTGATCATAGTGTGCATAATTCTTAACTTATACTGTTATACAACTTTCCCATAATGAACCCCCCAATTGAAAGGTCTGAATGGATGAAGAGAAATAACATATGCAAACACATTGTAACAAAGGACATTGTTTTGCTCTAATTCTTTATCTTTTGCTTCTTATCTGCCGAGGTGCAAACAAAAAAGAAGCAAATAATAACCACGATGCGGGAATAATGAAGAAGAGAGAAAATAAAGGCAAACGGAACGTAAATGTCGATGGACGTGAATTAGAAGCGGAAGTGCCGATATGTTGGTCACTTCGCGATCGTAATTCGAGAGTAAAACGCAGGTGAAAGAAATCCGCTGGAGGACTGGCGGTGCAAAATTCGCGATATCTACTCACATTGGCGAGCTATTGCTTTTGTTCGTTCAATTATTCATTCGCGACCCAATGGAACGCGGAAGTTTGTTCGTTCGTTCGTTCATTCGTTCGATATTTCTTTTCGTTTTCGTTCGGTTGGAAAAACGACCGCGAGGAGCGGTGAAAATTTAGTCGTGCCGTACCCGAGCTGAGCGGAATCGAAACTCGCGAGGAGACGTAGCGGAGAGAAAGTTCACCACCGTGTTGACCGACGAAAACGTAACATAATTCACAAGATATCCACGATCGAACCGATCCCACTGTATAAAATTATAATCGAAGGGGTCTCGAATGGACCGTCGCGGTTTCGATTTCACGAAAATTACGTCGTTTCTTGCCCTGTTGCGGCGTCGTGCACGCGAGGCAACGCGTACCTGTCAGTCGCCATTTTTAAACTACCTGTAGAAAATCATTCGCGCGTCGCCCTTCACCGCGCGCTAACTTCGTCTTTTTTTCAAATTACTCGTATGCTCGGCTTGTCTCCATGCGCTCGTGAACGCTACGTGCAGATATTATCTCGCGCGGAACTTTCAGACGTGTATTTGCAATCTACACGTTAACTCAAGGCCTGCAAAACTTCAGGCTTAGAACGTTCTCGGAACATTCTGATATATTTCCCGCTTTATATTACTGTTATCTTAACTTTCTTCGCCGAGTATGATCGCGAGATCTTAAAATTCGACTTATCTCAGTAGCTCATCGATACATCTACGTACACTTTATCACGTTCTGGTTAAATAAACAGACATCTCTCGTATATAGCCCGAAATGATACGTTTTATTTATATTCGGCACAAAATTAAATTGTAACAGAATATCCATTTTATTGTAGACGAAAAGGATATTCTAATAATTGTAATTAGACTGACCAAAGATGATGGATTCTGCTTCCACTATAGTAGAATAAGAAACTGTTCAGTCTTGTTTGATCAGTTTACGAGAGTATACTTTTTTCTTGTAGTTACCTTATTTATCCGCTTCCTGTTCTATCTTTTTCCCCGTAATACGAGACTTTATGGTTGTGATCGGCAGCACCGAAAATTTGTTTCCATACCTGTCATATCACATGATTAAATGTGTACTAATAATTAGGGCGTCTCTTTCGACTAATTGTTTCAAAGTACCCGCCGTACGAAGAGGGAATTGTTATAACGAACAGAGTATAAAAATGTTATACTTAAAAGTTTCGGTTCCACGTTGGTAAGGCGGAGGGTAACGTGAAACTGAGAACAAAAATTAAGTATTACTCATGAATAAACAATAACCATCGATATCCCGCGCGAAAATGTGGAAACGACAACAGACTTTGGCAACGAAGCGTGAACTGTTAACGGATTCTTCCTCGTTGTCATCGGTAAACACGGCAACATGGACAAAAGAGAGAAAACAAGACGGTAAGGTCCGTTTAGCCGTGGTCGCTGGACTTTTTACAACAGTTGGAAGCCTGTTTGGAAAACTTGCTGGAAATGTCGAGGCAGTTTCTGCAGTAAGTAAAGCGCCTTTCGAACGTTTCATTGCCCTGTTGTGCCAGTAACTGTTGGAAATGTTATTATTCCACTGTTTTTTTTGCGTGACGATCGTGTTTTAACGATACCTTTGTAAAACATTATGTAATGTTCCTAAATAAGGTGGCATTAATAATTAAAGGAATACTTTTGGTACTGATGGTAACGAGCAACACCGTGGGTTGCTCGTTTTTTGTGAAAGCGCTCAATGCGAGTGGATCTTCCTTACCATGTACGATCGCCAGCGCCGCCACGAGTTACGTTTGCTCGGTAATTTACGTTTTTTTTTTTTTGGATGAAAATATTTGCGCGAGGAAATGCAACAGTTTCACAGCAGGTGTATTTTTATAATTTGTTTATAGGCTCTGGCGGGTTATTTAATTTTCAACGAGTCTACTTCGCTTTGTTGGTGGTGTGGTATAACGTTCGTTACATCGGGGTTATTGTTCATCTGTCACGTTCCAACGAAACCCGATTCCATAGACAAAGTGAAACAACAATAAATAAAAAGTGTTCTCATTGGCATTTTTTTTATTTTCTTTATTATTCTACCATAATCTTATTTTATCTAGGTATACGAATTTACAACGGTATTCATTTTAATTTGTATTTGAATAAATAAATTTACAATCACGTTGAGAGTTTCTTTAGAAAGAAAAGACCTCCTTTCTTCTTACTTTCATTTTACATTAGTTAATTTCGCTCGTTAAGATGGCGTAGCTGTTTTAAAAACTATTACGACTTTCGTACATAAAAAAAAACAAATTCAATTTTTGTAATTGGAACATTATCAACTTAAACGCGAAATAACTAAACAAATGTATCGAATTCTGACTGGCGTGCGTATTGGCAAAATTTCATTAGCGATATAGTTAATTTATCGCACGGAGTTTTCGTTAATGCGCGAGTGTACGCTATTTGCGTTTCGTACTTGAATTTAAGTGAGCGTATGAGAAGTAATAAAGACACGTCGCCTTCAAGCCTTATTTCTCTCTTGCTCTCACGGAAAAAGTAATGAGAAATGCGGAAAGAAAAACGGAGAGACGGGCAGGTAAAAAGATCTCGAGTGGTACTTGTTTTAGAGAGCAAAGTGGATCTACGTACCTACTTGCAATAGCACTGGATAAGAGAGGCGAGGGAAATAAGAATGGAAGATTTTTCCGCTCTATTTCCTTCTACACGTGGATTATGCAAATAACTTTATTTTTTTTTTAACAAAACAAGACTAATTGTAATTTTCCACAATAAACTTTATGCAATAATAATTAATTAAATATTTAAATAAAACAAGTTTTAAGGTACGTAAATATGATCACGTTTAAAGTTCGATGAAACTTTTTTCGAAGGTCATATTTACGAAACTTGGAACAGTAATATACATTATTCATAGAAATAGTTTAACTACATGTACGAGCATATAGTACTGTAATCCTAAGTTCCAAACATTTAACTAAATATTAACTAAATCGATAAAAGAAATGAACATTTGTTTACTTCGGGTATGGTAGGTATATACGTGTATCTACGTGTATGCATAATGAGTTAGGTTAGGTTTCAAACATTTAACTAAATATCAACTAAATCGATAAAAGAAATAAACATTTGTTTCCTCCGGGTATGGTAGGTATATACGTGTATCTACTTGGACACATAATGATTTAGGTTAGGTTTCAAACAATTAACTAAATATCAACTAAATCGATAAAAGAAATAAACATTTATTTCCTCCGGGTATAGCAGGTACATACAAGTATCTACGTGTATGCATAATGAGTTAGGTTAGGTTTCAAACATTTAACTAAATATCAACTAAATCGATAAAAGAAATAAACATTTATTTCCTCCGGGTTTAGCAGGTATATACGTGTATCTACGTGTATGCATAATGAGTTAGGTTAGGTTTCAAACATTTAACTAAATATCAACTAAATCGATAAAAGAAATGAACATTTGTTTACTTCGGGTATAGCAGGTACATACAAGTATCTACGTGTATGCATAATGAGTTAGGTTAGGTTTCAAACAATTAACTAAATATCAACTAAATCGATAAAAGAAATGAATATTGATTTGATATAGTATGCATAATGATTTAGGTTAGGTTTAAAAGATTTAACTAAGTATCAACTAAATCGATAAAAGAAATGAACATTTATTTACTTCGGGTATGGTAGGTATATACGTGTATCTACGTGTACGCAGAATGAGTTAGGTTAGTAACAAACATCTTACTAGTCCAGGGTTACTAGGGCCTCGTTACAGTAGCGTACCCTAGTTGGTACCGTGTGTATGTGTACTGGCCACTAACGCAAGTTTCAGTCGACCAGGTTTTCAGTTAGTGGGGCAGGGTCGGTGGTTCATAGGTGTATCATGCAGCCGCGAAGTACGGTATCAGAGGAGAAGCAAACGTGCAAGAAGAGCAAGAGGACGGCTTTATCGAGCGGCGACTGCGCCGCAGTGATATTCTTCAACACTGCCGTCTATCGGCTGCCAGTCATCCTCCAGAGTCGAGAGTACAGTAATCTCCCTCTATTTTTCTTCTTTTTTTTTCATGTTTTCTCTTATTATTGCCACTTTAGATTTCTTTTTATCTCGACGAACCACTCGTTCCCGAATTCTCCAACTCGAAACGCGCGAAAACGAGTTGAAAACGCCAACGCACGAAATCCCGACAGCCTCCCCCACCTCTTCCCACTCGTTCGAAATACAGAGACACTTGATTTATGTAATTGCGCATCTCGGTAGATTTACTCACTGTACTAGAATCGTTAACGCGACGCGTTCCCATTTTGGTCGTATCGAGTCTCTGTAAACATACCCATTGATCATCGCGACAGCTGTCCGTCAGAGCCGTAAATGACAATATGATTGGCCACGCGACGTTTCTATCGTAACAATCGAAAAACCGATCGACCACCGTCGATTGATCCGCGAAGGACACCGAAAGCGAATACGGTTTCGATCATCTCTGTGATTCTTTTGCCTCGTAACCCTTTCTAAAGGGAGACCTTCGTTGTTCGACGAGTTCCACTGCCCCGTGCACGCCTTACTTTCCCCCACTATACACCCCCCCCCTCCCCCCTCCCCCCTCTTGCCCCTGCCCCTCTCGCCGCCTCTTTTTCATTCTCCCTCTCGGTAGCAAGTACCCCTAGATTCCGGCAACGCTTCTTGCTACTGAGGCGACGGGACAGTTTTCGTACGGCGCACCCTCCTACCGATAGAGTCGAAACGTACGGATCCCCAGCCAGTGCGTTACGCGGTTCGCGTATCCGTTCGCTTAATCGCCCGTTCGTTGCGTGTGCGTGCACAACGTGTTAATCAGAAAAGGTGCCTATAACGTGAAAGTGTTGACTGGATCCATGGCTCTCCCTTAAAGTTCGTTCGAACCGTTTGCACAGAATCACCGTAACCGTCGATGTATATCTCGGCCTTGTTCCTCGTTTCTCGTCGCTTCTCACACGATCACGATAAATCCTCGACACCGATGAGTAATTACGCGAGCCATACGTAAATATATGCCGGAGCCAAAATTCGTGTACTTTTCAGATAAATGCTGATCATTGGTCCCCATAGGTCTCACACGGTACTCTCGTACAGCTCTGTAATTTCGTTCGTTTTGGAACCAGTTTCGTCGAAACAAACAACATGTTTATTTCGTCCGTGGATCGAATTGACACCGGACGGGAATTTTTTCAATCGAGCAGAATGGTTTGCAATGAAAAAATGAGTGTTTCTTGGATTTTTAACGCATCGATACGCCGCTTTCGGGAGTATAATGTTTAACAAATGGCGACCTTGAATATCGTTCGATAACCTACGCAAGGAAAACATAAGATTGCATTTATTTTGTCTGATTTCAATTTTTTTTGATTTACAAGTATTGCATTTATCTTAAATTGTTTTTCAATTGTTTTTAAAACGTTGTTTATGGAGCCTTTGAGTCGTCGCGAGGAAAAGACCGTTTAATTCTATTTATATCGCGAAACTGTTTCGTTGATCCATGACGTGAATTATCATTTGTTCGAAAATTTGATTTTTGGCAGTATCAGCACACGCAAGACTAGCTTCGATTTTCCATTTGGCAGTCGTCCAACTAATACGGTAAAACCAAAGACGCGAAAAGTTTTTAATTTATCGCCGTAGGGGAAATAACGATTGTACCCTGCATTTCATTCTATCCACAGACGATGTTCTTTCCACCGTGCATTTAAAACGTCGGGCGAAAACGAGATGAAAAAAAAACATATAAATCCGTTTCATTTGAAGAAACGATTCTTTTTCAAATTGCTTTGTCGCCCGATAATAACAAAAGCTTCAGTTTGTTTCGAATAATGGGAACGGTGATATTCGAATATTTTATATATTAATTTTTCAACGCACGGGAATACGAAATTGTTTATCACGATGAAAAGTCTCCGATCGTTTACAAAGTACGCTCGAGCCGTTTATAATGCAGCCTGGTGGAATAAATGCGCTTTAAAGGCTGCAGGTTTATATAGATGGGTCCCAGCGGGGAAAAGTGTGGAAACGCACATGCTTTGACATACTTGAAAAGAGTTTCGTGACAATCTGCTTTATCTCCGTTAACGTATATCTATAAGATTTATGGCACAAACCGTATCTTTACACTATATTGTCGCGAACAGTGAGGAGAGGCAGGCTGAGAACGAAAGCGAGTTTTTCATTATTCCTCGAGGAGCATGTTTCTTATGATCGTATGAACGCGTGTTAAATTGGAGAACAGGAGGAATCTGTGTTAATAGAAACGAGTCGGTGGTCTCTGACAGAGAAACACGGGACATTAAGGTTGGATAATATTCTGATAATAAATAATGTCGAACATGCTGGTGCGAAGATAGTGCATTGGAAGAAACGCGTACGAGGACTTGTAAGGTTTCAGTTGAAGTAATCAAGTAAAGAGGAACTGGTGCGAAACCATCTTCAACGATGATGCTGGAGGAGGGACGCGGTGGCGGGAACGAAGCAAACTGTTGTACAACAATAAGTCCATCGGGGAGCAAGCTCGAGAGACGAAAGATAAGGGAGGATCGACGAATCGTCCTGGGTGTGACCAGCGATTAAACTGATCGTTTTTATCGTCAATCTACGAATTACTTATTGCAGCCCCGGGGGGAATTTGCGCGCGCTACGATCAACCTGACATCATGGGGAATGGCATGAACAGGGTAAGGAACGTAGTCACGAGCAAACGATCTGATAACCTGTTTCGATCGATGAAATATTGTAGAATCGTGGAAAAAACATTTGCTATACTATAGATTTCACGAAGAGGAATGCTTTAAAATTCTGTTGAATTTAAAAGGTAAAATACCCTGACCTAACACAGACCTAACCCAATCCTGATCCAGACCTAACCCAATCTGATATTATGGGGAATGGCATGAACAGGATGAGGAACGTAGTCATGAGTAAACGATCTGATAATATTTCCCTGTTACGATTCGTACGAAGAAATATTATAGAATTCTAGAAAATACATTTGTTATACTATAGGTTTTACGAAGAAGAATGCTTTAAAATTCTATTGAATTTAAAAGGTAAATACCCAGACCTAACCCAGACTTAATACAGACCTAATCCAGACCTAACCCAGATCAAATATAGACCTAATCCAGACCTAACCCAGATCTAATACAGATCTAATCCAGACCTAACCCAGACCTAATACAGATCTAACCCAGACCTGACCTAACCTAACTTCATGGGGAATGGCATAAACAGTGTAAGGGACGTAGTCACGAGCAAACGATCTGATAACCTGTTACAATTTGATCGATAAAATATTATAAAATCCTGGAAAATACATTTGCAATACTATAGATTTTACGAAATGTTTGAAAATTGTGTTGAATTTAAAAGGTAAATACCCAGACCTAACCCAAATCTGACCCAGACCTGACCCAGACCTAACCCAGACCTAATACAGACCTAATCCAGACCTAACCCAGATCTAATACAGACCTAATCCAGACCTGACCCAGATCTAATACAGATCTAATCCAGACCTAACCCAGACCTAACCCAGGCCTAATACAGTCCTAACCCAGATCTAATACAGACCTAATCCAGACCTAACCCAGATCTAATACAGACCTAATCCAGACATAACCCTGACCTAATACAGATCTAATACACACCTAACCCAGACCTAATACCGACCTAATCCAGACCTAACCCAGATCTAATCCAGATCTAATCCAGACCTAACCCAGATCTAACCCAGGCCTAATACAGTCCTAACCCAGATCTAATACAGTCCTAACCCAGATCTAATACAGACCTAATCCAGACCTAACCCAGACCTAACCTAGACCTAATACAGACCTAATCCAGACATAACCCTGACCTAATACAGATCTAATACACACCTAACCCAGACCTAATACAGACCTAATGCAGACCTAATCCAGACATAACCCTGACCTAATACAGATCTAATACACACCTAACCCAGACCTAATACAGACCTAATCCAGACATAACCCTGACCTAATACAGATCTGATACACACCTAACCCAGACCTAATACAGACCTAATCCAGACCTGACACAGATTTAATACAGATCTAATCCAGACCTAATCCAGACCTAACCCAGGCCTAATACAGTCCTAACCCAGATCTAATACAGACCTAATCCAGACCTAACCCAGATCTAATACAGACCTAACCCAGACCTAACCCCGACCTAATACAGAGACCTAACCCAGACCTGACCCAACCTAACTTCATGGGGAATGGCATGAACAGTGTAAAGAACGTAGTCACGAGCAAACGATCTGATAAAATTTCCCTGTTACGATTCGATCGATAAAATATTATAAAATCCTGGAAAATACATTAGCTACACTATAGATTCTACGAAATGCTTGGAAATTCTATTTCATTTAAAAGGTAAAAAGCGTGTCATCAATTGATCAAGGATTGCACAAGTAATTACTACAGTATTACGAGTTTCTAGCCAGAACGAACCCAGAATTGACCTACAAATGGACATAAAAGACAAGAATTCATTCCTGACGCAGACCTAATTTACCACAATAAAGAACTGACCAAAAAATGGACGAAAAAGATAAGAATAGATTCCTGACGCAGATCCAACAGGAATTCTTAAAAAATACGGACCGAGACCAGAAATAAACGCCAGTTTCACGCTGGTACAGTAGTATTACGCGTTTCTAGCCAGAATGGACCCAGAACTGACCCAGACGTAATACAGACCTAATCCAGACCTAACCCCGACCTAATACAGACCTAATCCAGACATAACCCTGACCTAATACAGATCTAATACACACCTAACCCAGACCTAATACAGACCTAATCCAGACCTAACCCAGATCTAATACAGATCTAACCCAGACCTAACCCAGATCTAATACAGACCTAATCCAGACCTAACCCAGGCCTAATACAGTCCTAACCCAGACCTAATACAGACCTAATCCAGACCCAACCTAGATCTAACTGAAAAAATGGACAAAAAAGATAAGAATTGATTCCTGACGCAGACCCAACCGGAATTCTTAAAAATACAGACCGAGACCAGAAATAAACGCCAGTTTCACACTGGTACCGTAGTGTCACGCGTTTCTAGCCAAAACGGACCCAGAACTGACCCAGACCTAACCCAGATCTAATACAGACCTAATCCAGACATAACCCTGACCTAATACAGATCTAATACATACCTAACCCAGACCTAATACAGACCTAATCCAGACCTGACCCAGATTTAATACAGATCTAATCCAGACCTAACCCAGATCTAATACAGACCTAATCCAGACCTAACCCAGATCTAATATAGATCTAACCCAGACCTAACCCAGACCTAATACAGACCTAATCCAGACCTAACCCAGATCTAATACAGACCTAATCCAGACCTAACCCAGATCTAATATAGATCTAACCCAGACCTAACCCAGACCTAATACAGACCTAATCCAGACCTAACCCAGATCTAATACAGATCTAACCCAGACCTAACCCAGATCTAATACAGACCTAATCCAGACCTAACCCAGACCTAATACAGACCTAATCCAGACCTAACCCAGATCTAATACAGACCTAATCCAGACCTAACCCAGATCTAATACAGATCTAATCCAGACCTAACCCAGATCTAATACAGATCTAACCCAGACCTAACCCAGACCTAATACAGACCTAATCCAGACCCAACCTAGATCTAACTAAAAAAATGGACAAAAAAGATAAGAATTGATTCCTGACGCAGACCCAACCGGAATTCTTAAAAAATACAAACCGAGACCAGAAATAAACGCCAGTTTCACGCTGGTACCGTAGTGTCACGCGTTTCTAGCCAGAACGGACCCAGAACTGACCAACAACTGGACGAGAAGGACTAGAATTTATTCCTATTGCTTGTTACGTACGGTTCGCTGGTGCTTCTGATATGCTAATGGCGCACGTGCTTTCGCAACACTTGGTTTAATTATTTTAAAATATACGCGCCGTATCATTAGATTATTGCAACGACCTGAATACGGGGATCGAGATTTCCGTAGTATTTCTGGTAGTCGGTCAGACCGATTTAAAACTGTCGCAGAGCGTAAACATCGGGGACGAATCGCGAACTTGTTGGCCCATTTGTCAATGGTTTAATAGCCATTGTCGATGCACGGAACGCGAGACCCGGGGAGGCGCACGGTTAAGATATTAATCGATGGTCCCGATAAAAAGTTAAGAGCTGGCTGCATTGTTCCCGGGGTTTCGACCAGAGACACCTCATTTAAGAATGCAGCATCGATTAAACGATTATACACCCCGTCTCGACGTGTTCTGCACGTTCGAGTGATCATCCGCGCCGATGAATGATTAACAACGAAGCACCTGCATTGAAAAGCTGTTCTATCGATTTTTTTTTCGACGCTACCCCCGAGCACCACTAAGACTCATCTCCGCGCGTTTAATTGCAACAGGAACCGTCGCGTCTACGGGGGGAAACGCGAATTATCGTCCTCGCGCGTGTTCAGGCGTTGCTCGTTACGTGGTCGAGTGGGGTACCAGGAAACGATCCCGACGATCGGATCGAACACGTAAACGCGTTAGTTCCGTGACGATCACGCGGAATCACCGATCGCGCTCACGGCTTGTCAGACGCTTATGAAACTTTTATCACGATTACGTGTTGTGTGTTTCGCTGTCTATAGGTCCTACCCGGCCTTTATATCGGGAATTATCATGACAGTAAGGACGCTGATCAATTGGAGCGATTCGAGATCACGCACATACTGGCGATCCACGATACCGCGCGTCGATTGCATTCCGTAAGCGCGCGATAATTATCTCCATTTTTTAACGAGGCTGACTGGTCACCGTGTTCTATTTGATTAATTGTTCGTAGGACAAACATTATTTATGCATTATGGCGGCGGATAGCCCGGATCAAAATTTGTCACAGTACTTTTCCTTGTGCAACGACTTTATACACGCAGCACGTCTACGCGGCGGGAACGTCTTGATACACTGGTGCGTACAGATATTCTAAAACGTTTAATTTGTAAAGGTACGAGCGATAGTAATTGGCAGGTGTGTGTGTGCAGTCGTACTTGTGAAGATAAACGAAGGTGTATTGATCTTGTTGTATCGTTTAATCCTTTAAATACGAACCGTTTCGATTGCATGACGCAGCCTGTGTATGCAATCTCCGCTCTTTAACGATCAATTAACGATATAATTTCCATCCCAGAAACGTTCACGTAACGATATTCGGTTTCAGCTTGGCCGGTATGTCAAGAAGCGTCACGGTAGCAGTGGCCTATATCATGAGTACCACCAATCTTTCGTGGAAAGAGGCACTCAAAGTCGTCAGAGTGGGCCGTTCCATTGCCAATCCAAACGTCGGATTTCAGCAACAGCTTAAAGATTTCGAATCCAGTCGATTGCACGAGGTATCAAGGATTCTTGTTAAATGAATGCTAACGCTTTTAATTGTTGCGAGCTAAATATATTTGAAAAGATTGTTCTGATCGAAGAAAGTAACTGCACGAACACCGTATGCTGTCAACGAATGTGTCCTAACACGTGGAACCTACTTAGGTGGTCGATCGAGGGCACAAAAACAATGGTAAAAGTTCGTACAAACACGTGGCGTATTTAGCCTTGTTCCCGCGTTATAGCCAGACAATTATTAACATAAACTGTGACAGAATAATTAATTTTGTTAGCACGATTCGATAAATTCTTGTTTTCCTTGACGAGATGTTAACAGATCTTATCATGAAATATTGTACAGTATATACGACTCGATAATTTATATAACTAATTTATTATACTATTGTATAGTACACAGAGGCTAAAATAAGACGAAAATCAAGAATATCAATTTCTTGACTGAAAGTTATTAAAAAATTAAATTAAAAAATTTCAAATCATTCTGAAAAAATTATTTTTGGTTGCGAGACTGAATTATAATAATTTTTAGTTGATACATGTACCCCCGAAATCCTACTCAGTTTCGAGAAAAATATTAGTTACTGAAAATATAATGTCTGATCATGAATGAATGATTCCCCTGAAATTTCGTGTGTTTCAAATCATTCTGAAAAAATTATTTTCGGTCGCAGGGGTCAATTACAATCATTTTTTATGAATACACATATCCCCGAAATCCTACCCACTTTTGAGAAAAAAATTCGGGAATGTATAACATTTTTCGACAAAATTAAAAAATTTCAAATCGTACTAAAAAAATTATATTTAGTTACTGGGGTCAATTACAAGCATTTTTGGTGAATACACATACCCCCGAAATCCTACCCAGTTTTGAGAAAAAAATTCGAGAATGTATACAATTTTTCGACAAAATTAAAAAGTTTCAAATTCTAATAAAAAAATTATATTTAGTTACACAGGTCAATTACAATCATTTTTGGTCATTAGACATACCATCGAAATCCTACCCAATTTCGAGAAAAAAATTCAGTACGTATGGAACTTTAGACGTTAATAACTTTTTAACGAAGCCTCCATCAACAAATTAGTATTCTTGATTTTCGTCTTATTATCAAAATTAACAAATTTCAAATTGTTCTAGAAAAATTATTTTCGGTTGCAGGGGTCAATTACAATAATTTTTGGTGAATAGACATAACCTCGAAATCCTACCCACTTTTGAGAAAAAAATTCGAGAATGTATAAAATTTCTCGACAAAATTAAAAAATTTCAAATCGTACTAAAAAAATTATATTTAGTTACTGGGGTCAATTACAAGCATTTTTGGTGAATATACATACCCCCGAAATCCTACCCACTTTTGAGAAAAAAATTCGGGAATATATAAAATTTTTCGACAAAATTAAAAAATTTCAAATCGTACTAAAAAAATTATATTTAGTTACTGGGGTCAATTACAAGCATTTTTGGTGAATAAACATACTTTTGTAATCCTAACCATTTTCGAGAAAAAAATTCGTTACCGAAAATATAATGTCTGATCACGAATGAATGATTCCCCTGAAATTTCGTGTGTTTCAAATTGTTCTGGAAAAATTATTTTCGGTTGCAGGGGTCAATTACAATCATTTTTTATGAATAAACATACTCTTGAAATCCTAACCATTTTCGAAAAAAAAATTCTTTACCAAAAATATAATCTCTGGCCAGAAATGCTTCCTCAAAATTTCATGGAAATGTTTAAAATATCATAACTTCTGAACGGATTGGGGGATTTTAACATTTCAAAATGCAAACAACGCGTATTTTAGTGGAGAATATGTAGAAATTCTAACAATATTGAAAAAGTTGTTCCTTGACCCCGTGAAGCGAGAAAAACCCCATAAAACTGGTCCAATTTTCAAACGGCCATAACTCCTAGAATAGTCAACATATTGGTTTGAAATTTTGTTCTGATGTAGGACTCATGGGAACCTACAAAAAAGTATTAGACAAGTTTACTGTAGGGCGTCAATCAAAATTACTAAAAATCAAAAACAAATTTTTAAGAAAAATTGACAGGGCTGACATTTTTGGGCAAAAGAAAATTGAAAATTATTCTGAAAAAATTATTTTTGGTTGCAGGGGTCAATTACAATCATTTTTGGTGAATACACATACCCCCGAAATCCTATCCACTTTCGAGAAAAAAATTCAAATATGTATTGAAATTTTGAAACCAAATTAAAAAATTTCAAATCATATTAAAGAAATTATATTTCGTTACTGGGGTCAATTACAATCATTTTTGGTCATTGGACGTACCCTCGAATTCCTACCCACTTTTGAGAAAAAAATTCGAGAATGTATAAAATTTTCCACAAAATTAAAAAATTTCAAATCATACTAAAAAAATTATATTTAGTTACTCGGGTCAATTATAAGCATTTTTGGTAAATACACATACTCCCGAAATCCTACCCAGTTTTGACAAAAAAATTCGAGAATGTATACAATTTTTCGACAAAATTAAAAAATTTCAAATCATACTGAAAAAATTATATTTAATTTTAGAGGTCAATTGCAATCATTTTTGGTCATTAGACATACTCTCGAAATCCTACCCACTTTTGAGAAAAAAATTCGAGTATTTATAAAATTTTTCAATCAAATTAAAAAATTTCACATCGTACTAAAAAAATTATATTTAGTTACTCGGGTCAATTACAAGCCTTTTTGGTGAATACACATACCCCCGAAATCCTACCCAGTTTTGAGAAAAAAATTCGAGAATTTATAAAATTTTTCAATCAAATTAAAAAATTTCAAATCGTACTAAAAAAATTATATTTAGTTACTCGGGTCAATTACAAGCCTTTTTGGTGAATACACATACCCCCGAAATCCTACCCAGTTTTGAGAAAAAAATTCGAGAATTTATAAAATTTTTCAATCAAATTAAAAAATTTCAAATCGTACTAAAAAAATTATATTTAGTTACTCGGGTCAATTACAATAATTTTTTGTCATTAGACATACCATCGAAATCCTACCCAATTTCGAGAAAAAAATTCAGTACGTGTGGAACTTTAGCGGTTAATAACTTTTTAACGAAGCCTCCATCAACAAATTAGTATTCTTGATTTTCGTCTTATTTCGGCCTCTAGAATCTCCCATTCAAATTTTTCCCAGGATTAGCCGAACACAAATTCTTGTTTTCCTTAACGACACATTACTTAACAGATCTTACATAAATTGCTCGAATTATTGCACAGTGTATAAATTTCTGTTGGATGTTGTAGCTCGTGAGTGATTTATGCACGACGGGCCACCGGTCTATTTCTGTCGAGTAGCCAGACAGTTCTTGGACGAAAGATTTTCTAGCAAATAAATAGTTCCTGAGGGATCTATTGCTTTGGCCTCCTCGTTCGTCGGACTTGAACTTCTATTTTTCGGGTCATTTGAGAACATTTGCTCGTTCAATATCTATTTAAACACTTAGAGAAACATTATAACAGTTTCTAGGCTCATATTTGGGCCGAAGGGTTCCTTCTAAGCAGTCCCACATTACTGGGAACACAAAGGTGTCTATAACTTGGGAATAAGGTCAAATATAGCACATGATTATGTGAAACTTTTTTCCACATTGCTCTTTCGTTCTTCATCGACCGCTGAAGTAACTTCCACACATTAAGGTAAAACTCGTACGAATTGTATAAGTTTACTACGCATAAGGTCTTCACGAAAATTTTAATTATTTCGAAGGTTTTTCGTAAGGACTGTCGTACAAGTCCAAACAGATTGAGCTACTCCAATGAAATACGATTGCGATCGAAGAATTTAACGAGACGATCTCCTCTGATTAACATAGGAACGACGCAGGTTGAAGGAACGATTTCCAAGCTTGGCACTCACGGAATCCGATGCAGAAGTGTGCCGTACCACTTTAAGAAATTACGAAACCATGGCATTGGCACGAGAAGTGTGTGAAGGGAAATGTGCCATGGGTCGTCCTTGCCCGACTGGACTCTGCAGGCAACCTTCCAAAAGGTTCGTTAGCTCTTCCTACGAAATCGTCAGATTCCAGCACTGCTCATCCTTCTTATTCTGTTCTGCGTATAGAAGTCCAAGAAGGAAGGCTTCCACAGGCAGTACCAGCAGCTTGACCACCGGAAGAACGCCACCGCAAACACCAAGAATGCTACCGTCTGCACCACCCTCGCCAGCCATGCATAGATCGACCAGTGTACTCTCGTCGAGACCAAGGAGCGGACCTGCTGGGTTACATTATTACACCGGTTCCGCGCCACCTTCCAGGTAACGTTATTCCACAACATTGCATAAGCGACCACAGAGAAATACAGAGAAGTTCTACTTTAATCTTTTCTTCTGCTTTGCCATATCTACTAGGTGATTGCTGTATCAGAGGTATTACGCGAGAATTAAAACCTCAGAAAGTACCACTCAGTCTTAAAAGATAGAGGAAGGATTCCTGAATACGCTAACGTTATAATTAGACTGCGGATCTTTATGCAAATTCATATTTTTATTAATATAATTCATGAAATGGAAGCCTTGTAGAGGATTGTCTCAACCCCTAAATATAATAATTCGCATCCTACTTTAAGTAATTCTTATATTTTTTCATATTAAGTACATCCTGTAGTTCTTTGAGAATTAATATTTCCCATAAATGCATAAACATCCGCAGTCTAGTTATAATATTTTGTGCTCTTGGACTTTTGCAAATGACCTAGCTCTATAAGGATCACCTAGTGAATATGGCAAAACAGAATTGACCACAGAGAAATACTGTTCTACAAATTAAATTTTTTTCTGTTTTGCCATATCCACTAGGTGATTGCTGTATCACCCTCAGAGGTATCACGCGAAAATTGAAATCTCAGAAAGTTCCACTCAGTTTTAAAAGATAGAGGAGGGGTTCCTGAATATGCTAACGTTGATAGTTATAATACTTTGTGCTCTTGACCTATTGCAAATGACCACCTAGCTCTATAAGAATCACCTAGTGAATATGGCAAAACAGAATTGACCACAGAGAAATACTGTTCTACAAATTAAATTTTTTTCTGTTTTGCCATATCCACTAGGTGATTGCTGTATCACCCTCAGAGGTATCACGCGAAAATTGAAATCTCAGAAAGTTCCACTCAGTTTTAAAAGATAGAGGAGGGGTTCCTGAATATGCTAACGTTGATAGTTATAATACTTTGTGCTCTTGACCTATTGCAAATGACCACCTAGCTCTATAAGAATCACCTAGTGAATATGGCAAAACAGAATTGACCACAGAGAAATACTGTTCTACAAATTAAATTTATTTCTGTTTTGCCATATCCACTAGGTGATTGCCGTATCACCCTCAGAGGTATCACGCGAAAATTGAAATCTCAGAAAGTTCCACTCAGTTTTAAAAGATAGAGGAGGGGTTCCTGAATATGCTAACGTCGATAGTTATAATATTTTGTGCTCTTGACCTATTGCAAATGACCACCTAGCTCTATAAGGATCAACTAGTGAATATGGCAAAACAGAATTGACCACAGAGAAATACTGTTCTACAAATTAAATTTTTTTCTGTTTTGCCATATCCACTAGGTGATTGCTGTATCACCCTCAGAGGTATCACGCGAAAATTGAAATCTCAGAAAGTTCCACTCAGTTTTAAAAGATAGAGGAGGGGTTCCTGAATATGCTAACGTTGATAGTTATAATACTTTGTGCTCTTGACCTATTGCAAATGACCACCTAGCTCTATAAGAATCACCTAGTGAATATGGCAAAACAGAATTGACCACAGAGAAATACTGTTCTACAAATTAAATTTATTTCTGTTTTGCCATATCCACTAGGTGATTGCCGTATCACCCTCAGAGGTATCACGCGAAAATTGAAATCTCAGAAAGTTCCACTCAGTTTTAAAAGATAGAGGAGGGGTTCCTGAATATGCTAACGTCGATAGTTATAATATTTTGTGCTATTGAACTGTTGCAAATGACCACCTAGCTCTATAAGAATCACCTAGTGAATATGGCAAAACAGAATTGACCACAGAGAAATACTGTTCTACAAATTAAATTTTTTTCTGTTTTGCCATATCCACTAGGCGATTGCCGTATCACCCTCAGAGGTATCACGCGAAAATTGAAATCTCAGAAAGTTCCACTCAGTTTTAAAAGATAGAGGAGGGGTTCCTGAATATGCTAACGTCGATAGTTATAATATTTTGTGCTATTGAACTGTTGCAAATGACCGCCTAGCTCTATAAGAATCACCTAGTGGATATGGCAAACCAAAATTCGTGTCGAACAATTATAATCGAGTTGGTCAATAAGCAGTGGTACGCAGGATTCTTTTCTTTCTTGCTGTAAATACCCCAACTGACTGGTCGTTCGATGTTACAGGGCAGTGTCGAGGGTGGACCTGTCGGGGGCGGTGGCCTGCAGCAGTAGCAGCACAAGTTTGCAATCGATAGGCAGATCGGGGATGTCCGGGAGCAATTGGAGGCTGACGGCAGGATCCGCGCCGAATACACCGAGACCAACGCCACCGGTTTCCCCCCAGCGTTGGTCGAGACGATCATCCAGCCGGCAGACACCCCAATTGCCAGTCTCTTCCGAAACACCATCCTCGACCACGTAGCATATGCGGAACTTCGCTTCGTTCTCGACTTTGCCCGAGTAACGACGGAGCCGATTCGCTCGTGGGACGAGTTAATTGCACAAGAAACGTCTTACAATGAGTGAACCCGTCGTCGGACGTCCGACGAAGCTTGGAAACGTCGGAACGGACACGGCTTGCATATCAGAAAGCTTCGAAACAGCGTTCAACGCCAGCTTGCCATTTAATTGCTAACGCAGCCTGTGAACAACGATAGAAACGTTAAGAAAGCTATCGAGAACGAACTGAAGCTCGATTCCGTGAGCTGTTAAGATTTAAGAGCTTAGCGTTCAGTGAATCCCTTAGTCGATAAACTGTGACATTAGTTGATAAACTGGAACAAAGACGCGTCTGTTACCATGGTAGGGATATCGATGAAACTAACGTGCTACCGTTTATTGCACCCGTTCTTGGGATTTTATGGTTGTTTCTACTTTCATTAGTTAATTAGCAGAGTAACGAACGGTTGTACCAGTCGGCTCAAGCCCGGAAATTGTTGTTTTCGGTCGAAAACGCTCGCGCGGCTGCTTTTGTATTATAGCAAGTTTCTTCAAGCAACCGAACAACGCACGCGACATCGCACAAGATATTACCTATTCGATCACAGCGAAAGCAAACGCGATCATCGAAACAGTCTCACCGACTGAGCAAGGGAACGGATTTCGGGTAATTAGACGCGACGTACGAGGCGTTGGATCCAAGAAAATAAGTTCCCATTGATCGGGAATAGATTCTTTTTGTCTTTTACGTTCTTCGTGTGCACCTTGAACTATTCTTCTACATCATTTTCACGACCTTCGTTAAAGTTCCTAATCCATCTTCTTGCTATCGAATCAAAAGCTGACGATCTGTACAATTTCGAAAGGGAACTTGCTTCTTGGACGCGTCTCGTACGATTTTTAACTTGCGCGTGATGCAGTAATCACCGACAATCTTGCGTACGATCGCACATAGACGCAACGTGACCTCGATCGTATTCTCTTCGTAAAGACCCGAACCTCTTGTTGATTAGCGTGTTTTTTTTTTTTAAAAACGAAGAGACGCGAAGGATAACAATTTAGCAGATATACATACATGTATATACGTATATCGAATTGTCCAAACGTGTAAAAGTTTACCAGTAGAGGCACTCAAGTACTTTTCCAATATTATTGTCGAAACGTAGAAGAATTTCGCTGCTGGACGGTCGGGGAATCGCCGTGTTTCTCGATCATCTTTGCGTACGAGCGTCTCCTGTTAAATTCATCGGTCAGAAATTAACGATAACACCGTGCAATTTTTTAGCACCAATGCACCATCGGGTAGCGTAGAATATGTACAATTCGCCGGACGAACCGCTTGAATCGCATAAGTTCTCATCGGTACGCGTCGATTGTGTTCACGGTATCTCCGAAAAGCAATTCGCGCGAGCGCAATTGTGGCTTTCCAGCCGGGAAAGCGAAGGGAATAAATGTATCTGATAAGATTTTCGTCGAGCAACCGGGGGTCTGGGATCTTCGACGAGAGACAAGAGAAGAACGCGGAGTCGTTGTTCCTCGAATCGTTCCATTTCAGTTTGTTCGCGAACCGTCCATTGCAATTGTTGGATTTGTAGCGATACCACGCTATTTAGCGCAAGTTGTTGATCCAAATGAAACCATATACATAATATACGAATATATACATGCATATACTCGAGGCGTGGATGCTGGTAAATGCGTTTTGTGCACAGGGAGCGTAGGAGGACTGTACGCGGTACAATTGCGCCCGCCATTGTCGCGTCATCATTCCGTTAAACGCTCAAGGCCGTTTCAGCCACCAAGATTTTGTCGAAAGATTTCTAAAGTGATACTTTACTCTTGAACAGTCGAGCAGCGTTACCATTGTTAACACTTTACCGACCGGTAACGGTTGATTAATCGGCTATCGGTCGGTAAGCGTTGGCCGGTAAAACAGTTGATTGATAGGCTCTCAGCCGGTAAGCGTTGGTCGGTAAAACAGTCGATTAATAGGCTATCGGTCGGTAATGTGTTAAGATCCAAAGAATGTTGTAATCGTCTCGACTTTTTGCTGTATTTGTCAACAACACTTGCAGGCTGAAAGAGTTGAGTTAACGTTTTGAAATTTTTAATGCTTAAATCTTGTGAAACTTTGCTTTATGGAACTTACGTTGGACTGCAGTCCTTAAACTAAATAACGATGCGATTAATCAAAAGTTGAAGACTCTCGACTGTTTTATTTTTAAAGCACCATTATTCGAATGATCAGCCTCTTTCCATGTGCACGATACGCTTTTATTACCAGACACCTTGTACGCGTACACACTCGGTAGGCATACGTTGTTACAAATGGTGATTTCAGAAAATTTTATAACTTGTTGGCAATGGTGATTATTATGCGACAATGTCGTACATTAAGTAGACGTGTTGTTACTGATTATTTCATGCACCGAAGTACGATTCACTTGACGAGCGAGACAGCAAGGCGTTTGCGAACGGATCACCGATCACATCTCTCCCGTCGTCAAAGCGTATTTAATCGATTCGCATGATAGAATCATTTATTTTTCTAGAACCATTCGATTTCTCATAGCGTAAAATGAAGAATCAATTAGCAAGTAGACATTTGAGGCGCTGTTAAAAGTACGAAAGGCGCAGGTTTCATTCGATTTTTTAGCGTTATTCAATCCGAAGGATGATTTTAACAGTTTGTCAGCGAGGATTTAGCTGATGTTACATCGTTAAAGTCACTTTCTCAATGTGAAGCTGCATTCTTTCGAGTAGTCTGATCATCAGTCCCACCAAACCGATCAAATTAATCGACCGCGCCCCGTTTTTCGTTTATTTTCTTTTCTTTTATTAATCGTTTAAATTGAATGTTGATCAAGCAATAATATATATGTATAGAAGAAGCGATTTAAATTAATTTCATCGGTCTTGGTTGGTTCAGTTATCGTTTCGATCGGCTCCAGAGAATACAGCGGTGATAATGTTAAAAATTCACAAAATATTTTTTATAAACTTATTGTTTTCAAGGTTTTGCTCGATATTGACATATCGCTGTTATATTAATTAAATATATATTTAAATATACACAAATACACATAGGGCAAAGAAACGCATTAAGTAGGGAGGAATACTCTACGAATCGCAAGCAATCTTGGGTTCCGTTTTTTCCATCTTAGAATTTTCCGCCGAATGGACAACGTTGTATTAACCATTTACTGCGTCGACTATTTTTTAGAATAAACAAATTCTGTTGGATAGAAAATGGCACAAGAATTATAAGAATAATGCTTAAGAAATTATTTCTTACCAATATTTATGTATATACAGGGTGTTCCGCCATCCCTGGGGGAAAAATTTAATGGGAGATTCCAGAGGCCAAAATAAGACGAAGATCAATATTAATCCTCGTTAAAAAGTTATTAAAAAATTAAATTAAAATATTTCAAATTATTCTGAAAAAATTATTTTCTGATGCAGGGGTCAATTACAATCATTTTTGGTGGGTAGACACACCCCTGAATTCCTACGCACTTTCGAGAAAAAAATTCGAGTAGAAATTTTTCGGCGAAATTAAAAAATTTCAAATCGTTTTAAAAAAATTATTTTTAGCTAGGAGAGTCAGTTACAATCATTTCTGGTCAATACACGTACCCACGAAATCCTACCCAGTTTCGAGAAAAAAATTCAATAAGCGAACTTTTTCGGCGAAATTGAAAAGTTTCAAAACCTTCTGGAAAAATTATTTTCGATTGCAGGGGTCAATTACAATAATTTTTGGTGGATAGACGCATCCCCGAAATCGTACGTATTTTCGAGATAAAAATTGGAGAAGGTGGACAAATTTTTTGACAAAATTAACAAATTTCAAATTGTTCTAGAAAAATTATTTTCGGTTGCAGGGGTCAATTACAATAATTTTTGGTGAATAGACATACCCTCGAAATCCTACCCACTTTTGAGAAAAAAATTCGGGAATATATAAAATTTTTCGACAAAATTAAAAAATTTCAAATCGTACTAAAAAAATTATATTTAGTTACTGGGGTCAATTACAAGCATTTTTGGTGAATAAACATACCCTTGAAATCCTAACCATTTTCGAGAAAAAAATTCGTTACCGAAAATATAATGTCTGATCACGAATGAATGATTCCCCTGAAATTTCGTGCGTTTCAAATTGTTCTGAAAAAATTATTTTCGGTTGCAGGGGTCAATTACAATCATTTTTTATGAATAAACATACTCTTGAAATCCTAACCATTTTCGAAAAAAAAATTCTTTACCAAAAATATAATCTCTGGCCAGAAATGCTTCCTCAAAATTTCATGGAAATGTTTAAAATATCATAACTTCTGAACGGATTGGGGGATTTTAATATTTCAAAATGCAAACAACGCGTATTTTAGTGGAGAATATGTAGAAATTCTAACAATATTGAAAGAGTTGTTCCTTGACCCCGTGAAGCGAGAAAAACCCCATAAAACTGGTCCAATTTTCAAACGGCCATAACTCTTAGAATAGTCAATATATTGGTTTGAAATTTTGTTCTGATGTAGGACTCATTGGAACCTACAAAAAAGTATTAGACAAGTTTTCTGTAGGGCGTCAAACAAAATTACTAAAAATCAAAAACAAATTTTTAAGAAAAATTAACAGGGCTGACATTTTTCGGCAAAAGAAAAGAATTTAAAATTATTCTGAAAAAATTATTTTTGGTTGCAGGGGTGAATTACAATCATTTTTGGTCAATACACATACCCCCGAAATCCTACCCACTTTCGAGAAAAATATTCAAGTACGTATTGCAATTTTTGGACGAAATTAAAAAATTTCAAATTATACTAAAACAATTATATTTAGTTACAGAGGTCAATTACAATCATTTTTGGTCATTGGACATACTCTCGAAATCCTACCCACTTTTAAGAAAAAAATTCGTGAATGTATAAAATTTCTCGACGAAATTAAAAAATTTCATATCATACTAAAAAAATTATATTTAGTTACCAGAGTCAATTACAATCATTTTTGGTCATTAGACATACCATCGAAATCCTACCCACTTTCGAGAAAAAAATTCTAGTAGGTAGACAAATTTTTCGACAAAATTAAAAAATTTCAAATCGTTCTGGAAAAATTATTTTCAGTTGCGGGGGTCAATTACAATCATTTTTGGTGAATACACATATTCCCGAAATCCTACGTACGTTCGAGAAAAAAATTCTTTAACGAAAATATACTGTGTGGCCAGAAATGTTTTTAAACGTTAATAACTTTTTAACGAAATCTCCATTAACAAATTAGTATTCTTGATTTTCGTCTTATTTTGGCCTCTAGAATCTCCCATTAAAATTTTTCCCAAAGATGGTCGAACACCCTGCATATTTTAACCATAACGGTTTGTGACATACAGGGTGTTCGGCCACACCTGGGAAAAATTTTAATAGGAGATTCTAGGAGCCAAAATAAGACGAAAATCAAGAATACTAATTTGTTGATTGAGACTTCGTTAAAAAGTTATTAACGTTTAAAGTTGCGTCTGTGAGACGGGAACCGCGCGCGCTGCACACTTTAACTTTAAACGTAAATAACTTTTTAACGAAGTCTCAATCAACAAATTAGTATTCTTGATTTTCGTCTTATTTTGATCCCTAAAATCTCCCATTAAAATTTTTCCCAGGGTTGGCTGACCACCCTGTGTACGGTACGGTTGTGGTACAGTGTGATACAAGATATTAAATTTGTGATGAAAAAAAGAAACTGTAAGATTAGACTGTGTGTAAACAAATAATAACAATTTCTATTAATAATCTAAACGTACATCACATTTGTTGCGCGCTCTACATTTTATGCAATACATTGCGATGGTGAAAGTTGAACAATGAAATAAAAAGTTTAGTATGTGTCATATACATGGTATGCCATGCGGTAAGAGGTTAATATGATCATAACAGGCGATCAAGGATTCGACATATTCGTAAAAATATTTTCTATTTTCTATTGAATGCTTGAGCTACCACTACTTTCGGTTATGACTGCGAAAATAAAATACATTAATGTGAAAGAAAAAACAAAAAAGTAACAGAAAACCGTCTTCTAAATCAAGCAGTAATTCGATTTACGCTTATACATATAGGGTAACTTTCGAAATCAATTTAAAGTCGCTGCAAATGATAATCCAACAAGTATCATCGTTCGATCCTTTTCTACGAAACATTAAACACGGATAAAACAATTACAATGTACATGTCTGGACAAAATTAAATTTGAAATAATTTTTGAAACGTTCCAAAGCGACTCGTCCGAGCTTCAAAAGTTATCTTTTTTGTTGTGAGTTCGTGCTCATTACATATTGTTATGTTTTTGTTAATTAGGTTATGTAATCATATTTTCTCAAACTTTCTATCGTCAAATGTTTTTATATTTTCTATAAAACTGCATAAAATTTGCTCCAAGCGTGGCGTATTATTTTGAAACGTTTCCGTCGTGGAAACGGTTTCATATTTTTTCAAGCAATTCAATCTCACTTTCGTTTCACGATTTCTTTAAATTATATCGAAAAATTCGAGGGCTTTCAATAGATTCTAAGAACTGTTGGAAACATGTAAAACGTCTCTAATGATTTATGAAATATAACTGGGAAAACTTTTGGTATATATCTATAACACTTTAATAAAATTTCTGCCGCTTCTTAAAACAAGTTTGCAATGTTTTTCTTTCTAAGTGATAAAAGTGAATTCGTTTATATTCGGCAAGATTTATAAAAAAAGACAAATCGTATTTGCCTCGTATATTTTAGTGATAAAATATTTTAAGAAATTATACGCATTGGTGTATTTTCAAACTTTATTTTTATAATAAAGTAGGAATCTACTGTTTCATTAAAGTCTGCATCGCCATCTACGGCAGAACGCCCAAGCTCATAGCTAGATGGCGATCGAAATATGATAGAGAGTCTAACATAGACCTAATCTAGAATCAGGACTGTTTTGTGAACAAAGAGCCAAGAACGTTAGAGCAAAGAGCAACATATGTTACTATTACTCTGTGTTTCAGGTAATTTACTGACAATTCTGCTCAACCGTCAAGTCACGTAAAATTTATGATATTTTATATTATTTCCAGAAACGAGGATTTTTTTTGCGAAATATATCGGAGGAAATAAAACGTTAGCGAAAGAATGAATATCCTTAAACCGGAATTAATTTGGGTGGATGACCGATGTTACAGATGTTTAAGGAACAAGGAGTGTGACAAGCACGATATTGATCCTTATATCGAATATGATTACGACCTAAACCTTGACCTTGATAAAGATTGCCAGGAAGAATATGATAACATTGTAGAAATTGAACCGCACGAAGAGACAAGATTTAAACATACCTTTCACGTAGCAAAGTAAAAGAAATTTTTTTTAATCTCAGTAATTATTTTAATACGTATCGATACCAATTACAATATTTCAGACAATTCTTTCCATTTATCATTGGATGTAAGAACGCGGTCCGCAAAAAATTGGAAACCGAAACTAGAACAGTTATACAAATTCCAAGAATTGGCCAGGACGGGGGCATTGGTAAATATAATAATATTTATTTGTAGTTAACAGGGAAGATCCGTTGATATAAATCGAAAGTTGAAATAAGAATATAAAAAGGCAATATAGATAACGTTAGACGTAGATATAATTTTGTATCTTTCTAGAATCCAAGTATAGATGGTAGTTTCTATAATATATGATTGTTTGTTTACAGTCATAATTGGATCTAATTGTAAAGGGATAATAAAGGCACGTCACAGAATAAATTTGTTGATAGAATCGGCTAGGAGTCGTCTAGGTTTCACTCATTTCCTGTCCATACCTCTGAACGAAGGTCAAATAATAATGAAATTCAATATGTTTAAAAACGATATTATGAATATGGAAAAAGTACCCAGGGGTGTGGATGAAATGGTTTTTCAAAAGCCAAGCAAATTGCACCTTACAATTGGAATGATCACACTACCCGATGACGTCAAAAGAGACAAAGCTATTGAAGCTCTGAATTACTGCGAAGATCATATCATAAAGTACGAACAATATTATTGTATCCTTAGAAGTACTCGTTATTATTTCACATTTTATTAAAATTGTTCCTTTATGAATTGTAGACCTAAGATTAAACAGCATGGACAGATTCGTATATATATGCAAGGAACTGACATAATGAACGATGATCCCACAGAAGTGAACATTCTGTTCGCAAAAATAATTGATAAAGACAATGCTTTGCAAGAAATAGTGGACGAAATTAGAAATCATTATTTTAGTATAGGTATCTATGACAGAATCATTTTTTACTAATATCTTTGTAAACGTTTAAAAAGAAATATATCATTTCAGGTTTATTAAGGAAAGAAAATGAGAAAGCTAAACTCCATGTAACCCTCATGAACTCAGCATTTAGAATAGACAAGGAAGCTGGTTACGTACGAAGACAACAATTCGATGCACAAGAAATATTGAAAGTGAGCGTATAATATTCGTTTAAAGTATAAAGTATGGAAATAAATGAATATTGTGTAATAAGTTTTCTCGTTGTTCAGGTTCATGAAAATACGTTCTTTGGAGAAACCACATTAAAGCAGATTCATATATCGCAGCTTCACACGATTGGAAATAATGGATATTATCAAGCGACTGCGAAAATTGATTTCTTAGAAGATTTGTGAACGGTATGCGAACCTCTTTCATTCCTCTCGATCCCTATCCACCCCCCATTCTTCCATGTCCCGACATTCTTCACGACGAACGCTCACGAAAGACGTCTCTGAGTAAATTAGTCTCCACGATAAACAACAATACTAGATTTCAATAATTACCACTTCGAAGAAAAAGTGTTATTATTATTTTATTAATCAACCAGTGCGAGCCCTTGGTACGAGTAAAATCTTAAGTTCTTTACCTATTTAGGTATTTGGCGGAACCAGAGTTAAACACTGCCGTTCATCAATTGAACACAGAGTTGTGGTACTACCCTGGTTGAACAATTTCATCTATCGATGTGGATGCTATAGCATTCATAGTATACAACTATTAAAATGTGATATTCTGAGCACTTGGACAAAATGTGATTAATCAAAATTTGGATATCACAATTAAAAATGAATCATCTGTACATTTTTGCAGCCCGTAACAATTTTTATTGCCCGCGAACGTGTTAAGTGTACATGATAGTTCCCAAATAGGTCCCAACGACATGCAAAGTCGTTTAGAAAAAGCTGGCATCGTTATCGTGATAGAGATTAATGTTCTAACGAAGCTCGATTACAAGATGGTTGCTTTATTCGGAACTTTCAGTGTTTTCGGTAATAATATTTAGTTGTCTGTTTATTTATTTACGAAAGACCCTTTCGACGCGACAGAATATCAGAAAAAATAATTGCTGAGCGACGAGAAATTTTTATTACAAAATCGTTAACGATATTTTAGACGCTTCGAGCTGGCCCACGATTTGCGTCGCGGTTGAAATTTATTATTTTTTCATATCAAAGCTGTCGAAACGAGGGTGATATTCTCGATCTTTTCCATTATGTGCGAGCGTCGGATTAGGTCTGCAATATGCAGTCCTAGTTTTACCTATGTTTCTGTTATATTAGTATGTTTTTCCATAAACCATTATAAATGATTTAATATTATTTCCCATAATATCAAACTTTTTTTTTTGTACTCAGTTTTCAAAATTAATAAGGGCTATAAAAGTAAAGTTCCGTTAGTATTTAAGATTCAGCGTTCTATGTCCTTTATACAGGCTGTTCGGCCATCCCTGGGAAAAAATTTTAATGGGAGATTCTAGGGGCCAAAATAAGACGAAAATCAAGAATACCAATTTGTTGATCGAAGCTTCGTTATAAAGTTATTAACGTTTAAAGTTAAAGTGTGCAACGCGCGCGGTTCCCGTCTCACAGACGCAACTTTAAACGTTAATAACTTTTTAACGAAGTCTCAATCAACAAATTAGTATTCTTGATTTTCGTCTTATTTTGATCCCTAAAATCTCCCATTAAAATTTTCCCCAGGGTTGGCTGACCAACCTGTATAAATGTAAATTTAATTTTTCGTATTACATTCGATTTAATTATATCGATAGCCATTTTTATTAATTAATAATATTATGTTATATTCCATTCGTACATTATTGCAATGAACACCCGACGTGAAAATAATTGACGAATCAGAATCAAATATAAGATTTTATCAATTTACGTGCGTTAATCGCATTAAGCTTTCCGTTTTTTATCATTGAAAATACTTCTAACCTCTCTCGACTATACGTACATCGATTTTACAATAAAACAATATCGTATTTGGCAAAAAATAGAATTTTTTTAAAATTAAAAAATATTATCAAACCTTTTTTTGTGCCTATCAATGTATTTCGCCATAATTTTTATTTAAAGAATGCAATCATATCAATACTTATAAACTCGATCACATTTGTATATATTTGTTACTTGTAAAATATTTTGTTTCTTTGAAAGGAAATTTTCCTACACAACAGAATGTTTATTAACATCAATACTTAATTTAACGATATCAAGTGAAAATGCGAGGTATTAAACGAATATTAGTTTTCTGTACATTGACAACAATTTTGCCAATAATACTTCTTATAACTCCTTTATACTTACGCCACAATTTCTATGCTAACATAGTATACACTGTAACCGATTTGGATATTCTGGAAATTAACGATCAAGTTTCTACAATATTCTGTTCTGTAAGTGTTCTTTATTCATAGCGACGGTTCTAATAATATAAACTGACATTGTTATCGTTCGTACAGAAACACACATTGCAAATGAACAGAACGTTTAACGCTTTTCAAATGTCACAAAAGCCAGAAAGAACATCGTACAGAAAACATACTCGTCTTACGAAAAGTATGACTCTGCCAGACGACACTTTAGAATATTGGAGATTTTATTTATTGGAAGGATCAAGCGTAGTGCTTTCAGTTTGTTCCAGGTACATACTCGAGTCTAAATACTAATATTCTAATACTCTAATATTTGTATATGTAGGTTCGAAGGTGCTTCAATACTGCTCGTTAAGGGTGAACACAATTTAAGAACTTGCGGACTACTCGAACATGATAATAACGAGCAAATGATCGAAGGTATATACCTACCGGAAGCAAAGCGCCAAGTAAAAGTAATATTTAAATCAGATACCAAAGAAAACGGTAAATTAAACAACACTGAAGAGAAATTGATGGAAAATCTTGTAGAAGATAGCAACGTAGATATTACTGACAAAATTTATAAAGAATCGGTTCGAAATGAAAATGTGCAAGGAAAAACGGTGTATGGTACAAGAAAATTGAACAATGCCAAAAAGAAACTGACAGAAAGGAGAAGAAGAGAATTGAATATTGGGAAACAACTTGACGCAAAAGAGTTGCAAAGAAAATTGAATTTAAAAAGAGCAGACAAAATGGTCGGCAGGAAAATAAGAAGTCAAGAACTTATTAGACCGCCGTTTCTACTCGATCAAGGGATCAAGCATGGTGGAAACGCTATAAAAAATGAAACAGATGTTGACAATGATTCTGTAGTATCTAGTTTCGAGAACGAATTGCTCAAATGTTATGGCGGTTCCGTTTTAATAGCACAAGAGTTTGCTCCATCCGAGCAATGCAACAATATTGATTACTTTATTAATGGAAAACATATGGAAACAATACAAACTATCGTAGAAAGCGGTTACTACTATTACATATTTTACAGCGACAATGATATTGTATCAAACGATATATATGCAATATTTGACATTTATAAACCTGTTTTCCAATATGAGAATGTAACAAAGTCTTGCACCAATCAAACGAAATGTTCTTTTCCAATTGATTTACTATCTTCTAATAGGCTAATCGTCGAAATACCAACCATAGAAGGTGACGAAATCAGAATAGATGACGCAGACTTACTTCTGTCAATTTGCCATCCACGTATGGAAGTATATATATTTTTCCCCATCGCAGTATTATTCTGTATTCTTACTTGTGCATTTATGTGATTTTCATTTCACCGTATTTGTAAATAATTACATCCGTTGTGTACTGTGTACGCAACGTGAAAAAAATTTTAAATAATTTGTACATATTAAGCGTCTTATCCGAAGAAAGACTTAAATATTCAAGGGCATAAACAGGGTATAAATTTTAAATAAATGAAAAGTGTGATAGCATCAAAAAAAGAACAAGAATCATAAGTATTCCATAGAATGTAGATTATTATTCAAACATCCTTTTAAAATTACATTGCAAAATAATAGCGATCATTAAAAATCCACAAAAACTTTCATTAGTATCCAACATTGTATTTCTATCAATTATTACAATAAATACTTTTCATACTATTTACAAGATTCGCAGTTTAGCGCAACTACTGTTTTAATCTGCTATTCAATGGTCTTCTTTGACGAAGCGCAAACCACAATATCCACAAGTATGATTTCCCGGTTTATCCTAAACGGAAAGATTAAAAAATGAGCATGACTTCAATATACATTTCTTTGTTATATTCGACTCTTACCAAGTTTATATAAACTTTTGGATGACCTAAAGGTCCACCACCACCGTCACAAGCTACGATTCGCTCCTTCGTAGGTTCGGGTGGAACTTCATCTATTAATTTAATAGCCCAATTGTCGTTGACTTCTTTTGGTCTGCCTAGGAATCTTACATTTCTATAATCGTCTTCCTCGTACAACTACATTACAAAATTATATGTACATTTTAGTACAAATGAAGAGTTTGTTACATATAGAGAACGAATAATTTTTAGAGGAATTTACCTGACCAGTGTGAGTCACTTTTTTGGCAGAATCCGAAGGCAGATTTGAGCATTTACGTACTATCACGTTTGGAAAATTGGTTTTGTGCGTTTTATTAAAAATTTCGAAGAATTTAACCACTTTTTTACTCGCCATATTTTCTTAGTGTATCACAATTTTTCATGTAAATATGGAGTGTTTAAGGGTTCGGACTTGATGCAGTTGTCGCACATGCACGTCGAAAATTGGCATCAGTGAGGTACCCTTATCAAATAGAAACGGTTGTCGCGTAGACCCCTGTTTGATTATTGTAGAAAATTTATTTAAAAATTGTTAGGGAAATGGGTCAAAAATTATTCTAGTTTGTTTGAAATTGAGATTTCGATTTAAAATTCATTACGTGTTACTATTTTCGATATTTTACATATCTGCGTAACTGGATCCCCTAGATTTTAGTGCAAATAATACTAAACCATGATATTGTGGCGATAGTCTAGGGACATTGGTAAGGTTGGGCAGCGCAAGTGGCGCCAGCTAGAGGCATGAAACAGAGGACTAGCGGCACTAGCGCGCCATTACGTTTCGACATCCCGGCACGACAAGTCGCTTGCGTATAAAACCTAATATAGTTACACGAAAAGTTGACTAGTTTACCTGTCATCTCACAATATTGTAGCACAGCCGACTCTAGTACTAGCCGTGCTGAAGGTAAAATGGCAACACCGCGGGAGTCCTGCTTCGATATACCTAGCCCAACCTACCGTAACAGCCTCCCACTATCCACCGGCCTCTGGGCTACATAGGCTCCATCTACCCGCCTTCCGGTCTCCCGCCTATCTTTCAAATGTTTCAAATATTAATGTACCGAAGTCCATTAAATGTGAGCAACGGAGCAATAATCCAGGTGTTTCATTTATTTATATTAACTCTACAGATCCTGATTTTGGTGTGTAGCACACTTATTTAATATAATCTATAGCATTTTTGGACATTTTGTTTTATATACATTTTTTTTATAAATTTCACATATTCATTAATAATGCCACGGCGTTGCTGTGTTCCCAATTGCAAGGAAAATTATGATAGTACCTTAAAAGATAATAATTACAATTCTACATTTTTATTCCCCAAAGATGAGAAATTGCGGGAGAAATGGAGGGTTGTTATTCCTCGTAAGAATTGGACACCATCAAAATATTCTGCCGTCTGTAGTTTGCATTTTGCAGAAACTGATATTGAAAGGTACCACGGTGTTCTATCGCCCAATGGTGTACTGGAGAATGTTTTGTTGAGATGTCCAAGGCTTATAAGGAATGTAGTACCCTCCATTTTACAACCGAAAAATTAGAAAAACGATTCGGAAATTATAGACTTTTATCTGGTTGTAATTATCATGTGTCATGTAACGAAATAATTCATGCAGAAAAAAAAATTAGATTAAAACATATATTTACAAAATCGGCAAATTCGTTTTCTCTTACTGAAATCAAAAATAAATTTCGAATTTGTGATGACAATAATAACGATCTTCATGATCTTCCCACTGATGTGACTTGTTTCTCAGGAATCTTCGATACCGAATACTTGTCCGATTGTGTTGTAGATGATTCCATTAAAATTTATATTTCTGGTTATGGGTCCCATTCTGTTGCTAAAAAATTAAATTGCAATATATGTCGTTTATTAGTTGTGGAGGATAAAGGTAAAACTGTAGGCGATGTATATTTTGATCACTTACAAAGAGGGGGCCTTTCTGTCCCCACTGAAGAAGCGATAGCCTCATTTATTCATATGTATGCAATAATGGAAGCCATAATAAATGATGGCAATTTAGAATCTCAATTTTTGCAATCTGGAAATCATAAACATATTTTATGTAAATTAACATATATTAGCATTCAATCAGACATACATTATTTAGCATTTTCAGATACATGCGTTTGTGGTCGAGCTTACCAAAGTATTTGGTTTAAATTATTATCAATTTTTTCAAATATTTTATTAAACGATTATGTGAAAACTGTAAATAATAGTCAGTTGGAAACACGTACAGACATCGCTTCTAAAAATCGTAAATTAAAAACTTTTAATAGGAACTAGATTTTCAATGATTTTTTTAATTTCATCTTTCTTAAAACATTAATTTTTATATATATTTAACTTATTCCTTTCAATATGTTTTAATACATTAATAGAGTTTTATTTACTTGCTTAGTATATTTTTATTATGAATACTATTTCACAAGATTCAAAGTTTTATTAGTTGTATTTCAAGAGAATTTCAAAGTATGTTTTGATATGTTTTGTTATTGATATTATTCAAAATTATTTATTATTATTTCAAAATGTAATACTTTATTTCTTTAAGAATACAAAAGTTATGTTTTTGTTATGTTCTATTTAAAAATATTAATTTTATTTTAGAAAATGGGATGATATGGCTATTGGCGAACCACCCATTATAATAAAAAAAAAAGGTAACGCGCCATGGTAAATACCCCTAGGGTGGTGAGGAAATTTTTCACAATTATCATACTGTCCTCTAACACGATTTTATAATTAACTCCATAATTGTTCCTTTCAATAGCTAATTATGCTAACCTCTTTTCCACGGGCACTTAACCTGTTTGGCTTCGTACCAATAATTTTGCCTATTTCAGGTCTCTATTAACTTATACATACTTTTATCAATTTTTAAATCCTTCAGTTTGGTTCAAAGATGGTTTTAACTTGTTTCACACTTCTATTTTCTTGAAATCTCTGTAAATATTTCAAATATAATGCATCACAACACCAAACTATTCCGACAGTCCACAAAATATATACCACATTTATAAATATTAATATACTTCTGTATTACTTCTACTTACTATAGTTATAATATTCATATATTCCTTATACATAATTAATAAAAAATACTGTATATTAGTATAATTTTATATCGCAAAATAACGTTAATTACAATCCTGAACACAAAACTCCACTATTGAAAATAGGACTCCCGATCCGCACATGAGCGGTGTTGCCACGTTCCATAGCACGGCTAGTATGTACTAGAGTCGGCTGTGCCTAGGGACATTGGTAAGGTTGGGCAGCGCAAGTGGCGCCAGCTGGAGGCATGAAACAGAGACTAGCGGGACTAGCGCGCCATTACGTTTCGGCATCCCGGCACGACAAGTCGCTTGCGTATAAAACCTAATATAATTACACGAGAAGTTGACTCGTTTACCTATCATCCCACAATATTGCAGTGATTAATGGTTATCGCTAGTAATATAGATGGCGTAGTTTCTATTGTCACGTGAAAACGAGTCTTAATAGATCCAAATTGTTATTTACAATTCGTTGATATATCAATTCCAATAAAACTCCCGCCAAAATTACTAATACCTATTGTTTATCATTGAAATGTGAATATCTAAATTCTAATCTCCAATTTCTGTAAATTTTCATTTTAACAATTTGTCGTTGAAAAATGAGTGACGCGGGACGTAAGTATTAACAATTAATTTCCATTTGAAATATGTTTTAATAAACTCTTTCATTGTTAAAACGGTAAATAAAATTTATGGAACATGAAAAAAACATTCGAATATAAATTTTTAATCTTGTCGGAAATTTTCTAAATTCTCTAAATTAAGTAAATATTATTACTGTTTAGCGTCTTCTACAAGAACTAAGCGTCAAAAGGTAGACAAAACTGGAAGATTGTCGGCGTTCGAGAAACTGAAACAATTAAAAGGCAGCAAACACAAATACGAAGTTGACAAAATAGAAAATGTTTATGAGGAAGTGGATGAGAAAGAATATTCCAAAACTGTAATAAATAGGCAAAATGATGATTGGATTATCGATGACGGTAATAACTTTATTTACAATTATTTAAGTCTATTGTTTCCAATAAAAACAATTTCTTCAATTCAAAAGGGGAAAGTGGTTATGTGGAGGATGGCAGAGAAATTTTCGATGACGATTTGGATAATGAAAGCATACAGGAAGCAAGGAAACAGAAAATTACTGGACCGAGGAAGAGCAATAAGGACTCTAAGAAGAAAGGAACAATTGAGAGCATGATAATGAACATGCCCTCTAAAAGGAAAGTGGACGTTGGATTAGACGACGATAATATTCTGGGGGATTTGATGTCCGAATTGAAGAAGACCAATATAGTGAAGAAACCAGAGTTGAATAGCGTTAGAAATAAATTTTCTCTCGCTTCTAGATTAAACGAGTGAGTAACTTTTTTTCCGTGTCTGTTCATTCTAATTTATAAATTTCTACGTTCCAGTAACATGAAATTTATTCGCTTGAAAGTTTTTTTAATTTTTGTATTGGAAAAATTCTGGTCCGATAGTTGAACGTCAAACTTAGTCGTTCCTGTAAATTTCTCTTTGTTTATCCATTTATTTGCCATTAAAATGATTCATTTAACTTCTGCCTAGCATATTAGATTCAAATCTTAATCTCAACAAATCATTTACCATAGTAATTCCAGAAATACTGAAACAGAACAGAATTTGCAGCTGATTTCTGAACGCAAAACAGTGGAAACTGTCAACGATGAGTTTGCGATCATTGACTGTCCAAAAAAGAACATAAACGAGAGAACAGAATCTCAAATTATTGCTACGGGCAGTAGCGAGAACATTGTGGATGACGAAGTTAGTTTGCCAACAATATCGAACAAAGACAGTGAAAAGAGCAGTAGTCAGATAATCGATGATGAAAGCGAGGATCTCAGTCAGTTCGTTGGAGATGTAAGTTCTTTATTGTACAAAATATAAAACAAGTCATCCATTCAGCTAATCGTATTCATTGCAGTTCTATAACACAGATTTTCAAGCAGAAAATGTCAATAACGTTAAAAAATCAGTTAAAAACGAAAAGAAAGAAAGTAAACCAGTCGTTCGAGCAAGAATTGATATCAAGAAGGAAACTATGGACTCTGAGAGTTTGAATGAGATCTTGAACGCAGAATTCGCCACGCAAGTTAATTTAGAAGTGTTTACAGAGACGGAACTAGATTTTCCAGTGACGGCTAACGTAAACCAAGAGGAAGTGTTTAGATTTTACTGGTGGGATGCTTACGAGGATCCTTTCAAACAACCCGGAGTTGTGTATTTGTTTGGGAAAGTCTTTGTACCGGCTGTGAAAGAATATTGTTCTTGTTGCTTGACGATCAAGAATGTGCCACGAAGAATTTACCTTCTGCCTAGAGTACATGTATGCTCGAACAGTTATTATAATCGCAGGCCATCATAATTTAATTTTAATTCTCAATTATAATAGTACTCCTATAAATTTTAGGTGAAAACATCGTCCAAAGAAAGCAAAGATGACCCAAAATTAAACACAATGGAGGATGTGTACAAAGAATTCAACGAGTTTGCAAATAAGTCTAGAATAAAGGAGTTTCGCTGCAGCACGGTTTCGAAACACTATGCTTTCGAGCAGGAGGGTACTCCGGCAATGTCGGAGTACTTGGAAGTTAGGTATTCTGCTAACTACCCGGCAATGCCAGCTGATTATTCCGGGCCTTCGATAGAACGTGTTTTTGGGACAACTGTGAACCCATTGGAACTGCTTCTGATCGAAAGAAATATCAAAGGACCATGTTGGTTAGATGTTAAATGCCCCCTGCCAACTGGAGTAAAAGTCACTTGGCCCAAAATAAAGGTACGATTGAATTTGAAACTCGAAAAACGAGAGTGACGCAACGAGAAACAAATGATTATGCAATATGTAAAAATATTCCTGTAATTTCTATGTTATCTTTATAAAAACGATACCAACGGATCGTTGAGATTCAGCAAATTAAAACGAGCCCAAACACTATACAAATCAAATTACTTTTAATTGATTTAATAAACAACAGGTAAATTGTATGAAAATGGAGAACATTAGTGTTTCAACGGAGTCGCAAACGTTACCGCCATTGGTGATAATGACGTTGAACATAAGGACGTCTTTGAATTCTAAAACACAACAGAACGAAGTGGTGATGGTCGCTATACTAGTGCATCGAAACTATCACGTCGACAAGGAGCCACCCAAACCGTCGTTTCAACAACACTTTTGCTGTAAGATTTTTTATTAGAAACTTTTTACCAATTTTTTGGAACTAATTTTAGTTTTTTTGTATTATTTCTGTATAGTAATCACCCACCCACGAGACACGCCGTGGCCGAAACAAGCCCAGGAAATGCTGTCGAACATTTCCTATACAAAACTAATGAAATTTGAAACGGAAGTGGAGTTACTAGAAGAATTGTTGAAGATAGTGAACACGAATGATCCAGATTTATTTATCGGATACGATTGCGGTTTCCAACTTGACATACTAATGCACAGAATGTTCGCTTTAAAAGTATCGAATTGGAGCAGACTTGGAAGACTTAAGCGAACCGCGCCTCCATTATTTAAGGTACAGATTATGCAAATTATAATAATTCTCTTTTATATCACTTTAACGACCGTTCACACAACACGTGTGTGATGCTACCGCCTAAGGTTGTTGGCCAGTACCACACTCTTTGTGTGATAATTTCTGAATGTAAACAAGCGTGGATATTACTATTGGCTTCGTATTTAATCGCCACGTCTTTGATTTTAGGTAATTATTGCCAATTTTTAATTTTTTGATTTTAAACTACGGCGGTGGTACCACGTAAATTATGGAGCAAATATCGGCGGTCGACGTTGGCGTAGTACGCTAAGCTGCCGTATAAGCGCTAGTGTCGCGCGCGTTTTCTAGTTCAAAATGTTGAAATAGCGGTAGTTTCACTTGTGCTTTGTTGAAGCAACATCAAGTAACAATATGACAACAATAAGTACAATAGGACAATATTAGCAAGTTTTATTTTGGCAAGTTTGTTGCAGGTATTTCGACGATCGTTCTGTGAAGGAAAAGGAATGCTTATATAAGACAAATGTGCGGATAATTATATTTGATGTTCTAATTGAATTTCTGGATTTTGGAGAAATAGAAAAGTTTGCAACTTTGTATCTTTTAGAGAAACAAATTGAAACTTTCGCAATTTTCAACACCCGGAAACCTCGTTTAGATTATCATACAAAGGAGAAATATTAAATTTGTCGTTAAATTGTTGTTGCTTTTTGTTTTATGTTAACTTTTTCGTGAATTCGATAAAGTTCTTTAAAATTAATTTTACAAAAATACTGCCGGCCCCTGGCGACGTTTGACTGCGTAGACGGGCGGTCGTTAACACTAGAAAGACTGAAACTTAATATATACCTATATTGCCCAAAAGCAGTCAAAATGACTGCATTGTGAAAGATTAACTAATGTGTAAAGAAATTTGTTTAAAGTTAATTTTTATTATTATGTTATAATATTATGAATTTAGGGCGCAGAAATAAAATAAACAACTTGTTAGAACAAGTATCACTGCATAAAGATTCGAATAACAAGTACTACTTTAGCTTATTGAGAAACTGCAATTTATCAATAGGTCTGGGTTAGGTCTGGATTAGATCTGGATTAGATCTGGGTTAGGTCTGGATTAGGTCTGGGTTAGGTCTGGGTTAGGTCTCATTTACACTGTTGTTGTATTTTGTAATTTCCAAGTGTATGATTTGGTTTGGACTCGAAAAAATGTCGAATGGGACTTGACGAACAATGCTTTTAAGTGTTTTATTTGCAATTTACCTGTTAAAATAAGTGTTTTATTTACACTGTTGTTGTATTTTGTAATTCCCAAGTGTATGATATCTGTTTGGTTTGGACTTGAAAGAATGTCGAGTGAGACTTGACGAAGGTGCTCCTGAGATCAAAATTGATGTCGAATCACACTCTACATAGGAGTGCAAAGGGTTAAGATAATTTGGATTATTAACTAATCCAGACCTAACCCAGACCTAACCCAGACCTAAAACAGACCTAACCCAGATCTAATTCAGATCTAATCCAGACCTAACCCAGAGCTAACTCAGATCTAATCCAGACCTAACCCAGATCTAGGGTCTGGGTTATGTCTCGGTTAGGTCTGGGTTAGGTCTGGATTAGATCTGAGTTAGGTCTGGGTTAGGTCTGGATTAGATCTGGGTTAGGTCTGGGTTAGGTCTGGGTTAGGTCTCATTTACACTGTTGTTGTATTTTGTAATTTCCAAGTGTATGATTTGGTTTGGACTCGAAAAAATGTCGAATGGGACTTGACGAACAATGCTTTTAAGTGTTTTATTTGCAATTTACCTGTTAAAATAAGTGTTTTATTTACACTGTTGTTGTATTTTGTAATTTCCAAGTGTATGATATCTGTTTGGTTTGGACTTGAAAGAATGTCGAGTGAGACTTGACGAAGGTGCTCCTGAGATCAAAATTGATGTCGAATCACACTCGACATAGGAGTGCAAAGGGTTAAGATAATTTGGATTATTAACTAATCCAGACCTAACCCAGATCTAACCCAGACCTAAACCAGACCTAACCCAGATCTAATTCAGATCTAATCCAGACCTAACCCAGAGCTAACTCAGATCTAACTCAGATCTCATCCAGACCTAACCCAAATCTAGGGTCTGGGTTAGGTCTGGGTTATGTCTCGGTTAGGTCTGGGTTAGGTCTGGGTTAGGTCTGGGTTAGGTCTGGATTAGATCTGGGTTAGGTCTGGGTTAGGTCTGGGTTAGGTCTCATTTACACTGTTGTTGTATTTTGTAATTTCCAAGTGTATGATTTGGTTTGGACTCGAAAAAATGTCGAATGGGACTTGACGAACAATGCTTTTAAGTGTTTTATTTGCAATTTACCTGTTAAAATAAGTGTTTTATTTACACTGTTGTTGTATTTTGTAATTTCCAAGTGTATGATATCTGTTTGGTTTGGACTAGAAAGAATGTCGAGTGAGACTTGACGAAGGTGCTCCTGAGATCAAAATTGATGTCGAATCACACTCTACATAGGAGTGCAAAGGGTTAAGATAATTTGGATTATTAACTAATCCAGACCTAACCCAGACCTAACCCAGACCTAAAACAGACCTAACCCAGATCTAATTCAGATCTAATCCAGACCTAACCCAGAGCTAACTCAGATCTAATCCAGACCTAACCCAGATCTAGGGTCTGGGTTATGTCTCGGTTAGGTCTGGGTTAGGTCTGGATTAGATCTGAGTTAGGTCTGTGTTAGGTCTGGATTAGATCTGGGTTAGGTCTGGGTTAGGTCTGGGTTAGGTCTCATTTACACTGTTGTTGTATTTTGTAATTTCCAAGTGTATGATTTGGTTTGGACTCGAAAAAATGTCGAATGGGACTTGACGAACAATGCTTTTAAGTGTTTTATTTGCAATTTACCTGTTAAAATAAGTGTTTTATTTACACTGTTGTTGTATTTTGTAATTTCCAAGTGTATGATATCTGTTTGGTTTGGACTTGAAAGAATGTCGAGTGAGACTTGACGAAGGTGCTCCTGAGATCAAAATTGATGTCGAATCACACTCTACATAGGAGTGCAAAGGGTTAAGATAATTTGGATTATTAACTAATCCAGACCTAACCCAGACCTAACCCAGACCTAACCCAGATCTAATTCAGATCTAATCCAGACCTAACCCAGAGCTAACTCAGATCTAATCCAGACCTAACCCAGATCTAGGGTCTGGGTTATGTCTCGGTTAGGTCTGGGTTAGGTCTGGATTAGATCTGAGTTAGGTCTGGGTTAGGTCTGGATTAGATCTGGGTTAGGTCTGGGTTAGGTCTGGGTTAGGTCTCATTTACACTGTTGTTGTATTTTGTAATTTCCAAGTGTATGATTTGGTTTGGACTCGAAAAAATGTCGAATGGGACTTGACGAACAATGCTTTTAAGTGTTTTATTTGCAATTTACCTGTTAAAATAAGTGTTTTATTTACACTGTTGTTGTATTTTGTAATTTCCAAGTGTATGATATCTGTTTGGTTTGGACTTGAAAGAATGTCGAGTGAGACTTGACGAAGGTGCTCCTGAGATCAAAATTGATGTCGAATCACACTCTACATAGGAGTGCAAAGGGTTAAGATAATTTGGATTATTAACTAATCCAGACCTAACCCAGATCTAACCCAGACCTAACCCAGATCTAATTCAGATCTAATCCAGACCTAACCCAGAGCTAACTCAGATCTAATCCAGACCTAACCCAGATCTAGGGTCTGGGTTATGTCTCTGTTAGGTCTGGGTTAGGTCTGGATTAGATCTGAGTTAGGTCTGTGTTAGGTCTGGATTAGATCTGGGTTAGGTCTGGGTTAGGTCTCATTTACACTGTTGTTGTATTTTGTAATTTCCAAGTGTATGATTTGGTTTGGACTCGAAAAAATGTCGAATGGGACTTGACGAACAATGCTTTTAAGTGTTTTATTTGCAATTTACCTGTTAAAATAAGTGTTTTATTTACACTGTTGTTGTATTTTGTAATTTCCAAGTGTATGATATCTGTTTGGTTTGGACTTGAAAGAATGTCGAGTGAGACTTGACGAAGGTGCTCCTGAGATCAAAATTGATGTCGAATCACACTCGACATAGGAGTGCAAAGGGTTAAGGTAATTTGGATTATTAACTAATCCAGACCTAATCCAGACCTAACCCAGACCTAAACCAGACCTAACCCAGATCTAATTCAGATCTAATCCAGACCTAACCCAGAGCTAACTCAGATCTAATCCAGACCTAACCCAGATCTAGGGTCTGGGTTATGTCTCGGTTAGGTCTGGGTTAGGTCTGGATTAGATCTGAGTTAGGTCTGTGTTAGGTCTGGATTAGATCTGGGTTAGGTCTGGGTTAGGTCTGGGTTAGGTCTCATTTACACTGTTGTTGTATTTTGTAATTTCCAAGTGTATGATTTGGTTTGGACTCGAAAAAATGTCGAATGGGACTTGACGAACAATGCTTTTAAGTGTTTTATTTGCAATTTACCTGTTAAAATAAGTGTTTTATTTACACTGTTGTTGTATTTTGTAATTCCCAAGTGTATGATATCTGTTTGGTTTGGACTTGAAAGAATGTCGAGTGAGACTTGACGAAGGTGCTCCTGAGATCAAAATTGATGTCGAATCACACTCGACATAGGAGTGCAAAGGGTTAAGGTAATTTGGATTATTAACTAATCCAGACCTAATCCAGACCTAACCCAGACCTAAACCAGACCTAACCCAGATCTAATTCAGATCTAATCCAGACCTAACCCAGAGCTAACTCAGATCTAATCCAGACCTAACCCAGACCTAACCGAGACATAACCCAGACCTAACCCAGGCCCTAGATCTGGGTTAGGTCTGGATTAGATCTGAGTTAGATCTGAGTTAGGTCTGGGTTAGGTCTGGATTAGATCTGAGTTAGCTCTGGGTTAGGTCTGGATTAGATCTGAATTAGATCTGGGTTAGGTCTGGGTTAGGTCTGGGTTATGTCTCGGTTAGGTCTGGGTTAGGTCTGGATTAGATCTGAGTTAGGTCTGGGTTAGGTCTGGATTAGATCTGGATTAGATCTGGGTTAGGTCTGGATTAGATCTGAATTAGATGTGGGTTAGGTCTGGATTAGGTCTGGGTTAGGTACGCCTAAATCGACAATTTATCATGTACTTGTATGTTATCATGTATTGGTAATCGAAAAAAAATGAAAACTGTTATTTCAATACAGAGTTGAACTGGTCATATAAGAAATTTACTCAATTCAATAATAAGAGTCATTTGATTATTTAAAATTTCCCAAGCAGTCAAAATGACTCCTTTTGGGCGATATAGGTATAACACATATATATATATACCGGAAATGAAGGAGGGGTGAGGTAACTACAATTATTAATAAACGCATTTATATGTTGTGCAAAAAGTCACAAAATTCTAAGAAATTGTGTCATTATATACATAATTGTTTTTCTAATTGAAATTAAAAAGCAGTCAAAATGACTTCCTTGGGCAATCTAGTGTTAAAGTGATAGTTGTTAATACGTTGTAGTTTAAGATATTTTTAATATTTCTTTCCAGCTAATTCAATTGTAATTCAGCTCTGCAATTAAATCTTCCTTCTTTCAAATTATAGATATGAACAAATGTGTTTCAGGGCAGGATAAATTTCAACCAAGTTTTAGCCGGTCGTCCCATCTGTGACATACAGGTGTCAGCCAAAGAATTGAACCTGAAAGTCAGAAGCTACGACCTCCAATCGCTCTGCACAGCAGTAATTATTTAACAGACTGATATGACTCGCTAAATATTTACGAACATCGTTTAGAAAAGAAATTAAATTGCAGTTACTGTTACAGGTATTGAAAAAAAAGGAAAGCGAGTGCAAAGAAATAAAACCTGGTGAATGCGCGTTGTTTTATAGTACAATTCAGAAAATAGAGCATTTAATTAAAATAACGTTAACGGAAGCGTTGAATATTCTGTGCATCGTTTTCGAACTGAATGTTGTTCCACTGGCGTTGCAAATTACGTGCATTGCTGGTAAGTGTACATAGTTATATCAATAAAAAAATTAACTTTAAATTGACTTATTTTATTTTGATCAGGGAATGTGATTTCGAGAACGTTAACAGCTGGACGAGCCGAAAGAAACGAATATTTACTGTTGCATGCTTTCCACTTGAAAGAATATATAACGCCGGATAAACGAATCACGAAAAAGGGAAAAGATGCTGAGAATAAAGGTAAGGTTTACGTTTTACACGTTTCCGCTACAAATTTATTCTTTTGCGAATCAAATTTACCGCCAAGCGACCAATTTATTGATACGTTTAGTGTTACATAAATATTTCATGTGAATTTTATGTTGTTTAAAATAAAATAGTAAAATTTTTATTTCGGAATAATAACTTCACATTGAATTTGAATTTCATTACAGCGACTTAAGAAAAGAAATTAGTAGAAAAAATTCGATTTGCAAAAAGGTGAATTTGAAGAGCAAAATCTGTATAGTTTAAATATCATAATAACTTGATTAGTATTGTATTGCGTTTAGAAAGTACCGGAAGAAAGAAGGCAGCTTATGCTGGCGGATTAGTTCTGGAACCGAGAAAAGGATTCTATGACAAACTTATTTTATTGATGGACTTTAACTCCTTGTATCCGAGCATAATTCAAGAGTACAATTTATGTTTCACCACCGTACCCGGTGCCGCTTATGTCGATAACGTAGTAAGTACATTTATCATTCACCGATTAAAAAATAATTATTAATGTGAATTATGTTATTTTTAATATCGTATTATCTAGAAAAAATGATTAGAAAATAGTTTCAAGTTAAAATTTTGATGAGTTTGATGAAAATAGCGTCGAATGCGCCATCTACGTTTTTCATTCGTGAACTATACGTTTTTACAGGATTTAGCAATACCGGAATCGAATTTGGAGCCTGGAATAGTTCCAACAGAAATTCGTAAATTGGTCGAAAGCAGAGTGGAGGTGAAAAAGTTAATGAAGACCCCGAACATTTCGCCAGAATTGAAAATGCAATACAATATCAGGCAATTAGCTTTGAAACTGACAGCTAATTCTATGTATGGCTGCTTGGGCGCGACTCATTGCAGATTTTATGCCAAAGGGCTGGCTGCTCTGGTTACAGGTGAAATATTAAGTATAATCGCGGAAGCATTGGAGAGGTGTGGCTAAATAGCAGTTTTGGGTTCGGGTTCGGTTGGAACCTGAAAATTTGTGATACTTGGGAACCCCCAAATTTGTGCCATTTTACTAACTAAGTCCGAACGTTCGAAAAATTGTGTTTTCTTCAAATTAGTTTTGAGTGCAAACATTTTCACACAAGAATATAGGAACTGTTCTATGGTTTCATTTCAATCATTCCCTCCGCAACAGAAGACTCGAAAACCTGAAAGTTTGTAAAATTAAGAATTCGAGTTGGTTGGATCAAACCTTTCTAACGTTTTTGATTAAGGATGATGAAGAAATTCATAGAACACGAAAATATGTAGAAAAGTTACTGAGATCCTATACACACGATTTGGATTTTTTGGAATCACAAATTCTCGGGTTTCCGTTCTGAATCCGAAATATTGGGACTTTACACACCTCTAACAATGGCACTACCAACCCATCTATCAAATTCATATCGTTTCATCAGCAAAAGGTAGAGAAATTTTACAACACACAAAGAATCTAGTTGAAAAATTGAACTATGAGGTCATATATGGAGACACAGACTCCATAATGATAAATACAAATCTGTTAGAGTACGAGGAAGTCTTCTCCGTTGGAAAGAAGGTAAATTTTGAAGTATCCGTCAATTCAAATATCTATTTATATATATAAATTAATTTATGATATACTGTATACTGAAATTACGGAATAAAAAATATTAGGACACTTTTTGTTTCGTAATTCATAATACATACTATATTAATTAATTAATCCTGGAAAAAATTTTAATGGGAGATTTTAGAGGCCAAAATAAGACGAAAATCAAGAATATCAATTTCTTGACTGAGGCTTCATTAAAAAGTTATTAACGTTTAAAGTTGCGAGTCTTGTGAGTGAGAACCACTATCACGCGCACGCAGCTGTGCGCAGCTTGCCGTTCTACAGGCAGAACTTTAAACGTTAATAACTTTTTAACGAAGCCTCGATCAACAAATTGGTATTCTTGATTTTCGTCTTATTTTGGCCTCTAGAATCCCCCATTAAAATTTTCCCCAGGGGTGGTTGAACACTCTGTATATCGACCATAATTTTCTTTTGGTATGTCTTCAGGGTGTTCAGTCACATCTGGGAAAATTTTTAATGAAAGATTCTAGAGACCAAAATAAGACGAAAATCAAGAATAGTAATTTTTTAATTGAGGCTTCGTTAAAAAGTTATTAACGTTTAAAGTTGCGAGTCTTGTGAGTGAGAACCACTATCACGCGCACGCAGCTGTGCGCAGCTTGCCGTTCTACAGGCGGAACTTTAAACGTTAATAACTTTTTAACGAAGCCTCGATCAACAAATTGGTATTCTTGATTTTCGTCTTATTTTGGCCTCTAGAATCCCCCATTAAAATTTTCCCCAGGGGTGGTTGAACACTCTGTATATCGACCATAATTTTCTTTTGGTATGTCTTCAGGGTGTTCAGTCACATCTGGGAAAATTTTTAATGAAAGATTCTAGAGACCAAAATAAGACGAAAATCAAGAATAGTAATTTTTTAATTGAGGCTTCGTTAAAAAGTTATTAACGTTTAAAGTTGCGAGTCTTGTGAGTGAGAACCACTATCACGCGCACGCAGCTGTGCGCAGCCTGCCGTTCTACAGGCGGAACTTTAAACGTTAATAACTTTTTAACGAAGCCTCAGTCAACAAATTGGTATTCTTGATTTTCGTCTTATTTTGGCCTCTAGAATCTGCTATTAAAATTTTCCCAGGGGTGATCGAACACCCTGTACATGTCATAATAATAAAATTAATAAACAGTTGTAATAAACATATCTTCTGTATAAATATCCTTAACGTTTGTCAAAATTATTAAAAATGAAAATATTCAATAGTTCGATGAAGAAGATCTTATTTTATAACATTATTGTTATCGAGAATGTCGGTGACCACAATGGCAACCATATCGCTTGTCCAAACAATGGAAAATTGACGCCTTTGGGGTCATCGTAATATTAAAAGGTAAAATTGCATTTCAGATTAAACAGGAGGTCAACAAATTGTACAAACGAGTTGAATTAGATATTGACGGTGTCTTTCGTTATTTACTCCTTCTGCAGAAGAAAAAGTACGCTGCTGTTACAATGACTAAGTCACCTAATGGCCAGATAGAATTAATCCAAGAACACAAGGGTTTGGACATAGTGAGAAGAGATTGGTGTCAATTGGCCTGCGACGTTGGAAAGTAAACAAAAAAACATTAATTTTTTGGAGATTAAATTTAAACAATTGTTTTTGATTTTGAATACTTGAATTTTCAGGAAAATTTTAGATCAGCTGCTTTCTGATCAGTCGAACGAAAACAGATTGGAACAGATTTTCAATATATTGCAAAATGTTGCGAAAAGCGTTCGGGAAAATCAAGTGTCCTTGTCTTCTCTGGTTATCACTAAACAATTATCGAAAAACCCTAACGATTATCCTGATGCTAAGCAAGCTCACGTTCAAGTGGCGTTGAGATTAAACAAAGATGGCGGTAGAATGTGGAAAGCTGGAGACACTGTTCCATACATTATATGTAACGTTCGTATCAAAAAAGTTGTTTTTTGGAATTCTTATGATTTTTATGCAAATTTTGTTTTGTATTAGGACGGAACACAAAAATCTGCAACCGAACGAGCTTATCACATAGACGAGTATAAGAAGAACGATTCTTTGAAAATAGATGTCGATTATTATTTAATGAGTCAAATTTTCCCTGTCATTTTGAGAATTTGCGAACCCATCGAAGGAATTGACGATGTTTTGCTGGCTGAGAATCTGGGTAATACTTCAGTTTTATTTTTAAATATTTCTAGACGGACGTAGGAAAATAATTTTTATTTGAAAATTAATTTAATGTGACAAAATTTATTTCGTTTTGATGAATGCCACTTTCGGGTTGCTCGACGCGAACCTAACACGAAATGTGGTGGTCCCACACATCCTAGGTGTAAGGTACATCCACACATCGCCCATGAAGGGTTAAATATACAGGGTGTTCGGCCACCCCTGGGAAAAATTTTAATGGTGGATTCTAGAGGCCAAAATAAGACGAAAATCAAGAATACCAATTTGTTGATCGAGGCTTCGTTAAAAAGTTATTAACGTTTAAAGTTAAAGTGTGCAGCGCGCACGGTTCCCGTCTCACAAGCCGAACTTTAAACGTTAATAACTTCTTAACGAAGCCTCGATTATAAAATTACTATTCTTGATTTTCGTCTTATTTTGGCCTTTAGAATCTCCCATTAAAATTTCTCCCTGGGGTGGCCGAACTCCTTGTACATTAAATATATGTTAAGATTAGAATTTTGTAACAGGAATAGAAGTTGTATACAAATCGAAGAGACTAATACATACAGAAGAAAACAACGAAGTTCCATTATTAGTGAACGACGACAGGTTTAGGTATTGTCTTCCCCTGAAATTCAGTTGCGCGAACGAGAATTGCCAGTCAGAAATTATTATAAAAGATATAGTGGTCGAAACAGTAAGTAGTCGTATTCAAATTTTTTTTTATACTTACAGAGGGTGTATATAATTTCGGATAAGTAACTTTTATTCTGTATTTTAGACTTATTTTTTTACGTAGAATCACCCCCTTTTCCGAACACCCTGTATATATGTGTAAAATGATTATTTTACAGCCCAATGGGAATCAATTATCGCTCACTGCATGTTCAAACCCAGATTGTTTAACAAAACCATGGGCATATGTAAATGTTATACAAAATGCATTGGTACTTGCTGTTCGAGAAGCATTAAATGATTACTATAGTGGTTGGCTGGAGTGTGAGAATCCACTGTGTGGCGAAAGAACGCAAATCCTTCCACTGGGTTTCCGCAAAAAGTATCCAACATGCCGGAATTGCGGCGATGCCGATCTGCATAGAGTTGTAAGTCACAAAACAGGGGGTTCCCATATTTCTTCAGTTATTCACCAGTGACTAGTATACAATATAAAAGAATTCATGAATAATTTTTTGATAAATTTTATTTTTATCGTTAGCCGATATATCGTTCCCAGTTTCCAAATTATATTAAAAAATTCAACATCGTGTTATAGTTTTCAGAGACAAAACTCTACAATCAGATGTGTTTCTATCTCCACATTTTCGATGCGAGTCAACCGAAATGTAAAAGTTCGTATTTGAATTGTTTTCCGATTAAAAAGTGGGAAAGTCAGGGGAAAGTCTGATGATTTATTTCTTTTTTCAAGATTTATTGTCGCAGAATCCACAGGGCATGAGAACAGCTTATGATTCTTTGAAAGAAGCAATGGAGAAAATACTAAGACGCAATGCATTTTCTATTGTGTGCTTGGACGCCATTTTCTCGAGCGTTAATTCGCAACATAAATCGTCTGGTTCGAGACTAGACATTATGGATGTATCCGATAGATCGGAGGATGAAATGTGGAATAATGATGAAATAGTAAGTTATATAAAAATTAAAAAAAATTAACTTGTATATATACAACTCGCTTGTTTTCGACAATAGAAAAAATTATTATTAATTTTTGATTCGATAATAAGTTACAAGTTTTGCTCCTTTGTTTCAGATTTGAAAATTTCAAACATTCTCGGCGAGCTTGAATATAATTTATATTTTTTATACTGAAATAATATTTCAACCGTTCGTGGATGTTTATAGGAAACTGAAATAGAAATATTTTTTAAATATTTATAAACTGTTATAAAATATCCTAGTTGAGAAATGAAATAAAAATGTGATGCCTTTCGTTTTCATTTATTCACGATGAATTTTCGTTCCAGCTGTTAAAACATCTTTTAGAATGCAAAATGAAAATGGAGAACAAACTACGCGCTACAGTATCATCTATGACAATTACAAAAACAAAATCATAGCTAATTTAAAATGCACGCTCTGGTGCACATTAAAATTTTAAAACAAATCAAAATTCTAGACAGAATAAAAAAAAATTAAAAAATAACTTCCTTCCATATATTTGTATTAAAAATAAATAATACAACGAGGTGAATTTACAATTTATATTCTTAACAAATATATAATTTACCACTCTCTCTTGTTTTCTCTTCATACATGTCTCTTCATACCTTAATATAGATTTAACTGGAATATTAAACTATTTTTTCTTTCAGAAGCTATATATATATATCTATATACATGTGAAATATATGTATATATATATGTTATGTGTTACGTGATGGTAAACCAAACATTTCAGGTTTAAATTCTTCCAGACTATTTATTATTAGTGTTGGATTTTCAATGTATTGTTTAGGTAACATTGGATCTGGAACCATAACTACTTGCATTCCAGCGCTTTGGGCAGCTTTTACTCCATTCGGAGCATCCTCAAACACCAGACACTGAAACCGTAATAATTGGTTCGACAAACTTAACTTTAATTTAACTTTTGTTTTCTTCGTTGAAAAGAAATTAGGAAACACTGTAACGAACCTTGGAGGGATCAGGATCGTCAGGAAATCGCTTCGCAGCGACAAGAAATATGTCTGGAGCTGGTTTCCCGTGGATGACTTCAGGATCCGAGCCACCGAGAACCTTATGGTGAAACAAATCGAATACCTCTCTCCATCTTTGTGTCTTCAATTCATAATTCTCTCTACTGGAACTTGTGGCTAATGCGAACGGAATGTTGTTTCGTTTCAGGTATCTCAAAAGACTCTCCGCACCTGTTCATACGCAAGAATAAATACAAAAATACTTTGCCGTAGAAAACTATAACGAAGGTTTCGTATTATTACCTGGCATTAGCTCGGCAGAAGGAAATATTTCTTGGTATATTTTAACTACCTGGTTTTGAAATTCTTCGGTCGTTAAAGGTAAAGACAACATTTCTACTACCGCTTCCGCCACCGCCGTGGTTTTGAATCCCATGATTTTAGCCTTGTGCTCCCACGTAAACGTTTTCCCGTAACGATTGGTGATACGATTAAAGGCATCGGAGTAAAGCTTCTCCGTGTCTGTTGAGATTTCTAATTATTCTTACGATCAATGTGTACAAAATTTGTGGGTCGATCTTTATGATTTGTGATTCATATTTTAAGTTTGTAGAAACTCCGTCGATACCAGTCTAAAAATTGTGATTTCTTACAGCGGATATTATAAATTTGTCGATATTATTTCCACTGCAGTTTCATGCACACCTACTTAGACCAAATAACTGTGGAAATATTGTTAATGTGAATTGCGTGGTTTTTAATATTGCTTTATAAAATTTTAGAAAGAAATAATTTCCTCTAATTTATACTCCTCGTGATTTCTTAATTATTGCCATTCTGGCGTTACCCATCGCTACACGTGCATAGACAAAGCAAAATTACTACATTCGCATGAATAAACATACATTTATTTAGAGGTTAATTTGACGCAGAAGGACGTCGACAAATTCGAAACGAGTTTTATCTTTACATACAAATATACTAATCAATTCGATGAAATAAAGTACAGTAAATAAAATCACCTACTGAGCAACAATCCATCCATATCAAAAATACAATGCGTGACATCTTTAAACTGATTCGTAGACATTTTTCAACGCGATAATCAGCACTGTTCCCTTATATGTTGCAAAAATCTATACTTTGTTGATAACAATTAATCGATAATATCGCCGGGCATGGACAGTAACACCTATTATGTGATATTATATAAGCTCTAATGCTACAAAAATTGCTATCAAATTCTTATACTGTAATATGTGTTAATTTTCTATACGCTTCTTTTCTATGCTCCTTTGATATTATTTAATTATTATATCGTACTCCATTATTTAAAATTCTGCGAAAGCTACTGTCATCTGTTAATTTATGTATTTTAAAAATTATTACATTCATGAAAAGGAATCTGAAGCAGAATTCAAATTTCCCTCTGTAAATGCGCCTTTGCTCGTCATATTTAGTTCCGAGGCGCGCCGTTTGTGGCGCTGCAGAGGACCTTGAATTTCTTAACTACCATCGAGCGACATTATCAGAGTGTTGTCACGGTCACGGGCGTCAGTATCAGTTTAAATAGAAGCGAGGCGTCGAGACGTCAATATCTTACGGTAGTAACACAAACATTATTCGAAATTTATTAAAAAAACGAAATATTCATAAATATACACATCATTTGTGTCTTCGTTGTACTTACTCGATTTTCTATAAAAACCATTAAAATGGATTTGATCGAGAGACCCACATTAAACGTTCTTGATCCAGATGATAAATTAATGGAGAAGTTTCAAAAAACGTTTCATGCTCATTTAACAGATGTGAATAATAGACTTTCGGAAGACATATACGAACTAGTAAGAAATTTATTTGATATTTACAATAAGATTTTTTACGACATAAATAATGTTAATGTAACAGACATATATAATTTAATTACATATTGTTAGGAAACAACGATAAAACAAACTGAAAATCAGATAGAATCGAAAGGTACGCATCTGTACCAAACTCAACAAGAAATTGATCGTCAACATACAACTATACTACAATATATAGAAGCATTGACGAATATTGCGTCGCTAAGAGAGAAAAGATGTCAAAATATAGAGCACGTTAAAAAAGTTCTGAAGGAAAATCATTGTAAATTGAAGGAAGAAAGATATAAGAAGGAAAAGCTTTCGCAAGAGTTAAAAAATTTATTGGCCCGTTATGGTTATTTATCCAAATGGGAGGAAGATTTGAATGATTATTTGAAAAAGTCGAAACAGATATCGTCGTTAGATGTCACTAGAAAAAAGACGCTAATCAAAAGGAAACAGCAACGAGATTTTATTTTGTATCGATTGAGGGAAGAAGTGTGGAAGATCGAAGCAGAGATAGCGTATTTGGACGAGCAATTACAAATTAAAGACAGAGAAAAAGACGATACTAATAGAGTAATAATCGACGTAAATACTGATTTAGAAACTCTGCATACGGAGAACAAAGGCTTGCATAATACATGGAAATCCATCGTAGCTAATATTTATAAACGGAATAATGTATATGATCAGTTGCATTCGAAACAAGAGTATGTATTCCAGCAATGATTATCGTAGATGGTTAATTTACGAAATATTAGAAATTGTTTGTTCTCATTAGGTTTAGTAATGCTATTTTTCAAAAAGAGGATTTAAAAATGTATAATTTTACATTTAATGTAGTGTGTATTTCATAGAGAAGTGCATAAATTGTGCGATGCACTGTTAATGGAAATACTAAAGATCAAAAGAGAAACAGAAAAGGAGATGGAAGTCAATGAGCATTTAACGTCCTTATCTTTTCGTATAAAGAATGATATTAAAATTGTATCGAATGTAATATCAACGTACAATGAAAAAGTTGCGGACATTGAATTGCAATTACTAAAATTAACGAAAGTCGACGAGCAAACACAATGTGTTTATAATATTATTTTTGCTGTATGTTCTATATGTTGTATCTTTTCAATGAAGTAGTACTCGATTGATATTACAAAAATATTAATTTTTCAGAAATATCAGAACTATTTATACAAAGAGGAACAAGCAAATAAAAAGTATCAAATTATTTGCGAAAAGAAAAATAATTTGGAAGATACAATATTTAAAAAGTTGGAAGAAAAGATTATATGCGACAAAACAGCGCAATATGTAAACGAGTTATTATTAAATACGAAAAGTGTTGTGTTACAGCATGAAATTACAGTCGCGCATATAGAAAATTTATGTGAAAATAGTCGTTTGAGATTAGAGAAACTTGCGAATCTCATTGCGAACCAGAAAACAGAGTTAGAGAAATTTTTGCGAAGGAACGATGGAAAAGTAAAGCATATAGACGAGCTGCAAAAAGAAGTAAAGAAATATGAGACTGCGATCGAAAGAAAGCAAAGAAAACTTCTTGAGATAAATAAACTGATCAAGCAGGTTGTACATTTTTGTATTTTTATAACTCAATTTGAGATAAAATTATCTATGAACAAATAATTTTAGATTACAGCAAAACTCGGCGATGAAAATTTAGGCCCGCAGGATTTGAAGATCATCACTTTGGAAAAGAATATACAAGAACTCGTACAAAATGTTCAGAAAGCACAACAGTTTTGGATGCGTCAACAAGGTTTTATGGTTTCGTTGAGCCAACAAAGAGAGTCACAGTTACGAGAGTTAAATCTTCTTGATAAAGAAATTATGATAATGGGACAAAAGAATTATAAATTAGAGTATACATTAGAAATACTTACGAAAGAAGAAACAAACATAAACAAGATCATAGTTTCTCTCGAACAAAAAATGTTACACATAAATGCAGATTTGGTGATACAAAAAGATCTGAAAGAGGAATTGGAAGACAAAAATTGTATAATAAAAAACGAATGCATTTTATCGTTTCAAGAACTGGAATTCGAACTTATAAAATTGCAAAACAATTTAAAAAATATCTGCACTGAAAAAATGATATTAAAGGAAGAATTGAAATCTTTGCAACAGGAGAGTTTATCGTGGGGGAAAAAGGTAATTAACGTCGTGATTAATCTATTTCTTAAAAAATTATTATTTATGCTTGATATGATAATCGCATGATTAAGGTACATTTGCTGCAAGAAACAATAAAAGAAATAAAAGAAGAACGAAATTCTGGCGATATAGCTTCGATGAAAAATGAAATACACAAAATGGAAATGAGATTTTCCTATTTGAAAAGAATCCAAGAAAAATTAATTCACGATATGGAACTCTGCGTAGGAAGGAGAGATATTATAGTCAATAAAGTGATAGATAAGCTTAACAAAAATCCGAAAGAACGACACAATGAGAAAATTATAATGCGGAAACGTTTACTCGATCTACGATCAAAAATCAAGCAGTTTTTAAAGGTATCATTTTTATAGAATTAATGTTCTGAAAGTTTACGATACTCTGATCCTTCCCAATCTTTGGAATATCCACTGATCCCTACTAAAAACATCTTTCTTGGACTTAACAGATAACAAAGCAAACTGATGACATAATGAAACAATTGAAAAGCCAAATAAACAACATTGGGAGTAAATTGACCACGTGTCAACAAGATTTGCGAAATTTAAGAAAACATATTTTCGATATGGAAGACGAAATTGAACAATTTGAAATGTTAAAATACCTTGTACGTTTTTAATTGCAAATGTGTTAAGAAAATTTTTGCGTTCGATCAAAATTGCGATTTTAATCGTTCGAATTAATTTTTAGAATTTGCATCGGATAGTCCTTAAACAAAGAAAAGTAAAACAATTACATAATATAAAAAATCGTACGTATAAGATGATTTACAAGAATGGAAATATGATAGAAGAGAATTTGAAAATGGAGCACACCTATCGGCAATATTTAAAGCACATAATCGAAAAGGCTGATCATGATTTTCCAATGCTGCAAGCCAATTTACGGAAAATACTGTTAATCCTGCAAATACTTTAAGAAACTGATAATAATATAATATGATAATTGTCAAATATTGTTATATCATCATATTGTGAACATCGCATCGGGTAAATAGATTTCTTTGCGATCCAAGGTTTTATTTTATCAAATAGATAAGATAGTTTTCTTTTTTATTTATGTAATTTATTTCCATTATGGTTATTATGTACATTTACATTTGTTTTCCGAGTTGAATTTAAATTATCATACGCGTTTCAAAGAAGCAAACCATTAGATCACAAACTAGGGATAAAAGAAATATTAGAGCTTGATAATAGAAGCGCAACGCCGTGTGTTAGTAATTTATGTTCGGTATTAACGATAGTGCGATAAACATTTATGCCGATGAAATCTAAATTAATCTGTATTTAGTCGTATCGCTGATAAGAAATGAATACCTGCCGAAGTAGTGATTACGTTGAATCCGCCAGTATCGTATTTCTTAACTTACAATCAAACTTGAAACACGAACAATATTTCACGGATTTTCCAAGTTTTGTTCAATCGACACGGTACGGTAACGTAAACAAATGATACAACTATACAGTATTATAATTAAATAACGATAAACGAATTTTATTTCTAAATTATAGTTTAAATTCTGTTGCCTCGAAATTAAGGTAGAAAGAAACGCATGAAATTTATTATATATTTAAAGTTGAATTACCAGTGGCTTATTTTCTAGAAAAGGAAACAATTATTTGTAACTAACGTTGATCCGATTACTTCTAGGTTTCTATCAGAATAATTTCAGCAATATGAATGAAAATAGCCTGGGAATTTCGCAACAAACAATTATTTCGAATGCTCGGGATGAGATTGTGCCAGCTAAGAGATTCCTACAATATTTTGCCAGTTTGTCAGCAACGCTTGGAGCTTTAGCATCTGGCATGGTGTTAGGATGGACCTCATCCGCCGGTCCTGATGGAATCAACCTGCAAACTGTGTACAACATACCAATTTCTGCGGATGAATTTTCATGGATAGGATCACTGACTGCACTTGGATCGCTATCAATGAGTATACCAATTGGTATCCTTACCGATCTAATAGGAAGGAAATACTCGATGCTCTTGATGGTGGTACCTTTCACCGTAGGTTGGCTGCTCATCATTTTGGCCAACACTGTGCCCATGTTTTATATCGGTAGATTTATCACCGGTATTAGCGGCGGAGCCTTTTGCGTAGTTGCGCCGATGTACACGGCAGAGATAGCTGAAAGTAGCATACGCGGTAGTCTTGGCTCTTACTTTCAATTACTTCTCACCGTAGGCATTCTGTTGTCATATAGCTTGGGAATCGCTATGAATATGCGTTATCTGTCTATCGTGTCCGCCATCATGCCGTTAATCTTTTTTTGCGTTTTCGTGTTCATGCCGGAAACGCCGATCTATTATTTGAAAAAGGGTAACGATCAATCTGCCAGGGAAAGTTTAATAAAGCTGCGCGGCGTTGAGTATGACGTTGACAATGAATTGCAAGCACAACGTGAGGTATTGGAGGAAACTAGAAACAGAAAGATTTCTTTCCTCGCTTCGCTCAAATCTAAAGCAGCCTTGAAAGGCTTTGTGATCGCTTACGGTCTCATGTTTTTCCAACAGTTTAGCGGCGTGAATACCGTTATATTTTACGCTAGCGATATTTTCGAACAAACTGGCGCCGATTTAGAACCAAGTTTATCTTCCATTATTGTAGGTGCAATGCAAGTAATAGCTGTGTTTGTGAGCACTCTGATCATAGACCGTTTAGGTAGAAGAATATTGTTATTAGGATCTATAATATTTATGTTCCTATCGTCTTTTACACTTGGACTGTACTTCTACCTTGTGCAAGTCCACGTAGATGTAAACTCGATTAAATGGTTGCCTTTAACTGCCGTGTGTCTATTTATTATTATGTTTTCTTTGGGTTTTGGTCCTATCCCATGGATGATGGTGGGAGAAATTTTTGCGCCGGAAGTGAAAGGTATAGCAGCGAGTAGCGCCAGTCTCTTAAATTGGCTTCTGGTCTTCATTATAACTAAATTTTATAACGACCTGAAATTGTCAATAAATATTTCCGGTACATTTTGGTTATTTTCTGGAGTTTGCGCCGTCGGAATTTTCTTCGTTTACTTTTTAGTTCCCGAAACTAAAGGCAAGTCGTTGGAAGAAATTCAACGTGAATTTAACGACTCGTGATTGTAATTATTCATTTTTATAAATCGTTCATTAATGAGATTAATTTTAGATTTGAATTTACTTTGAATTGTATATTACGATCTATTTATAAAGAAACATTATACATAAAAATAAAGATTTATACAACTTTAATTAATATGTTTAATTGTGAAGAATGACGATGGTTATATAGTCATAGCAACGTGCGAATGAATGATGCGGGAAGTCGAACGGTGAACGTATCAAGACATAAATAAAACAAACATTTTTCTTGTAAATGTTTATTCCTTTGTTATTTTATTGAATTTTTTTTCTCGAAACTGCATAGGATTTCAGGGGTATATCTATTCACCAAAAATGATTGCAATTGACCCCAGCAACCGAAAATAATTTTTTCACTGAAAAAGGGGACTACCCCTGTCGATTTTTCTTAAAAATTCGTGTTTCATTTTTAGTAATTTTATTTGACGCCCTGCAGAAAAGTTGTCTAATGCTTTTTTGTAGGTACCCATGAGCTCTATTTTAGAAAAAAGTTTCAATGAGATACGTTCACTATTGTAGGAGTCAAGGCCGTTAGAAAATTGGACCACTTTCATGGGGGTTTTCTAATTTTAAGATGTCAAGAAACAGCTTTTCAAATATTCTTAGAATTTCTACATATTTTTCATTAAAATACGCGTCATTTACAATTTGGAATATTAAAATCCTTCAATCCCTTCAGGAGTTATGGGTTTTTAAACATATTTTCGGAAAAGAATTTTTTTCTCGAAAGCGCATAGGATTTTGGTGGTATGTCTATTGACCAAAAATGATTGTAATTGACCTCCGCAACCAAAAATAATTTTTCCAAAACGATTGCAAATTTTTTAATTTTGTCGAATTTGTCCACCTACTCGAATTTGTTTCTCGAAAATGCGTAGAATTTCGGGGGGTTGTCTATTGACCAAAAATGATTATAATTGACCCCCAGAAGTAAATACAATTTTTTTAGAATGATTTGAAATTGTTCAATTTTCAGGGAAACAGACTGCTATAATCAGACATAATGTTTTCAGTAATGAATTTTTTTCTTGAAACTGCGTAGGAATTCGAGGGTATGTCTAGTGACAAAAAATGATTGTAATTAACCCCCACAACCGAAAATATTTTTTCCAGAATGATTTGTAATGTTTTAATTTCGTCGAAAAATTTGCCCACTTTCTTGAATTTTTTTCTCGAAAGTGGGTAGGATTTCGAGGATATGTTTGTTCATCAAAAATGCTTGCAATTGACCCCTGCAAGTAAATATAATTTTTTTAGTATGATTTGAAATTTTTTAATTTCGTCTAAAAATTTCAGTGTCTACTCGAATTTTTTTCTCGAAAATGGGTAGGATTTCGAGGATATGTCTGTTCATCAAAAATGCTTGTAATTGATCCCTGTAAGTAAATATAATTTTTTTAGTATGATTTGAAATTTTTTAATTTCGTCTAAAAATTTCAGTGTCTACTCGAATTTTTTTCTCGAAAATGGGTAGGATTTCGAGGATATGTCTGTTCATCAAAAATGCTTGTAATTGATCCCTGTAAGTAAATATAATTTTTTTAGTATGATTTGAAATTTTTTAATTTCGTCTAAAAATTTCAGTGTCTACTCGAATTTTTTTCTCGAAAATGGGTAGGATTTCGAGGATATGTCTGTTCATCAAAAATGCTTGCAATTGACCCCTGCAAGTAAATATAATTTTTTTAGTATGATTTGAAATTTTTTAATTTCGTCTAAAAATTTCAGTGTCTACTCGAATTTTTTCCTCGAAAATGGGTAGGATTTCGAGGATATGTCTGTTCATCAAAAATGCTTGTAATTGACCCCTGTAATTAAATATAATTTTTTAGTATGATTTGAAATTTTTTAATTTCGTCTAAAAATTTCAGTGTCTACTCGAATTTTTTTCTCGAAAATGGGTAGGATTTCGAGGATATGTCTATTCATCAAAAATGCTTGCAATTGATCCCTGTAATTAAATATAATTTTTTTAGTATGATTTGAAATTTTTTAATTTCGTCATAAAATTTCAGTGTCTACTCGAATTTTTTTCTCGAAAATGGGTAGGATTTCGAGGATATGTCTGTTCATCAAAAATGCTTGCAATTGATCCCTGTAAGTAAATATAATTTTTTTAGTATGATTTGAAATTTTTTAATTTCGTCTAAAAATTTCAGTGTCTACTCGAATTTTTTTCTCGAAAATGGGTAGGATTTCGAGGATATGTCTGTTCATCAAAAATGCTTGCAATTGACCCCTGCAAGTAAATATAATTTTTTTAGTATGATTTGAAATTTTTTAATTTCGTCTAAAAATTTCAGTGTCTACTCGAATTTTTTTCTCGAAAATGGGTAGGATTTCGAGGATATGTCTGTTCATCAAAAATGCTTGCAATTGACCCCTGTAAGTAAATATAATTTTTTTAGTATGATTTGAAATTTTTTAATTTCGTCTAAAAATTTCAGTGTCTACTCGAATTTTTTTCTCGAAAGTGGGTAGGATTTCGAGGATATGTCTGTTCATCAAAAATGCTTGCAATTGACCCCTGTAATTAAATATAATTTTTTTAGTATGATTTGAAATTTTTTAATTTCGTCTAAAAATTTCAGTGTCTACTCGAATTTTTTTCTCGAAAATGGGTAGGATTTCGAGGATATGTCTGTTCATCAAAAATGCTTGTAATTGACCCCTGTAATTAAACATAATTTTTTTAGTATGATTTGAAATTTTTTAATTTCGTCTAAAAATTTCAGTGTCTACTCGAATTTTTTTCTCGAAAATGGGTAGGAATTCGAGGATATGTCTGTTCATCAAAAATGCTTGCAATTGACCCCTGTAATTAAATATAATTTTTTTAGTATGATTTGAAATTTTTTAATTTCGTCTAAAAATTTCAGTGTCTACTCGAATTTTTTTCTCGAAAATGGGTAGGATTTCGAGGATATGTCTGTTCATCAAAAATGCTTGCAATTGACCCCTGTAAGTAAATATAATTTTTTTAGTATGATTTGAAATTTTTTAATTTCGTCTAAAAATTTCAGTGTCTACTCGAATTTTTTTCTCGAAAATGGGTAGGATTTCGAGGATATGTCTGTTCATCAAAAATGCTTGTAATCGATCCCTGTAATTAAATATAATTTTTTTAGTATGATTTGTCATTTTTTAATAACTTTTTAATAACGATTTGAAATTTTTTAACGAAGCCTCAGTCAAGAAATTGATATTCTTGATTTTCGTCTTATTTCGACCTTTAGAATCTCCCATTAAAATTTTCTTAACACCCTCCATAAACAAATTGTAATTTATTAAATTATGGTTGCGTTAAATTAAAGTAATATGCTTATGTAGAATTAAAAAAAACTATTTGTTTTTAATAAGTTCTCGGAACGTAAGCCCCCTTTTTGTACTGGCTTTAGGTCTCATATAACACGGCATTTTCTAGGAACCTGTCTGCCGTGTTATAGGAGGGCTACCTGTATAATCGAAAAGAAATTATTTTAATTTTTCCATTTTACTTTTTACCATCGACGATAACTTATTTCAATTCATTAATGTACCGTCTCTCGATGTTATGTTTCAACCTCGTTTGAACATCGGTCATGCGCAGACGAATGCGCACTCGATAAGAAAACCGTATCTTGTGCCAACTACATCAAAGGTACCGCCTCGAAATGAAACTTCTCTATGTTCATTATTCCGTGGTATAATTATTCTGCATATCTATACACGTAGCCGCCGAGCAATAGAAGTGGTGGTAAACTCGGTACTGGTGACTTTCCCCTCAAAGTGTTCAGAGTCTGTTGGAATCAATTTGACTACGTATGTATCGATGTTGCAACTGCGGTGTACGTTCGGACCGTGTAAACGTATTCAATGAGGAAACAAATCGAGGTCAGGAGTGCAGCATTCAATGAAAGGCCCCCTTACCGTGGTTTCCACTGCAAAACAAGGGCAAATTAAAACGAACATTTGTTTATTCTGATATTTCTACAAGTTCCCTTCTTCTTCTCTCTTTCGCTCTCTCCAACTTGCCCGTCCTCTCGTTTTATGATCTTTTTCTATCTTACGTTTAACACTACTTATTTATCTCTCTTCTACCCATCCCCTTTCATATTCCTATCCCTGTTTCACGGCACTCAACTTCTCTGTCTCTCTTAATCTTTCGTACTCCGCAAATCGAACTAGCCTCCCTTCCTGCGAATTTACGTGGATATTTCTACTTGTGAACGGTTCCCAAACCTTCAGGATGCAGGCCATTAAGTGCGTTGTCGTAGGAGACGGGTGAGTATTTTCAAACATTATTATAATGTATGTTGATATGTTTACATTTCCTATTTTAGTATTACTCGATCTAGAGATCTAAAGATCCTGGCGATTGGTTTTCCCGATCAGAACTATTTTAAAGCAAGCACCACACCCGATATTACCTTGAATGCGTTTTTATAAATTTCTTTACCGATTTTTTAACATTCAACGTGACAAGCAGGATATTATTTTTTAATCGTAGTTGAATTCTTGATAATTCATCACTTGGGATCTTTCACTTTTGCTACGTCTTTTCTTTCTTCCCCTCTCTCTAATGCCCGTGTTTAAGTTTACTTGTAATAATTATTTTTTTTCATCAACATTTCTCGATAAAACACCAATTTTCTACTTTTATTCGATGCATAAAATAACCTTCTTCTTATTCGGATTTTATTATGTATTTATATAGATGATTTAATTGCCTTTAATTGGTTAATTTCTACAGAGCTGTAGGTAAAACATGCCTCCTCATAAGCTACACTACTAATGCCTTTCCTGGAGAATATATTCCGACTGTGTTTGACAATTATTCCGCAAACGTTATGGTCGATGGGAAACCGATCAATCTTGGTTTATGGGACACAGCGGGCCAAGAAGATTACGATAGATTAAGACCGTTGTCTTACCCCCAGACAGACGTCTTTTTGATTTGTTTTTCTCTGGTTAACCCAGCCAGTTTTGAAAACGTTCGTGCTAAGTGGTATCCGGAGGTTCGCCACCACTGTCCGCCTACTCCGATTATTTTAGTAGGGACTAAACTGGATTTACGCGAGGACAAAGAAACAATCGAGCGATTAAAGGATAAGAAGCTAGCACCGATTACGTACCCCCAGGCATGTATTACTATCGTTCGTGATTCGTTTGGTAATAATTTTAAATAAATATTTTCTTTTTATCGTGTTTAGGGTTTGACAATGGCAAAAGAGATCGGTGCAGTGAAATATTTAGAATGTTCAGCCTTAACTCAAAAAGGATTGAAAACAGTATTCGACGAAGCGATCCGTGCAGTATTATGCCCTGTTCTACAAGTAAAACCAAAACGCAGGTGTTTCCTTCTATAATATTAAATGTCCGATGACGGTGGAGCAAGTATAAATGTATAACCCCTCCTCCGATCGGACTCGATTGCAGCAGGACATCTAATTTTTGAATTAAAACAAAAAAAATACCGCTGTCTGTATGATTCATCTCTCTACAAGCATCTGCCATAAAAGCGCACAAATCAATTTGTATAATGCGTATAAAAAGGTAAAAGGAAAAAATATATGTGTGTTTTGAACATTAGCTAAATGTTCCGAACAGAGAAATGAAGCCAAATGAAAACTGAACTGATAATGTACAGTATACTAGAGTGTGTTACTAATATTAGTTACTACATATGAATCATAAGAAAACAAGCATTATTATATACGTGCGTTCATGCACACACTAGATACTAATCAATTTAATCGCAAAGGTAAATCATTTTATTCAATTTTGCATTGTATATTTTAAATGTTTATACATTTTTTAAAGTTTTGGTAGAAAGAGCGATCAATGGAGCAAAATTATTCAATTGATCTTTCAGATAAGTTAATCCTTCTAATAATTCTATTTGGAGTCAATTATGTGTATATCTATGTTGTATGATATACATAAACTGGTGCGAGTGATTCCTCGTGAAATATTTCGTTTACAAAAAGAATAATTTTGAAAATTCGTCGAACTAAGCTCCGACTTTATACATTTTATACACTTTGTACTGATCACAAGTACAGAAATTCTTGCATTGAAAAAAACGTGGCAAAAATGCTACTGTAATATATCCGAAGGTTATCAAACGCTCTTAAAATGTAATTTCATGTTTATTTCCAAATGTCTATTCTGGAATGCATAGAATCAAGACTTACGATTAGTCAAATGTTAACGAAGCCTGAAACAATTTTTTATTACGTTTTTAATGTGCTTTTTCATGAGGCACCACACCTACCCGTTAGCACTACTTTCTTTAGAATAATCTCTACTATATACATATATTTTATAGTAAATATACAGATGCGAATCGCGTAAAATGAATTCCACCTTTAACTAAATTGGTTAATATTACTATATACATACCATGATATAAGATACATAGTCGTCTAAGTTTTAGAGGTGAGCAATACAAGTGTGATTCTAATTCTTTGCCTCTTTGCTGCGTTTTCATGTCACTGCAGGCCTCTGCTGTAACTGATACGCACAACACGGCTAAAGAGATAAAAATACAAAAAATTAATATCAGAGGGGGGAAAAAGAAAAGAAAAATTTAGCGTGGATGAGTGAATGTTTGAAGGAGTGCATATAAAAGCCAAGAGAGAAAGACAGAGAAAAGGAATTCTTCTATAGCGAGTAATTGTACATAAATGGTAAAAGTTCAAACTGTATTCCTATTACTATCATTTTACATGTATAAGCTGCTGAATCTAAATCGAATGTTATTTGTTTTTTATATATATATTATAAATATATATGTAAAGTGGGGCTGGACCGAGATCTATTTCAATCGTCGTAGATCCATTAACCTGTGCAATCTATCTGGGAAGTGGAGATTCAGTCCATAAAAAAGAAAAAAAAAAAAATATCATAAATACTGTAACTAAATATGCTTTATTAAATGGGTGTTTATTAAATTTTTCTGGTTGTTCATTATGCCGTTGTATCGAAGAATGTGTCGATCAGTGCCGATATCTGCTCCGGTGTATATTTTATATATTTAGCTGGGTTTTTAGAAAACGATATCCCGTGGTATTTGTTGTGGAAAGTTGTGTAAAGAGGGACAATGGCTTGTTGTAGTTCACTGCGTAATTCTTCACGCAATCGAGCATCAGGTACAGAATAAGAGCGCTGACACTTTGCGACATCCTCCAACTCTCTTGTGAATCCCAAAAATTTCTCTTTCAATGATTTCGCGCCTGGCCCTGGGGAAATAATAAAACGTTCACAATCTTTTTTTATTTTTCAACATTTTTAAAAATGGGCATCATATGATTTATCCATAATTGCTTAAAATAACTGTAGACAAGCTAAAGCACATTAAATAAAAGAATATATAAACATAAACCTGGTTCATCAAAGGGTTGTTCGAGGTAGGTGCGTGCTTTCGCGAAAGTAGTGAAAACGTAATTAGTTTTGTCACGTAGCAAAAGATCATTGTAAGTTTGCTCTGCGCTAGGCTCTGCTAGTAACAGCAATTCCATTAAAGAGCTACGGCGTAGAGCATTCACAACGTGATTGTGATTATTTAGTCGAAATAGAGTTCTCAATGCAACGTCCGAGTAACAAGTATCGCTTTTGCTTAACAGCGCCAAATTTAACTGTGCTAATACTTTCTCTGAAACGGAAAGAATCGTGTTAAGTTTCGTACTTCTTCAACGATACTTTTTAAATGTAGAAACGTTATACTAACTGATATAGGTGCCCAGAACAATCTTGTACATGTTCTCTGTTTGTTTCATGGAAATGGTACCTTCCATATCAGTGCTACGTCTTAAAACAACTCCTGCAGTGTCTGCGTACTCCGCTAGCTGTTCCAAAAAAACTAAAACATTACTTGTGCTTTCTGCTACGGTACCGTCTTTGGGTAAAACTGAGTTGGATTCGTTCCGTACACTTTCAGCGAAGTCTTCCAGTGCTTTCGCTCCCTACATTATTGAATTATACGCTATAAAATTTGAATAAAACTAATACGCGAAAATTTCATTGTTGCAACGTACAGTTATGTTCAGAGTGTTAAGCACGGAAGTGAATTTTGATCTAAGAGCATAGTCGCAGCCCTCAACAGTGCGCTCTAAGTCAGGCTTTAGTTCTCCGAGGTGTTTCAAAATAGGAAAGATCACTAGTACTGCTGAGAAATCACGCCGTATGATGCACCTTTTGGCACGAGTTGCTATACTCTCTCCGTCGTGGGCTACAAGATCCATAGCCTCACGCACAGTAGCTTCTAAAACTTGCGCTTGCAAAGTAGCTGGCAAGATCTTGGCGACTAGTGATCGTTCCGCTTGCATAAGTTTATGAAGACCGACTGTTAATAGTAGATAATTCTCCATTTCTTGTTCATCCGGTGCTGTGTCCTCTACGGAGTGTCCAGACAATTGCGGTGGTGGTTTTCTGGACGTAGTTAAGGACAATCCCAAGCCGGTAGTTTGCGAAGCTTTTAATAACATTCTGCTGGCTTTTTTCTCGAGAGCATGCTGTAATCTTCTAGAAGCTCTTCTCCCGCAAGCCTCCTGGTTTCCTAACGAATGTCTATTACCAAATTTTACTTTCTACAACATACAATGGAATTAGAACTAATAACCTATAAAATATAAGGGGCATATTACAATCTTCTTACCGGTAAAGGACTTCCTGCATGCGTACTACCACCACTGGCACTCCTCTGATGTTCTTTTAACAACTGTAAAGATCTCGAAACAATTGTAGACCGTACCGATGCATAAATTTTAACGTGCCTGCGGTGTCCTCTTTCTTCGAGCCACCCAGCAATTTTAAGTAAATCTCCTAGAATGCTTTCTGGTAACGGACAGAGAGATTGTGGAGCATCTTCGCCGCTGGTATCTTCATCCGAACCAATTAAATCCAAAAGAACTATCGGAAGGATTGGTTTACTCTGTCTAGTTAATATATCGTGGAATTCTGCGTACAAAGCATCCAATCCAACGCCAAATAAACTTGTTACGTTTTCTAGCTCTACGGAACTGGGATTATTCTTTTGAAAATAGCGTTGGGCGTTGTAGAGACGATTCATCGCTTCCAAGAAACTGTCCAAGTCTCCAGACCCGCCTGGGCCTGCTTGCACCATTCCTTCTACTTCTTGACATACTCCGTAGTATCCAATAGCATGATCCAAAGCGTTCAAAGTTCTTTCTATGTCTGCAAATAAAAGAAATGAGTTTCAAAAGAATTATTAAAGTAACTTCGACTGATTTTAATCGATTTATAACGATATAGCACGCACTTTGCTGTTGCGCTTGAAGGTTTCCCGTTTCATTGTACACAGGGAGGATGGTACGACGCAACGTAGCCAGACGTTGCTCCAACGAAGAAAGAATTCCTACGACGCTGTTAGTTAATTTTCTACTTCTTTCTTCCGCTTCCTTTAACAATTCCAAGGAGGCGATCTCTGCTTCCAGTTTACATTGTATTTCAAATCTTCGTTCTGAAGTATCTGCCCTTGTAGTATGCATTATTTCATCTGCGAATTGGAAAATATGTACATTAGATATTACAGAAAATTTTAAAAAAATACTAATAAAGTGTAATGTTGTTTTAAGAATTTTTAGACAATTGATAGATTATAACTAAAATATGTTGAATATATGATGCAACTGTAAACACATAAAATCACTTACATCAATTTATAACTTAAATAATAATAATCTTAAAGCTTCTACAATATACTGTTACAATACATAAAAATTAATTTTACTCTTCAAGTTGTTCACATAATTAAAACGATTGATACTATTAAATGAATGACGAGAAGAAATAAAAATTGACAGTGTTTCCTTACATCACCTCTGCACATATATGTTTAGTATTTAATTTGGTATTTATATTGACGAGTAGGTCCGCAGGTCTCGCACATATGAAATATATACAGTTGTGTCGTATTAAAAATTAAAGTTTAGTCCAGAGTATGGAGTTTTTCTCCGCAAGTGGCCTGGCGCCACATCACTAGAAAATAAGTGTCCTCTGGCGGCGCGTGTAAGAGACATTACACTATAATAAGTTTTGAAATATATGATTCCACTCTCCATTAACTAAAGCGCGGGAAAATAATTATCCGTAACATTCTTTACGCTGGAACAATTTGAAAAGTATAATAAAAGTAATGTCGAGCCCTGCAAATTCGCCGACGACAGACAGTCCAAACAGAACTCCTCGTAGTAGAACACAAGAGATAAGGTCTCCTGTTTTCGGTACACCCCGTAAGTATTTCATTTAAGGCTATTTATGCTTGTTATATCCTGGACCACTATTATGTTACAATTATGTAGTTCTATATATCATTATTTTCATTGGAATTGTGAAACGTAATATGTCTCACAAATTTTTAACAAAGGTACTGCAGCTCATAATGGAGCCGATGATAATGTGGAAACTCCATTACGATGGGGCACCAGTGGCACGCGACAAAACATGTTAGATCTTCCGCACCAAGCTGCAACGATCGTTGCTTCTTCCGAGCGGGACAGTGCTGCTGGTTCTGGCGAACAGCTTACAGATCATTCTGGACCGATTGTTGGATCCGAAAGCGGATTACAATTGTCTTCCCCTGTAAATTACGGCACTCCGAGTTCTTTAGGATCAATTCGTACTCCGAGAAGCGGTATCCGAGGCACTCCGATTCGACATAGACCCGATATCAACACAGATAAACGTTTGCGCCAATTTACGGTAGAAGATCCAGTGAGTGAATTTTCATTATAAGTACGATCGTAACGGTACAAACTAACAGTTTAATTGTAATAACAGATCCCAGAAGTACAAGGAGCTCCGGGGACATCGGAGAGCGAGTCATCGGGACCGCATTTAGTTGTTTGGGGCACAAATGTACTCATAAGTCAGTGCAAAGAACAATTCAAATCGTTTTTGAAACAATTTATTGATCCGGAAGCAGAAAACGATGAACTGCCTGAGAACATAATTCTATCGGAACCGTTATATCTTCAGAAGTTGGAGGAAATACAGACCTTAGAGGAACCGTATCTAAATGTCAATTGCGCTCATGTAAAAGTGTTTGACGAGCATCTTTATCAACAGTTAATCTCTTATCCCCAAGAGGTGATCCCTACGCTAGATATGGCAGCGAACGAGCTGTTCTTCGATAAATTTCCAGCAGCAGTTTTAGAACACCAGATCCAAGTGCGTCCCTTTAATGTAACTAAAGTTAAATCGATGAGAGACTTAAATCCTTCCGATGTGGATCAATTGATCACGATACCAGGAATGGTGATCAGAGTATCGATACTGATTCCACAAATGCGAGAAGCATATTTTAAATGCAGCGTTTGCGCCTTTACAACTCTCGTTGAGATCGAAAAAGGAAGGACAAAAGAACCTACGATATGTGCACATTGTGCCCATAAATATTCTTTCACTTTGATACATAACTTGAGTCATTTTTCTGATAAACAAATGATCAAGTTACAAGAGGCTCCGGACGAGATGCCACAAGGACAGACTCCGCACACTATTGTTTTGTTTGCCCATAATAATTTGGTGGACTCGGTTATGCCTGGGGATAGAGTCTCTGTTACTGGAATTTACAGAGCAGCCACGTACAAGCAAAATTTTGAACATACTTTGCAAGCCATTTATAGAACGTACGTGGATGTAGTGCATTTTAGGAAATACGACTCCAAACGGTGAGAAAATTATAATCCTTTCGTTTCGTACAGGTTGAAAGGTAAAAACAGCTAGATAATTTCATCTTTTATAATCTATAGATTGCACGACCAAGAAGATGGCAAAGAACACAATTTTACAACCGAGAGAATAGAAGTTTTGAAGATGTTATCGCAAAAGAAGGATGTTTACGAACGATTGGCACAACACATTGCTCCCAGTATATATGCAAATAATGATGTAAAGAAAGGGATTGTATTACAATTATTTGGTGGTACTAGAAAACCTTCTACTGTGTACGGGAAACATTTTCGTCCTGATATTAACATATTGCTCTGTGGCGATCCTGGTACGAGCAAATCACAATTATTGCAATACGTTTATAATTTGGTACCACGGTCGCAATACACCAGTGGAAAAGGTAAATAAACATAAATAGTTTTTATCGAGAATATATAATTAAACGTAAATAAACATTGCAGGTTCTAGCGCTGTCGGTTTAACAGCTTATCTAACAAAAGATCCAGAGACCAGACAATTGATTTTGCAGACAGGGGCGTTAGGACTTGCGGATAATGGGATATGTTGCATCGATGAATTTGATAAGATGAACGAAAGTGCGAGATCGGTGTTGCACGAAGTAATGGAACAGCAAACTTTGAGCATCGCTAAAGCTGGGATCATTTGTCAGTTAAATGCTAGAACCAGTATACTTGCTGCTGCTAATCCATGCGAATCACAATGGAATAAGAACAGAACTGTATTCCATACTGATAAAACGATTTTACCAAATTTTTTTATCAACACTCGTACACAGATATATTTTTTTTTCAGGTGGTTGAAAACGTGAAATTGCCCCACACTCTGCTTTCGCGATTTGATTTGATTTTTTTGATATTAGACCCACAATGTGATACGTACGACAAAAGGCTTGCAACTCATATGGTATCTTTATATTATAAAACGTCGGAAGAGGATGTAGACGAACAACTGAACAGAAGTATTGTTCGTGATTATTTGGTCTTTGCAAAGGAGCATGTTCATCCCGTTCTGAACGAAGAAAGCCAACAGAGGTTGATACAAGCTTACGTCGATATGAGAAGAGTTGGAAAAGGACGTGGGCAAATCACAGCGTACCCCAGACAATTAGAATCTCTGATAAGATTAGCCGAAGCGCATGCTAAAGTACGACTAAGTCCTATCGTGGAATTACAAGATGTCGAAGAAGCTTGGAGGTTCATAATCAAATGAGATTCTTAATATTGATAACTACTAAAATTATATCTAAACATTTAATCTCTTTGAATAGATTACAGCGAGAAGCTTTGAAGCAATCTGCTATTGATCCACTAAGTGGCAAGATAGATCTAAGTATTTTAACTACCGGTATATCTTCGGGTGCTAGGAAAAGGAAGAAGGAGTTGTGCGATGCGATACAAAAGATTATAGGAAGCAAGAGTAAACTCCACATACTTAGCCAACAGAAACTATTTAGTGAAATTAGACAATCTTCTGAACTGGTCAGTATAATTATATATATATATATATATATATGTTACAGTGAAACACCGAAATCTGGAGAATGTCGACTTTCACCGGTGAATGTCAACATTCACATAGTCACTTAGTGTATGTCCGAAATATTTGCTAAACACCCTTATTTCTGACTTACACCGGTAAATGTTGACATTCACCATGCACTAATGGTGAGTGTTGAACATGTTGGAGATTTATATTTTCTTCTCCGTAATTCAGTCGCTATAAAACGTCACAAGGGTGACGTAACTTTTTCGCCTCTCTTTCTGAAAGGATCTAACCCAGACCTAACCCAGACTTAATTCAGACCTAACCCAGACTTAATTCAGACCTAACCCAGACCTAACCCAGACCTAACCCAGACTTAATTCAGACTTATTCCAGACCTAACCCAGACCAATTCATCGCTGATAACGGGGGTTAGGTCTGGGTTAGGTCTGGGTTAGGTTTGGGTTAGGTCTGGATTAGGTCTGGGTTAGGTCTGGAATAAGTCTGGGTTAGGTCTGGGTTAGGTCTGGGTTAGGTCTGGATTCGATCTGGGTTAGGTCTGGATTAGATCTGGGTTAGATCTGGGTTAGGTCTGGATTAGATCTGGATTAGGTCTGGGTTAGGTCTGGGTTAGGTCTCATTTACACTGTTGTTGTATTTTGTAATTTCCAAGTGTATGATTTGGTTTGGACTCGAAAAAATGTCGAATGGGACTTGACGAACAATGCTTTTAAGTGTTTTATTTGAAATTTACCTGTTAAAATAAGTGTTTTATTTACACTGTTGTTGTATTTTGTAATTTCCAAGTGTATGATACCTGTTTGGTTTGGACTTGAAAGAATGTCGAGTGAGACTTGACGAAGGTGCTCCTGAGATCAAAATTGATGTCGAATCACACTCGACATAGGAGTGCAAAGGGTTAAGATAATTTGGATTATTAACTAATCCAGACCTAACCCAGACCTAAACCAGACCTAACCCAGATCTAATTCAGATCTAATCCAGACCTAACCCAGAGCTAACTCAGATCTAATCCAGACCTAACCCAGACCTAACCCAGACGTAAACCAGACCTAACCCAGATCTAATTCAGATCTAATCCAGACCTAACCCAGAGCTAACTCAGATCTAATCCAGACCTAACCCAGACCTAACTCAGATCTAACTCAGATCTAATCCAGACCTAACCCAGACCTAACCCAGATCCAGGGTCTGGGTTAGGTCTGGGTTTGGAAAAAGATCACGATTTACTGCAGTATCCATTTAGTATAAATTAGGGTATCGGAAAAAAAAATTAAGAAAACGTTGCTCGCGTTATCAAAGCTTGCATAAGACTGACAAAGCTGATTGACTCCGAGCAGAACAAAGGATTTGGCAGAAGAGAGCCAGTCGCTTGTTTTTTTACTCTTCTGTTTTGGACCTCCACCAGAGCATATCTGTGATTGTCGACACACACCGGAGAGGGTCCGAATGTACAACAATGTAATGAAATATTCGATCTTTCACCGACGTATTTGGTATCTGTTGACATTCACCGGTGAATGTTGACATTCTCCAATTTCGGTCATTCACGGTAACATATATATTATATAATACTAATCCAAGAAACAGTTTAAACAATATTAGAATTTCTTTGTTAGATGATTACCAGGGAGATGTTCGAGGATGCTTTAAGGGAGTTACAAGATAATGGATTGTTAACAATAATCGGAAGAAGCAGTATCCGTGTTTCTTAATTTTACTCGTTTATATGTTTTATCATTTTTGTAATCGATTTCAAAATAAGACACATTTTTATATGAATTTTTGTTACTGTTTTCTTGCGCAGAATCCATTTCTGAAATGGGCTCCACAGCCTCGCCCAGACTAATTACAATCTAGTCTAGATTAGAGTAAAACTTTTCGGGAAATGGTCGTAAATCGAGCGTCAATTCTATTGCGAAAACTAATGTTTTCCTGCTTTTGTAAAAGCAAGACTTTGGTTGTCCAATAAATAAATTTGGAAGGTGGCCCAGTCAGGTGTATTCTGACCACTAGTGACGATACCCGCCATATTGTGCATCCGTCAAACTAATGGTCTGCATACCGAGACACGGAACACCGATAAGTATGAGTAATCTACGAGGATACGACCTTCGCTCCCAAGTGCACCTATTAACTAGATTAAAACTAAATCTAAGCACGCGATTAGATTTTAATCATTCATGAAACGTTGATGGGAGATTCTAGAGCCCAAAATAAGACGAAAATCAAGAATACTAATTTGTTGATAGAGGCATCGTTAAAAAGTTATTAACATTTAGAGTTCCGCCCTCACTGAATTTTTTTCTAGAAAGTGGGTAGGATTTCGGGGGTAGGTCTAATGACCAAAAATTATTGTAATTGACCCCCCAAATCGAAAATAATTTTTCCAGAACGATTTGAAATTTTTGAATTTTGTCGAAAAATTTCACACCTCGAATTTTTTTCTCGAAAGAGGGTAGAATTTCGAGAATATGTCTGATGATAAAAAATGATTGTAATTGACCCCCGCAACCGAAAATAATTTTTCCAGAACGATTTGAAATTTTTTAATTTCGTCGAAAAATTTGTCCATATTCTAGAATTTTTTTCTCAAAAGTGAGAAGGATTTCGAGGATGTGTCCATTCACCAAAAATGTCTGTAACTGCTCCCTGGAACCGAAAATAATTTTTCCAAAATAATTTCAAACATTTAGGCACCTACCCCCTTGTCGATTCTTCTTAAACATTTATTTTTCATTTTTAATCAATTTGGTTGCCGTCCTACAGAAATTTTGTGCAGTACTTTTTTGTAGGTATCCATGAGCTCTACTTTCATACTAAATTTCATTCAGATACGTTCACTATTGTAGGAGTTATGGTCATTTGAAAATTGGACCACTTTTATAGGGGTTTTCTCATTTTAAGGTGTTAAGAAACACCTTTTCAAATATTCTTAGAATTTCTACACATTCTTCGCTAAAATACGCGTTGTTTGCATTTTGAAACATTACAATCCTCCGATTCGTTCAGGAGTTATGATTTTTCAAACATACGCATGAAATTTCGGGGCAACATTTCTAACCTCACATTATATTTTCGGAAAAGAATTTTTTTCTCGAAAGCGCGTAGGATTTCGGTGGTATGTATATTAACTATAAATGATTGCAATTGACCCCTGCAACCGAAAATAATTTTTTCGAAATGATTTGAAATTTTTTAATTTCGTCGAAAAATTTGTCCATCTTCTAGAATTTTTTTCTCAAAAGTGAGAAGGATTTCGAGGGTGTGTCCATTCACCAAAAATGTCTGTAACTGCTCCCTGGAACCGAAAATAATTTTTCCAAAATAATTTCAAACATTTAGGCACCTACCCCTTTGTCGATTCTTCTTAAACATTTATTTTTCATTTTTAATCAATTTGGTTGCCGTCCTACAGAAATTTTGTGCAGTACTTTTTTGTAGGTATCCATGAGCTCTACTTTCATACTAAATTTCATTCGGATACGTTCACTATTGTAGGAGTTATGGTCATTTGAAAATTGGACCACTTTTATAGGGGTTTTCTCATTTTAAGGTGTTAAGAAACACCTTTTCAAATATTCTTAGAATTTCTACACATTCTTCGCTAAAATACGCGTTGTTTGCATTTTGAAACATTAAAATCCTCCGATTCGTTCAGGAGTTATGATTTTTCAAACATACGCATGAAATTTCGGGGCAACATTTCTAACCTCACATTATATTTTCGGAAAAGAATTTTTTTCTCGAAAGCGCGTAGGATTTCGGTGCTATGTATATTAACTACAAATGATTACAATTCGCCCCTGCAACCGAAAATAATTTTTTCAAAATGATTTGAAATTTTTTAATTTCGTCGAAAAGTTTGTCCACATTTTCGAATTTTTTTCTCGAAACTGCGTAGGATTTTGGAGGTTTGTCTATTCACCAAAAATGATTATAATTAATCCCCAGAAGTAAATACAATTTTTTTAGAATGATTTGAAATTGTTCAATTTTCAGGGAAACAGACTGTTATAATCAGACATAATGTTTTCAGTAATGAATTTTTTTCTTGAAACTGCGTAGGAATTCGAGGGTATGTCTAGTGACAAAAAGTGATTGTAATTAACCCCCACAACCGAAAATATTTTTTCCAAAATGATTTGTAATGTTTTAATTTCGTCGAAAAATTTGTCCACCTTCTTGAATTTTTTTCTCAAAAGTGGGTAGGATTTCGAGGGTACGTCTGTTCATCAAAAATGCTTGTAATTGACCCTTGTAAGTAAATATAATTTTTTTAGTATGATTTGAAATTTTTTAATTTCGTCTAAAAATTTCAGTGTCTACTCGAATTTTTTTCTCGAAAATGGATAGGATTTCGAGGATATGTCTATTCATCAAAAATGCTTGTAATTGACCCCCGCAACCAAAAATAATTTTTTCAGAATGATTTGTAATTTTTTAATAACTTTTTAGTGAAGCCTCAGTCAAGAAATTGATATTCTTGATTTTCGCCATATTTTGGCCTCTAGAACCCCCCATTAAAATTTTTCCCAGGGGTGGTCGAACCCCCTGTACATTACTAAAGAAGAGCCTCGGATGTTACTTCTGCTTTTTTAACTTTTGACAAATCAACATCTGAGTTTTGTTGTACAATAAAAACGTTCATATAAACAACATAAAAGGCACGATTAATTACAGCGAGAAAACATTTGTTCCAGAAATCTCTGGACAATGTTTTAAGAGATCATGCAAAGTGACAACACCAGCGACCGGAAGTGAGAAAATACTCGCGAATTATTGTACGGCATGCGTATTGCATAATATTGAAACCATTACGAGAGGAACACGGTACTCTAAGTGGCGCGGAGACCAATTTCCATTCTCCTATACATATGTTGGGGCTTCTACCTGCACAATCGAATGCATACTCATTTAACGTTTTCCATTTATTCCGGTCAGTCGCTCCGCACTAGTTATACCCGTTTCGTGTTTCGCGTTTACAAGATTTCGTGTTCACGACTCTGATAGTAAATCGTTACAATTATTTTCATATCGGTGCAACTCCGCGGTAGTAGACTTTTGAATAGTCTCATTTGTGACTCGACGAGCGTAACGTGCGGTAACCGCGATAAAACAGTGAGATTTCTGTGTGTTATGGATTGCATTCCCAGGATTGTTTGTTGTAAGTTTATACATATGTGTAACAAGTACAAGTTGCTTTTATTTCACATTCATTTTTACGATTTCATTAATTTTCAAAATTAACGAGTTTCTTTTAAAAGAACATTGGTTCATATCAATAACACGTTATCTTTCAAATTAACTTCTGCTTACTAAATCCGATGAGTGATGGATAATACAAGACAATCGGTAATATATTACGTACATTTAGTACGATTAACATTTAATCTATGGCCGATTATTTGTTCTTATCTGTCTGGATCTTTGAATTCCTTTTTGCGATGAAAAGTTGATTTTAATCTCGAAAATGTACATCGATACGACATTTTTCCATGCGTATATCAGAATAATTTCGTAATTTATTAAACAAATATTTAAAGAATATAAAAATCATTTCTCACTACTTTCTAACTCTGGTCTAAATCGTCTGGTACACAAGCAATTATAATCTGGTACAGGGTATAATTAATTACTCTTTCGATGTCTTTAATCGCACTCTGTAAGCCTCTTGGGTATTAAAAATCGTATAACTCACCAGAATGGGATTTTCGGAATCGCAAAAGCAAGATAATTCTTATCCTTTGTGTTAGAAATACCAGGTAACTTAAAGCGCAATTAATGTCTGTCCGTTTGTTCGGATCAATTTTAGAAAATGAACACTGAAAACAGTGACTTTTAATTTTCGAATTCTAACCCTTTTAATTCCGCGAGACGACTGGAATTCTCTAAATTTACCTTATTCAATGCGTACTCTTGTTATAGGTGGTATTATAGGTACCCCACCCCCGTCGTCAAATACCGGTGCAATTTTTTTACGAATGCGATCTCTCCCCTTTGTTATGAAGTTACTTCAAGAACTGGATTTCCTTGAAACATTATTCTACTGTACAACAACACACAACTACCTAAAACAAGTTACATGTAGTATAATATACATTATTAGATCTGCACTCTGTTTTGCTACGGGTAGGAACTCTGAGAATTTCGTAGGACAGAGAAGGAAAGGAGAAAGGGCACGCGGTTTTCGTCAGGGCCCTGTCTTCGACGACTGGGATATTAGGAATTCGGTCGAGGATTTATAGCAACCAGGGATCGGTCGAGCGCCTGTGAGAGCGCGATCCCTCTGGTGGCGATCATGGGAGGCGACGCCACAATCACAATCGAAAGGTACATTTGATACTGTTTGATAATTCCAGACGCAAGACGTGTATTGTTGGAAAATTATCTCAGTATCAGATGTAATAAACAAAAGTATCGAATCTTCAATCGTTTAGTAGCAGCTGTTTCAGTCAATACGGTCGAATCACTTATTTTCTATCATACATTTACATACCATGATAGGTATGCACTCGCATACCTTTTGTATTTGGAACGTTTACAAATATCGACTATTATCACGGCTAGTACTCTAGAGTTGGTATTATACTTCTTTTAAACAGTCTTTTAGTTTTTCTAGAGGCCAAAATAAGACGAAAATCAAGAATACTAATTAGTTGATGGAAGTTTGTTAAAAAGTTATTAACGTTTAAAATTCCGCCGGAAATGAATTTTTTTCTCGAAAATGCGTAGGATTTCAGGGGTAATTGTAATGACCAAAAATGATTGTGATTAACCCCCGCGACCGAAAATAATTTTTCCAGAACAATTTGAAATTTTTTTTCGTCGAATTTAGGCACCTAATTAGATTTTCGGTAAGGAATTTTTTTCTCGAAAGTGCGTTGGATTTCAGGGGTAATTGTAATGACCAAAAATGATTGTAATGAACCTCCGCAAACGAAAATAATTTTTTTAGAACGATTTGAAATTTTTTTTTTCGTCGAATTTAGGCATCCAATTAGATTTTCGGTAAGGAATTTTTTTCTCGAAAATGCGTAGGAGTTCAGGGGTAATTGTAATGACCAAAAATGATTGTGATTAACCCCCGCAAACGAAAATAATTTTTTTAGAACGATTTGAAATTTTTTTTTTCGTTGAATTTAGGCACCTAATTAGATTTTCGATAAGGAATTTTTTTCTCGAAAATGCGTAGGAGTTCAGGGGTAATTGTAATGACCAAAAATGATTGTGATTAACCCCCGCAAACGAAAATAATTTTTTTAGAACGATTTGAAATTTTTTTTTTCGTTGAATTTAGGCACCTAATTAGATTTTCGGTAAGGAATTTTTTTCTCGAAAGTGCGTAGGATTTCAGGGGTAATTGTAATGACCAAAAATGATTGTAATGAACCTCCGCAAACGAAAATAATTTTTTTAGAACGTTTTGAAATTTTTTTTTTCGTCAAATTTAGGCACCTAATTAGATTTTCGGTAAGGAATTTTTTTCTTGAAAGTGCGTAGGATTTCAGGGGTAATTGTAATGACCAAAAATGATTGTGATTAACCCCCGCGACCGAAAATAATTTTTCCAGAACAATTTGAAATTTTTGTTTCGTCGAATTTAGGCACCTAATTAGATTTTCGGTAAGGAATTTTTTTCTTGAAAGTGCGTAGGATTTCAGGGGTAATTGTAATGACCAAAAATGATTGTAATTAACCTCCGCGACCGAAAATAATTTTTCCAGAACAATTTGAAATTTTTGTTTCGTCGAATTTAGGCACCTAATTAGATTTTCGGTAAGGAATTTTTTTCTTGAAAGTGCGTAGGATTTCAGGGGTAATTGTAATGACCAAAAATGATTGTAATTAACCTCCGCGACCGAAAATAATTTTTCCAGAACAATTTGAAATTTTTTTTCGTCGAATTTAGGCACCTAATTAGATTTTCGGTAAGGAATTTTTTTCTCGAAAGTGCGTTGGATTTCAGAGGTAATTGTAATGACCAAAGATGATTGTACTTGACCCCCGCAACCGAAAATAATTTTTCCAGAACAATTTGAAATTTTTTTTCGTCGAATTTAGGCACCTAATTAGATTTTCGGTAAGGAATTTTTTTCTCGAAAGTGCGTTGGATTTCAGGGGTAATTGTAATGACCAAAAATGATTGTGATTAACCCCCGCGACCGAAAATAATTTTTCCAGAACAATTTGAAATTTTTTTTCGTCGAATTTAGGCACCTAATTAGATTTTCGGTAAGGAATTTTTTTCTCGAAAGTGCGTTGGATTTCAGGGGTAATTGTAATGACCAAAAATGATTGTGATTAACCCCCGCAAACGAAAATAATTTTTTTAGAACGATTTGAAATTTTTTTTTTCGTTGAATTTAGGCACCTAATTAGATTTTCGGTAAGGAATTTTTTTCTCGAAAATGCGTAGGATTTCAGGGGTAATAGTAATGACCAAAGATGATTGTACTTGACCCCCGCAAACGAAAATAATTTTTCCAGAACGATTTGTAATTATTGAATTTAATTGTTAATAACTTTTCAACGAAACCTCCATCAACAAAGTATTTTTGATTCTCGTCTTATTATAATGCAAAATGAAGTATTAAATTGTTGTTTTTTGCCTGTCAGTATAAAGCATTTGTCTTTTAAAAAGGCTTGAATAGCGTTCGAAATTCATCATCTTCTAAAATTGCACGTTATTCAACCGTCGTTTAAATTTAAAAGGACAATCGAACGTAATTGTTAACCAGAAGCATGGCATAATGCTAGTTTAATTGTGCAACGTAAAATAAGAGTGAGCACAGTTGGTTCGATTTATTTCGTTGGGAAAAAAACAAATGTTCTTATGATTTTATTCGAATACCTGTTGCTGCGCGAAGCTTGGAACCAAAATGTCGGAAATGAAAGTAGCACGGTGGCTTTATGGACGATCAATAATCTCGAAGTACTCGGATGAATGCGTAGTTCTATCTGTTCCATCGTGAGAATCGTTTCGGACCTCGACCGCGAGCGTAATTTATTGGCATGATTGCTTCTCAAACCTTTTACCGTGTCGTGGTGTATTCGCTAAAAATTACGTGACAAATTTAGTGAAACTGTTAACAGCGAATGGGAATAACTTAAAGTTGGATTAAAAAAAAAAAAAGTTCAACAACGAAACGAAGATATTTAAAACTATCCAAAGGGTACCAAATTTTTGAATTCTAATTCTTTACATTCGTAGATCAGAAAGCCGCGAAATATATTATTTCGCAATAAATATTCCTTTGCTAAACAACGAAGCAGAAGGAGCTCGAACACAACAGTGAGAACAGTACTTGATATGTTATAAACATCGAAAAAGAAAATTTACAGCTCCTCGACTGTTTTGGTCGTTAGAATTTATGAACAGGATTGCGGTTGGAGGAACTAGGTACGTACGAATGCATTTTTATCGTCCGTATGCCGGTCGGTCTTAAACGTCAAACATAAACTGTATATTGGTAGCGCGAGCTGCACGTGTGTAACACAACTGTTGCTTTGCGTAACAGGTGTCGCGACACCTACGGCGAAAATGTCGCGCGAGTATGTCAGAAAAATTCCCATGGACACGGGTGTGCTTGAGAAATTGATTGTGCATTCTGACGAGGTACCGACAGACCAAGGGAATGCATTTCTTCTATCGTGCAAATTAACCAAAACGACATCTTCCATCATCGTATCGAAATACGTGAACAGACTGTAACTGCTGCAATATGGTCTGCGTTGTCCTTCCTGCAAAGGAAAGGGAAAACGGTTTCAAACTTACAATTTTCAATTCTTCTAATGTCTAAAATAAAATTAATCCGATATCTAAAAATATAGTATATCGCTAAATAGATTTCGAATACTATAATATTGCCACGTTTATAAATGTAGCGTTGTTCTCTGCGACTTCTCTGTTTCAAGTACATACGGGACTTTCTCCTTTCATGGCATAATTAGGTCACTACCATTGCATGTGCAACGTCTATGTAATCCTTGCTCCGTTATTTAGAATTAGATTTATTGCTGCCATTATAAATTATCTGCTCGGCTAAACGGTTTTCTTTCTATATTAACAAATATTATTTATTTATCATGAACTGTGCACTCTTTAAATTTTGTATGTATTATATTTATTCGTGATACGATATAAAAGAATTACGCATGCAGTATTCGGCGGGAAAATGAATTGGTAATTATATCAAGAACCAGCTTTATAAACATTAATTATAAAAGCTTAATCGAATCTTTCGTAATTAATTAAAATGCTTATTTATGATTATATTGCAATTTACTTCGATCGAATGTAACTTGTTTTTTCCAATTGTTGCAAATTGCAAATAAAGTACACCGCGGTCGATTTCCTCGCAATAAATCCGTAGAAAATTCCGTCGTTCGCGGTTTCTTTGGCCTTCGCGAGCCAGATTTCTTTGAGCTGCATTTGAAACCAGTAACCTTTCAGGAAACGATGGAGAGAAAGAAATCCTCGGGCGAGCCAACCAAGGATACCGAATACGGAACGTAAGCGTTGCATGTTTACAATACATACATGTATACATATACAGTTCACTCTAAAACAACAACGTAAAATTAAATTGAATGAAAAAAAAAAATCATTTTTTTCGTTTTTAGTATATTCCGCAGTTTTCGTCATGTTTCTAATAAACGAAAACGAAAAGAGACTTACGTTTTATATTAACCGAATATTTCTATATTTCACGCTATAATTCGTATAAATGTAAAGCGTTTTAGTAGACATTTGTTACTTTCTCATAGTTCGAAGCGTAATACTGAAAATATTCCAGCGTCAAATACAAAGATGAACTTATATCGTCCTGGATGTTCTGGAAAAAAAGAAGATATATAGTCGCTATATTGGCGTTTCTGGGATTCTTCACATCTTACATTCTGCGTGTCAATTTAAGCGTTGCGATTGTTGCAATGACCGCGAACGTTGAAAAACACGACGAACATGGAAATATTTATTATGTAAGTTTATAATGTTGGTATTCTATGATAAATCGTAAGTGAAGAATATCCGAGAAATTAATATACATAATTCGATGCGTTATCGTCTTATATCGAACGTAAATCCAATTAGTTTAACTCTTTGGGGCACGCTGGGATTAAATGTGCATGCCGCATGCGCGCGCATAGGTTTACATTTCAGTTGGTAATATCCTCAACAAATGTTACAAAATTCACTCGTGTTGGCAACATTCAACATACCGATACAGGTTCACCAATTGTTGCAAGCGGAAGGATTTAACATTATACCTTTATTAATTAAAATATACCAATTTTGTTTGATTCAAAACGCAATGAAATTTCTATGGAACATGGGTCTATTTTATTATCTGAAATCCTGTGCCTGCAAAGAGTTAAAGAAAAGTTGATGATACGTGCTTTTGATTTGTGTCTAGCAAATATTAACTATCGATGATAAATTCAAGATGAATTCAATAACATTGTACGAAAGCAGAATTATATTTCGAACGCATCCATTTTTAAATGCATTTAGAGCGTTACTTGCAGGAAAGAGAATTTGACTGGGATTCGAAGACCCAAGGACTGGTTTTGAGTTCCTTTTTCTACGGATACATAAGCACGCAACTGCTTGGAGGATGGCTTGGAGCTCGTATTGGTGGAAAAAGGGTGTTCGGTCTTGGGATTGCAGCTACAGCCTTATTCACGATTATCACACCGCCTCTGGCTAAAATAAGCGTCTACATTTTAATATTTTTACGAATAATTGAAGGAATTTGCGAGGTAAATGATGTTAAAACTGTTCCTCTATACCGGACACCCTGTTTAATTATAAATAAATAACTCATGAGCCATTAATTCAAATTCAGGGCGTGACATATCCTTGTATACACGCAATATGGGCGCAATGGGCACCTCCGTTGGAAAGGTCGAAATTAGCAACCATTGCATTCTCCGGAAGTTTCCTTGGAACAGTATTTGCCATGCCCGTTGCTGGCTTGATGGCCGAACACCTTGGTTGGTCCTCCATATTTTACGTATTCGGATCAATGGGCCTCGTGTGGTTCTTCCTCTGGTGGATAATCGTGAAGGACAAACCGGAGGACGATCCGTACATCTCCGAAGCTGAGCTTGAATATATTAAATGCAGCCTTGGAAAGACGAAGGAGGAGGAAGTGAGTTACTTCTTAAACAGTTAAATAAAATATTCTTACGGACAAATTCTGTTCTGCAGAAAATTAGCCATCCATGGAAAGCTATGATGACGTCCCCGCCAGTCTGGGCTATTGTTGCAGCTCACTTTAGCGAGAACTGGGGATTTTACACTATGCTCACTCAACTACCGACATTTATGAACGGTCAGTGGAATTACATATTCAACGAGGATCTTCGACAGCCATAAGTTCCACTTAACCAATTTATCTTTAGATGTATTCGACTTCAAGTTGGATAAAACTGGGTATTTATCTGCCCTACCGTATCTGGCTATGACTTTCGTCGTGCAATTTTCTGGTCACCTAGCAGATTATTTAAGAACAAAGAAAATTTTAACGACTACACAGGTTTGTTGCTATTCATAATAATTTCTACGGATATCTTCCTCATTTCGTTGACACATTTTTATCTTTGCCGCAGGTACGAAAGTTATTTAATTGCGGAGCATTTATATTCCAAACAATATTTATGACCTGTACAGGCTTCATCTCCACCGAGGCAGCAGTGATTATTTGTATTACTATAGCAGTTGGCCTTGGTGGCTTTGCTTGGTCCGGTTTCGGGTAAGTCTTTTCGTATTTCAAATATACGTATGTGGCGTTGCCTCCCATACTCGCCACGAGAGGGATCGCGCTCTCACAAGCGTTCGATCGACCTCTCGGTTGTTATATATATACACTTCTCGAACGACTCTCTAATATCCCAGTTGTCTAAGGCAGAGCCTGCTAGAAAGCCTTACTGATGAATCTACTAGCAGCCCCCTCCTTTCCTTTTCTGCCCTCCTGCGATTCTCACGAGTTCCTAACCCCGCCGCAGCAAGCAGCAGCAGCGCTCCCAACATATATACCTAAAAAAATACAAATACAATATAAGAACAAAGAAATATTGATGGTGTACGTTGTCAGAATAATTAATTTATCTAAGAATAAGAAATCATGAATTCTAATATTACATAATTCGTATGAATTAATGAACTAATTATAACATGAGAGTTTAAGGCGTTCGTGGACTGAATTTGTACTTGAGTTCATGGGTTCTGGGGGAAGCCCCATAAACTCGAGTAATTACAACATGTACAATACATTTAAGAAGTTTATTTTATCGTAATGTAAAAATAATTAGAATATTTGTATTTTTTAGAGTTAATCATTTAGACATAGCTCCTAAACATGCAAGCGTACTTATGGGAATAGGAAACACTATTGCCACTTTGCCTGGCATTGTTAGTCCAATTATCACTGGATATATTGTTCAGAACAAGGTCAGTTCATACTATAATCTATGTGCATATTTTTAGTTAACCTTTAAAGTCACAAAAAGAGATATAATTACAGAGTCCTGGAGAATGGCGCACAGTCTTTATAATTGCTGGCGCAGTATATTTACTAGGAGCTTTAATATATGGTTTGTATGCGTCTGGTGAGAAACAAAGTTGGGCAGACGATGATCAGAAAACAGAGGAAGACACAAAACGGTCTTACGACAATCCCGCGATGGAAATAGATAATTTATAACAAAAAGATCGAATTTTCTAACATTTGAACATTTATTCCAACAAGTACATATCATTTTCAATATGTACTTGGTTTACGCATAATTAGAATAAACTGTGAATAATATATTTACTAGGTATAAATATTTATACAAGACGTTTGTACACCTGTAATAAGTATATTTACATTAAATACAACACAATTTTAAACTATTTTAAATGTTTTTATGATGCGTACCTTTCACTGCCAGTTAAACATGGTTCTTGGAATGACATAATTTCCTGAAAACCGCCAAACCTTGTGCCACCTCCTCGGACATCGTGTGCTCCTGATACAAAATCTCAAAATTGGTCGAAAAGGTTAAAGTTTTCTTGCGAGATAGTACCGCCATCGTACGGCAAAACGTCCAAGTTTGTCGAGAAATAGACCAACGCATATAATTCATCTATCGTCTTTCCACGAGAAGAAGGCACAGCGTGTTTACATCCCCACTCTTGCTGCAGCCCGGTGATTGGCTGTCACCGATCTTCGTCACAGTTTTCGACCAATACCTGTGAGTCAGAGGACTGCAACAAGAGTGGGGATGTAAACACGCTGTGCCTTCTTCTCGTGGAAGAACGGTACTTCACAACAAATTTTTCTTCTACTGGACACCCTCTCATATTGCCATAACTTTTAACTTTCAATAACGAAATTTTATTTAAAATAATGTATTACAAATATACTTACATAATATATCTATTATAAAATAGATTAAATTAATTTTCCTAACCCAGACCTAACCCCGCCGCAGCAAGCAGCAGCAGCGCTTCCACACATCTACCTAAAAAAATACAAATACAATATAAGAACAAAGAAATATTGATGGTGTACGTTGTCAGAATAATTAATTTATCTAAGAATAAGAAATCATGAATTCTAATATTACATAATTCGTATGAATTAATGAACTAATTATAACATGAGAGTTTAAGGCGTTCGTGGACTGAATTTGTACTTGAGTTCATGGGTTCTGGGGGAAGCCCCATAAACTCGAGTAATTACAACATGTACAATACATTTAAGAAGTTTATTTTATCGTAATGTAAAAATAATTAGAATATTTGTATTTTTTAGAGTTAATCATTTAGACATAGCTCCTAAACATGCAAGCGTACTTATGGGAATAGGAAACACTATTGCCACTTTGCCTGGCATTGTTAGTCCAATTATCACTGGATATATTGTTCAGAACAAGGTCAGTTCATACTATAATCTATGTGCATATTTTTAGTTAAACTTTAAAGTCACAAAAAGAGATATAATTACAGAGTCCTGGAGAATGGCGCACAGTCTTTATAATTGCTGGCGCAGTATATTTACTAGGAGCTTTAATATATGGTTTGTATGCGTCTGGTGAGAAACAAAGTTGGGCAGACGATGATCAGAAAACAGAGGAAGACACAAAACGGTCTTACGACAATCCCGCGATGGAAATAGATAATTTATAACAAAAAGATCGAATTTTCTAACATTTGAACATTTATTCCAACAAGTACATATCATTTTCAATATGTACTTGGTTTACGCATAATTAGAATAAACTGTGAATAATATATTTACTAGGTATAAATATTTATACAAAACGTTTGTACACCTGTAATAAGTATATTTACATTAAATACAACACAATTTTAAACTATTTTAAATGTTTTTATGATGCATACCTTTCACTGCCAGTTAAACATGGTTCTTGAAATGACATGATTTCCTGAAAACCGCCAAACCTTGTGCCACCTCCTCGGACATCGTGTGCTCCTGATACAAAATCTCAAAATTGGTCGAAAAGGTTAAAGTTTTCTTGCGAGATAGTACCGCCATCGTACGGCAAAACGTCCAAGTTTGTCGAGAAATAGACCAACGCATATAATTCATCTATCGTCTTTCCAGAAGAAGAAGGCACAGCGTGTTTACATCCCCACTCTTGCTGCAGCCCGGTGATTGGCTGTCACCGATCTTCGTCACAGTTTTCGACCAATACCTGCGAGTCAGAGGACTGCAACAAGAGTGGGGATGTAAACACGCTGTGCCTTCTTCTCGTGGAAGAACGGTACTTCACAACAAATTTTCCTTCTACCGGACACCCTCTCATATTGCCATAACTTTTAACTTTCAATAACGAAATTTTATTTAAAATAATGTATTACAAATATACTTACATAATATATCTATTATAAAATAGATTAAATTAATTTTCTATACTATCTATTGTGAAAACAACCGTTCCTCTTTTATCGTTATCTTCTTCATCGTGAACTTCATTTTCCTCATCTTCGGAACCAGACGATGAACTGGAGTCTTTTTCTTCCCGTATATGGTAGTTATCTATATTCTTGAGTGGAGGGCCAACACAATGTAAACCGAGTTGTTCAGCCAATCTTTCTGCTGCATGTTTGGCTTGAATTTGCTGATAAATAATATTGCAGTTCTCACCATACATATCTTATAGACAAGAATATTAAGTACAGAATTATTGGAGTTAATTACCTGAAGTTTCTCAGCGTGTTCCTTCTGTAGCTTTAGAGATTCATTTAAGTTTATAATCTTCGCTGCGCTATGAACAATTAGTGGAGGTGTAGCTGCCGTAACTTCCCAGTTCTTAGGTTGCTTCCTTTGTTTCTCTTTTTCAGGATCATGTACATTCGATTTGGTCGTCTTATATGGTTTGAATTGTTCCCTTCTCTGATTCGTTGTCTTCGGTGTGTTCTCTACTTTGTTAACAATATATTGTACATGTTCATCTGTAGATTCCGCTTTAAAAGATTCGATTTCCGCTACATCTTCTAATTTTATTAAATTTTCCTCCGGTGGTAGATGTATAATTTTCTTCTTATGAACACCAGAACCTGTAGGCTAATGGTAGCGAATATATCAATAAATTCTATCGAATAGGAAGTAATTTTCGTTAATATGAAACTGACTTGTGCCAATATTTTCAAAGGATCTTCTTCATCGCCACTATCGAGTTCGATAATTTTTATTGTACTTTTTGTTTCGTTATAATTGCCAGTCCATTCTAGTTCGTTCATAGCATCTTTACCCTCGGATGCTAGATTTAGTCTCGATAAAAGATTAGCTGCATTTTCAACTTCGTTTTTATGCTCGAGTTCTTTCGCTATTTTATCTCTAAAATATTTGATCTTCTTCCCTTTATCCGGTAATTTTGATAGAAATGTTCTAAAAGAAAATTAGAAATGACGCACTACGAACAATCCATCCGACGGAACATGTATTTTAGGTCTTACCTACTTATTAGCGAGAATCTTATTCTGCCTTTCTAACAGCTCTTCTAATTCAAATTTTTGCTTCTTTCCTAAATCGTCTATAAATCCTTGATTTTGGCTTTTAGGTGGATGTGGCAGCTCGCCTGGAATTTTGTTAACCACTCTCTTCTGATACATTTGTTTTTGTTCTGCATGTATGAACTTCTGAAATATAAAATTTAAAATATTTTACAAGACATCTGCAATGTCAAGTATCAAGACGTAATACACTGTTGTGCAAAGATTTAAGGTTCAGAAATATTTCACGAAACAAGTTTGTAAATATTTACAGAATTAAACAATATCTTCGTACATAAAAATATCTTTTACATATTTCATGTGACACAATACTGTATATTTCAACATATATTAGATAGTACTCATTATTTTATACGCACATTGAAATCACGCGAAATATAATTTATCGTAGAAATCACGTGAAATTAAATTTGTAACGACGTTTTGTTTAGCGAACAGAAGTTTACATGACTGTGTGGGGACAGAGTGTAAGTCCCTAGCCTGTTTTCTGCATAGTTTATGAACGCTCGATGTAGTTGCCATAGACACAGCCGACTCTAGTACTAGCCGTGCTGAAGGTAAAATGGCAACACCGCGGGAGTCCGGCTTCGATATACCTAGCCCAACCTACCGTAACAGCCTCCCACTACCCACCGGCCTCTGGGCTACATAGGCTCCATCTACCGGCCTTCCGGTCTCCCGCCTATCTTTCAAATGTTTCAAATATTAATGTACCGAAGTCCATTAAATGTGAGCAACGGAGCAATAATCCAGGTGTTTCATTTATTTATATTAACTCTACAGATCCTGATTTTGGTGTGTAGCACACTTATTTAATATAATCTATAGCATTTTTGGACATTCTGTTTTATATACATTTTTTTTATAAATTTCACATATTCATTAATAATGCCACGGCGTTGCTGTGTTCCCAATTGCAAGGGAAATTATGATAGTACCTTAAAAGATAATAATTACAATTCTATATTTTTATTCCCCAAAGATGAGGAATTGCGGGAGAAATGGAGGGTTGCTATTCCTCGTAAGAATTGGACACCATCAAAATATTCTGCCGTCTGTAGTTTGCATTTTGCAGAAACCGATATTGAAAGGTACCACGGTATTCTATCGCCCAATGGTGTACTGGAGAATGTTTTGTTGAGATGTCCAAGGCTTATAAGGAATGTAGTACCCTCCATTTTACAACCGAAAAATTAGAAAAACGATTTGGAAATTATAGACTTTTATCTGGTTGTAATTAACATGTGCCATATAACGAAATAATTCATGCAGAAAAAAAAATTAGAGTAAAACATATATTTACAAAATCGGCAAATTCGTTTTCTCTTACTGAAATCAAAAATAAATTTCGAATTTGTGATGACTAGACTGCGGATTTTTATGCAAATTCACATTTTTATTAATAGAATTAATGAAACGGAAGCTTCGCAGAGGGCTGTCTCAACCCCTAAATATAATAATTCGTATCTTACTTTAAGTATTTCTTATATTTTTGCATATTAAATGCATTCTGTAGTTTTTTGGGGATTAAAATTTCCCATAAATGCATAAATATCCGCAGTCTAGTGATGACAATAATAACGATCTTCATGATCTTCCCACTGATGTGACTTGTTTCTCAGGAATCTTCGATACCGAATACTTGTCCGATTGTGTTGTAGATGATTCCATTAAAATTTATATTTCTGGTTATGGGTCCCATTCTGTTGCTAAAAAATTAAATTGCAATATATGTCGTTTATTAGTTGTGGAGGATAAAGGTAAAACTGTAGGCGATCTATATTTTGATCACTTACAAAGAGAGGGCCTTTCTGTCCCCACTGAAGAAGCGATAGCCTCATTTATTCATATGTATGCAATAATGGAAGCCATAATAAATGATGGCAATTTAGAATCTCAATTTTTGCAATCTGGAAATCATAAACATATTTTATGTGAATTAACATATATTAGCATTCAATCAGACATACATTATTTAGCATTTTCAGATACATGCGTTTGTGGTCGAGCTTACCAAAGTATTTGGTTTAAATTATTATCAATTTTTTCAAATATTTTATTAAACGATTATGTGAAAACTGTAAATAATAGTCAGTTGGAAACACGTACAGACATCGCTTCTAAAAATCGTAAATTAAAAACTTTTAATAGGACCTAGATTTTCAATGATTTTTTTTTAATTTCATCTTTCTTAAAACATTAATTTTTATATATATTTAACTTACTCCTTTCAATATGTTTTAATACATTAATAGAGTTTTATTTACTTGCTTAGTATATTTTTATTATGAATACTATTTCGCAAGATTCAAAGTTTTATTAGTTGTATTTCAAGAGAATTTCAAAGTATGTTTTGATATGTTTTGTTATTAATATTATTCAAAATTATTTATTATTATTTCAAAATGTAATACTTTATTTCTTTAAGAACACAAAAGTTATGTTTTTGTTATGTTCTATTTAAAAATATTAATTTTATTTTAGAAAATGGGATGATATGGCTATTGGCGAACCACCCATTATAATAAAAAAAAAAAGGTAACGCGCCATGGTAAATACCCCTAGGGTGGTGAGGAAATATTTCACAATTATCATACTGTCCTCTAACACGATTTTATAATTAACTCCATAATTGTTCCATTCAATAGCTAATTATGCTAACCTCTTTTCCACGGGCACTTAACCTGTTTTGCTTCGTACCAATAATTTTGCCTATTTCAGGTCTCTAGTAACTTATACATACCTTTATCAATTTTTAAATCCTTCAGTTTGGTTCAAACATGGTTTTAACTTGTTTCACACTTCTATTTTCTTGAAATCTCTGTAAATATTTCAAATATAATGCATCACAACACCAAACTATTCCGACAGTCCACAAAATATATACCACATTTATAAATATTAATATACTTCTGTATTACTTCTACTTACTATAGTTATAATATTCATATATTCCTTATACATAATTAATAAAAAATACTGTATATTAGTATAATTTTATATCGCAAAATAACGTTGATTATAATCCTGAACACAAAACTCCACTATTGAAAATCGGACTCCCGAACCGCACATGAGCGGTGTTGCCACGTTCCATAGCACGGCTAGTACTAGAGTCGGCTGTGCCATAGGTTGACGACGCGGGTATTGCGCCATCTGCAGGAGGTAATCTATACTAGGCGCTCTCTTCAGCCTGGTGGCTAACACGTGTAACGCGTCACGATAGTGAATTGGAAAAGTCTTTTAATAAACGTTGTTATTGTTACAAACATTTAGTAATTTCCTTATATCACCTACAAATGCAATCGAAGGTTCTAAACACGTTCTAACCTGCGATTGGTAAAATGGACAACATCATCACACTTGACCAATCAGAACACTCCTAGCACCTTCCATTGCAATATGATTTTTTCTTACATCGACTTTACAGTCATAGCGTAAAGTTTTCTATGTCCTCGATCTGAAGTTGCATTAAATTTCAAACATTTTTGAATTAGTAAACAATACAAAAGTTCAAATGAAACATTTATTTTAGACTTGCATTGTAACATAAAATGGAAAACTCTATGCGAAATACTAATCGTACGATTAACACAACTAGAACGTCTCAAACAAGAGAAAGACAACGGTTTACTTTAACTTCTAATTATGTACCTGATGTAGAGGATCCTGATGACACTCTAGAAGGTAACTTTAGATATGTTATATTATACAGACTGTTTTAGAAACAGGTAACTAAATTTTCAAAGCGTTCCAACTCGCCATAAGCGATTTTTCTTAAAAATGTTCTTAAGTGTTTGTTATTCAGTTTGTTATTTAAAATACTGATATTGTTAAATAAAAATGTTTCAAGCATGCGGTCGTTAAATATTTCAACCGATATATTTTTATACTTCTCATCGACGAAATATAATATTAATATTTAATACAGTAAATTAAAGTCTAATATTAATGTTGCATACTTTGTAGAACTATTATATAAAACATGGACTATCTTTGGTGTATCTACTTTTTTCAATTTTCATCAAGACGAAGTTCATTTAAAACAGTATTCAAAACGATTAAGGGAGGAGGTTGCAATTACGTTAGCGCAAGAAGACGTCACGTACGATGCAAAAGTCTATGTTATGGACAATGTTGCGACTAGACCTAGTCCAATCGATCCACCGCCAATGAAGGTATTAGCATCGATCAGTAATATATGTTTGTCAAAAAGTAGTTTTAAATTTTGATACGTACTTTACGAGGAGACCTCATAATAATTATGTATTTAATACGTAACAAGTAAACGTTTGCAGGTCGAAGTTTATGCCAAAAAGTATAGTAACGATGAAACTGTAGAAAAATGTATTTACAATGGAGTGTTCTTATCTTGGGGAACTGCTAGAAAAGAATTAACTGTCCCTAATTGTATCAGGTTACCTCTCCTCTTATGTCGTGGTACAAAAAGTGGTATGAATACTGTTCACAACGTGTTAAGTCTGATGTTCGATTGTACGGTTGTTGCATTACCTGTATCGGAGGACGATTTAATATGGCTTATTCCTATTGTAATTACTCCGATTAATGAAGAAGGGCATCTAAAAAGCACAGATAAAATGTGCATGGAATATAAATTGACAAAACCGTCGGATACAGATACAATAACAGTACATTTTCAGATTTCGGATTTAATAAGAATGTTAACAGCGTATGTTCACAAATATTTGCTACTATCGATGCAAAAAATATATGTTGTACAGTATACGCAATAATAATGAATTCTTTATTTCGTATGAATTTTTGATTTTTTAGAATAATAAAGGATCAAAGCGATGAAACAAATATTGAGATTTCCATTAATTCGGAACATATAGAGAAATGTCGTCAAGCTTTGTACGATCAAATATTACAAATAGCTGGCTTACAAATGGGGCTATGTATGTTGTGCAAAATTAATCTTTCTGCGTTCACAATAATGGAAAACAAAGTAAATGAATGCATTTTTAAATTTTTATAAATATGTTGCGAATGCTTTTTTTTTTGTTTTCTTGTAAAATATTCGTTTTTTTTTCATTTTCAGATGAAAATAGCTAATTTGACCGTTATGAATCGTGTCCTATTGTATTTGAATAAAAAAGCTCTTGATATATTTCACACATTCAACTTTGAGATATTTAGAAATGTGTGATCTCGTACATAAAATTTCTGTACATACATACATACGTACAAATTTTATCAGATATAACCTAATTTAGTTTGTCTTTTTTTCTTTAAATATATTTGTAACATACATGTATATTTATTTCCATGTAATGTCAGTTTTTTTTTAAATCTTATGTATAGTATAAATATTGTTCTTACAGTCGACATTCATAACTACTTTTTGTAAAAGGAAGTTATATATGTATAAAATGTAGTATCATTAAAGTCCTAAATGTATTTTCATATTAATTAAATTTCACTTCTGTAAGGAGCTCGTTTGTACGTGTAAAACAAAATTTTACTTTTAAGAATTCTCACTCGCTGTATCCATCTATAACAAAAAAAAAATAAACCATCAACTTAATTGATTAATAAAGTGAGTTGTTTAAAAAATAATTGGACTTACTCGACTTTCTGACTTTTCCTTCCTTTTTTTAGCTCTACCGTTAAGAATATAACATTTAAAATCTATGTATCCATCAGGTTTTTCGTCAAACAGAGCTGGTACAAGAATACCAAGTACTTCAGATAACATAAAAGGTTTTAACCAGGTTACAAGTGGAGTACGACCTTTTGTGTACTGTCCATCACGATGATAAAATAGTAATCCATCCAAGGGATGTAAATTTGAAAGATTAGCTAACGCTGAACTTATGTCAGTATCGCAACTGATGTTTGGCAAAGATAATACTGGAAATGTATTTACATACGTATCTCTTTCTCGTAATTCTTTTATCTCCTGTAATTGTGATTGTAACCAGAAAAATCTAAATTCAGTCTACAATAAAAAGAAATTCTTCTTAGTTTGTAATTATAACGTTAGGTATAAAATTAATAGAAAATTTTGTTGAATGTAAAAGCTAGAAACCTTACATCGCAATTCATTAAAGATTGATTAGACCATGCGAGTACATCTAAAACGTAATATATCTTCTGCTGTTTCATCCAAATGCAATCAATAATAGTGCAACTGCCTCTGTGACCATACGGATTACCACCTGGAAGCGCCGAATAAAATTTACCAAGTCGATTACCCTGTTTACTATATGCTTTAGTTACACCCTACAAAATAATATAGTCTAATAAAGTAGGAGCATTTTATTCCTTCCTCCGAACGATATTATTTTCATTTTTAACATACTTTGCATGCGACTACTAAAGTTCTTTTGCCTTGCGGACAAGGAACTATAATCCATTTTTCTAAAAGATCTTGAGGTACGTCTAACATCCATTCGGACATCATTAATTGATTTGCATAATATTTATATCGTTTAGATAAATGATAGTTTTTTTCTTTGCTTTCGTCAATTTCCATATCGTCTTCGAATTCATCTTCTTCGGAATGAAAGGATTGCTCTAATATTCTTCGTCCATTATTAAATGTAATATCTCTACATCTAACGAATAATGTTATTAAAATTATTATTCCGATCATTTCTTATTAAATGTAACGGTAAATGTATATTAGAAATATGTATACTTTTTTTGAAACTGTAGCAAACGCAGACGTCTTATTTCTTGAGCAGTATCAATATTATCTACATCCAGGTTATAATTGTCCTTTTTAATAGGTTTTTTATAAAATATAGCACGTGGATTGCCATTTTCTCTTTCATTCATTCCTATCGAACGATCTTTTACTTCAGTTGCCATAACTGAATTTTTACTGAATCGTATATGAAAAATAAATATGTTAACATATTATTATATTCCAAAATAAAAGAAAATAATCAATTTATATGATTAATTAAAATTACTACTTCCAACTTTATATTGTATTACAGTTAATTTTTTAACTTATACGATCATTATAAAGAAATGTTATTTTCCTTTATGTAATAAAAAATGTATACAAACCTATTCACAATATTTTCTTATACAATGTTCTTATACATTTTATTCTGTTAATGATACGTATATGTCATCGTACCAAGAAGACGTATTTAAGCATAAACACTACGTTCATTCATACCTTATGACAATAATAGTCTCTTCGTATCAGTGTGGCCAGATCTGACATAATTGAGTGCATCGACGTCGACATTAGTAACGACGAACTTCCTTAGCGTTTAACGGAGTGGTGGGGATAGCAGGCATATACTACTGCACGAGCCACGTGTACGTGAGCTCGGCACTTCGGACAACTTCGGGAAATCGATAAAGAAAGCAAATATGAGCCTTTCTTTCTTGCTCTTGTAACAGCTGAAGTCGTCGATACTTACAAGGAACCATCGCGAACGGTCCGGCTTCGATTTTGATGAAACTTTGTACACTTATAAAGCAGCCAAAAATAATCGACACGTATTTTTTTTTAGCTGCGGTAACTCGAGTTTAAGGGGTGAAACCACCCCTTGAAGTTTTGGCTCGAAACTGCTATCTCGAAAACGGAAAGACATACAAAAAAATTGTTAATGAGGGAGGTTGATAGTCTCTTATGTACAATAACATGGTGTTAAAAAATTTAAAAAAATACAATTTGTTTATAACAAAAAAAAATTTATTAACTTAATTTTTCATTTTATTGAAATTTTCATAATGACAAAAAATGACGAGCATTTTATTCCAAATCCACTGGTATGCGATTTTTTAAAATTGCCTCCTACAGTTTTGCAGATTTTGATGATTTACATCTTGCGCGCACATCCATTATGGTAGTAGCCGTTTTAATTTTGATTTTAATGAAGCACTGTAGGCTTGCACTACTTCTAGAGGACAAAATCGGGAAAAATACATGAATACCAATTTGTTGATGGAGGCTTCGTTAAGAAATTATTAATGTTTAAAGTTCCGCCCGTACTGAATTTTTTTCTCCGAAATGCCCAAGATTTCGGGGGAATGTGTAATGACCAAAAATGATTGTAATCGACCCCTGAAACCGAAAATAATTTTTTCAGAATGGTTTGAAATTTTTTAATTTTGTTGAAAAATTTCACACATTCTCGAATTTTTTTCTCAAAAGTGCGTAGGATTTCGGGGGTATATATATTGACCAAAAATGATTGAAATTGACTCCCGCAATTGAGAATAATTTTTTTAGAACGATTTGAAATTTTTTTTTTTCGCTGAAAAATTTAGGCACCTACGCCCTGTCGATTTTTCTTAAAAATTCGTTTTTCATTTTTAATAATTTTGTTCGACGCTCTACAAAAAAGTTGGCCAATACTTTTTTGTAGGTACCTATGAGCTCTATTTCAGAAAAAAGTTTCATTGAAATATATTCACTATTGTAGGAATTATGGCTGTTTGAATATTGGACCATTTTTATGGGGTTTTTCTCATTTTGCGGGGTCAAGGATCAACTTTTTGCATATTTTTGCGATTTCTACGTATTCTTGATTAAAATACGCGTCGTTTGCATTTTTGAAAATTAAAATCCTTCAATCCGTTCAGAAGTTATGACATTTTAAAGATCCGCATTTCTGGCCATAAATTACATTTTCGATTAGGAATTTTTTTCTCGAAAGTGCGTAGGATTTCGTGGGTATATGTATTGACCAAAACATGATTGTAATTGGCCCCCGCAACCGAAAATAATTTTTTCCTGGAGGATTTGAAATTTTTTAATTTAATTTTTTAATAACTTTTTAGCGAAGCCTCCATCAACAAATTGGTATTCTTGTATTTTTCCCGATTTTGCCCTCTAGAAGTAGTGCAAGCCTACAGTGCTTCATTAAAATCAAAGTTAGAACGGCTACTACCATAATGGATGTGCGCGCAAGATGTAAATCATCAAAATGTAGGAGGCAATTTTAAAAAATCGCATACCAGTGGATTTGGAATAAAATGCTCGTCATTTTTTGTCATTATGAAAATTTCAATAAAATGAAAAATTAAGTTAATAAATTTTTTTTTGTTATAAACAAATTGTATTTTTTTAAATTTTTTAACACCATGTTATTGTACATAAGAAACCATCAACCTCGCCCATTAACAATTTTTTTGTATGTCTTTCCGTTTTCGAGATAGCCGTTTCGAGCCAAAACTTCAAGGGGTGGTTTCACCCCTTAAACTCGAGTTACCGCAGCTAAAAAAAAATACGTTCGATTATTTTTGGCTGCTTTATAAGTGTACAAAGTTTCATCAAAATCGAAGCCGGACCGTTCGCGATGGTTCCTTGTAAGTATCGACGACTTCAGCTGTTACAAGAGCAAGAAAGAAAGGCTCACATTTGCTTTCTCTATCAATTTCCCGAAGTTGTGCGAAGTGCAGAGCTGACATACACGTGGCTCGTGTAGTAGCATATGCTTGCTATCCCCACCACTCCGTTAAACGCTAAGGAAGTTCGTCGTTACTAATGTCGACGTCGATGCACTCAATTATGTCAGATCTGGCCACACTGTTTCGTATTTACTTTAAGTTATTCAATATTACAAAAAGTGTGTTGCAACTGTGTAACAATTTTGTTGCGTATAAATTCTTCTGCGGTAAATGATTGGTAACAATTGATAAAGAGCTGTTACCAACATGTATTTTCGAAAAAATAAAGTGCAATTTCTGTAAGTTTACAATAAAACTAACTAAAAGGGAAAGTAACACAAAGTAACTACACTTGCTCTAGTTCTACTTTATATGAAAACTACCATGAACGATTATCAGAGTGGTATTTTCGCACGATTCTTAAGGTAGTTGTACCAGAAAATAAATTAGAAAAGAATATTAATGAGTCGAATAGCGATGACAAAATTCGTGTCAGTTTATATACTAAATACATTATAAAGTAAGATTTTTAAAAGTATTCACGTTTGTTCGTGAAATTATTGTTCATGACAGAACATACACACCACTTTTTATGATATTATTAATACAGTTTTGATTGAAGATAACGATGGATGATCAACAATTGAACAATTTAATTAAATGGTTAGATACCTTTGATATTCAGGCACCTCACTCGTCAGTAGAGGACATAAGTGATGGAGTTGCTTTAGCAAATGTTTTGGCCCAAATTGCACCCGAATGGTTCACAGCTGCTTGGAGGTCAAAGATTAAGACTGATGTAGGTACTAACTGGCGGTTGAAAGTTAGTAATCTAAAGAAAATAATCGAAGCCGTAATGGAATATTACATAGAATGTTTGAATCAACAATTATCAGGTTATATTAAACCTGACGCAACTAAAATTGGCGAACATTGTGATAATTATGAATTACGCCGTTTATTACAATTGATTCTTGGGTGCGCTGTTAATTGTAATCAAAAGCAACAATATATAACAAGAATTATGGGTATGGAAGAAACCGTCCAGCAAGCTATTATGCAGAATATTCAAGAATTAGAAAGTAATATGAACGGTCCGAGATTAAGCTTAGGTACTAGTCTTAACTTTGAAACGTTGGATGTAGCTGATGGTGCTCAGCAAAGATTATTGGCGCAACTTCAATCGACTGTCGATATGAAAGAGCAGTTAGCCCAAAGGTGTCACGAACTTGATCAGCAGCTTTCGCTTCTGCAAGAAGAAAAAGCGGCGTTAGTGGCGGAAAATAAGAAACTCCAGGAAAAATTAGACGAATTTGATAATACGGAAGAATCTGGTTCTATTTTAGAGTATTCTGGCCTTAGGAAAGAAGTAGAAGCTCTTAAAGATGAATTATTTAAGGTAGAAACATCTAGAGATGATTATAGATTAAAGGTAGAGCTATTAGAAAAGGAAGTGTTAGAATTACAGTCCAAGCAAGAAGATTTACAAAAAGCAGCGGACGAGGCTAATCATTTAAAAGATGAAATAGATGCGTTGAGAGAAACTGCGGATAAAGTAGCTAAATACGAACTTACAATAGAATCGTACAAAAAGAAAATGGAGGACTTGAGTGATCTAAGACGGCAATTTAAAATATTGGAAGATAAGAACTTGGAGTATTTGCAATGCAAGATAGATTACGAAGAGGAATCGAAACGAACTATAATGCTGCGCAATCATTTAGAAGTCTGTAAACAACAACTCGCAGAGGTTCATCATAAATTAGACGAACAAACTAATAAGTGCGATAAACTTGAATTCGAAGGGAAAAAAATGGAAGCAAAGTTAAGTACTTTACAAAGAGAAAGAGACAGATTAATCGTTGAAAGGGATGCTTTAAAAGAAACAAACGAGGAATTAAAATGTACGCAATTACAGGCAGCAGAAAATATGGCAAAACCTAATGCCGATAGTACGGTCGGAAGTACAGAAATGATACCTCTTGAAATTAAAGAGAAGTTATTATGTTTACAACACGAAAATAAGATGTTGAAGCTTAAGCAAAAGGGAAACGATGATAAATTGCCCACAGTTCAAGCGCTGTTAGAAGATTTTGAAGGAAGATTGAATGTACTTAGAGGTCAGAATCGCAAAGCCAATCAAATAATAATCGAATTAGAAAATAGATTAGAAGAGGCATTAGGAAATCAAACAAACGGAGAAAATAAAGCTGACAATACCAATTTAGAGCAGAAAATAATACAGTTGGAGGATGAATTGAAAAGAGCGCATGGAGAAAAAGAACGTTTAATTCTTCAAATTGAAGAACGAGAAAATGCGCTTCAAGCACAAAAACAAAAAGCTTTCGCTCTGCAAGAGAAGTTATCGCGCCGAGAATATGATAATGCAGCGCTCGAGGAACGTTACCGAAAATATGTGGAGAAAGCAAAAAGTGTTATAAAAAGTTTAGATCCTAAACAGAATAATTCGTCTCCAAACGAAGTGGCTGTTTTGAGGAATCAAATTTTAGAACAGCGGAAGATTATGGAGGATATGGAACGGTCTTTGAAAGAATCGAAATTAATCAAAGAAATGGAAGAGAAATTAATGGTGTCTGCGTACTATCGATTAGGTTTGACATGTCACAGAGAAGCAATAGACCGGCGTCTTGCTGCCTTGAGTTCGGGTCAAGGGCAATCTTTTTTGGCAAGACAGAGGCAACCGTCAGCTAGACATCATCTGCCTTATAATTCTAAATAATATGTAATAAATTATCTATTTATATATATAGGCTTTATTTCAATTAGAATTAAAAATAGTGGCAACTATGCGGATAAAATAATTAACCAGTTAGCTGTGGCGCCCCCTTTCGAGTCAATCACAGCTAACTGGTTAAAGACTTTATAGAATTTAACTTGTTAGGACTTACACGATTTCACGCTGCAATATTAATCTTTATGCTTTGTAAAATGTATTGTTTTGGCAGGGTTTGAACCTGCAGAGCAGAAGAAGCTCGGAACTTGCAAGGAAATACCTTGTCATTCACGCCACGCTGGTTGTTTGCAAAATGTATTGTATACTTTATTATTCTTTTAATTGTTAACAGAAAATTTATCACCAATGAATTAGCAAAATTTCTGATTGCTTTTTTACAAAGCAGATATGGAATCATAATACAGTATGCAACTCGATGTATATATTGTACATGTTTCCTATTTTTATGCTTAAAACATAATAAATATGTATACACACGTTATATAAATATCGAAATATAAAAATACATAACTTCGTACGTTTCTGTTTAGTAGGAACTAGAATAATGAAATGTAATTGCTCTAATCTCTTCTCGACACGACTAAAGAACGATCTAAGAAACTGAGAGTCAGATACACCTTCCTTGATCACACTGTGCAAGTAGTTGTAGGAAGTGGGTATAACATTATTATAATATTTATTCAATAAACATACAATTGCACACATACAGTAGGAGATTTCTAAAATATTATTTTCCACGAAAAAGATTTATAAAGGAAAGACTGCTAAATATGGTATATAAAAATAATAAAAAGGTATTAGAGACGAGCCAAACATTTAGTATGCTGCGACAAATCTGAAATAATATAAAAGGAAATAAATATACATGAAGTTTTTTGTTATTTCTTTCAATATATATTTTATACATTAGACTCGTTTTGTAAAGGAATTCATACAGCAGAAAAATATGTATAATACATTTTTTTTTTTATAAGAATATAACGAGACTTACGAATGATTCATAATGTTCATATTTGTACAAATTTTAACAGCTTTATCAATTATAGAAAATGCAGAAAGAAATCTACTTTTGAAAACTATTTTTATATACATAATAAATGCAAAATTCTATAAAGCGACATAAATATACAATGCGGGATATTCAAATTTTTATCTAATAATAATATTATTCAAATATGCTATTTTAGTACGCTGTGTTTAAATGTTTCATGGATACAAACTTTCAAGTGCGATTTGTCTTTTATAATGTAATTTATCTATGTACGCCAACTGTCTACTATTTTGTATTATAGGCTTCACATTTTGTATCTTCGTTATCTTTTGTATATCGGAATAACATCTTTGATAATAAAATATTGCATTAAGAAACTCCCATACATTAAATTCTGGCCACAACACGTTAGTGAAATAAATGCATGTGTTCGAAATCTGAAATTTATATTGAAGAATTAAAAAATGGTACAGACAAGGGATTTTATTTTCAAACTTACTTGCCACATAAGAAAATCACTGAATCTGACTTCACCGGAAGTACGAATCAATAAATCCGGATTTGGTGAGTCGTTAGTGTACAAGCAATTGGAAATTAGATTTTCGTCTATGTCGTCTAGAAGAATATCACCGCATCGAACGCCCTCGATTACATCCTTAATGGCATGCGTGATTTCATCTCTTGCTAAAATATAGTATAAGAAAAGAATTTACAAAATTAATTTCTCTTTACGTTAAAATTGTTAAATACACTTACACGTGTAAGCAAATGCGATATTAAGAAACACTTTGGTATGATCTTTAGTGAAAATCATAGCCGAAGCTATTAATTCTTGTATGTTTTGAGGTAGCAAAGACAAATTACCAATTATGCGAACGCATAATCCATATTGTTTGGTTTTCTCTCTGTAACAAATATATTTATTATTTTCCGTTACGTTAACAAAGATTGAATAATAATTTGAAGCGTACTTTTCGTCTAGAAGATTTCTAAATCTTTGTTCAGCAAGATTTAGAAGTCCGTTCACTTCTTCTTGTTTTCTTTTGAAATTTTCAATGCTGAAAGCATAAAACGTCACCTCTTGTATGCCAAGATCTCTACACCATTGTAGAGTTTCCGCAAATTTGTCGAATCTAAAGATTAAAATTAACATTTAGTAGAAATTATATAAAACGAACGAAATGCATGTGAATATAGCGCGTCTCGTTAGTACATACCCTTTCGTATGCCCCTCTATTTTTTCCATTCCATTTTTACTTGCGTAACGTCTATTACCATCCATTATAAATGCCACATGCTTAGGAATATGCCCGGTTCTTAAAACTTTTATGGCCAAAAGTTGAAACCAGTTTAAAGTGCTATCTCTTATCCATGACATTGTTTAAAAATGTTTAAATATATAGACTCTAGAAATAGTATTTGGAACTTCGAACGATTTTTACGTTTAATTTAAACTCAGTTGTTAAAATTAACATTGAATTTTTCATATATTATTTTTTTTATCGTTTTGTGTACTTTCCCACCACACATAATACTAAGGTATAATGACACATTTATTAAAAAATATATATATTATTTCACGTACATTTCTAACTGTAGAATGTTTAGTAACAATACTGACAAGAGGTAATTTGCGACACGTCACTGTCTATAAAAAAAAAACTAACTAAAATAATTATTCTACTGACACGTCGACATTTAACCTTATCAACATTTTAAATACACGTTTATCATCTTCGGGGATTGTAATACTTCGTTTCATAACATCTTTATTTATACAATTGGTATGTTATTACATTTGATTATCGTTAAGTTCATTAACAATTTTTTTCAGAAACATAAAACCTTAGAAAAGTTAAGTACATACGAAGCATTACATATGTATATATATATTTCTATGCATATATATATATGTATCGTTACACATCGATATTTTGAGTTTTATTCGAGTTACTCAACGTCCATCTTGAATGTTGGCTTATCTGAAAAATTCTATTTGTTTTTATTCTTCACGAATGTATGCATACGCGCATTTAAACATTTGCAACAATAATTAGTCGAATATTTATTTTGTACAATTATAGAAATAAATTTAATCCATAATAATTTCCTCGATATTACAAAATAAATACGAACATTATTATGCTATAAAGCAATTTGTAAGATTGAAATTAAAAAATTAATCTACTTATATCATCAATTAAAATTACGTATAAAGTTTTTAACATAACAGTAGTAGGTAGCTATATAAAAATTTCTGTTTTTATTAATTATAATCTTTCTGATTCTAAGATCTGTATTGCACTGTTTTTGTATTACAAAAGTTTTCTTTTACTAAAAATGTATTTTAGTAAATTCAATCGTTGATTATACACACAGTCTTATAACCCTCTTTAATTTCTATTAATTTTAAAATCAAGACTACCCTGTTCGTTTATATTTCCTATAACTATAGTTTACTGTCTCTAAATTTTTAATTTCAATTACCCGTATACAGATGTTCATACGTATGTTTCATAATTACAGAAATTTACGAACGATAGGAATTGTAATGGGCGTTTAAAATATCGAAACTATTTGTCTAATTGTTTCTCAAAATGCTGTAGGAGAAATTTCCTCTTAAGGAGCACGATTTTAAGAAAATTGCGTAGGGTTCTTAAGTAACAAATTACGTTACTGCATAATACGGTACGTTGTGTCGACAATCGGGTATGGGGGGGACTACTTTCCGTTGAGGAGGTGAGCGTGCGTGTGCGTCTCGCGGTCGAGACCTCGCGAGAGAGAAAATGAAATCCGAAATGGTTATTGCCGCGCTATGACCCTAAAAAGTAAATGTTTCTCTTTGTCCGTGAGTGAATAATAAACGATTGGTCAGGCAGAATGGAGGGCAGCGTGTCCAAGAATGAGACTGCAATAACACCAGGTAAAGAATGGGAGCGATAAGCGCCCTTACCATCCGCAACGAAGCGAGGCGTGCGGTTCGTTCCTAAGCAGCGTTCTTTCTTACAGAGCTGTACTTCGTAATTGCCAAATTCTTAGCGGCGGGACCTTGTCGTGAGGCCGCACAGGTGAGCGTTTTCTGGTTAAAAACGACCGAGTTACGGTGGAACGTATCGTGACGAGATATGTACGTTTCAGGTGTTGAAGCGTGAATTGGAGCGAGCTAAGGTAAGACGATTGGTCTGAGTTGACGTTTTGCCGGGGTGACACTATACATACCCATCGGCTCCACATGGTTTGCACGTGGTTTCTGCTTGTCAAAACATTAGAATTTCAAGGTCGGCGACCTTGATGCTCGACAAATCATACCAATTTTATTTCGAGTGCAATTGATCGATCGATCGATCAATTTTTATGATTTTTACATTTTTTCGCAGGTTTTGCCGCAAAGGCTAGATTGGGAAGGGCGTGTACATAATCAAACATTCGAAGAGTTGGTAAGTAAATAAATTTTTTTCTTAAAAAATTTGTTGTTTAGCGTACAAATATTCTCGACTAATGACAGAATAAATAAGCTGCTTTTTAGAATACCATTACGGTAAATTTTGTTTTATTGTGTCGTAAAGTGACAGATGAATGCGGATATATGAAGTACCCCTATTAGAGTGCTACCCCTTTTCTATCCCACTCTTCAGCCCTTCTCCTCCATGGCTGTATGCTGTTGCACAAGATTCCCCCCACCCTATCACTTTCAGCCAATAAGCATTAACTTCCGGCCATCTTGCGCGAGCTGATCAATGAGTATATCTCATGCTCAGACCTTATTTATAGAAACTGGTATCGTGCGTGACGAGTGGGCTGTTCAGATTGGTCGCTTTTGTTTGTTCGTTCTCTGATTGGTTAAAGTCAGGGACTACTTTACATTAGTTAAATTTAAATTGCTTGCGCGAAAGAATATTTAGTAAAACAATTTCTTTATCATAACTAAACGTATTTTTTAATTTACGATATATATAATATCAAATAAAGGGCAAGAGAAACAAATTACGAATTGTAATATTTCAGGAAAAGAAGTATTCTCATATTGGACCAAATCATTTGTTACAAATATGTGCCAGAATTGGTCCAGTATTAGAAAAAGAGGTACCTCCATGTATACCAGGAGCAGTATCTCTTCTCGGAGCAGGCAGACAATCTTTGTTACGTACACACGAGGGTAAGATTGAAATTAATACGAAAGTATTTTAAAAATTATTGACATTAAATTTTTCCGTGAATATTCATAGATGTTTTACGTCAAGTACGCGGCATCGTTTCATATTCTGGAAGACTAGGTGGAAAACCATTTATGAAATCAACTTATAGTTTATCAGTGCCTAATACAGGTAAATTGGAAATTTGCAGAATAAACATTTTACGTACTCATTGAACGTTACACCAGTGTTATTTTTTATTTTTCTATAGTACGCGTACTTCAAGGAAGGGAGAATTCAGGTCCTTTGAGTCGTCGTGAAGCGATACCTACAAGGTTTTATCATAGAATGCAATTGTACAGACACACGTTGGGACATTTATCCGCAGTATATTGTGTTCTCTTCGATCGTACTGGGAAATATATAATAACTGGTGCAGACGATTTACTTGTTAAAGTATGGAGTTCTATCGATGGGCGATTACTAGCTACCTTTCGAGGAGCATCGGCTGAAATTATGGACATAGCAGTAAATTTTGATAACAGTTTACTCGCTGCTGGAAGCCTAGATCGCATATTGAGAGTTTGGTGTTTTCAAACAATGTCTCCCGTAAGTAATTAATGATATGAATTTCGATTGGTACGGAAAGTAAATTATTTTTATTTCATTCCGAACACTTCCAGGAATTTCAGATACTTTCGGGATCCACCTGCACATCCCTTGTAATTTTCGAATACAAATTTGTATCACTATGCGTTTATTTATATTTGTCAGGAATTTTCTGTCAAAGTTTATTAATTATTAGCACTCACAGAGATCATTTTAAACGCGTACATTTATTCTTAACAACACTTTAATTTTTACACTTCACTAGGCTACGAGAGTGAGCGACTCGCGCATTACAATTAAATGCAAATACAACTTCAACAATATTTCGTTATTTCTTCGTAGGTTGCAGTTCTGTCTGGGCACTCTGGTATGATAACGTCTGTGAATTTTTGTCCTATATCTTGCAACGGTGTCTACTACTTGGTTTCAACAAGTACAGACGGGTCTGTTGCATTTTGGTCTCATACAAGAAAGGGGAAAGAGAGAGCAGTGTTTCAGTTAGTTGAAATATTTATATATTCGAATAGTAGCTTCGTTCTTTAGACTACTACGATTACTGAGATTTTCTGAATATTTTTCTCTTTCTAACGGATGTTATATATTTATTTTCTATAGGCCGAAACCGATTCAGTACCATGAAAAGATGCGACCTGGCCAGGCACAAATGATTTGTGCTTCGTTCAGTCCTGGTGGGGCATTTATGGCAGCTGGTTCAGCCGATCATCATGTTAGAGTATACGCGATGTTGGGAGATGAAGGTCCACGTAGGGTTTTAGAGGTCGAAGCACATTCTGATACAGTTGATAGTATTCAATGGGCGCATAGCGGTTTGAGGTTCATTTCTGGTTCGAAAGATGGTACTGCAAATGTGTGGAATTTCGAGCAACAACAGTGGATACATAAACGTTTATTAATGACTACGAAACTTCCTGGGTAATTATTCGAAACGTACATTACGAAGCGATCATCAAATCTTTGCTTATTTAATAATAAATTTAATAATTCCGTTCTCCGTTTAATTATTTTTAGAGAATCAGAACCAGATGATGATTCTAACAAAAAAGCCAAGGTTACTATGGTTAGTTGGGATGTAAGTGATGAATGGGTCATCACAGCTGTAAATGACAGTTCGTTAAAAGTATGGAATGCAAAATCAGGTGAATTAGTAAAAGTTCTTCGTGGGCACAAAGATGAAGTCTTTGTGTTAGAATCCCATCCGATAGATCCTCGTGTAATATTGAGTGCTGGACACGACGGGCAACTTATAATTTGGGATGTATTAAATACAGAACCTATAGCCTGTTTTCAAAATTTTATTGAAGGTCAAGGTAATGGTGCTGTTTTTGATGCAAAATGGTCCCCAGATGGAACAATGTTGGCAGCAACAGATTCCCATGGACATCTTTTACTATATGGTTTCGGATCTGGTGTTCAGAAACTTAAAATAGTAAGTCTCATTGGTTCTTAATTTCGGCGTTTAATTTTGTATATAAAAACACATTGGTAAACATACATTTTCTTTGTCTAGATACCAAAAGAATTATTTTTCCATACGGATTATAGACCATTGATACGAGATGCAAATAATTATGTTTTGGATGAACAAACACAGACAGCGCCCCATTTAATGCCTCCGCCATTTTTGGTGGATGTCGATGGAAATCCTTATCCGCCAGCGCTGCAAAGATTGGTTCCCGGAAGAGAGAACTGTAGAGGGGAGCAGCTAGTACCAAACATTGCAGTAGGTGCTGGAGGTATGAAAATTAATTTGTGCATTCACTATACATATGTATACAGGGTGTTCGGGCAGCACTGGGAGAAATTTTAATGGGAGATTCTAGAGGCCGAAATAAAACGAAAATGAAGAATAGTAATTTTTTAATTGAGGCTTCGTTAAAAAGTTATTAACGTTTAAAGTTGCACATGTGAGACGGGAACCGCGCGCGCTGCACACTTAAACTTCAAACGTTAATAACTTTTTAACGAAGCCTCGATTCAAAAATTACTATTCTTGATTTTCGTCTTATTTTGGCCTCTAAAATCTCCCATTCAAATTTTTCCCATGAGTGGCCGAACACCCTGTATATGGATACAAAAAGTCCATTATTTTTACGTAATAAACGTATTTTTACATTTAATAGGAATGCAAGAAGTTATAGAAGGTCTTCCATCTCAAGAACCACGGTCCAATATTGACCAATTAATCGAAGCTCTTGCACAAAGGCAAAATATTAACGTCGAAGGAGAGGGTGGTGATGATAGGGAAGAAAATGTTATGGAACAACCAGTTCGTCAAATGGCTAGTCCTCGTGGGAGCAGATCGGGCTTGAGAAGAGCCGGTGATGTCGAAGGTGTTCGACAAAGTAGTGGTAATTGGCAAAGAGATAATACTACACCTTGGAATAAGCCTATACTTGCTCGATCTATGAATCCAGCTGTTAGAGAAACACAATACAAAGTTTTGTACGTTTTACCCAATTTAATGTATTAAAAATTTTTTGATCTTAACTCTTATTGATACTTCTATCAATTATTTAAGTTCAAAAATAAATCCAACAATATTTATAGACACGCAACAGCGGACATGGAACTTGAGAATTGGAGACGCGAAATGCGAAGAAGGCCACAACCAGTGTCAAGTACCGTCACTACTGAAGGCAATATAAGCAGTCGATTAGCGAATCGTAAACGTAATAGAACTGCTAGACACGGTTATAGAACCAGGGCTGCACGTGGCGAGGAACAGGAGGACGAAGAGTTTGAGGTATTCTTTAAATTAATTGAAATCATCCAAACACTTTGTGTTTCTAAACATAATATGTGTAATCGTACCAATGCTTTCAGAATCTTGATAATCCAGGAACAACAGGAAGTTCTGCCAGTAGCAACAGCAATGACTCTACTGCTCACGAGGAAGATTTGTGTTCCGATAGTTCCACTTCAGATTCTAGCACAGAATATTCAGATTGGATTGCTGACCATGGTTTGAATCTAGAACCACCAAAGAGAAGTAAACGCAAACCTGTAAAGAAGCGATCTCTTACTCCGCCAAGTGATCCGGACAGAAGACGTAGCAAACGCCCTAAGAAAAAGGTAAGTAAGCATTGTTCATACGTACATACAGTGTGGGGAAATTAAAAAAAACATTTGTACTTTTTTCATACGTAAAAATGTCTCTGATTTTTTATGTGTAACATCATACGACTCGTACCAGAATCTAAAAGAATGATGAGCTTTTACTGAAAATATATTAACCGTAGTTGGTTTTAAACCTAACAGTTAACAGTTGAGTCAAGTTGGAGATTCGGTATCAGCATGAATTTGAAAAAAAACAGCGGTGTTTACTGGGCACTGCTTATCAATGAAAGTAACGTTACGTCATTGCAACCTTATATCTATGATTCACTGTCGGAGATATCAAAGTTGTCTTATTGGAATTTTCGATGACAATGATTATAAGAAGTAAATTTTCGAGAAACAGGAAAAATCTCATTAACTGTTAGGTTTAGAATTTATGACCTAATCCTTCACTCATGAAAAAAGTTATATAATAAACTTTTTGTATACAACACAGAATTTACGAGTTATTTTAGGTGAGAATGTCAGGCCTGTATGTACTTAATTTTTTGTTTTTGAAATTTCTATTTCAATATCGTTCTTTTTTTTCCAGTCCGTGCCGGTACCTAATGGCATTGGGGAAGTCCCAGAAGCTTTTAGACCTTCCGAATGGCTCACTGAAGTAATACCAAGAAAAGCTCCTTACTATCCACAGATGGGCGACGAGATTGTGTATTTTCGGCAAGGGCATCAATTCTATTTAGATGCGGTTAGAAATAAAAAAGTGTATGAACTTGGTCCGCGATGTGAACCTTGGAATAAAGTTAATATAAGGGTAAGACACTTTAGGAGCATTTATTTTTATGAATGTTACAATTCAGAGAATAATAAATTTAATATTCTTGTAGGCTCAGGAATTTGTAAAAGTAGTAGGCATTAAGTACGAAATTCGTCCACCACGATTGTGTTGTTTAAAACTAGCATTGATGGATGAAGATGGCCGATTAACCGGAGAGAATTTCACTATTAAGTATCACGACATGGCCGATGTATTGGACTTCTTAGTTCTACGTCAAACGTTTGATACAGCCTTAGCGCGTAGTTGGTCCGAAGGTGATCGATTTCGTTGTATGATTGATGATGGATGGTGGATGGGTCAAATACAATCAATGGAACCTTTGGATGAAGATTTTCCAGAATCTTTTTTCATGTGTTTTCGCGTCAGGTGGGATAATGGTGAATACGAGAGAATGAGTCCTTGGGATCTGGAACCAGTTGATGAAAACAGTACGTATAAAATGTTTGGCAATTTCTAATATTGGTCTGTTCGTATTACTAAGCCTTGTTTAAAAATTAGTATTCGACTGTTACCATAATTTTTAAAATATTTGTTGCAGGACTTCCTGCGGAACTTGGCGGTGCAGTTCCTGTACTTCCGGAAGAAATACGAACGATATTGTATCAGCCCCAGGCAGAAGAATGGCCAATGGGTGATAGAGAAGCGACTTGTCGTAGGATTATACGTGGATTAGATCAAGTGATGAGTCTTGCAATTGCAGAGCCTTTTATGGCACCCGTCGATCTCAACATCTATCCAGCATATGCATTTGTCGTGGAATATCCAATTGATTTGTCGACTATAAAGGCTCGTTTTGAAAATCATTTCTATCGGAGGGTTACGTCGGCGCAGTTCGACGTTCGGTACTTGGCGACAAATGCAGAGCAATTCAACGAGCCACATAGTCAGATAGTAAAGCACGCAAGAATAGTTACCGACTTGTGTCTACGTATTATAAAGTAAGATTTTGTTTATCTATACAGAAACGTTTTACATCGTCTATATTTTGTGTATTTACTTCATCTTAATTTTAGTAAGGTATATTATTGTAAAACGGATTGTGTTTTATTTATCGTTCAGAGAAACTACGGAATTGGATGTGCCAGCTATTTACCATCAATTGGTCGATACGTACCATTCCTCCGAGTCAGAGGTCGAAGTGGAAGATGCAAAAGATAAACCTTCTACAAGTACCCAGAGAGCAACATCCAGTAGAAATTTACGATCACAAGAAATAGCAAATGATTGGAAACTATCATGCCGCCAATTATTAGAAACATTATGGCAATGCGAGGATTCTATTCCTTTCAGGTAGAACAAGTTAATATTGGCACATACCAAAACAAAGTTATTTTCAATATACAGAGTGCTCGGCCACCCTTGGGAAAAATTTTAATGGGAGATACTGGAGAACAAAATAAGACGAAAATCAAGAATGTCAATTTGTTGATCGAGGCTTCGTTAAAAAGTTATTAACGTTTAAAGTTGCGACTGTGAGACTGCAATCTGCGCACAGCTGCGTGCGCGTGATAGCGGTGCTCACTCACAAGACTCGCAACTTTAAACGATAATAACTTTTTAACGAAGCCTCAATTGAAAAATTACTATTCTTGATTTTCGTCTTATTTTGGTCTCTAGAATCTTTCATTAAAAATTTTCCCAGATGTGACTGAACACCCTGAAGACATACCAAAAGAAAATTATGGTCGATATACAGAGTGTTCAACAACCCCTGGGGGAAATTTTAATGCGAGATTCTGGAGATCAAAATAAGACGAAAATCAAGAATGTCAATTTGTTGATCGAGGCTTCGTTAAAAAGTTATTAACGTTTAAAGTTGCGACTGTGAGACTGCAATCTGCGCACAGCTGCGTGCGCGTGATAGTGGTGCTCACTCACAAGACTCGCAACTTTAAACGATAATAACTTTTTAACGAAGCCTCAATTGAAAAATTACTATTCTTGATTTTCGTCTTATTTTGGTCTCTAGAATCTTTCATTAAAAATTTTCCCAGATGTGACTGAACACCCTGAAGACATACCAAAAGAAAATTATGGTCGATGTACGGAGTGTTCAACAACCCCTGGGGGAAATTTTAATGCGAGATTCTGGAGATCAAAATAAGACGAAAATCAAGAATGTCAATTTGTTGATCGAGGCTTCGTTAAAAAGTTATTAACGTTTAAAGTTGCGACTGTGAGACGGCAATCTGCGCACAGCTGCGTGCGCGTGATAGTGGTGCTCACTCACAAGACTCGCAACTTTAAACGATAATAACTTTTTAACGAAGCCTCAATTGAAAAATTACTATTCTTGATTTTCGTCTTATTTTGGTCTCTAGAATCTTTCATTAAAAATTTTCCCAGATGTGACTGAACACCCTGAAGACATGCCAAAAGAAAATTATGGTCGATATACAGAGTGTTCAACAACCCCTGGGGGAAATTTTAATGGGAGATACTGGAGGCCAAAATAAGACGAAAATCAAGAATGTCAATTTGTTGATCGAGGCTTCGTTAAAAAGTTATTAACGTTTAAAGTTGCGTCTGTGAGACGGGAAACGCGCGCGCTGCACACTTTAACTTTAAACGTTAATAACTTTTTAACGGAGCCTCAATCAACAAATTGCTATTCTTGATTTTCGTCTTATTTTGGCCTCCAGGATCTCCTATTAAAATTTTTCCCAGATGTGACTGAACACCCTGAAGACATACCAAAAGAAAATTATGGTCGATGTACGGAGTGTTCAACCACCCCTGGGGGAAATTTTAATGCGAGATTCTGGAGATCAAAATAAGATGAAAATCAAGAATGTCAATTTGTTGATCGAGGCTTCGTTGAAAAGTTATTAACGTTTAAAGTTGCGACTGTGAGACTGCAATCTGCGCACAGCTGCGTGCGCGTGATAGTGGTGCTCACTCACAAGACTCGCAACTTTAAACGATAATAACTTTTTAACGAAGCCTCAATTGAAAAATTACTATTCTTGATTTTCGTCTTATTTTAGTCTCTAGAATCTCTCATTAAAAATTTCCCCAGATTTTACCGAACACCCTGTAGATATAACAGTCTTTATCTACAGATGGACAGTCTTGTAGTGATTGATTATCAGAATAATACGTAAATCAAAAATGATGAAATCACGTTTTGAGGCTTTATGTTTGAATTGCTAAAAATAAACGAAAAAGTTAACAGGCATACGTACAAACGTATTCTCATAACTAAAACGCGATTAGAGTGTCTTAAAACGTATTTTTCGGTAGAAAAATATTCTCTCAAAAGTATCGATTACAATATCTTATAAGTCGTAAAACAAAAATGCCTGAAACACGATTACGTTATTTTTAATTTTTTTTCTTATTTCAACACTCGGTTATCTAATGTTCTTTGACCAATGTTTTATAATGTAAGACAATTCAATTTTCATTTAACATTTTAAATTTTTTGACAGAGAACCGGTTGATAGATTAGAACATCCAGATTACCATCAAATCATAGATACACCAATGGATTTACGTACAGTAAAAGAAGATTTATTGGGTGGTAATTATGAAACACCCTTAGAATTTGCCAAAGATATGAGATTAATATTTACAAATAGCAAAAATTATAACACTAATAAACGTTCAAGGGTAGGTGATATTTATTGTGCGGAATATTTTAAAAAGACTAGGCAATATAAAAATTCCTCGTGCGAGGAGAAATCAAGAAATCCTGCGCCATTTTGCAACGTGAAACTTCATTGAGATATTAAAAGTTAAAATTTTTACATTTGTGAACGCATGAGCGTATTTCTTATATATTTCTTATGTCAACTGGAGTATATACAATCACATTGGTTAATTTTATTTTGTAATATTTCAAGATTAAAGCTACAGTTTGTAAAATGGCAAAGTGCTTATCGATTTCTCTTTGCATGAGATATTTATATGTTTCGACCTATTCAGTCATTCTGATACGTATATATATTAAATACATTTAAAGTACCTCAACAAAAATGTATTCTACTACCTGTTATTTTATAGATATATACAATGACAATAAGATTATCAGCTATGTTCGAGGAACATATGCGAAAAATAATTTCAAATTGGAAGTCTGCAAGAAGACGCAATAATAATAGAACAAATGCAAAAGGGAAAGGAAAAAAGGGTAAAGTTCGATTAACAAACGGCACAGGTACGTTTAATTTTATGGGCATTAATTACTCAGTGAAATGCCTTACGATGATAAGTAATATGGAAATATTTTTAAGTGCAAATGTTAAAGAATTTAAATGTATGTATAGGACCGCCGAAATCAAAATCTACTTGTACAGACGATGACGCAAATAGTGAGGATGACGACGAGGACTTAGATGAAGTACAAAAGAAGAAGAATTCTAATGTGTCCGCGCCAGGTATGCATTTTAGTTTCGATTCGTTAAATCATTTTAGCTACCATCCACGCATTCCTAATGTTTGCGTATCTTTTAGGACCGTCGCGTATGACAAACGGCCATACCAAACGTTCTTTTAATTCGTCACGAGTGTTAAAACTTCGAATTTCTAGATCCGTTATATCTAAAAAGACAAAAGAAAGTGAAAGTGAAGCGAGTGACTCGGAAGCTTCCATGGAAAGTGAAAGTAGTGGTAGTGTGCCTGTAAGAAGGACACGAGCAAGGAAAGCAGTACCGAGTGCTAGTACTGACAGTGATTCTGGAGATGTATATACACCCAGCGGCCGTGGAAAGCAAACAAAGAAAAATCGCGCGAAGAATAGTAAAAATAATAAGCAAGCAAAGTCAAAGTCGAAGGTATTCGTCGCTGCTGACGACGACGACGACGACGACGAGGAAGACGAAGACGATGAACAGTTTGTTGCGGTTGAGTCGTCGGACGAAGAAAGCGAAGAAGAAGTTATTAACAAAACTAGCACGAGATCGCGAAAATTACCTTCTGAACCTGTTACTAGCTTGAAGTGCATAACGAAGAATGGCAGAAATAATATTGAGAGTCAAAGCGAGGATGACGAAGATGAAGAAGAAGAAGAGGAGGAGGAGGAGGAGGAGGAGGAGGAGGAAGAGGTGGAGCAGTCTCAACACGAAACTAATAATCAAGATTCGGACAGCGAAGATTCGGATAAAATTTTTGCGCCGTCGAGGTCGCAACGAAGAGCTCGTGGATTAAGGGAAGTACAAATTCAAGAGACCACGCTGAACTCGAGAAGAAGTGGAAAACGTCCTCGTTACAACGAGGAAAGTGATGAAAGCAATACGATGCCAGTTAGAAACCGACGTAAAATTAAACGTCAGTCTTATGCAGAAAATAGCGACGAAAGTTTACCAGAACCTGAGAACGTGCTAGGCATTAGTATAAGTAGTAGAGGACGTGTACGAAAAATGACCGAACGAGCACGGGCTTTCCTTGGGAGTCTAGAATCACCCTAACAGCATCTTTCATGCTAGTAATAAAGAATGTAAATTATTGATCTTTCAAATGATTCTTACGAACGTTTAAGAATACTGTAAAAATTTTAAATGTTATTTGATAATGTTTGTTCTTTGAAACATGCGACTGTATCTATATTGTAGCATCACACTCAATTTGTGTATGCCAGGATATTATTGCCTGAGAATTTTAGTATAAGATCATAGATAGACTGTACGTATAAACACTTGAGATTGTCATAGCAATTCATGATAAACACTGCTGCAAAATACTTCCATTATTGTGAGGCACATGGGTAATTTTCTTTTACGTTCAAATGCATCGTCGAATTAGCAAACGAAAGATTTAGTCGCAAGCGGAAACAGTGAAACTTTATAATAACACTCGTTTGTTATATTGATGTAATAATGTTTAATTCGCTAACAAGAAAAAGGGTTATTTTCGTAAGAATATTTTTACTTTTTACACACGCTAACGTTTTAGACGCAATAACACTTAAATCGTTACGCGTTTCAACGAATTATTACTTTTACGGAATATTCCAAACTGTTATTAATGTACAGGTTATTAATGTTCGGCCACCCCGGGGGAAAAATTTTAATCGGGGCTTCTAGAGGCCAAAATAAGACGAAAATCAAGAATGTCAATTTGTCGATTGATGCGTCGTTAAAAGTTATTAACGTTTAAAGTTGCGCCTGTGAGACTGCAATCTACGCACAGCTGCGTGCGCGTTATAGTGGTTCTCACTCACAAGACTCGCGACTTTAAACGTTAATAACTTTTTAACGAAGCCTCAATTAAAAAATTACTATTCTTGATTTTCGTCTTATTTTGGTCTCCAGAATCTTTCATTAAAAATTTTCCCAGATGTGACTGAACACCCTGAAGACATACCAAAAGAAAATTATGGTCGGTATACAGAGTGTTCAACCACCCCTGGGGAAAATTTTAATGGGAGATTCTAGAGGCCAAAATAAGACGAAAATCAAGAATGTCAATTTATCGATTGATGCGTCGTTAAAAGTTATTAACGTTTAAAGTTGCGCCTGTGAGACTGCAATCTGCGCACAGCTGCGTGCGCGTGATAGTGGTTCTCACTCGCAAGACTCGCGACTTTAATCGTTAATAACTTTTTAACGAAGCCTCAATTAAAAAATTACTATTCTTGATTTTCGTCTTATTTTGGCCTCTAGAATCCCCCATTAAAATTTCTCCCAGGGGTGGCCGAACACCCTGTATAACTATTTAATCATGCGATAAAAAAGATCTTTACAAATTTTGAATTTCTATACGATAATAGTAACAAAAAATTAAATAGTATGTAATAATATTTGTATTACATTTGAAAATATGTTATTGTACCTGGAACGACATAAATAATGTCCATCATTTTCAGGGAATTAACTAAGATTAGCTTAAAAATATTAATGTTCTGCTTGTTTGAGCAAAGTCAATTGACAAGTGAAAAAGATACTTTCATGCTAAGGTCATAAGAATTTTAAAAGAAGCCATTACCTATTCATACACGCAAAAATAATCTGTATCAGTGTTTATGTTTGCATTTTGATGATATTACGATGAATTGTTTGCTTTGAAATTTATTTAATGACTTTAGCATTCGCAAATTTGTACATTTTTTAAATTAGATGATTCATATAAATAGGAGTACAATTAATTTGAGATCGTGAAATATTGAATTTTATATCATACACGTACATTTTAATGTTCGTTGATTATATCAAGTGTTTGTACATTGAACAGAAAAAACTGTACTTATCTTCCATATTTTGTAAATTCTATTAAATGAGGCAGTGCCTTTATGAATACGATTATTTATTTAAAAGACATAAGTAGCACATTTCTTTCTTTTTGCATCCTGAGATAGTATCAAGAATAAAAACGTGTTTCTTTCAATTAAATTAGTTTCATATTAATGGCACTGTTTTCGCTTTTTAAGACTATACTTAAAAATATAATGTTATTTGTAAATACAAATGAAATTTTTTTTTTTTTTTTTTTAATAATGTGTAAAAAAAAAAAAAAACGTGTGCTATACACGATCTGTGGTACGAAGTAGTAACTTTTTACATGTAATTTGTATGTCCATTAGAGAATTAAGAACCAATGCTCGTGCGATTTTAGCAATTTTTCATACATAGAAATAGACGTTTTTCAGATTTATATAGCATAAAAATTAATCCATTCATTATATAATAGGATACAAATTTTTTCAAGACAGTTACGCAACTGATGAATTAATATAACATAAAGATATGTGCACAAATATTGGAAGTCTTGACTGTCTCGAGTCATTGTGATATTAGTTTAAGAATATTAAATATACAATGATATAAATATTAATAATTAGAAGTATAACGAATATTTTTTTAATAATGCCTCGAATGAAAGAGTCGTATCATGCGGACTCAAGAAGTAGAATTTCTGATTATATTAATTTAATACAAATATTAACTTGGATCATTTAATTAATTATATTACAATTAACATGTTTCACGTTTTAATCTTCAGAATTAATATAATTTTCTGTATATAAATATTAATTAAATAACAAAACTTAATTAATACGACGGCGATAGTTTCAATTTTTGTAAAATTTGAAACTTCAGTTGTCACACTAATGTGCTCTGTTGCATACCTAGTTTATCAAAACCCACCGTCACCAATAAAAAAAAAGAAAAGAACTATTAAATTGTTTCATACATACTTGTTATTTATTTTGAAACCTACAATAATCTCGCAAGCAAATGACTCTCGTAAAATTATTTTTAAATAACGAATCGGGTAATCACCGTTACGCGAGAAATTGAATTTAATGTTTTATGTTCATGCTAGATAGCGTTGCTTTTCTATAGCTGTAGCCATCTTGTTGTATTTATAGCAATTACGGTATCTACATAGTAATATAAAAAATGGAAAATGGTTACATTTAATGTTATTAATATACTGAATTTCTATGGAATGATGTGATTATTAATTTTATAAAGAAATATAAATTATGTTAAGTACCGTGATTCCATGAGAAGAAGGCACAGCGTGTCCCCACTCCTGTTGCAGTCCGCTGTCTTATTATTGGTCGAAATCGGTGACAGCCAATCAGCGGACTGTAGCAAGAGTGGGGATGTAAACACGCTGTGCCTTCTTCTCGTGGAAGGACGATACACGTAACTTTTAAATTTCGTTCAGAGAATTAGTTTTTAATAATAATAATAAATTTATGCATAGATATTAGCTTATGAAATGTAAAATACCACGATTAACATGTATAGAAACTTTTACGGCGTTGTATAAGTAATTCGCTCTATACGGTTGCCACCACAACTCTATCTAGGGGTTTTCCCTAGGGGACTAAGCAAATGTCCCCAGTGTCCCCGTACACTAGTAAGAAAAACTATATAACGTTGGTTGCATTGATGAAGGTAGAAAGACGATAACTTCCGGTAAGAGGTCGCGCATTTCTCTACGCTCATGGACCCTTTTCCGGTAGGGTGACAAAATGACTGGCTTCAGTAATAAGGTGTGTACTTAAAGTTTTATTATTTTCGGCCGCGTAAGATAATTCGTATGTATAAAAGATACTCGTTTCGGTCAGTACGATACAGGTGAAAAATGAATAAATGTTGAGGATATCTGTTTGATATGGATTTATCAACGAAAATATACAACAATTGTATAGGTTGTATGTCGTGCACACGTGTTTTCTTGTAACAGTGGTTTGTTTTTTGTAACAAATAGAAACTATATATTTGACTATTATTTATTAGTCCAATAATATGTATTATGTGATATAATTGATTACCGATAAGTTTAACAAAAATTAATTTGACACGTGCTATGCATTATTGACAGTCTCTCAAAGAACCGAAAAAATTTTCTAAATTTTTCTTCGAAAAAATACATAAAGTATATAAATATTTATAATTGTGTGTTTCAGCCAATATTAATCGATGGCCGTGGCCATTTACTTGGCCGTTTGGCAGCAATTATTGCCAAAACGATTCTGCAAGGCAACAAAGTGATTGTTGTTCGCAGTGAACAACTTAACATTTCTGGTAACTTTTTCAGGTTTGTAACAAGTGTTTTTACTTTGATTTTAGATTAATTTTTACAATTCGTTCTTGCATATGTGATTTAATTATCGTTTTTACGTAACATGTTGTATTTAAATATGTTTCCGATCTTTAAGCGTTGCAGTTGATTTTATGTGAAATATTTATTATAGGAACAAGTTGAAATTCATGTCATTTTTACGTAAAAGATGTAACGTAAATCCAGCTCGTGGACCTTTCCATTTCCGTGCGCCTAGTAAAATACTATGGAAGACAGTTCGTGGTATGTTTAGGCATTGATTATTCGCAGAATTATACTTCTTATTAATCAATGATTATGTATACATCTTACCTACATTATTTGATAATTAAATGAAACAAATATTTTATATGAGATTGTTTAGTATAAAAGATTCAGGCATCTGTTGTATAAGTATAGAAGAATGAAAAAGAAGATTGATTTACAGGAATGATTCCACACAAAACACAAAGGGGAAAGGATGCTATAAGAAGGTTAAAGGTTTACGAAGGATGCCCACCACCGTACGATCGCAGGAAACGTGTTGTTGTACCAGGCGCAATGAGAGTTATGTGTCTAAAGCCTGGTAGGAAGGTGAGGCCGTATTTTGACTCGAATTATACTTTTAATTATAATTAGTATAATTATTTGTAATATATTAGTTCATTTCTTTACAATGATGGTATGGTAATTTGCGCCTGAGCATTATTTGCTTTATACATTGTGATGTTATATTTTTACTGAGTAAACATCAAAGTAAAGTTATCGTATACGTTAAAAATTTTGGTTTTACTAACCGCATTGCCTTGTTTTTAGTACTGTCACGTAGGTAGATTATCTCATGAAGTGGGATGGAAATATAAGGCTGTTGTACGCACATTGGAAAACAAGAGGCGTGTCAGAGCAATCGCCGAGGTTCAAAACAGGGACAAACTCAAGGTAACTTTCGGAAATAACATGTTGCTAGCATTGTACTATATACTCTTCTACGTTTGTTTTAGAAACTTACCAAACAAGCTGGGCAGACAGCTGTTAAAGCTACAAGACCATTCACTGAAATTATTAATAGTTTTGGATACAATTAATACGAAAATTGTAAAAATAATAAAATTCCATAAAGATTCTAAAGTCAGTTACTATTACGCCTTAGCACACTATACTTGTGGCCTATTTGGAAAAGCACTAAAGTAAATAATTGTCTAGGTAGTACAGTGAAAAACTCGATAAATGTCCTCGAGAGCTGTTTAGTAAATGATACATTTTTATTCCCACCACTAGGGGGATCTATTAAACCACCGAGGCGAAAATCTTAGGTAAAAATCTTTATTGATAGTAACGGATATTTAAACTGAGGCGATAAATCCGGTTTTCAGTCCCTCTTTCTTCTTTAGCTAGTGACTTTCTACGTTCGAGGCGTCGACAAACTACAAATTCGAAAAACGATTCTCCTATTCCATAAGTGTTCCTGACCGAACCCGGGAGTAGTGACATTTATCGAGTTTTTACTGTAGTTAGGCTATATATTACTCAATAAGTACTAGTAACAACAAAGTACAATGATTTGAATGATTCCCATCCTCGAAGGAGCCAGGAAAGGTAGCATGAAACCCTCGTTTTCCCTATGTGGGAACCCGGGTGGAAGCTCCTTCGAATGTGGGAAAATGTTATCCACGTATCTCCAGGAAGGGGACTCAGGATGATGAATGAATGAATATGTTTATTGGAAAATACATGGGACGCGTGGACACGTCTACACGCTACGAGACTCGGACAAAGAGTGGCTCGCCATGCGCCAGCGGCAGCTGCATGCGCATTGCGGCTTTGCGCCGAACGCAAGATGGCCGCTTCCCACACTCTCGCAGCTAGAGTAAAAGGGAAGACGTAATCCCCACAAATGGCACGTAGTTTTGAATTTAAAAAAATCTTATTAAATTAAGTTTATTAAATAGACTGACTACTGCTGCTACAAGAACTTCGTTTACACTTTAAAACGATTGAGCTTGAGATTTGTAAATGCATTAAAAATCTTATTTTGTATACGTTAAAGATACTTATTTCGTGAAACTTGTATGCTCCTTCGTTCATTTAAATTATAATCCATTTCATTACGTTTACGTTTCAAAAACTCATCTAAAATACAAAACTAGTTTCTGGTTACATTTCCGAACGTTACGAGAAATGGAACTTTCTGTATTTCTAAAGAAATTCAATCGAAATACGTCTAATAATTTCTTTATTTTATCATTCCTGTTGTTTTTTTACGATAAATACATTGGCGAAATTATTTTCGCGCTCAAACGGCGTTCTTAAATAACGTCCGTCATCGTAACTATCGTCTGTTATCACGTCCAAACACACGCCTAACCTGCAACTTTTACACGTTTCTTCCGACGACGTTGCACGCGTTTGCACTAAAGTGGTTTGTTTATTATCGCGCATCCGGTCAGAATGAAGTTCAAAACGTACACGGGCATTACTTGGTCCATTTTAGAACTCGCGGGCCTCCTCGAGGACGAAGACTCTCACGTTTATTTCGAGAGATTGAAGAAGCATTTTGGTTTGCATCCGTTTCATTTGACGAACCTAAATGCCGCGCTGAACGAAATCCTAAGTTCGAATTTAAATTTGCACGACGCCGAGTACGTACCAACTTTATTTTAATTCCATTTCGAGTATCTTATTTTAAAAAAAAGTTAAACGGTGTTATTCGTTTCGTTTTCACAATTGTATTTGTTACAGATTAAAAGGATTTCTGTTGGCTTACAAAAATCCTAAACTACTAACCTCGTTGGGCGAAATATTTTACGATACTTGTTTCATTCACGTTGACATCGAAGCAGATTTTTATATATTCAGGCCCAAAGTAGGATGTTCGTTGAAAGGTAAAATGTTCTGTTATTAAGCAAGTTTCGAAACTTTACTGTATTATTTACGAGCAATAAGTTACAGGAATTGTCAATAAAAAAGGAATAGACCACATCGGAGTTCTCGTACACAAAGCATTCAACGTATCGATACCAAAAATGGATAACGATGAGAATTGGCCCGGCGATAATCTTGAAATTGGCCAGGAAGTACGGTTTAAAGTAACTTCTCTCGACTTTGATAGTAAATTGCCTTTTATTCGTGGTATTTTAAATCCAGAGTAAGTAATATTTTGATTATTTTTATCGAAACGCTGCCCAATGTCACTTACGATTCTTTTTCTACCGTTCTAGCGATTATTTACAAGGATGTAAATTAATGGAAAAGACATCTAAGAGGACCCATTTTAATAACCATCGAACCAACGATGAAAGTATAGCGAGTAACGAATTGGAAACTAATTCCAAACAACACAGATTTTTTGCCACCGATTCTGAAAATAGTTCAGACGAAGGTGTAGCGAAAGTGAAGAAAGAAACACCTCCAGTAAAGAAATCAAAGAAGAAATTTGATAAAGAGAAACCAACGGAGAGCATTGAAATAAAGGAAGAAGACGAGAAACATGGTAAAAAATTTAAAAGAGTTAAAGAATCTATGCCCGAACCGATTAAGATAGAAGAGACAGTGGAACAATATACGAACAGTAATACCGTAAATGGTGAATTGGAAAGTGATCAGGAATTAAAACCAGTTTTAAAGAAGCGTGCAAGAAAAAAATCTAGGGACCATGGTTCGCAAAGTAGCTTGGACGAACAATACAACGAAAAGTCTGCGAAGTCTCCAAAAAGTGTGTCAAAAAGTTTATGTAACGAAGAGTCTAAAACTAAAATTAACAGAATTAAATTGGAACATGAAAGTAGTAGTTCCGAGCTGGTTGTGGAAGAAAGTGAACCTAAAAGCAAAGTCAAGTCCAAGAAACACTTTGCGAAGAGAAAGCTCCTGGACGAAACCGATAATTCTGCAGATGATTTTACTGTAGAGAAATATATAACGAGCAAAAAGAAATTGAAGATCAGATCGTCAGATTGTGATAATGTCTCTGTTAAAGCGGAGGAATCGTACGGAGCAAACGAAGAAGTAGAAGAAATTTCGATTCAGAAGCATCCTAAAAGACATAAACATCCTATAAAGTTAGAGTTCCCTGAAAGTGATGTAGATGGCAGTAGTAACGCTGAGAAGACTTCGGGAAGAAGACGTTCGAGAACGTCGAGTATAGCGGATTCCGAATTTGCATTTCACGATATAAACATTAAGAAGGAAAATCCGAATAGTAGTTCGGAAAATACAGAAAATGAGGATCGCGTAAAAGTTTGCAAAGCATCGACGGAAAAGCCTGACTTAAATACGTCTACGAACAGTTCTAATCACGATACGATGGGGGACAACGATACTTCGATCAAAAAGAAACGAAAAAAACACTCGAAGAAGAATAGCCTTTTAGACAGCGATGTAATTAAAATAGAGCCTGGTTTCGAGGATATAGTTAAAGTGGAAATATTTGACGACGATGTTTATACTCCGAACAAAAGTTCGACGAAAAAGAAGCACAAATTCGATTTGAATAGCGTCACCAGCGATACGGAAACGGATTTGAAAAGTAACGCGAGGCATTCGAAAAAGAAGAAAACATCGAACGATGAAGTAATTTGTCAGGATGTGAAGGTGAAGAAGGAGAAATTTGTAACGAACGTTGCGTCTGAAATTGATGAAGACGACGTAATAGAGAAGAAGCAAAGCAAAAAATTAAATAAGTCCAGAAAATTCGAATCGGAATTTGACTTTAGTGACGTTCAGGTTAAAACTGAGTACTGCGCTGACAGCTAGGACATTTGATAAATGTATTTTATAATGACGTGATTCGTGGTTAATGTACTTTTTTTTAAAAAAAGAACTCGATCTCGTGCATGAATCTAAGGCGCAGCGTGTTTGCATCTCCACGCCTGTTGCAATCCGCTGACTCGCAGGTATTGGTCGACGAAGATCGGTGACAGCCAATCAGCGAACAGCAGCAAGATTGGGGTTAGAAGTACGCTGCGCCCTCTACTCGTGGAAGGACACTACAAAATGCAGTGCTACACGTATGATGCATGCGCGCACGCAAAGTTTTACGGATCATAATACGCATAAATGTCTCCATACACAAAATCTTCAAATTTTATTTTACTACGTTAGTAACGAACTTGTAAATATTGCATGTATATAAATTACCACTGAACTTCCACAATTAGTTAACATTTTATTTTCCTTTCGTGTACGTTGAAATCAGTGTTATATAATTTCCATTTGTTATGCAACGGTGAATTATACGTATAAATAACAGATCAACGTTGCAATAAAATATTACTATTAAATACATTTATTGTTTCTATGCGTAGTATATAATCGACGAATAAAAGTACAAATATGACTTATAAAGATAGCGGTAATAAAAATTTTTACAAGCTATTGTGATTGTAATTGTAGCATAGCTTCCTCTTTTGTAATACATAGTAGTTTAAATAAAAAAATTTTACCTTTAGTACGTTACTTATAATCCCAGAAATATTTGTTAACTAAACAGGAACACGTATGCAGGTAATGATGAATCTTGGAAAATATAAAACCAAGTTTGTTGATACATACAATATTAATATTTTTTTATTTAAAACATGTTGTAAACATGTATATACATTAACTTGAGAGTAGTGATGCTCCCTGTGTATAAATTAAAGAAAGTGTCATCCATCGGTGGTACATGATTTGCACAGCCATCTACGGCAAAACGCTCAAGTTTGTCGTGGAATAGTTCGTTATTTCCAACGATAGATGGCGCTCATTTTCGACCTCGAACCCTCTGGTGCTAAAACGCCCAAGTTTGTCGTGGAATAGTTCGTTACCATCAACGCTAGGTGGCGCTTATTTCTCGACCTTGTGGCGACAGGTGCGTTTTCTGTCGCGAGGTTGAGCTCTACTTTACCGATTAAAGGGTTGAAGTTAGGGACAAGTTAATGTTAATGTTTTTTGTTTTTGATCGCTAGGAGACGGCTAGTAGTTTGTTTAAACAGTTATAAGAATAAACTCAGAGTTCTCCAGATATTCAAAAGAGTCATAAATATGTTGTAATTTATTACGGCTACAAGGTCGGTAAATAAGCGCCATCTAGCGTTGGAAGCGACGAACTATTCGGCGACAAACTTGGGCGTTCTAGCACCAGGGGGCCTGAGGTCGGTAAATAAGTGCCATCTACCGTTGAAAGCAACGAACTATTCCACGAGAAACTTGAGCGTTTTGTCGTAGATGGCTGTGCAAATCATGTACCACCGATGGATCACACTTTCTTTAACATATGCACAGGGTGCATCACCCTCCATTAATAAAGATCTTCCGTGACCAACGATCGTTGGTCGAAGAAGAAAGAAAGGAAAGTGCAGCCAATGAACGATGCACAACCAACGAAGAGAGTTGAAAGAATTTTCAAAAGAATTTTTTTTCTCGAAACTGGATAGGATTTCGTGGTTATGTCTGATCATTAAAAATGATTGCAATTGACCCCTGCAATCGAAAATAATTTTTCCAGAACGATTTGAAACTTTTCAATTTCGCCGAAAAAGTCCTCATTTCTGAATTTTTTTTCTCGTAAATGCGCTGGAATATGAGGGTATATGTATTGACCAAAAATAATTGCAACTGACCCCTATAATTGAAAATATTTTTTCCAAAATGATTTAAAATTTATTTTCCCGTCGAAAAATTTCACACTTCTCGAATTTTTTTTCTCGAAAATGCGTAGGATTTCGTGGTTATGTATATTGACCAAAAATGATTGCAATTGACCCCTGCAAACAAAAATAATTTTTCCATAGTGATTTGAATATTTTCAATTTCGCCGAAAAAGGGGAATACCCCCTGTCGATTTTCCTTAAAAATTCGTTTTCCATTTTCAACAAACTCAACAATGATTAACGTGGGAGTACAATTTACGAATAAAAAATAAAATATTATAAAATTGCTACGAGTTCTTCGTCGACTGTTTAGTATCGACATCATTACCGAATGTACTTGTTTTTGTCTAAAATACAATCCTTTGACATTGACCGAAGAATAGTCTGTATAAATGTGCCGGTCATTCGAGCATTCCGATTTAACGATTATTTTCTAACAATATGATAATTTCTATCTAAGAAGACGATTGATAAGATTAGAGGTACAGCGATCCTCTTATAAAGCACCGACGTTTAGGCGCGGTGTCTTTCGAAAGGTGATCGTCGTCGCGCGCGTGGTGTTTTTTCAAAGGTCTACCAAATTTCGTGGATTCGAAAGAAAGAAAACTAATAACTTGAAAAACGCAACGGAAATAGATCGTTACAAACTGTTGGGCGGTTGCGCGGTTCGAAAGAATGTCAGGTTTGCGGTTGCTGCCGTTGCTATTGCTCGTTGCAATAAGCGTACAGGCGGACAACAGCAAGTACAGATTACCAAAAGACACCGAACCTACGCGATACGAGATCACGCTCGAGCCAGATTTGGTAAATTTTAAATTCAATGGCATTGCCGTGATCACTTTCGATGTCCTAAACGATGTCGATGCTGTAACATTGAACCAAAAAAATCTCACGCTGGCAAAGGCAGATGTTACTTTGCCAAAATACACAGTGCGTAGTTTGGAAAAAGACGACGACTTCGAGCTACTGATCATCAGATTCAACGAGACACTAAAAAAGGGCACCTACACTCTTACCATAGAGTACAGTGGCGAATTGAACGATAAGAAGCGTGGATTCTACAGAAGCAGATATTTGGACAAGGATAACAAAATAAAGTAAGAGTTTTATTTGATTGTAAATTCGTGATTTCGTTTGGGGAAGAAGCATTAACGTTCGGCTGAAAGTTAGAGTCAAGAAGGGGGATTGACACTTTAATGGCCGCTAGGATCGTTGTCCCGTCGCCACTGATATTGTAGACCAAATTGAGTAATTTTGATTAACATAAAAAAAAACGTAATAAGTTGAATGTATGATGAAATGGTGGCTGATACAGTAGATCACGTATACGTGACAGCGGCCGTCAAAGTGTTGAAATGTTGCGTAGGAATCGTCATTCGTGTATTGGCCCATCGAGACTAGTGAATCCTATGGTATAACCGAATAAGGGGGTCAAATGTGACCCCAGACCGAATTGAACGAACGATGGGTCATTCGATAGCTCATCCAAAAGAAACCATGTGTGCCAATTTTCAACTCGAAATCTCGACCGTGGGGGGTAGTAATGGGGTGAAAACGAAAATCGTGTTTTTCTACAATTTCTCTCGACCTATCGGGTAAAAAAATGTAAAAAAATTCAGAGACATTTCGGGTACCGGGGCGCATATTTCGGGAGACTTTCAGATTTTTTGATCGAAGAACCAGGTAGTAAAAAATAAAAAACCGCAAAAAATGAAGAAAAATGTCGATTACGTATTGAAGGAGGTCCGGAACTGCTTTTATACTTTTACAGTAAACAGGTATTGCTATTGCCGTTATTCTCAATTTTTTTCAGATTTTTCATTTTGGTGAGTCGCGGTGAAAAAAAATAAAAACCGATTTTTTCCTCATTTTCTGCGTATTAGAGTTACTTATGCGTTGAATTTTTATGCATTCTTCGATATACGAGTGTTTTGTAGATTGTTTAATGTTTCTACAGTAAGCAGAATTACGTAACAATTGAAACAAATAAAATAAACTCAACCATTGGGCGCATATATTATAAAAAATCAGCGATTTTTTAATGGCGTTGATAGCGCATCGTTAGAGTGTCCGACTGTGAAACCGCTGGTAGTTTTTTTACCGTAGGTTCGAGACTCTCTTCTGGAATTACTATTTTTTTTTCTTCATAATTTTTTTTTTTCAAATTCAAACTATACAGTAATGTTTTATATTTACTTATAAATGTTCCAATAGCATTTTACAAATATTTTAAAGTGAAATATGTACAAATAAAACTTTGAAGCGTCTTTTGCGTCTTTATTTTTTCTGTTAACCATGATTATTGTTTAACATTTCACATTAATTTCATTGTAGGAGATGTTAAACAATAATCGTGGTTAACAAAAAAAAAATAAAGACACAAAAAACGTTCCAAAATTATATTTACACATATTTCAGGTTATGTTTCAAATTATATTTATACATATTTAACATTTCACATTAATTTCAGTGTAGGAGATGTTAAACAATAATCGTGGTTGACAAAATACAAATAAAGACACAAAACACGCTCCAAAATTATATTTACACATATTTCAGGTTATGTTTCAAATTATATTTATATATATTTAACATTTCACATTAATTTCAGTGTAGGAGATGTTAAACAATAATCGTGCTTGACAAAATACAAATAAAGACACAAAACACGCTCCAAAATTATATTTACACATATTTCAGGTTATGTTTCAAATTATATTTACACATATTTAAGATTTCACATTAATTTCAGTGTAGGAGATGTTAAACAATAATCGTGGTTGACAAAATACAAATAAAGACACAAAACACGCTCCAAAATTATATTTACACATATTTCAGGTTATGTTTCAAATTATATTTATACATATTTAAGATTTCACATTAATTTCAGTGTAGGAGATGTTAAACAATAATCGTGGTTGACAAAATACAAATAAAGACACAAAACACGCTCCAAAATTATATTTACACATATTTCAGGTTATGTTTCAAATTATATTTACACATATTTAACATTTTCACATTAATTTCAGTGTAGGAGATGTTAAACAATAATCGTGGTTGACAAAAAAAAAATTAAGACACAAAAGACGCTCCAAAATTATATTTACACATATTTCAGGTTATGTTTCAAATTATATTTATACATATTTAACATTTCACATTAATTTCAGTGTAGGAGATGTTAAACAATAATCGTGGTTGACAAAACAAAAAATAAAGACACAAAAAACGTTCCAAAATTATATTTACACATATTTCAGGTTATGTTTCAAATTATATTTACACATATTTAACATTTTCACATTAATTTCAGTGTAGGAGATGTTAAACAATAATCGTGGTTGACAAAAAAAAAAATAAAGACACAAAACACGATCCAAAATTATATTTACACATATTTCAGGTTAAAATATTTGTAAATTACTTTTGGAACATTTATAAATAAATATAAAACATTGTTAAATAGTTAGAATTTGATACTGGGGGGATGAGGAAGAGAGGAGATGTAGGGTATGTGGTTGGGAGGAGGAGACATGGGAGCACGTTTTGGTGAGATGTACGGGGGATGAGGCAGAGGGGAAGGGGATCGGGGAAAGGATAAGGGAGATTTTGGACGAGGGAGGGGGAGGGGAGGGGTGGATAAAGAGGCTGGAGGTCAGGAGGAAAGAGAAAGAGGTGGAGAGGGGGAAGGGGGGGATGAGGGGAGGAGTGAATGAAGGAATGGAATGCAAGGGCGGAAATGGAAGTCGACGGCGGGGAGGGCGAGCGGGGGTGGAGGAGTGGGAGAGAAGGGAGGAGGGAGAGAGGGAGAGAGCGAGTAGCGTAAGGTTAGGCTAAGAGCGTGCGGCGAAGGGAGATGAGAGAGAGAGAGAGAGAGAGCGAGTAGCGTAGGATTAGGATAAGAGCGTGCGGCGAAAGGAAATGAGAGAGAGGGGAAAAGCGGCGGGGGGAGGATGTAAGGGCAGTGAGGAGTAGAGTAAGAGTAGAATAAGTAGGATAAGTAGGATAAGTTAGGTTAAGGGAGAGATGGAAATGTAAGGTGGGGAGGAAGTGTAACCCTAAGGGGAAGCAGGAAATAAATCTATCTATCTATCTAGTTAGAATTTGAAAAAAATAAATAATGAAGAAAAAAAATAATAGGTCCAGAAGAGAGACTCGAACCTATGATAAAAAGACTACCAGCAGTTCCACAGTCGGACACTATAACGCTGCGCCATTAACGCTACTAAAAAACACGCTGATTTTTTATTATATATGCGCCCAATGGTTGACTTTATTTTATTTGTTTCAATTGTTACGTAATTCTGCTTACTGTAGAAACATTAAACAGTCTACAGAACACTCATATATCGAAGAATGCATAATAATTGAACGCATAAGTAACTCTAATACGCAGAAAATGAGGAAAAAATCGGTTTTTATTTTTTTTCACTGCGACGCACCAAAATGAAAAATCTGAAAAAAATTGAGAATAACGGTAATAGCAATGCCTGTTTACTATAAAAGTATAAAAGCAGTTCCGGACCTCCTTCAATACGTAATCGACATTTTTCTTCATTTTTTGCGGTTTTTTATTTTTTACTACCTGGTTCTTCGATGAAAAAATCTGAAAGTCTCCCGAAATATGCGCCCCATAACCCGAAATGTCTCTGAATTTTTTTACATTTTTTTACTCGATAGGTCGAGAGAAATTGTAGAAAAACACGATTTTCGTTTTCACCCCATTACTACCCCCCACGGTCGAGATTTCAAGTTGAAAATTGGCACACAGGGTTTCTTTTGGATAAGCTATCGAATGACCCATCGTTCGTTCAATTCGGTCTGGGGTCACATTTGACCCCCTTATTCGGCTACACCCTTTCGTTTAACGTTTCACAAATTAGCCTTGGAGTGAAAAGTCCAATCGAACTGTTAACGAAAGATCGTTTTCGCGTTGCAGGTACATCGCGACGACTCACTTCGAGCCAACAGGAGCACGACTGGCGTTCCCATGCTGGGACGAGCCAGAGTACAAAGCAATCTTTAAAATTATCTTGAAACATGACTCTAAATACAAAGCTGTCATCTCCAATATGGACCTTGAAAAAGCCCCTGTGGAAGACCCAAAGACCAATGTGACTACTACCACGTTTAAAGACAGCAAACTCATCTCCAGCTACCTCGTAGCGTTTGTGGTCTCCGACTACGACAAAAAGGAGAATGAGAAGAAAACGTTCAGAGTTTACACGAAACCTCATGCGCTGGAGCAAACGACGTACGCGTTGGAGTTTGGCCAGAAAGTGATCTCGAAATTGGACGAGTATACGGGCATTCAATATTTGGATACAATGCCGAAAATGGACCAGATTTCCATCAAGGATTTCTCAGCAGGTGCTATGGAGAACTGGGGCCTCGTTACTTACAGGTAAACAATAATAATAATAATAATAATAATAATAGAGGTGAATTGCAGAGTATAGAAAATCAATTATCCTGTTTGTAAAAATTTTCCGTTGAAAAAAAGAATGATCGATATTAACACTAGAACTACTGAATCAGTCAAAATGACACCTTCGTAATTTCTAATAAAACTTGTAAAAAAATTGCTTAACGAATTTTTGAAAATTTTAATTTTTAATTTCTAATTTAGTAATTTTATTTTATTTTAAAATTCGTAATTTTCTATGAGAGAATATTTCGATTTCTTTGTTGCAAATAAACACAGAGTTTTCGATAAATATCCGCGGAAATTTGTTTGAATGGCAGTGAAATTTGATTTTTCGTTTTTAAAGGGAGACCGCCCTTCTTTACGAACAAAACGTGACCACGACTCGTTCGAAACAGAGCATAGCAACGGTCATAGCGCACGAGTTTGCGCACCAGTGGTTCGGGAACCTGGTCAGTCCAAAATGGTGGGAGTACATATGGCTGAACGAAGGTTTCGCCAATTACTTTCAATATTTCATCACGAATCAAGTGAGTAAAAACGACTTTGGTTTCGATTTATCTTGCACAATTAAGATTAACGGAAAATCGATCGAACTTACCGGACTGATCGGTTTATCGGAATTATCTTTAATTGGAGTGGCGAACAGAAGAAGTGTATGATAGCTTCGATCGAATGGACGAAAGGTTATTTTTACGATTGAAACCTGATCATGATTATTATCGAAGCATAGAAAAACATTTTAATTTGATACTGATTCGATTTTTTATAAAACAAAATTGAAAAGTTTTTGATATCATTGAAGTTTAATTGTGATTATTATTGAAGCATGGAAAAATATTTTAATTTGAAATTTATATTGATACGATTTCTTATTAAACAAAATTGAAATGTTTTTGATATCATTGAAGACTAATCATGATTATTATCGAAGCACAGAAAAACATTTTAGTTTGATACTGATTCGATTTTTTATAAAACAAAATTGAAAAGTTTTTGATATCATTGAAGTTTAATTGTGATTATTATTGAAGCATGGAAAAATATTTTAATTTGAAATTTATATTGATACGATTTCTTATTAAACAAAATTGAAATGTTTTTGATATCATTGAAGACTAATCATGATTATTATCGAAGCACAGAAAAACATTTTAATTTGATACTGATTCGATTTTTTATAAAACAAAATTGAAAAGTTTTTGATATCATTGAAGTTTAATTGTGATTATTATTGAAGCATAGAAAAATATTTTAATTTGAAATTTATATTGATACGATTTTTTATTAAACAAAATTGAAATGTTTTTGATATCATTGAAGACTAATCATGATTATTATCGAAGCACAGAAAAACATTTTAATTTGATACTGATTCGATTTTTTATAAAACAAAATTGAAAAGTTTTTGATATCATTGAAGTTTAATTGTGATTATTATTGAAGCATGGAAAAATATTTTAATTTGAAATTTATATTGATACGATTTCTTATTAAACAAAATTGAAATGTTTTTGATATCATTGAAGACTAATCATGATTATTATCGAAGCACAGAAAAACATTTTAATTTGATACTGATTCGATTTTTTATAAAACAAAATTGAAAAGTTTTTGATATCAATGAAGTTTAATTGTGATTATTATTGAAGCATGGAAAAATATTTTAATTTGAAATTTATATTGATACGATTTCTTATTAAACAAAATTGAAATGTTTTTGATATCATTGAAGACTAATCATGATTATTATCGAAGCACAGAAAAACATTTTAGTTTGATACTGATTCGATTTTTTATAAAACAAAATTGAAAAGTTTTTGATATCATTGAAGTTTAATTGTGATTATTATTGAAGCATAGAAAAATATTTTAATTTGAAATTTATATTGATACGATTTTTTATTAAACAAAATTGAAATGTTTTTGATATCATTGAAGACTAATCATGATTATTATCGAAGCACAGAAAAACATTTTAGTTTGATACTGATTCGATTTTTTATAAAACAAAATTGAAAAGTTTTTGATATCATTGAAGTTTAATTGTGATTATTATTGAAGCATAGAAAAACATTTTAATTTGAAATTAAATTTATACAGGGTGTTCGGCCACACCTGGGAAAATTTTTAATGGGAGGTTCTACAGGTCAAAATAATACGAAAATCAAGAATATCAATTTGTTGATGGAGGCTTTGTTAAAAAGTTATTAACGTTTAATGTTCCGCCCGTAATGAATTTTTTTCTCGAAAATGCGCAGGATTTCGGGGGTACATCTATTCATAAAAAATAATTGTAATTGACCCCCGCCAACGAAAATAATTTTTCCAGGACTATTTGACATTTTTTAATTTCGTCGAAAAATTTCAAACATTCTCGAATTTTTTTCTCGAAAGTGGGTAAGATTTTGGGGGAATGTCTATTCACCAAAAATGATTGTACTTGACCCCTGCAAACGAAAATAATTTTTCCAGCACGATTTGAAATTTCTTTTTTTCGTTGAAAAATTTAGGCACCTAATTAGATTTTCAGTAAGGAATTTTTTTCTCAAAAATGCGTAGGATTTCGGGGGAATGTCTATTCACCAAAAATTATTGTAATTGACCCCTGCAGCCAAAAATAATTTTTTTAGAACGATTTGAAAAATTTTTTTTTCCCCGAAAAAGGGGACTACCCGCTGTCGACTTTTCTTAAAAATACGTTTTTGATTTTTAGTTATTTTGTTTGACGCCCTACAAAAAAGTTGTCTAATACTTTTTTGGAGGTACTTATGAGCTCTACTTCAGAAAAAAGTTTCATCGAAATATACTCACTATTGTAAGAGTTATGGCTGTTTGAAAATTGGACCATTTTTATGTGGTTTTTTTCATTTTTCAGGGTTAAGAATCAACTTTTTCAATATTGCTAGAATTTCTACATATTCTTCGCTAAAATAGGCGTTATTTGCATTTTGAAACATTAAAATCGCTTAATCTGTTCAGAAGTTATGATGTTTTAAACATTCGATTTGAATTTTTTAAATTTAATTGTTAATAACTTTTTAACGAAGCCTCAATCAACAAATTGTTATTCCTGATTTTCGTCTTATTTTGGCCTCTAGAATCCCTCATTAAAATTTTTCCCAGGATTGGCAGAACACCCTGTATATTGATTTGATTTTTTATTAAACAATAATGAAAATTGATGTCATTGAAGTCTAATCATGATTATTATTAAACCCCAGAAAAACATTTTAATTTGAAATTTATAGATTCGATTTTTCATTAAACAACAACGAAAAGTCTATTTTCGAACAAATATTTATAAATTTAGTAGATGCAACTAAAGTAGCTAATATTATTATATTTAAAATTACAAAAACGTTTGTTCGTCAAACGACCCAAAATGGTCGTCGAGTTTTCTCCATTACAGTTTCGAATTGTTTTCACACTAGCATTGTCCTGATTCTTCCACTTGTAATTCTATCATAGATTAAACAAGAATGTGTTAGAGTCAAGCATAGATATGTATGTAGATTCCTTCTTTTATAATAGAGAATCGTTACAAAACGCTAATTGTCTTTCAGTTAGAAGCATCATGGCGTCTGATGTCATTGAAGTCTAATCATGATTATTATTAAACCCCAGAAAAACATTTTAATTTGAAATTTATAGATTCGATTTTTCATTAAACAACAACGAAAAGTCTATTTTCGAACAAATATTTATAAATTTAGTAGATGCAACTAAAGTAGCTAATATTATTATATTTAAAATTACAAAAACGTTTGTTCGTCAAACGACCCAAAATGGTCGTCGTATTTTCTCCATTACAGTTTCGAATTGTTTTCACACTAGCATTGTCCTGATTCTTCCACTTGTAATTCTATCAGAGATTAAACAAGAATGTGTTAGAGTCAAGCATAGATATGTATGTAAGTTTCTTCTTTTATCATAGAGAATCGTTACAAAACGCTAATTGTCTTTCAGTTAGAAGCATCATGGCGTCTGATGTCATTGAAGTCTAATGATGATTATTATTAAACCCCAGAAAAACATTTTAATTTGAAATTTATAGATTCGATTTTTCATTAAACAACAACGAAAAGTCTATTTTCGAACAAATATTTATAAATTTAGTAGATGCAACTAAAGTAGCTAATATTATTATATTTAAAATTACAAAAACGTTTGTTCGTCAAACGACCCAAAATGGTCGTCGTATTTTCTCCATTACAGTTTCGAATTGTTTTCACACTAGCATTGTCCTGATTCTTCCACTTGTAATTCTATCAGAGATTAAACAAGAATGTGTTAGAGTCAAGCATAGATATGTATGTAAGTTTCTTCTTTTATCATAGAGAATCGTTACAAAACGCTAATTGTCTTTCAGTTAGAAGCATCATGGCGTCTGATGTCATTGAAGTCTAATGATGATTATTATTAAACCCCAGAAAAACATTTTAATTTGAAATTTATAGATTCGATTTTTCATTAAACAACAACGAAAAGTCTATTTTCGAACAAATATTTATAAATTTAGTAGATGCAACTAAAGTAGCTAATATTATTATATTTAAAATTACAAAAACGTTTGTTCGTCAAACGACCCAAAATGGTCGTCGAGTTTTCTCCATTACAGTTTCGAATTGTTTTCACACTAGCATTGTCCTGATTCTTCCACTTGTAATTCTATCAGAGATTAAACAAGAATGTGTTAGAGTCAAGCATAGATATGTATGTAAGTTCCTTCTTTTATCATAGAGAATCGTTACAAAACGCTAATTGTCTTTCAGTTGGAAGAATCATGGCGTCTGATGGAAGTGTACGCAGTGGAAGCTCTGCAAGGAACAGCATTCGCTTCAGACGCGAGGGAAAATACTCGTCCCATGAACAAGGCGGTGGTCAGCCCTAGTGAAATATCGAATCTGTTCGACAGTATCGCGTATCAAAAAGGTGAGGTGACAAACAGAGTATTATCGTGTATTTAGAAATGTTATTTTTCATTTGGACCGATCGATGCCCGATAACACCGATACACCGGATAAGTTACTATCGTACCAATTATTTATTACCTAATACCAATGTCAGAATACGTTTTAAATGCACGTAGTCACGTAGCCGCGTGAAAAAGCTGTAATCCTATCGATCATTCTGTTATTCCGTGGCTATTAATATTATCAGCACGTAGATAACATCTAAGACTTTTGATGTCGAAAAATTCGAGATTTTATCGATCGACGCGAGTAATAAGAGATTGCAATACCGGCGATTACGAGTCGAAATGCACGCCGATTAATTTTAAACGACGAAATTGATTTTCCAACAAATGTAACATGACTAATTTCCGTAGCTGGATCGGTCATTCGAATGATGTCGAGCATTCTGACGGAAAAGGTCTTCCAAGAAAGGCTACAAAACTATCTGAAGGACTAGTAAGTCTAACAAAAGATTTAAACGATTTTATTTGGTAAAAGATTCGGGACAAAACTGGCACGATTAGTTTTCGTTGTGTTTTCCACCAAATGAGATCATTCGCGAAACGTATTTTATAATCAGTACTTTATTATATTAAGTAAACACATTGTATAATAGTTATTTTCGCGTGACGGTTACGTCTCCCACGTGCACCCTGGAAGCACAGACACGCGAGAGCGCCAGGAGGCGCCAGATGGCGCCGTTGTCGGCAATCGCGGACCTATTTAATTTGGGCCCGGAGTTCGCCCGTTATTGACTTTCTATTTTTCTTAACGAACAAAATATACCTATGCGATTCTATCGGAGAAAAACCATTACTGCATCTATACTTTGATCGATCAAACTCTGATCACAATTTCTGATGCTTCTGTATAATTATCGAGGTTTCACGGTACTAACAACGATGGTTTACAGTTCGTTGAAAGTCGCCGAGTCGAAGAACCTGATCGATCACCTTCAAGCCGATGGGAAGGAGACGTGGGGGGGTCAAAAGTTCGAGACGATTATGGACGAATGGATAAACAAACCAGGATACCCGGTGGTCACCGTGAACAGGACCGATAACGGAGTTGAGCTGAGTCAAGAACGATTCATGCTGTACGGGTCCAGCAACGATATAAAATGGTGGATACCCATTACGTACGTTCTGCACCCCGACGTCAATTTCAACAACACCACGCCAACGTTATGGTTGAGCAAAACAGAGAATTTGACCATTTCCAACGTTACACGCGACAACTGGATTATCATCAACACTCAACAAACAGGTGACCAGCCTTGAATACGGGTAACCCCCCCTATAACACGGTAGATAGGTTAGAAAATGTCGTGTTCAGTGAAACCGTGTTATATGAGACCCAAAGCCAGTATAAAAAGGGGGGTAACGTTCCGAAAACTTATTAAAAACAAATAGTTGTTTTTAATTCTATACAAGCATATTATTTTAATTAAACGCAACCTTAATTTGATAAATTATAATTTGTTTGTGCAGGGTGTTAAAAAAATTTTAATGGGAGACTCTAGAGGTCAAAATAAGACGAAAATCAAGAATATCAATTTCTTGATCGAGGCTTCGTTAAAAAGTTATTAACGTTTATAGTTGCGTCTGTGAGACGGGAACCGTGCGCGCTGCACACTTTAACTTTAAACGTTAATAACTTTTTAATGAAGCCTTAATCAACAAATTGGTATTCTTGATTTTCGTCTTATTTTGGCCTCTAGTACCTCCTGTTAAAATTTTTCCCAGGGTTGGCCGAGCACCCTGTATAAATTAAACATAATTTAATTAAACGTAGAGATTACATTGTTTAATAAAAAATCAAATCAATATACAGGGTGTTCGGCCAATCCTGGGAAAAATTTTAATGAGGGATTCTACAGGCCAAAATAAGACGAAAATCAGGAATAACAATTTCGTGACCGAGGCTTCGTTGAAAAATTATTAAAAAATTAAATTAAAAAATTTCAAATCGTTCTGGAGAAATTATTTTTGGTGCAGAGGTCGATTACAATCATTTTTGGCCATTACACATACCCCCGAAATTCTACGCACCTTCGAGAAAAAAATTCCTGACCGAAAATGTCATAACTTTTGAACGGATTGGGGGATTTTAATGTTTCGAACGTGTAGAAATTCTAAAAATATTGAAAGAATTGTTCCTTGATCGCGCAAAATGCGAAAAACCCCCTAAAAATGGTCCAATTTTTAAATAACCATAGCTCCTACAATAGTGTATATATTTTAATGTAACTTTTTTCTGAGATAGAGCTCATGGGTACCTACAAAAATGTATCAGACAACTTTTCTGTAGAGCGTCAAACAAAATTACTAAAAATCAAAAACGAATTTTTAAATTCAAAAATTTCAAATCACTCTGGAAAAATTATTTTCGGCTGCAGGGGTCAATTACAATCACTTTTTATGAATACACATACCTCTGAAATCCTATCCACTATCGAGAAAAAAATTCGAGTAGGTACTGTTACTTACTTATACTTTTATACATATTTTTATAAAATATGATAAAAAATTTTGTTCGTTAAACACGTCCAAATAAATTCTCAGTTATTTAACGAACATTGAATGTTTCTCTAGGTTACTATCGCGTCAACTATGATGTGCACACCTGGGAACTGCTGCAAAAGTTCCTGTTGACGAAGAACTACGGCAACATACACGCGGTGAACCGCGCTCAACTGATCGACGACGCTCTAGCAATGGCGCGAACGAGTCGCTTGAATTACACGGTCGCATTGTCGCTCAGCCTCTACCTGCACCAAGAAACTGATTACATTCCGTGGATCACAGCCAACAGACATTTGAACTTCTTCCAGAATATGCTGTACACTTCTAAGCACTATACCATGTACAAGGTATAACAGAGTTACAACAGAGATTATGATTTCCCTCTCGTTTATACCGAAAAGACATGATTCATTTAATTCGAATACTGTAAACTACGCGTAGGTTTAAGCAAAGAATGTTCATTTCCATTTACCGGGGCCATTACAATTGCTCGTTGCTCGTTTCAGTCCTACGTCCGATACTTACTAGAGGCTGTGGTGAAAGATGTCAAGTATGAGCCACAAAAAGATGACAAGCATACCACTAAAATTCACAGAGCAATCGTTATGAAGTTGGCCTGCATAGCTGAAGAAAAGGAATGCTTGAAATACGCCGAAAAGGAATTCGAAGCATGGCTCAAGGAACCTGAAAAATATCAGTAAATAACAACATATACACAGTAAAAATTTCAACGGGAGATTCTGGAGGGCAAAATAAGACGAAAATGAAGAATACCAATTTGTCGATCGAGGCATCGTTAAAAAGTTATTAACCTTTAAAGTTCCGCCTGTGGAACGGCAATCTGCGCACAGCTGCGTGCGCGTGATAGTGTTTCTCGCTCACAAGACTCGCAACTTTAAACGTTAATAACTTTTTAACGAAGCCTCGATCAACAAATTGGTATTCTTCATTTTCGTCTTATTTTGGCCTCTAGAATCTCACCTTAAAATTTTTGATAGGGTTAGCCAAAACACTGAGTATATGTATATGTTTAATATAAAATTTCTCTTTCTTCGATGCCCAATAAAATATCTTTCTTGCCTAGAATTGAACGATTGTCGATCTTTCCGCAGATTGGATGCCGATTTGAAGAGCAATATACTCTGTTACGGATTAAGATCCGCCGATGAAACGAAATGGCAAACGACTAAGGACCTACTGTCGAAAACTACAGCTGACGAGGATGAATTGAACACTGTGCTCGCGGTTATGGGTTGCTCAAAATCCCCGCCGATTCTCAAGAAATTATTAGAGCAATCCCTTCAGAACAACTCGTCGATCGACTTCGACGTCGCTGTACAGTCTGTGCTGGCCAATAATCCACTGGAAGGATTCGACCTCGTTCTAAACACGATTTCTAACAATCACGAAGCCATCAAACAGCTGTAATTAACTATGACAACGAATCATATCGTGTTTAGAAAGATCGTAAATCGGTTGTTAAAAGTCTGCTCGTTTGTTTTTAGAAAAAATTCCGAGGACAAGATTAAATCGTGCATCGATAACCTTGGAAACATAGTCGTCACCCCGGACCAATTCCTACAGGTAGGACAATCTTTTTCACATACATTTTTAAATCAGTCTCGAGCAAAGATATAAATCTGAATCGATTGTAAAGTTGCTCCAAAATTTTAGTTTCTTAATCCATGAAGGGAACCGAGAAACTCGTATGAAACTACTTTTATCTGTTTCAGCTGAGCATGTTGAGCACCAAGGTAGGCGCCAAGGCAGATACCGTGCAGAGTACGGTGCAAAAGTCAACGAGAAACATTAATTGGGTCGGTATGCATGGAGATGTTGTTGAGAATTGGTTGCGCAAGAACGAACAGCTGTTTAATTCAGCAGGAAGCACCATTATACTCACTTCGTTCCTCCTCGTCCTTTCGTTCCTCTTTACGCGATTCTATTAAGAGATTCGTCATGAAAACCGCCAACTTGCTAATGTTATTGTAAATAATTAAAATGCATTCGGTAACTATGTAGAAATCGCGTAAACGTGTGTGTGTGTGTGTGTTCTTCTACGAGTCAAAAGATACGAAAATAAATCAATGATCGAATCAACGAGCCCAGTTATTATTCCAATATTTAATAATTAAATCCGTCTGCAATCCTCAGAGTGAACGCCAGGTTTTCGATAAATACCCTTGAACCAAATTTTACATAGGATGGATTCATAGCGCATCAGAAAAAAACATTCTGTGCCAAATTTTAACCCTCTATCTTGTTCGGAAGGGTAGTTATTGGAAAAATCCGGATTAGCGAATTAGTGCCTATTTCCCCTATTTAAATGAGTACGAAAATTATGAAAAAAAATCTGGTGCATTGTGGTTATCGAGATACGTGTTTGAGAATTTTTCCCGATTTTTCGATTCCAAATCCTAGGTGTGAAAAATTAAAAACGCAGAAAAGTACCGATTTTGTATCAAAGCTTTCCAGACACTAGATTTATATAATTATTGTAAATGCGTATTGTCGTTGGTTATGTCCCTGAATTTTTTCAGATTTTTTGGCAGGGTGCACCGTAGTAACAAAAATCAAAAACCGATTTTTTTGGCGTTTTTTCGCGTGAAAAAGCAACTTATACTTTGAATTTTTCTATTTCCTTTAATGGATAATTATATTCTATGGTTTAAAACAATTCTATGTTGATTAGAACAGTGTATAGAATAGAAAAACAATAAGTCACCAAATTATAGGTGTTATGTGCTTTATATCTAGAAATATCAACTGTATTTTCACGAGATGCCATGATGCAGTGATTAAGATGCTTGACTGTGAATCCGTTGCAAACTTTTTGACGCTGGTTCGCGCCCAGTTTAAAGCACATCTGTTTTTTTATTTTATTAATTACATATTTTCTCAATTTTGAACTATATAACAATGAAAATCTATTTAAAATATTTGAAAATATTTTTTTTTTGTAAGAAAAAATTGTCCTACCCGTAGGAATTGGTCCGGGGTGACGACTATGTTTCCAAGGTTATCGATGCACGATTTAATCTTGACCTCGGAATTTTTTCTAAAAGCAAACGATCAGACTTTTAACACTTTACCGACCGGTAGCGGTTGATGAATCGGCTATCGGTCGGTAAGCGTTGGTCGGTAAAAAAGTTCATTAATACGCTATCGGTCGGTAAGCGTTGGTCGGTAAAAAAGTCGATTAATAGGCTATCGGTCGGTAATGTGTTAACAACCGATTTACGATCTTTCTAAACACGATATTATTCGTTGTCATAGTTAATTACAGCTGTTTGATGATTTCGTAATTGTCAGAAATCGTGTTTAGAACGAGGTCGAATCCTTCCAGTGGATTATTGGCCAGCACAGACTGTACAGCGACGTCGAAGTCGATCGACGAGTTCTTCTGAAGGGATTGCTCTAATAATTTCTTGAGAATCGGCGGGGAATTTGAGCAACCCATAACCGCGAGCACAGTGTTCAATTCATCCCCGTCAGCTGTGGTGTTCGACAGTAGTTCCTTAGTCTTTTGCCATTTCGTTTCATCGGCGGATCTTAATCCGTAACAGAGTATATTGCTCTTCAAATCGGCATCCAATCTGCGGAAAGATCGACAATCGTTCAATTCTAGGCAAGAAAGATATTTTATTGGGCATCGAAGAAAGAGAAATTTTATATTAAACATATACATATACTCAGTGTTTTGGCTAACCCTATCAAAAATTTTAAGGGGAGATTCTAGAGGCCAAAATAAGACGAAAATGAAGAATACCAATTTGTTGATCGAGGCTTCGTTAAAAAGTTATTAACGTTTAAAGTTGCGAGTCTTGTGAGCGAGAAACACTATCACGCGCACGCAGCTGTGCGCAGATTGCCGTTCCACAGGCGGAACTTTAAAGGTTAATAACTTTTTAACGATGCCTCGATCGACAAATTGGTATTCTTCATTTTCGTCTTATTTTGCCCTCCAGAATCTCCCGTTGAAATTTTTACTGTGTATATGTTGTTATTTACTGATATTTTTCAGGTTCCTTGAGCCATGCTTCGAATTCCTTTTCGGCGTATTTCAAGCATTCCTTTTCTTCAGCTATGCAGGCCCACTTCATAACGTTTGCTCTGTGAATTTTAGTGGTATGCTTGTCATCTTTTTGTGGCCCATATTTGACATCATTCACCACAGCCTCTAGTAAGTATCGGACGTAGGACTGAAACGAGCAACGAGCAATTGTAATGGCCCCGGTAAATGGAAATGAACATTCTTTGCTTAAACCTACGCGTAGTTTACAGTATTCGAATTAAATGAATCATGTCTTTTCGGTATAAACGAGAGGGAAATCATAATCTCTGTTGTAACTCTGTTATACCTTGTACATGGTATAGTGCTTAGAAGTGTACAGCATATTCTGGAAGAAGTTCAAATGTCTGTTGGCTGTGATCCACGGAATGTAATCAGTTTCTTGGTGCAGGTAGAGGCTGAGCGACAATGCGACCGTGTAATTCAAGCGACTCGTTCGCGCCATTGCTAGAGCGTCGTCGATCAGTTGAGCGAGAACCACTATCATGCGCACGCAGCTATGCGCAGATTGCCGTTCGACAGACGGAACTTTAAAGTTTAATAACTTTTTAACGAAGCCTTAATCAACAAATTGGTATTCTTCATTTTCGTCTTATTTTGGCCTCTAGAATCTACCCTTAAAATTTTTCCTAGGGGTAGCCATAACACTCTGTATATAAATAAAATTTTTCTTTTTTATTTTTGTTTTTCTATTCTATACACCGTTCTATTCAACATAGAATTGTTTAAAACCATATTCTATGGTTACCCATTAAAGGGAATACAAAAATTCAAAGAATAAGTTGCTTTTTCACCCGAAAAACGCCAAAAAAATCGGTTTTTGATTTTTGCTACTACAACGCACCTTGCCAAAAAATCTGAAAAAATTCAGAGACATAACCAACGACAATATGCATTTACAGTAATTATATAAATCTAGTGTCTCGAAAGCTTCGATACGAAATCGGTACTTTTCTGCGTTTTTAATTTTTCATTCCTACGATTTGGAATCGTAAAATCGGTAAAAATTCTCAAACACGTGTCTCAATAACCACAATGCACCAGATTTTTTTCATAATTTTCGTACTCATTTAAATAGCGGAAATAGGCCGAAATTCGCTAATCCGAATTTTCCCAATATCTACCCTTCCGAACAAGATAGAGGGTTGAAATTTGGCACAGAATATTTTTTTCTGTTGCTCTATGGGTCCATCGTATGTAAAATTTCGTTCAAGGGCTTGACCCCCTCATTCGACTATACCCTTTTCGAGTCTTTTTTAAAACCGTTTCTTGCGTATGCATTTATATGCGACGTTGCATAACGCAGGGCATTGGTCAATCGTATAAATTATACGTTTTGTTCCCGTTTCCATTAATATTCACTGTTTGTAACAGCGATGCTCGATTATGCTACAATTTACTTTTTCCATTCGTACGTTTGGTCGATCACAATAGTCGGCACGAAATCGTTGCGCAATATTCTAAAGGGGAAATTGATATATACATATTTATATCTTAAACAGTGAAATTATCATCGATTATTCGCAGGTTGCGAATATTTCCATTATTAAATAACATTCTCACACGTTTCTCTTAATTAAACGTAATTTTCTGTCCATCTAGAATATCGAACCAACCGAAAGGAACCATGATTTCTCGAAGTTTAACCATAAGGTTCAATCTCTTTCTAAATATCATCATTCTCGCCAATATCCTGCAAGCGGAGACCAATGAAAACGTCACAAAAACTCCAGTAAACAACTATCGTCTGCCCGACGACGCTATACCGACACACTACAACATAAAATTGGAATTAACCGAACTAAAGAGCATAATTTTCAACGGGGAAACGGAAATTGATCTGAAAGTGAGGAGACCAACACCTGACATCGTCTTAAATTCGAAGGAGCTCACGATAGACAAATCGTCGACCAGCCTGAAACACGGGAACAACACTCTGAGACCAAACGAACACATTTACGACATCGAGAGAGAAATGTTGCGACTTCGATTCGAGGACACTTTGCAACCGGGAGTATACACTTTGTACTTGAAATTCGTCGGTGTGTATGGCGCCGACATTTGCGGAATGTTCAAATCATTCTACGAGGACGAGCAGGGCCACGAGGCGTGAGTAAGCAAATTAAAAGAGTTTAGAGAGAAATGGGGATCGAGATGATCGTGTTCTAGGTCGGTGGTTGGGACCCATTTTCAAAAAACCTCAGCTCGAAGCGCGTTCCCTTGCTGGGACGAGCCAGCTCTGAAATCGACGTTCAACGTCTCCGTGAAACACCTGTCGAATCACACTGCACTCTCCAACATGCCAGCATATCTGATAGAACCTGACGAGAGGAACGAACAGGTCTGGACGCATTTCGAAACGACGCCAGTCATGTCGACCAACATTCTGGCGGTGGTCGTCGTCTCCGACTTCCGTCACATTTCCAGCCCCGATGGCAGTGTTCGAGTGTGGACCAGGGCGGAGAGGATCCACGAGGCTGGATATTTCCTGGAGATCGCGGAGAGAGCGATGGAAGAGCTGACGCGATACTTCAACAGCACCGTTCGTGTCCCGAAAATGGACCACGTGGCTCTCCCCATGTATTCCGCGGCAGCCAGCGAAAACTGGGGCCTGATCGTCTACAAGTACAGCTACAGATTCGATATTTAACAGACATCTTAAAATAGAGAGATAACGCGACCAAAAGGCCAAGGTTGCAAGAGGAGTTTTTTCTTTTTTCCTTATCGATTCGCTGAAATCTTTGTTCAGATTACAGACCCCGAATCACGATTCTGTTTATCTAAGAATCAATTGAGAATTTCGATTGCTTAATGGAGAAATGCTCTCTAGAGTGGAGCATGGTATTTGAGGGGGGAGGCAAAACCACTGTAAACGCCCGAAACAAAGCGTTTTTTTGCGGCCATTTTCTAGATGGATGTTTAAATAAGACGATCTCAAGTGTTCAAAAAGAATTATTCAAAAATAGTGCGAAATAACGACGCTGGAGCCCCTCTCGCGAGGCGCTTGAGCTAAAGGCTCTCTCTATCACGCTGCGTAACTCACGTAAATTTGAATCTGGATAAAAACAAACAATTCCCTCTCAATCTAGACTACTATAGCTAGAGAAGACCGCAAGGGATTTTTGAAAGATCAATTTTTGAGCGATTGGCGAGCACTTTTGCCTCTAGCCTCGTAACGTTGTTATTTCCCATCCAAAAAAACGCTTTATTTCAGGCTTCTCGGTGGTTTTGCCCCCCCCCAAAAACGGTTCTAGTCTTTAACAGTATACTGTTTAACCGTTAAGAGAAGCTGCAGCCCCGTACAACACCACGGAACACGTTGAGTCGAGAATGTTTAATACGATGACTGTCGCTCACGAGATCACTCATCAATGGTTCGGGAATTTAGTTAGCCCGTCATGGTGGAAGTATTATTGGATGAGCGAGGGTGCAGCCACGTATTTTAGGTATTATATCACCGATAAGGTAAACCCACACGCATACACGTACATACACAGATCGTGCAGTGATTTTCAGACGATTATTTCTGTAACGTTTGCTCCAGATGTTCAAAAGCTGGAGATTGATGGAGAATATAATATTCGATCAAATGAGAGCGTTTTCGATCGATGATAGCTCGGATGCTCATAAAATAAACAACGATTTTATCGATCGTCGTTACACCAGAAACATCTACTCCATCACTTATACAAAAAGTAAGGATAATAAGGAGAATATTCAATATTAAAGCGTAAAATGACTGTGTTCGTACTTTCAGCTGCTGTCATTCTTTGGATGATGTCTCACATGATGGGCGAGGAGGTTTTCAGGAATGGATTGCTCAAATACATCGATGCACAGTTAGTAATTTTAACGTTTCTACTTAAACTCGGCTTAAATATTTCTTGTATTCTTCGCACGGGAAGGTTCTTTCCAAGTTTTGCACGATTAAAGTCTAATCGTGATCAGAATCGTATCATAATTAATCGTGTGATCGTTGCGTTGGAAAACATTTTAATTCAAAATTGAATTTGCATATTAATTCGAATTTTTTGTTAAACGTTGAAAAATTTCGAACTAATATTTATGAATTTAATTAATGTAAATAAAATGATGATAGTAATATTGTTTATTTAATGTTTGTTCGTTAAATGGAGAAAAATGGTAATTTTGTGGAATTTTTTCTGTTATTTGAAATGATTTTCAGCGAGTATGGCAGCGTCATGTCGGACGACTTATGGGAGGCGATGCAGAGTGCGTTGAATGAGACAGATTACGCGAATATTGAAGTGAAAGAGGTGATGGATAGTTGGATAGAACAAACCGGATATCCTCTAGTGACAGTGACGAGAAATTACACGACTGGCGACGCGACGATACGCCAAGAACCGTCGCCATTTTCTCGCGACAGAACGTCGAGAAAATGGTGGATTCCCATAAACTATGCGACCAAATCAGAACCAGACTTTTCAAAAACCAAACCTACTCATTGGTTACGACCCAGTGACGAGAATATAACGATTAAAGGAATCGAGGTCGACGATTGGTTAATTGTGAATTTGCAACACACTGGTGAGTGGGTAAAGTATTAATTATTATTGAGGAAGTATTGTTAGACTGTAGGTGTACAATGATATAGGTTACTATCGCGTGAACTATGACGTGACCAATTGGAATAAAATTCTGGAATACTTGAATTCGGACAATTATACGAAAATACACGTTGGGAATCGTATTCAATTAATTGGGACTGCTTGGAGCCTGGTGAACTTGAAGCAATTACATTCTTCTGTTTTTGTGGAGCTTATTAATTACTTGCATCGTGAAACTGACCCCGTCGTATGGAAGTATGTTTTCATCCATTTTGTTAATATGGGTAATTATTTGAGAACCACCGATGGAACAAATATTTTAAAAGTGAGTTGAAATGTTTTGATAATTGCAAGATTATTCTTTAAGCTTTTTACATATAGAATCGATTTTATTATACAGGGTGTTAGGTCAATGCTGGGAAAAATTTTATTGGGAGATTTTAGAGGCAAAAATAAGACGAAAATTAAGAATTCTAATTTTTTGATTGAAGCTTCGTTAAATAGTTATTAACAAAATTGTTCATAAAATTTGTCCACCTTCACGAATTTTTTTCTCGAAAGTGCGTAGGATTTTGAGGGTTTGTCTAATGACCAAAAATGATAGTAATTGACCCCTGCAACTGAAAATAATTTTTTTAGAACGATGTCAAATTTTTTAATTTCACCGAAACATTTAGGCTACTCGAATTTTTTTCTCGATAATGGTTAGGATTTTGAGGATTTGTCTATTGACCAAAAATGATTATAATTGACCCCTGAAATCGAAAATAATTTTTTTAGAACGATTTCAAATTTTTTAATTTCACCGAAAAATTTAGGCTACTCGAATTTTTTTCTCGATAATGGTTAGGATTTTGAGAGTTTCTCTATTGACCAAAAATGATAGTAATTGACCCCTGAAATCGAAAATAATTTTTTTAGAACGATTTCAAATTTTTTAATTTCACCGACAAATTTAGGCTACTCGAATTTTTTTCTCGATAATGGTTGAGATTTTGAGGATTTGTGTATTGACCAAAAATGATTGCAATTGACCCCTGCAAACGAAAATAATTTTTTTAGAACGATTTAAAATTTTTTAATTTCACCGAAACATTTAGGCTACTCGAATTTTTTTCTCGATAATGGTTAGGATTTTGAGGGTTTGTCTATTGACCAAAAATGATTATAATTGACCCCTGAAATCGAAAATAATTTTTTTAGAACGATTTCAAATTTTTTAATTTCACCGAAAAATTTAGGCTACTCGAATTTTTTTCTCGATAATGGTTAGGATTTCGATGGTTTGTCTATTGATAAAAAAATGATAGTAATTAACCACTGTAAACGAAAATAATTTTTTTAGAATGATTTGAAATTTTTTAATTTCGCCGAAAAATTTAGGCTACTCGAATTTTTTTCTCGATAATGGTTGGGATTTTGAGGGTTTGTTTATTCACCAAAAATGATTGTAATTGATCCCTGCAATCGAAAATAATTTTTTCAGAATGATTTGAACCTTTTAATTTCGCCGAAAAAAGGCACCTTGTCGATTTTTCTTGAAGATTCGTTTTTGATCTTTAATAAATTTGTTTGACGTCTTACGGAAATTTTGTTTAGTACTTTTTTGTAGGTATCGACGACCTCTACTTTCATACTAAATTTCATTGAGATACGTTCATTATTGTAGAAGTTATGGACGTTTGAAAATTGGACCATTTTCATAGGGTTTTTCTCACTTTACGAGGTCAAGGAATAACTTCTTCAATATTGTTACAATATCTACATATTCTTCACTAAAATATGCGTTATTTGCACTTGAAACATTAAATTTATGACGTCTTAAAAAGAAACTTGAAATTTTAGAGTGACATTTCTGGGTTGAAAGTATATTTTCGAAAAGGAATTTTTTTCTTGATAATGGTTAGGATTTCGAGGGTTTGTCTAATGACCAAAAATGATAGTAATTGACCCCTGCAAACGAAAATAATTTTTTTAGAATGATTTGAAATTTTTTAATTTCGCCGAAAAATTTAGGCTACTCGAATTTTTTTCTCGAAAATGGTTAGGATTTCGAGGGTTTGTCTAATGACCAAAAATGATAGTAATTGACCCCTGTAAACGAAAATAATTTTTTTAGAACGATTTCAAATTTTTTAATTTTACCGAAACATTTAGGCTACTCGAATTTTTTTCTCGATAATGGTTGGGATTTTGAGGAATTGTTTATTCACCAAAAATGATTGTAATTGATCCCTGCAATCGAAAATAATTTTTTCAGAATGATTTGAAACTTTTTAATTTCGCCGAAAAAAGGCACCTTGTCGATTTTTCTTGAAGATTCGTTTTTGATCTTTAATAAATTTGTTTGACGTCTTACGGAAATTTTGTTTAGTACTTTTTTGTAGGTATCGACGACCTCTACTTTCATACTAAATTTCATTGAGATACGTTCATTATTGTAGAAGTTATGGACGTTTGAAAATTGGACCATTTTCATAGGGTTTTTCTCACTTTACGAGGTCAAGGAATAACTTCTTCAATATTGTTACAATATCTACATATTCTTCACTAAAATATGCGTTATTTGCACTTGAAACATTAAATTTATGACGTCTTAAAAAGAAACTTGAAATTTTAGAGTGACATTTCTGGGTTGAAAGTATATTTTCGAAAAGGAATTTTTTTCTTGATAATGGTTAGGATTTCGAGGGTTTGTCTAATGACCAAAAATGATAGTAATTGACCCCTGCAAACGAAAATAATTTTTTTAGAATGATTTGAAATTTTTTAATTTCGCCGAAAAATTTAGGCTACTCGAATTTTTTTCTCGAAAATGGTTAGGATTTCGAGGGTTTGTCTAATGACCAAAAATGATAGTAATTGACCCCTGTAAACGAAAATAATTTTTTTAGAACGATTTCAAATTTTTTAATTTTACCGAAACATTTAGGCTACTCGAATTTTTTTCTCGATAATGGTTGGGATTTTGAGGAATTGTTTATTCACCAAAAATGATTGTAATTGATCCCTGCAATCGAAAATAATTTTTTCAGAATGATTTGAAACTTTTTAATTTCGCCGAAAAAAGGCACCTTGTCGATTTTTCTTGAAGATTCGTTTTTGATCTTTAATAAATTTGTTTGACGTCTTACGGAAATTTTGTTTAGTACTTTTTTGTAGGTATCGACGACCTCTACTTTCATACTAAATTTCATTGAGATACGTTCATTATTGTAGAAGTTATGGACGTTTGAAAATTGGACCATTTTCATAGGGTTTTTCTCACTTTACGAGGTCAAGGAATAACTTCTTCAATATTGTTACAATATCTACATATTCTTCACTAAAATATGCGTTATTTGCACTTGAAACATTAAATTTATGACGTCTTAAAAAGAAACTTGAAATTTTAGAGTGACATTTCTGGGTTGAAAGTATATTTTCGAAAAGGAATTTTTTTCTTGATAATGGTTAGGATTTCGAGGGTTTGTCTAATGACCAAAAATGATAGTAATTGACCCCTGCAAACGAAAATAATTTTTTTAGAACGATTTCAAATTTTTTAATTTCACCGAAAAGTTTAGGCTACTCGAATTTTTTTCTCGATAATGGTTAGGATTTTGAGGGTTTGTCTATTGACCAAAAATGATTATAAATGACCCCTGCATTCGAAAATAATTTTTCCATAATGATTTGAAATTTTTTAATTTTGCCAAAAAAGGCACCTTGTCGATTTTTCTTGAACTCTCGTTTTTCATTTTTAATAAATTTGTTTGACGTCTTACGGAAATTTTGTTTAGTACTTTTTTGTAGGTATCTATGAGCTCAACTTCCATACTAAATTTCATTGAGATACTTTCATTATTGTAGAAGTTATGGGCGTTTGAAAATTGGACCATTTTTTATGGGGGTTTTCTCACTTTACGGAATTAAGAAACAACTTTTCAGATATTCTTAGAATGTCGACGTATTCTACATTAAAATATGCGTTATTTGCCTTTTGAAACATAAAAATCCTTCAATTTGTTCAGAAGTTATGACGTTTTAAAGATTTGCATGAAATTTTAGAGTGACATTTCTGGCCAGAAATTATATTTTCTGTAAAGAATTTTTTTCTCGAAAGTGCGTAGGATTTCGAGAGTTTGTCTATTGACCAAAGATGATTGTAATTGATCCCTGCAATCGAAAATAATTTTTTCATAATGATTTGAAATTTTTTAATTTCAGCGAAAAATTTAGGCTCCTTCTCGAATTTTTTTCTGGAAAGTGCGTAGGATTTCGGGGGTATGTGTATTGAGCAAAAATAATTGTAATTGACTCCTCTAGCTAAAAATAATTTTTTTAGAAAGATTCGAAATTTTTCAATTTCGCCGAAAAATTTCAATACCTATTCGAATTTTTTTCTCGAAAGTGCGTAGGATTTCGAGTGTATGTGTATTGAGCAAAAATAATTGTAATTGACTGCCCTAGCTAAAAATAATTTTTTTAGAAAGATTCGAAATTTTTTAATAACGAAGCCTCAATCACCGAATTAGTATTCTTAATTTTCGTCTTATTTTGGCATCTAGAATCTCTCATTAAAATTTTTTCGTGTCGAACATCCTGTATACAACTTCTTTCTACCGTAATATTGATCCTCTCAAACATTCACTATTACAAGCGGTTCATTTAATACTTATTTATTAACACTAGGACTACCAACAATTATAGTGTGTTTATTTGTACCAAAGAAATTGAAGATACGCGAAGAAATATATAATGCAATGGAAATAAGTGTTTATATATTGTTGGAAATGCGGCCAATGTCGGCATGGTTGCCGGGCCTGCCAACCGTTGGGTAGCCAGGGGGAATGGGGTTTCCCCGTTCGTGAGCGCTCTTATGTTGTTTCCTGGCCATGAGGCGACTTGTAATATTCCATAACCTATGATATTGTTATTAATCAGTTTTGTTATAATTTGGTATAATTATCTTTATACACGTGTTCATTTGTAACCTCTAATATATATTCTCTTATAAAAAATTACGATAAATTTTTCAAAAATTCTTTACAAGTTTCATTAGAAACTACGAATAGGTTATTTTTACTGGTTTGCTAGTTCTAGTGTTAAATATTCACTCAGAACCTGGAATAACTTTCGTATATACATTTTCGAAATGGATAATTCTAATTGTTATTTTGCAAACGCTTTCTAGCCGCGTATTCGCGATCTGATGAAGAATTTTATTGAAACTATCGGCTACGAACAATCTCCCAGCGACGACGATTTCGTGAAGGTTATAAAAATGATTGCTTTAGATTGGGCTTGCGCGGTTGGTGATCCCGAATGCAAACAACGAGCAACAGAACGATTAATTGCATACATCGAGGATCCATTAGCAAACAGGCGAGTAGAAAGATTCAAAATTCCTCGAACGAGAAGAAAAAATGATAATAATATCATTTAAAACTGTTTCAGAGTGCCAGGGAACGCGGAATCTTGGGTATTTTGCATGGGTATGAAAAGTGCAAATCGATCGATATGGGACGCGTTGTCTCGCGATCGATCGAGATTCGAGGATCAGAATGTGTACCAATTGTTAAACCATCTAAGTTGCACGGAGGATCCAGAGATCATTGGACATTATTTAAACATGTCCCTGACACCGGGCACAACCATATCCGAATTCACGGATCCCATAAACATCTTACGACACATCGACGCTGACGTGCCAGAGAATATAAACGCAGAAATAGATTTTATTGTAAACAATTTCGACAGGATCTCTAACGCGTAACTATATTTATTATTTATAATTCTCAATTGTTGAGTCGATAAACCAGAAAGTACCATCCGTAAAACATACGAAAATGTTGAGTAAAATTTTAATGGCGGATTCTAGAGGCCAAAATAGTACGAAAATCAAGAATACCAATTTGTTGATGGAGGCTTCGTTAAAAAGTTATTAACGTTTAAAGTTCCGACAATACTGAATTTTTTTCTAGAAAGTGGGTAGGATTTCGGGGGTATGTCTATTCACCAAAAATGATAGTAATTGATCCCTGTTATCGAAAATATTTTTTCCAGAACGATTTGAAATTTTTTTTTCCGTCGAAAAAGGGGGTCTCCCTTGTCAATTTTTCTTGAGACTTCGTTTTTGATTTTTAGTAATTTTGTTTGACGTCCTATAGAAAAGTTGTCTAATACTTTCCTGTAGGTACCCATGAGCTCTACTTTAGAAAAAAGTTTCAATGAGATACGTTCACTATTGTAGGAGTTATGGCAGTTTGAAAATTGGACCACTTTTATGGGGTTTTTCTCATTTCAAGATGTCAAGGAACAGCTTTTCGAATATTTTTGGAATTTCTACATATTCTTCACTAAAATACGCGTCATTTACAATTTGCAACATTAAAATCCTTCGATCCCTTCAGGAGTTACGATTTTTTAAACATATGCATGAAATTTCAGGGAAACATTTCTAACCTCACATTATATTTTCGGGAAAGAATTTTTTTCTCGAAAGCCCGTAGGATTTCGGTGGTACGTATATTAACCAAAAATGATTGCAATTGACGCCTGCAAACAAAAATAATTTTTCCAGAACGATTGCAAATTTTTTAATTTTGTCGAATTTGTCCACCTACTCGAATTTGTTTCTCGAAAGTGTGTAGAATTTCGGGGGTTTGTCTATTGACCAAAAATGATTGTAAGTGACTCCTGTAATCGAAAATAATTTTTCCAGAGAGATCTGAAATTTGTCAATTTCGGCGAAAAATTTAAGCACGTCGATGTTTCTTAGAAATTAGTTTTTTATTTTTAGTAATTTTGTTTGACGCTCTGCAGAAAAGTTGTTTAATACTTTTTTGTAGGTATCCATGAACTCCATTTCCTCTCAAAATTTTAATGCAATGTATTGATTAGTCTAGGAGTTATGGCTATTTGAAAATTGGATCATTTTTATGGGGGTTTTCTCGCTTCACGGGGTTAATGAACCATATTTGGAATATTGTTAGAATTTCTACATATTCTTCACCGAAATACGCGTTGTTTGCCTTTTGAAACATTGAAATCCTCCAATCCGTTCAGGAATAATGATTTTTTAAAGATACGCTTGAAATTTTGAAGTGACATTTCTGGCTTGAAATTATATTTTGGGTAAGAAATTTTTTTCTCGAAAATGGTTAGGATTTCGAGTGTATGTCTATTGACGCAAAATGGTTGTAATTGACCCCCACAACCGAGAATAATTTTTTCATAACGATTTTAAATTTTTCAATTTCGGGGAAAAAATTATCCACCTACATGAATTTTTTTCTCGAAATTGGGTGTAATTTTGTGGGTATATGTATTGACCAAAAATAATTGTAATTGGCTCCCCTAGCTAAAAATAATTTTTCCAAAATGATTTGAATTTTTTTTTTCCGTCGAAAAATTTCACACCTTCTCGAATTTTTTTCTCGAAAGTGGATAGGATTTCGGGGGTATATGTATTGACCAAAAATGATTGTAACTGACCACTGCAACCTAAAATAATTTTTTCATAACGATTTGAAATTTTCCAATTTCGGGGAATTTGTCCACCTACACGAATTTTTTTCTCGAAATTGGGTGAAATTTTGTGGGTATATGTATTGACCAAACATAATTGTAATTGGCTCCCCTAGCTAAAAGTAATTTTTTTTAGAACTATTTGAAATTTTTTTTTCGCCAAAAAAGGGGACTACCCTCTGACGATTTATCTTGGAGATTCGTTTTTCATTTTTAATAAATTTATTTGACGTTCTACGGAAATTTTGTTTAATACTTTTTTTATAGATATCGATGAGCTCTACTTTCATACTAAATTTCATTGAGATACATTCACTATTATAGAAGTTATGGACGTTTGAAAATTGGACTAGTTTTAGGGGGTTTCTCTGGCCTCATATTGGATTTTCGGTAAAGAATTTTTTTCTCGAAAATGCGTAGGATTTCGGGGGTATGTGTAATGACCGAAACTGATTGTAATTGACTCCCGCAACCGAAAATAATTTTTTTAGAGCAATTTAAAAAATTTTTTTTCCGTCAAAAAATTTCACACCTTCTCGAATTTTTTTCTCGAAAGTGGATAGGATTTCGTTGGTATATGTATTGACAAAAAATAATTGTAATTGGCTCCCCTAGCTGAAAATAATTTTTCCGGAACGATTTGAAATTTTTGAATTTAATTGTTAATAACTTTTTAACGAAGCCTTCATCAACAAATTGGTATTCTTGATTTTCGTCTTATTTTGGCCTCTAGAACCTCCCATTAAAATTTTTCCCTGGTATCGACTAACACCCTGTACACACATCTCTCTCTTTTATCGACCAATTCAATTGCACCTATAGAAGAATCAAATTTTTCAATTTGCTGTTCTTTCGCAGCACAAGCGAAACGGATACTATTCTGGACAATCTTATCTGGAAAATCAGCAGGCAGAGCCAGATAAACAAGGTTCAACGCCATTGATAACAGCTTAAGCTCTTCACCGTAAATGGATTAAACAAGTAGTAATTTATTAACCGTTAATTCCGTTTTCTTTTTTCAGTTAAAGACGTTTTTACAAACTAAAGGCATCAATCGGGACTCTGACATACACTACCGCGAAAGGAGTTTGAATGAAACCAACGAAAAAGTCACCGAAATTTTAAGCTGGTTTGGAACAAAATTGAATACAGACGCAATTAAACAGCAACAAAGGCGTCGATGAAATAAACTTTGCGTACAAAAGCGATTGTAGTCAAAAATAAAAGTGAAAATTCTATTGTTCTGTTAATCGAATGTAATTACAAATGTTCTATATCGAACGATTAACCGATTTACTTGTATAGACGATAAGAAGATAGTAATAAATAGTAAATGGTTTAAATATTCTTAAGATATTGAGTTGCAGGAAAAAGTAATTTATACGATTAGTATAGAATTGTCTTTCGTATCTCGGTGATATTAAATATCGCTAATAAAAGTCATCAGTTTGGTATTAATGGATCGACGGCGATAAAAATTGTATCATTTTATCGTATAAATGTTACTAAATTTCATTAGTTGTGTTTTTGTACGAACGCTCGCAAGGTACGACCATTTATCACGAATGTTATTAACTTCCTTAGAGATAACGATGCAGAATTACGTTCGACTTCGTAAGTCTTGTCAAGATAAGTCTCTTTTATTTCGTTTTTTATTGCAATATTCCGGCCGCGTCAATAATGACGTCTGTGTTTATATTTGCTTGGCTTAAAAGCAATACTCGGTTTACAATGTACCGGGCAGAAATATCATAATCTGCACTTAAGTTGTTCCAGAAGGGAACAATCGTGATATCGCGGTATCGTGATTCATTCGATCGGTTCTGAAATCATAAATTAAACGATGGAAAATGTTTCTTTGATAAACGACGTTAAGACAACATGAAAATCGTTTTTGGAAGAAATTGCACACGAAACGAAGGGGGCTTTGTAGATTACAATTTATGAAACAACGAACGAAATATAATACGGGTAATCCTCTTATAATATGGTAGATAGGTTCCTAGAAAATACCGTGTTCCGTGAAACCGTGTTATATGAGACCTAAAGCCAGTAGAAATAGGGGGGTTATGTTTTTGAAAATTTATTAAAAACGAGTTTTTTTAATTCTATATAAGCATGTTATTTTAATTTAACGCAAGCTTAAATTAATGAATTATAATGGCAGATTTTAGAGGCCAAAATAAGACGAAAATCGAGAATATCAATTTCTTGACTGAGGCTTCGTTAAAAAATTATTAAAAAATTTCAAATCGTTCTGGAAAAATTATTTTTGGTTGTGGGGGTTAATTACAAATATTTTTAGTGAATAGACATACCCCCGAAATCCTACCCAGTTTTGAGAAAAAAATTTGGATAGATGATGAAATTTTTCGGCGGAAAAAATTTTTTCAAATCGATTCTAAAAAAATTATTTCCGGTTGCAGAGGACGATTACAATCATTTTTGGTCATTACACGTACCCCCGAAATCCTGCGCACTTTTGAGAAAAAAATTCCTAACCGAAAATCTAATGTGAGGCACCCCCGAAATTTCATGCGAATCTTTAAAATGTCATAACTTCTGAACGGATTGGGGGATTTTAATGTTTCGAGCGGCAAACAACGCGTATTTTGGCGAAGAGTATGTAGAAATTTTAAAAATATTGAAAAAGTTGTCACTTGACCGCGCGAAATGAAAAAAAAACCCCCTAAAAATGGTCCAATTTTCAAATAACCATAACTTCTACAATAGTGAATATATTTCAATGAAACTTTTTTCTGAGATGGAGCTCATGGGTACCTACAAAAATGTGTTAGACAACTTTCCTATAGGGCGTCAAACAAAATGACTAAAAATCAAAAACAAATTCTTCAGAAAAATTGACATTGTCCCCCTTTTCGGGAAAATTAAACAATTTCAAATCGTTCTAAAAAAATTATTTTTAGCTAGGGGAGCCAATTACAATGATATTTGGTCAATACATATACCCACGAAATCCTAGACAGACTCGAGAAAAAAATTCAATAAGAGGACAAATTTTTCGCCAAAATTGAAAAATTTCAAATCGTTATGAAAAAATTACTTTCGATTACAGGGATTAATTACAATCATTTTTGGTGAATAGATATATTCTCGAAATCCTACGCATTTTCTAGAAAAAAATTCAATAAGTGGACAAATTTTTCGGGAAAATTAAAAAATTTCAAACCGTACTAAAAAAATTATTTTTAGCTAGAGGAGCCAATTACACTTATTTTTGGTCGATACATATACCCACGAAATCCTACATACTTTCGAGAAAAAAATTTAATAAGTGGACAAATTTTTCGCTGAAATTGAAAAATTTCAAATCGATATGAAAAAATTATTTTCGGTTGCGGGGGTCAATTACAATCATTTTTGGTGAATAGACATACCTTCGAAATTCTAACCATTTTCGAGAAAAAAATTCCTTACCCAAAATATAATTTCACGCCAGAAATGTTACTCCAAAGTTTCATGCGTATCTTTAAAACATCATAACTCCTGAACGGATTGGAGGATTTTAATGTTTCAAAAGGCAAACAACGCGTATTTTGGTGAAGAATATGTAGAAATTCTAACAATATTCCAAATATCGTTCGTTAACCCCGTGAAGCGAGAAAACCCCCATAAAAATGATCCAATTTTCAAACGGCCATAACTCCTAGACTAATCAATACATTGCATTGAAATTTTGAGAGGAAATGGAGTTCATGGATACCCACAAAAAAGTATTAGACAACTTTTCTGTAGAGCGTCAAACAAAATTACTAAAAATGAAAAACGAATTTTTAAGAAACATCGACGTGCTTAAATTTTTCGCCGAAATTGACAAATTTCAGATCTCTCTGGAAAAATTATTTTCGATTACAGGGGTCACTTACAATCATTTTTGGTCAATAGACGAACCCCCGAAATTCTACAGACTTTCGAGAAACAAATTCGAGTAGGTGGACAAATTCGACAAAATTAAAAAATTTGCAATCGTTCCGGAAAAATTATTTTTGTTTGCAGGCGTCAATTGCAATCATTTTTGGTTGATATACATACCACCAAAATCCTACGGGCTTTCGAGAAAAAAATTCTTTTCCGAAAATATAATGTGAGGTTAGAAATGTTTCCCTGAAATGTCATGCATATGTTTAAAAAATCATAACTCCTGAAGGGATTGAAGGATTTTAATGCCCCAAATTGCAAATGTCGCGTATTTTAGTGAAGAATATGTAGAAATTCCAAAAATATTCGAAAAGCTGTTCCTTGACATCTTAAAATGAGGAAAACCCCATAAAAGTGGTCCAATTTTCAAACGGCCGTAACTCCTACAATAGTGAACGTATCTCATTGAAACTTTTTTCTAAAATAGAGCTCATGGGTACCTACAGGAAAGTATTAGACTACTTTTCTATAGGACGTCAAACAAAATTACTAAAAATCAAAAACGAAGTCTCAAGAAAAATCGACAGAGGGGAGTCCCCTTTTTCGACGAAAAAAAAAAATTTCAAATCGTTCTGGAAAAATTATTTTCGATAACAGGGGTCACTTACAATCATTTTTGGTCAATAGACAGACCCCCGAAATTCTACACACTTTCGAGAAACAAATTCGAGTAGGTGGACAAATTCGACAAAATTAAAAAATTTGCAATCGTTCCGGAAAAATTATTTTTGTTTGCAGGCGTCAATTGCAATCATTTTTGGTTAATATACATACCACCAAAATCCTACGGGCTTTCGAGAAAAAAATTCTTTTCCGAAAATATAATGTGAGGTTAGAAATGTTTCCCTGAAATGTCATGCATATGTTTAAAAAATCATAACTCCTGAAGGGATTGAAGGATTTTAATGCCCCAAATTGCAAATGTCGCGTATTTTAGTGAAGAATATGTAGAAATTCCAAAAATATTCGAAAAGCTGTTCCTTGACATCTTAAAATGAGGAAAACCCCATAAAAGTGGTCCAATTTTCAAACGGCCGTAACTCCTACAATAGTGAACGTATTTCATTGAAACTTTTTTCTAAAATAGAGCTCATGGGTACCTACAGGAAAGAATTAGACTACTTTTCTATAGGACGTCAAACAAAATTACTAAAAATCAAAAACGAAGTCTCAAGAAAAATCGACAGAGGGGTGTCCCCTTTTTCGACGGAAAAAAAAAATTTCAAATCGTTCTGGAAAAATTATTTTCGATAACAGGGGTCACTTACAATCATTTTTGGTCAATAGACAGACCCCCGAAATTCTACACACTTTCGAGAAACAAATTCGAGTAGGTGGACAAATTCGACAAAATTAAAAAATTTGCAATCGTTCCGGAAAAATTATTTTTGTTTGCAGGCGTCAATTGCAATCATTTTTGGTTAATATACATACCACCAAAATCCTACGGGCTTTCGAGAAAAAAATTCTTTTCCGAAAATATAATGTGAGGTTAGAAATGTTTCCCTGAAATGTCATGCATATGTTTAAAAAATCATAACTCCTGAAGGGATTGAAGGATTTTAATGCCCCAAATTGCAAATGTCGCGTATTTTAGTGAAGAATATGTAGAAATTCCAAAAATATTCGAAAAGCTGTTCCTTGACATCTTAAAATGAGGAAAACCCCATAAAAGTGGTCCAATTTTCAAACGGCCGTAACTCCTACAATAGTGAACGTATCTCATTGAAACTTTTTTCTAAAATAGAGCTCATGGGTACCTACAGGAAAGTATTAGACTACTTTTCTATAGGACGTCAAACAAAATTACTAAAAATCAAAAACGAAGTCTCAAGAAAAATCGACAGAGGGGAGTCCCCTTTTTCGACGGAAAAAAAAAATTTCAAATCGTTCTGGAAAAATTATTTTCGATAACAGGGGTCACTTACAATCATTTTTGGTCAATAAACATACCCTCGAAATCCTACCCACTTTCTAGAAAAAAATTCAGTATTGTCGGAACTCTAAACTTTAATAACTTTTTAACGAAGCCTCCATCAACAAATTGGTATTCTTGACTTTCGTCCTATTTTGGCCTCTAGAATCGCTCATTACAATTTTTTCCAGGGTTTACCGAACACCCTGTACATTTTCATGTAAAGCCACTATAGTTCTCTATTCCTTCGCGACATTATTTCAAGGTAATTTAGTTTTTAAATATGTTAAGCAAAAATCATGCTATCCAGTGCTGTAAAAAGTACAATGTTGTACAAAGGATCTTCCAATTTTTTTATCGTGTTATAGGTGGGCTACCTGTATATACAAGTGATGTTATGAATCGATCAAGAATTGCTGTTTATTCGTAAATAAAATTTCCAAAGCCTAAGCCAATAGATAACACCAATCGAAAAGGTGCACGCGCGCCGAACGGGACAAACGATCCCCGTGAAATGTAAATCCACGCCATTAGCTGGTGATAGATTACCAAGTTCCATTGTCAAACGTACAAAGTTTCGTTCCGTTGGTCCCCTGTCTATTTGTACGAGACACCGTCGTCGATTGATTGCCCGTAAGAACGTATTTGAATAGTTCCCAGATATGCATCCATCATACGAAGGCTACAACACTCTTATCTCCGTTTCGATAAAGTCGATGCAATGAAATGTGGCTGTGCTTCGAAAGAAAAAGAAACGAGACGTCCGTATCGAACAATGGCCGTATAGTCGATAAGACGGTTGATAATAACAGACAAATATGCACAGTGACAAGGAGTCTTTTGGGTGGGAAAAAAAGTAATTAGTTTAGTGAGTCGCGAGCCGATAAACGGGACGGGACTGGACAGGTTTCACAGAACTTAGTGTCGGAATTACTTTGGTTGGATGACCAGTGGAGCGAGGAATCGTTTCGATAATTGTTTCGATAACTGTGCCCGATCGTGATGCGATCAGAGTGATCCGTGACCGTGAAACAATCATGACACGCATTATTTTATCGATAATAAAACTTTCACTACCGAACTGTTGCTCCTCATTATAGTAACAGCGATTAATCCGCGAAGAATACGTCCAACTATGAAGACACGCGGTAACATATGATACGACTGAGACCTTTTACCAGAGTGAGTTACAATTCGAACGACTTAACCGAAACGTTCTAATAAAATTAATTAAATACGATGAATCGATATTTCTTAATATTTAATTGCAAGCGATATGAATTTCCAATTTGTTCCAATTGAATTTAAGCTCTTAATTAAAATTATGTTTAGAAATTGTTTCGATATATCCACAGGGCGTTTACCTACAAGCTGACTGTTTTTTTTTTTTATCTCATTTCTTATCTATCGGAGCAAATAAAAAGTTTGTCGAGTTTTAAATAGAAAATACACTTCGACATTTGTTCAAAACATTTTATAGAATTTTTAAAGATAATGTTAATGAGGTGACAATGAAATTTTGATATTCCAATCGCGATTACGTTTTCAAAATTTCAATGGATTGTGATATTATGCAATTTAGTCGATAATATTTTCAGTACCAGAAAATTGAATGCAACAGAGATAGAAGATTTATTTGGAATGCGATTTGAAATGTTTCATTCGTTAAAATCATTTGTATATGTATATTAGTGGGAAATGAAATGGAAAGTGCATTGAAAATGTACAAAGTTTAATTAATAAAACTAATACTGGAACATTGTTACCGAAATTTCTTAACAAATACACATATATTTCTGTTTTTTTTAATTACTGTTGCAATAATTATACTGGGTATTCGGTCATACCTTAGAAAAATTTTAATGAGAGATTCTAGAGGCCAAAATAAGACGAAAAGCAAGAATACCAATTTGTTGATGGAGGCTTCGTTAAAAAGTTATTAAAGTTTAAAGTTCCGACAATACTGAATTTTTTTCTAGAAAGTGGGCAGGATTTCGGGGTATGTTTATTGACCAAAAATGATTGTAATTGACCGCTGTTATCGAAAATAATTTTTCCAGAACGATTTGAAATTTTTTTTTCCCGTCGAAAAAGGGGATCCCCTCTGTCGATTTTTCTTGAGACTTCGTTTTTGATTTTTAGTAATTTTGTTTGACGTCCTATAGAAAAGTTGTCTAATACTTTCCTGTAGGTATCCATGAGCTCTACTTTAGAAAAAAGTTTTAATTTGATACGTTCACTATTGTAGAAGTTATGGCCGCTTGAAAATTGGACCACTTTTATGGGGTTTTCCTCATTTTAAGATGTCAAGGAACAGCTTTTCGAATATTTTTGGAATTTCTACATATTCTTCACTAAAATACGCGACATTTGCAATTTGGGACATTAAAATCCTTCGATCCCTTCAGGAGTTATGATTTTTTAAACATATGCATGAAATTTCAGAGAAACATTTTCTAACCTCACATTATATTTTAGGGAAAGAATTTTTTTCTTGAAAGCCCGTAGGATTTCGGTGGTATGTATATTAACCAAAAATGATTGCAATTGACGCCTATAAACAAAAATAATTTTTCCAGAACGATTACAAATTTTTTAATTTTGTCGAATTTGTCCACCTACTCGAAGTTGTTTCTCGAAAGTGTGTAGAATTTCGGGGGTTTGTCTATTGACCAAAAATGATTGTAAGTGACCCCTGTAATCGAAAATAATTTTTCCAAAGAGATCTGAAATTTGTCAATTTCGGCAAAAATTTAAGCACGTCGATGTTTCTTAGAAATTCGTTTTTTATTTTTAGTAATTTTGTTTGACGCTCTACAGAAAAGTTGTTTAATACTTTTTTGTAGGTATCCATGAACTCCATTTCCTCTCAAAATTTCAATGCAATGTATTGATTAGTCTAGGAGTTATGGCCGTTTGAAAATTGGATCATTTTTATGGGGGTTTTCTCGCTTCACGGGGTTAACGAACGATATTTGGAATATTGTTAGAATTTCTACATATTCTTCACCGAAATACGCGTTGTTTGCCTTTTGAAACATTAAAATCCTCCAATCCGTTCAGAAGTTATGATGTTTTAAAGATACGCATGAAACTTTGGAGTGACGTTTCTGGCCTGAAATTATATTTTGGGTAAAGAATTTTTTTCCCGAAAATGGTTAGGATTTCGAAGGTATGTCTATTCACCAAAAATGATTGTAATTGACCCCCGCAACCGAAAATAATTTTTTCATATCGATTTGAAATTTTTCAATTTCAGCGAAAAATTTGTCCACTTATTAAATTTTTTTCTCGAAACTATGTAGGATTTCGTGGGTATATGTATCGACCAAAAATAAGTGTAATTGGCTCCCCCAGCTAAAAATAATTTTTTTATAACGGTTTGAAATTTTTTAATTTTCCCGAAAAATTTGTCCACTTATTGAATTTTTTTCTAGAAAATGCGTAGGATTTCGAAAATACATCTATTCACCAAAAATGATTGTAATTAATCCCTGCAATCGAAAGTAATTTTTTCATAACGATTTGAAATTTTACAATTTCAGCGAAAAATTTGTCACTTATTGAATTTTTTTCTCCAAATTGGGTAGGAATTCATGGGTATATGTATTGACCAAAAATAATTGTAATTGGCTTCCCTAGCTAAACATAATTATTTTAGAACGATTTGAAATTTTTTAATTTTCCCGAAAAATTTCTCCACCTACTGAATTTTTTTCTCGAAAATGCGTAGGATTTCGAGGATATGTCTATTCACCAAAAATGGTTGTAATTAGCTCCCCTAGGTAAAAGTAATTTTTTTAGAGCGATTTGAAATTTTTTATTTTTCCCGAAAAATTTCTCCACCTACTGAATTTTTTTCCCGAAAATGCGTAGGATTTCGAGGATATGTCTATTCACCAAAAATGATTGTAATCTACCTCCGCAACTAAAAACAATTTTTTCAGAATGATTTGAAATTTTTGAATTTAATTTTTTAATAACTTTTTAACAAATCGTCAATCAAGAAATTTTCTTAATTGTCGTCTTATTTTGGTCTCTACAATCTCCCATTACAATTTTCCCCAAGGGTGGGCAAACACCTTCTATTACCTTACTTTTTCCTATTTCAATAATCATTCATTATTTCGTTCTTTGTTTAATATCAAAAATATTTCTTAATATACTAGAATAATCACACCAACGTCATGGATACTTTCCGCGCTGGCGTTTTAATCATTTTCATTCTACTGTTCGGTGAAAATCGAGCTATATATCGGGACATCGACACGATCAGAGGTAATCAAAACTCCTCTAATCAACTGATCACTCTAAATCAATATTCTATCAAAATTGTATTTCGAAGATGCAGAAACGTTCGTTGAAAATGGCGGAAATTGCTCGACCGTCGACTATCGACTACCAAAAACGATTGTTCCCACAAACTATGAGATTATACTAATACCATCTTACGAGGGTGACTTCAAGTTCGAAGGAACAGTGCATATAAAGGCCCTCGTGCAACAAGACACGGACACCATAACGCTCCATCATGGACGAATTAGCATAACAGGGATGAGCGTGAATTACGAGAACAACACAATCGGTATTTCAGCCACGTGCTACGACAACAAGACAGAGCAATTTCAACTGAAACTAAAAAGTGTTTTGGAAAAAGGGATGAACATTGTCATAAATTTCCAGTACACTGGTACACTGAGAGACGACATGATTGGATTTTACAAAAGCCTGTACTTCGACTCCAATGGAAAAATTAGGTGAGCTTGACTATCTTGTGAAGACGTTCCGTGTAAACCAATCGAATTTCAGATGGCTGGCCTCCACGCAATTCCAAACCACCCACGCGAGGCACGCTTTCCCCTGCTTCGACGAGCCTAGTCTCAAAGCAACGTTCCAGCTGAGAATTCTAAAAAAACAGGATTACACTTGCCTGAGCAACATGCCGCTGGCAAGAAGCATAGCTGTACCCGAGTAAGTGAAATAATTAAAATTAACGATCGCGTAAGAAAGTTACTAGATGAAGTTCGATTGCAGAGAAAAGAACACATACTGGGAGGATTTTGGCCAGAGTATCCCAATGTCGACGTACTTGGTGGCGTTCATGATTTCGGACTTCAAGTATTTGGGGGGTAATAGCTTCAAGGTCTGGGCAAGACCTGACGCCATCGATCAAGCGAGGTACGCTATGAGCATCGGGCCAAAGGCTCTGGACCACCTCTCGAAATTGTTCAAACAAGAGTACCAGATCCCCAAGATGGACATGGTGGCCGTGCCAGACTTCTCTGCTGGCGCGATGGAGAACTGGGGTCTGGTCACCTATCGCGAGAGTCGACTCCTCTACGACGGGAACACCACCTCCGACGCCGCGAAACAGTCGATCGCGTCGGTGATCGTCCACGAGCTGACGCACATGTGGTTTGGGAACATGATCACGTTCGAATGGTGGAGCTACTTGTGGCTCAGCGAGGCGTTCGCCAGATACTATCAATATTTCGGCACTGCACAGGTAACTGAAACATTCATTTCGTTAGTTATTATCATTAAAAGATCAGTTGACACGTTAACTACCAGTCTGAAATAGTTTGCAAGACCAAAACTTTGATTTCAGTCAATTTTCAAATTTTAAATTAATTTTCAATTGCTGAAACTTCTTTAGGTGTATAGCATCAAAGTAAATATCGAAATAAACATAGAAGATGGCAGAAACTATAGTAGGTGATGTGTTCATTGGATAGAGGATGAAATACCCTTTAAAATGAGCGTTCGTACGAGTCGATAGCGTAATTAGTTCCGGAGATATGGCGATTTTAGTTTCGAGTCGATAGGACAGCTGGTTACGGAGCGTTTGTTTACATCGTCGCGAGGCGAATGACCTCGAGCGCGTGAATGGTAAACAGTGCGCGCGCACGCCACGCCAGTCACGCCTCTCGTGCGAGAGAGAGACTCGACGCGACGCGTTAGACGGAGACAGAGACAGTCGAGTTACATAAATTACCCCTCAACATAAATTGCGATATCTCCGAAACGAAAAGTCGGATCGACAAAAACCAAAAATCATTTTAAAGGGGGGTCCTTGCTACTTCCAACAGTAGCTCAATCATAAAGAAAAGACTGATAGTGTCTCTCCTTTCGTCCTTGCTATTTATTTCCTATTCAGATTGAAAGCTAACTAGAATTTGATAGTTGAAATAAAAATCACCGCATTCGCTACCCTAGTTGCATGTTCAGTAGTTGGTACCCCTGTCTGGACGACACATGGGGGGTCACCGCGTGTGTGCTCCCCCTTTTCCTCTTCCGGAATGTTTCATCGCGAACCGTTGTGTAAAATGGACAAAAGTTCTTGGATACATTTAAAATTATAAATCTTCAGTATTAATATAGCGTTTACTTAATATACCACGATCACACGCCACGCAAATCTCGCCAGTTAATAGATACCAAATTTTGTCTGATTTTTTTCGTTTGTAAAAATGAATTTCGTTCAAACGATCATGATAGGTTTACTGTTAAATAAAATCATTATTCCAGATTGAAACATCATGGAACATGGAGGACCAATTTGTCGTAGAACAGCATCAAACCGCTCTAGCAGCGGATGGACTTGAAACATCCAAACCAATGACCAGACAAATTTTAAATTCTGTGGACGTGTCTGGAGCTGGAGACACTATCACGTATAACAAAGGAGCTAGCGTACTACGTATGATGAATGCTATTTTCGGACAGGATGTTTTCGAAGCTGTATTGCAAAATTACCTCAAGAACAAGTAACAACCGAATTCCCTAAAAAATCTTCCTAATTGATGTTATCGTATTATATTGGCTGTTTGTTTTAGTAAAGAAAATAAAGTAGCACGTCCGGAGAATCTGTGGAGCGAGTTTCAAGCAGAGATCGATCGTCGAGCAATAAAACTAGCTTCCTCTGTGAATAATGTAATGACCACGTGGACAGAACAACCCGGATATCCAGTGTTGCACGTCTCCGTTAAAAACGGAGTCGCGACCGTGCAGCAGAAGCGTTTCCTTTTGAGAAACTTAAAATCCACAGCAACGAATCTGACGTGGTGGGTGCCCATTACGTGGGCCAGTAAAGACGAGCCTAATTTCAACGATATGAAAGTAAAACATTGGCTGAATAGAAACGAAAGTGAAGTTAAATTAAACACAAATTCAGGATGGGTGATATTTAACGTCCAATCAACCGGTCAGTGTATTAAACAGTTCGATAAGCAAACAAGATAAAACAGTTAAAAGAGTATATTTGAACATTAAACGAATCTAATTTTGTTAGGTTTTTATCGAGTGAACTACGATAATAATTCTTGGTACCGTATAATCGACGTTTTAAATAGCGAAGACTATCAACAAATACACGTCCTTAATCGAGCCGCCTTGGTCGATGATTTGTTGAACTTAGCGAGAGCTGGTTTACTCGATTACGCGACAGCTTTAAATGGCGTACGATACATAAAAAAAGAAACAAATTATTTGCCCTTTAAGTCTGCGTTTACTGGGCTCAATTACCTAGATCAACGTTTTTCTGGAAACGATGAACATTACCAGCTTTTCAAGGTAAGTTTAAGTGCATACGTAATTATAATTTTACGTTACAATTAAACAAAATTATTATAAATGCTTTCTTAAGAAGTTATAAGAAAAATGTGATGTTTTTCTATTTACTAAAATTTTGTTCAAAGAGAACAGCCGCTAGTTGAGGCAAGAAAAAATATTTTTATCAGAGTTCAGTTCCTATCGTTCATCTTGGGCGATGAAATATTCTTTCTCATTTCGATGTTCTGAATCTCAACCGAGCTTCACAGTTCATATTTTTGTTATTTCTTAACAAAGCATTTATGGATTTTTTGTTGTATAACATGTTAGTCTTAGTTTTACTTGTGGAACACTTGTATTCTATGAGAATAGTTGCTTTCATTAATCGAGGGGGATTGATTATCGTTCCAGAGATTTGTTCTGAGTCTTATCCAAGATATATATGAAAACCTCGGGTACCTAGATCGTGTCAACGACGACAGATTGACGGTACTATTGAGAAGCGAACTGAACAAATGGGCTTGCAATTATGGCCACGAAGAATGCATAGAAACTTTCACCACGATGTTCAAAAAATGGAGGACAACCAATGTCCCAACGTAAGAAGCGACAAGGGAATTCTATAATTTTTCTTTTTATCGATGAGTTATAAAAATTCCTTTTTCTAGAATCAAACCAAACCAACGTGAAGCAGCATACTGCACGGCAATTAAACACGGATCGCAGGAAGATTGGGAATTCTTATGGAAGGAATATTCGAATTCAAACTCGGCTACCGAACAATCGGTTATACTGCAAGCTCTCGGTTGCACCCAAGACAATGCTATAAGAGAAAGGTAATAATTATCGAATAATCGTCTTCACGACGCACTCTTACCATCTTATTGTTTCAGATACCTTTTATATGCACTCCAAAGTTTCGAAACAAGCAAAATTCGCAGACAAGACAGCACTGCTGTGTTTTCTGCGGTGTCCAGTTCCAGTTTATCCGGTGCAGAATTTCTATTAAACTTCATCGACAAATACCACGCCAAAATGACGGAATAGTACGTTCACACTGCAAAAGAGAAATATTTGAAGGAGGATGTTAAAAAAGTGCCAAACTTGTACTGCGGGGCACCTAAAATAACTATAAGGCATCATTCTACGGATTCTGTGGTAAAATTTGTGTAAATGTGGTTGAAGTTGACGATGCTATGAAAGACGAGTCATAACTTTCTCACTTTAAATGACTATAATTTTGAAGTGAATGCATGGAACGTAACAACACTCCGCTACACTTTGGCCTATTTTACACTCGCAAGTATGTCCAATATTTGCAGCGAGTGCAACCTTTTAACGAACTCTGTAAACTGCAACCAAAGATGCCCCCTTTTCTTGACAAACGACTTCTGTCAATGTTCAGAAACACTTTTGAACTCTGGCTGCTGCTTCACAAAGCAAATCTACTTCTGAAAAAGTGCTGTCACCTATTGACATTTCTGCTTCGACAGCATCCCACACAATACCAATTGTCATTGCACTTCAGGTGTTTCGAGCTAACTTTGCAAGCGACTTGTTACAAATAATACAGTTTCTCTCCATTTGGCACTATAACTTGTGCTACGATATACTACAAGAATTACATTAGGCTACAAAGTGCATTACACAAGTCGCACTGGATAGTATCTCATATAAGACAGTGGTCCAATTCCAGACGAAAGAAAAAGTATCGTGGAAAGCCATAGTGGTGTTATCGTCTCCAGATAAACACCTCTACAAGAATGTAACGAACCAACAGAACCATCTGAACTATAAACACTTCAGATCGCACGATAGCAACCATATCGTATACATTGCGAACGTCATGGTTAATGTTCAATTCACTTAGAAATTATGATCCAAAGAAGAAGGGGATGAAATCTAATAACAGTCTTTCATATCGAATGCATTTAATTCCATTCTAGGAAAGAGTTATACCATTAAACATATTTTGAGGAATATTTGCGTCCTGATACATCATCTTAATCTCTTGCGTCTTATTGTTACCGACCAACAATCTAGGCAACATTTCCATGCGTATTATATAAATATTGACTTTTCTTTACAAAATAGCGTCGGGATTGTTAGGTTCTATGCATTCGCTTCGAAGTTGTAGTCATTTGAAGACAAAAAGTTATGATTCGTCAGACCTAACCTAGACCTAACCCCAACGACATTTTTCACGACTTTCACATCGCATTAGCTATAAACAATTGTGCAGAACCTTAGAATGATGCCTTATAGTTATTTTAGGTGCCTGGCGGGGTACAAATTTGTTACTTTTGTAACACTTTGACGGCCGCTGTCACGTATACGTGACTTCGCTAGCTAGCAGACGTTGGCCATTGTCACGCGTGCGTGATCTACTGTGTCAGTCACCATTTCATCGTACATTCAACTTATTACGTTTGTTGAGGGTACATATAATATTCCTAGCATCTCACTTTGGTCTACAACATCAGTGACGATGGACAACGGTCTTCGCGGCCATTAAAGTGTCAACATCCCCCTTCAGTTTAAAAATATAAAAATACGAGTGTTTGTTTCAGTTACGAGGGGCCAAGCACGATCGCTACCATACTATCGTCAGCTTCCCAGCGTTTATCGACACGGAAGTCAGTCGACGGATTCGCAAATTTAATCCAAAAGCATGCAACGCCTTTCGATAGCATTTTGAGTTCCTTGAGAAACTCCCTGGACATAGCAGAATACGAATTAAAGAATTTTGGAAGTTTCAGCGACCAGATTGCATCTTGGATGACCGACAACACTATAGATTATTATCGTCTGCCTGAAAACATAATTCCTGTTGATTATTTAATCGACGTGACGCCGCATATCGAAACCTTTACATTCGATGGAGAAGTGACCATACAGGCGCAGGTCGCAACGAAGACGAACAAAATCGTTTTGCACTCGTCGGAAATAAAACATGACAAGATCACCGTTTCTCTAGAGGGAAAATTGCTAAACATTGACCGTAGCTATACTACCGAAAAGTATGATTTTCTCACGATCGTGTTATCGGAACAATTACCACTTGGAAGTAAAATAACTATTGCGATTAAATATTCGGGATCCCTGAACGAAGAAATGCGTGGATTTTATAGGAGTTCCTACACGACCAGCAATGGCGACACAAGGTACTTGAAGGGGTTTATCGATTTTTTATCATACAGGAACAATCGAGCACCGATCACACCCCATTTTAATTTAAACGAACATACTTTTCAACGGAGAAACATTTAAAATAATTAAATAAAATGAATCTTAATATGTACTAGGAATTTTGTAGAAATTCCATTTACATTAGTTACACTATATTTTAAACAAATGTCGAGGATGTCGGTGCTAATTTATTAAAAACCTATTAAAATTAAACTAGACTTAACCCATCGAACGTTCTATTTATTAGTAAATGAATGTAATTCTTTTTGTCTGATAGATGGTTAGCAGCTACTCATTTGGAACCAGTCGGAGCTAGGAAGTTATTCCCCTGTTTCGACGAGCCAGCAATGAAGGCCAATTTCACGATGCAAGTTACATTAGAGAAAGGATACAATGCCATCAGCAATATGCCAATAGAGAAATCAACTACAATCGGGTATGTTACAATTTTCATGAAATAAGCAACGCGATATTAACACATTACCGACCGATAGCCTATTAATCGACTTTTTTTACCGGCCAACACTTACCGACCGATAGCGTATTAAAACTTTTTTACCGATCAACGCTTACCGACCGATAGCCGATCGGTAAAGTGTTAAAATTGTCAGTACCGTGTCTGGAAAGATGACAAATGGAAAGAACGTGGGTTTGGCCGGGGTTACATTGATGATTTTTTTTAAATATTTACTACGATTTCTATCTAGGACGTATTAAACTCTTATTTGTCAATTAGTCTGGTTTTTTTTTTATACAGAGTGCTCAGCCACCCCTGGAAGATTCTAGAGGCCACAATAAGACGAAAATCAAGAATATTAATTTGTTGATTGAGCCTTCGTTAAAAAGTTATAGATACGTTTCCGGCCACAGAGTATATTTTCGGTACAGAATTTTTTTCTCGAAAGTGTGTAAGATTTCGAGGGTACGTGTATTGACCAAAGATGATTGTAATTGACCGCTACAATTGAAAATAATTTTTTTAGAACGATTTTAAATTTTTTAATTTTGTCGAAAAAATTCAGCACCTATTTGAATTTTTTTCTCGAAAATGCGTAGGATTTCGGGGGTGTGTCTATTCACTAAAAATGATTGTAATTGACCCCTGCAACCGAAAGTAATTTTTCCAGAAAGATTTGAAATTTTTTAATTTCGCGCAAAAATTTCAGCACCTAATCGAATTTTTTTCTCGAAAATGGTTAGGATTATGAGGGTTTGTCTATTGATAAAAAATGATTGTAATTGACCCCCGCAACCGAAAATAATTTTTCTAGAACGATTTTTTTATCCCCTGTCGATTTTTTTTTTAAATTCGTTTTTGATTTTTAGTATTTCTGTTTGACGCCCTATAGAAAAGTTGTTTAATACTTTTGCGTAGATACTCATAAGCTCTACTGCAGAAAAAAGTTTCATCGAAATATATTCACTATTATGGGAGTTATGATCGTTTGAAAATTAAGCCATCTTTATGGGGTTTTTCTCATTTTACGGGGTCAAGGATCAACTTTTCAAATATTTTTGGAATTTCTACACATTCTTCACAAAAATTCGCGTCGTTTGCCTTTTTAAACATTAAAATCGTCGAATCCGTTCTGAAGTTATAAGATTTTAAACATACACATGAAATTTCAGGCCAACATTTCTAACCTCACATTATATTTTCGGAAAAGAATTTTTTTCTCGAAAGTGTGTAAGATTTCGAGGGCACGTGTATTGACCAAAGATGATTGTAATTGACCCCCATTATCGAAAATAATTTTTCCAGAACGATTTGAAATATTTTTTTTCGCCCAAAAAGGGGACTTCCCCCTGTCGATTTTTCTTAAGAATTCGATTTTGATTTTTAGTAATTATGTTTGACGTCCTACAGAAAAATTGTCTAATACCTTTTTGTAGGTACTTATGAGCTCTACTTCAGAAAAAAGTTTCATTGAAATATACTCACTATTGTAAGAGTTATGGCTGTTTGAAGATGGGGCCATTTTTATGTGATTTTTCTTATTTTTCGGAGCTAAGAATCAACTCTTTCAATATTGCTAGAATTTCTACATATTCTTCGCTAAAATATGCGTTGTTCACCTTTTTAAACATTAAAATCCTCCAATCCGTTCAGAAATTATAATGTTTTAAACATACACATGAAATTTCAGGGCATCATTTCTAACCTCACGTTATATTTGTGGAAAAGAATTTTTTTCTCGACAGTACGTAGGATTTTGGTGGTATGTGTATTAACCAAAAATGATTGCAATTGACCCTCGCAAACAACAATAATTTTTCCAGCACGATTTGAAATTTTTTAATTTTGTCGAAAGATTTGTCCACCTACTCGAATTTTTTTCTCGAAAATGGTTAGGATTTCGAGGGTATGTCTATTGACAAAAAATGATTGGAATTAACTCCCGCAACTGAAAATAATTTTTCCGTGAATGATTTGAAATTTTTTAATAACCTCTTAACGAAGCCTCAATCAACAAATTGGTATTCTTGATTTTCGTCTTATTTTGGCCTCTAGAATCTCCCATTGGCCGAACACCCTGTATAATCGAAACGTGGAGGAAAATGAAGCTTACTTTAATAGGGGGATTGATAAATTGATGATTTGAATAGAGTTTGGGGCTCCATATCACGATCATATTCGCGACGTTACTTAATTCCTCCCTGTAATTCACGTAGACGTCGTTCACTTCGATACTTCCTCGTAACAGTAACCGCACCTTGGAACAGAAAATAACTAATTAGACAGGCAGCAATAAACTATATAAAAAATAACAGATGATAACGTTGTTGAAAAGCGACTGCTAGACCTGAAAAAAGAAAAGAAAAGAAATAATTATTGCTCATTAATTCAAAAAATAATTAAAAATTTAAACCGTTGCAGAAACGGAGGGCTCGGAATAAAATTCCAGGAAACGCCTAAAATGTCCACGTACCTGGTGGCTTTGGTAGTCTCTGATTTTAATTACATCGTTTATAACGACATTTACAAAGTGTGGTCGAGACCGGACGCCATCAACCAAGGAACGTACGCTTTGTCCATTATGGAAAGCTTAGTGAAGTATTACGAGAATGTATTGAACATTCCTTACAAACTACCGAAACTCGACATGGTGGCGTTGCCTGATTTTGCGTCAGGCGCGATGGAGAATTGGGGTCTATTGACCTACAAGGAAAGAAACGTGTTGTACAGTGACAAAGAATCGACCACTGCGACCAAACAAAGCATAGCTAACGTCATATCCCACGAAATCAGTCACCAATGGTTTGGAAATCTGGTCAGTCCACTCTGGTGGAAGTACCTATGGCTGAACGAAGGCTTCGCTAGATATTACCAGTACTTTGGAACGGACAATGTACGCGCACAAACGTTCTATTTAAAAAGGGATCTCGTATTTGTTTCACCGTAACGTGAAAAAAACTTTGTTCCTCAGGTGGAGAAAGACTGGTCGCTGGTACCCCAATTTGTGGTAGAACAGCTTCACTCGGCCCTTGAGACTGACAGTTACGCGTCCAGTCACGCCATGACGCACAACGTGTACAGTCCAACGGAGATCAGGGGAATCTTTGACACAATATCTTATGCAAAAGGCGCCAGCGTGATACGAATGCTGAGGGAGCTGTTCGGTGCCAACGTGTTCCATAAATCTCTTCACAATTATCTAACCAAATTGTGAGTAAAGTCCCCGGACTGTAGGAACAGATGAAAAATACGACTTTAATTTTTCAGACAATACGACGTGGCCACTCCCAACGACCTGTTCGATGCTTTCAAAGAACAAATTACCGATAACGACACTCGAGATTCCTTCGACAACATTATGAACACATGGACCACTCAGCCTGGGTATCCCGTTGTTCGTTTCACCATTAAAAGTAATAGCTTGCACCTCAAACAAGAGCGCTTCTTAATCGAACGAAGCAAGGACGCATCTAGCGAAAAGCCTCTGTGGTACGTTCCAATCACTTGGACATCTCCCAACAAACCGTCCACTAACGCATCATGGTTGTACTGGTTCTACAAGGCGGAGGACAACGTTCCGTTGTCAGGCTGTGACACAGATTTATGCATCTTTAACGACAAACAGGCTGGTAAGTGAACAAAATAACAATCGTACAAGTTACGTACACTTAACAAAATGGGAACGATCACATCAGGCTTTTATCGTACGAATTACGAGGATGATCACTGGCGACGAATAATCACCTTCCTGAAAACCAAGTCGTACGACAAGATCAACGAGATCAACCGTGCAACGATCATCGACGATCTGATGAATTTCGCTAGATCGGGATACGTGGATTATGAGATCGCGTTATCGGCGACACAGTATCTCGTGAACGAGAGAAATTACGTTCCGTGGCGGGCGTTCTTCAACAGCCTAACCTATCTGCGCAGACAGTTTCAAGGAAGAGACGCTTTCGACGCATACAAGGTACAGTAACAGTAGACTCACAGAAACACTAACTTAGTTACGCCTATAATCGTACATTTTCGAAGTTTCAACTAAGTGCATTCCGAAGACAATTATTTCACGTTACAGAGATACCTAACTGCACTTCTGACGCCGATATACGATGAGTTAAAGTTCGAAGACCAGAAAAGTGACAAACACGAAAGGTTGCTATTGAGAATGTACGTTCGCAAATGGGCTTGCGAGCTGGGAGTCTCTGATTGCGAGGCTAACGCCACCTTGTACTTCAAGACGTGGTACGGTGACCAGACACAAAAGTAAGTATCGATTCCTCTTGTGTCCGCGCGATGGCGCTCACGTTCGAGGCCCCTAAAAATCCCCGAGAAAAAAGGGGTGCGCCAACTTAAATCCAATACTACCAACTAGTGACTTAGATCTTACTAAAACTAGGGACTTAACTAGATGGCGCTTGCTACGCTCGTGACATTATCCACCATAATAATGATCGACCGTAGGGGAACCCCCCCCAAAGCGAGGCTCTCGAATTCTCGTGCTTGATTTTTTACTTTTCAGTCAAGTTGTACCAACTTTATGAATAAAATTAACCCCGTTGGAATCGTTTTACAGTTTCCCGGCAAATTATCGCGGGGTATCCTATTGTGCAATTGCCAGAACAAGTCCATCTGATTACTGGGACATTTTGTGGTCGCTTTATATGAACACTACGGTCGCCTCGCACAAATCGGTGATTCTACAGTCCCTGGCCTGCACCACACAACCGACTTATCTGAACAAGTAATTCTATTTCTATTGATTTTCAAACGTTCGACATTGAATGTTTCTATACATATTATTTTCCATCGAAGGCTATTGAACAAAGCTATAACGAAGAATTCTGGAATACGATTCGAAGACAGTCCCAGTGTATTTTCGAACGTTATCGATGCTAGCTTAGAAGGTGTTGACTATGTAATTGATTTCGTTAAAACTAATTACAACGAAATCAACAAGTAGTAAGTAATAAAGTTTCTCCAACTCGATTCCTGTACATGCATATGCTAACTCTGTGGTTTAATTTCAACAGTTATAGAGGCGATGTTTCTAAAATCAAAAGCATCGTGCTCGCTCTTGCAAGGAGGCTGTCTACGGAGAAACTCTACGCCAAGGTAATTAATAGTTTTCCTTACTAGATGCGTGTGTATCCCTGGAATGTTATCCTCACGTAAATCTTTCATCGATTGCAGTACATGAATTTGATTGCTTGGCTGGAGGAGAAGGAATTCTCGTCTTTTGGAAGCTCCTTGAATACTTACAAGAATCGTGCAGCTTACGAGTTAACCTGGGCAGAAAGTTATATTCCAAAGTTACACGAATGGATGGAGACGAACTATCCAGACACCGATTATCGTTTACCAAAATTACACTCTCCGTTGAAGTACAACATTTCACTTTCTCCACACTTCCAAGAGAGAAATTTCACGTTCACCGGAAGGGTTCAAATATCCACAAGATGTCTCAGAAACACCTCACGAATAGTCCTCAACAGTCACCAGCTAAAAATAAACAAAGTATCAATCTACAAAAGCGACTCGACATACATAGGTGAAGAATTAAACGTCAACAGCATTATGACGACAGAGAATACTCAAAAGCTCACTGTATTCATGAAAAACATTATAAGGAACGATGAAATACTTATTGACATTGAGTTCGAGGGAGTTCTGAACGACAAAATGGAAGGCTTTTATCGAAGCTATTATTTCAACAATGTTATGAACATTAGGTCGGTAAAACAAACAATTCTCTTTAAATATAGACTCCCTACATATGACGGAGAAAGGTTAACTACGGTGCTAATGAAAAAATGAGTTCAATGACACACGTTAACACAAAAAATTTCTCAAAAGTATCAAACTAACACCCTATACATGAACGAAATGTACAATTTCTAATATTTCGAGTTTGGTGTTTTTCAGCTGGTTGGCGACAACTCAATTCGAACCTACTCACGCTAGAAAAGCATTCCCTTGCTTCGATGAACCAGCCCTTAAAGCTACATTCGTAGTCAACATCGAAAGACCTGAGAAGTATGTTGCGCTAAGCAATATGCCCAGTAAAAAGACATCACCGATGTGAGTATATACATAAAAGACGATGGATTATTAAATTACATTATTCTAATGATATTATAATTTCAGTGTCGCAGGTCGCGTGTGGGAGACGTTCGACGAAACTCCAACAATGTCGACGTACTTGATCGCGTTTGTTGTTAGCGATTTCGAAACAGTCAGAAATTCGTACGTAACAGTAAATATATGGGGTAGACCGAGCATCGCGCCGAGCGGCGATTACGCTCAAATCGCTGCTCCGCGAATGCTGGAAATTCTCGCAACGAAAACGAATCAAGAGTACACTTTACCGAAACTGGACTTAATAGGAATCCCAGACTTTTCGATGGGTGCTATGGAAAACTGGGGTCTAGCCACATTTAGGTGAGCGCAAAGATATTGATACGCTCTATTCCACGTATCATCCTTCCACGAGAAGAAGCGTGTTTACATCCCCATCCTGTGAGTCAATAGACTGCAACAGGAATGGGGATGTAAACACGCTGTAAGCACGGTACAAATGTTGATGGCGTCTAAACCAGAAGCGAGGGAACCTGAAACTGAAAAATCATAACGTTAAACAAACTTCGTAACTGTTGCAAAATACCAACCGTTAAAAGCAACGTTATTTTACAATATTTCTGGCTCTTTTATTACTAAATTTATGAATACTTTGCAGAGAGTATGGACTGTTCTACAACGAGAAGGTAACGACGGCCAAGTACGCAGACTACATACTCACTATAATAGCACACGAGCTCGCTCACATGTGGTATGGAAATTTGGTCACGTGCGACTGGTGGGAACACATTTGGCTCAACGAAGGTTTCGCAGAATACATGCAATGGCAGGTGGCACAATCGGTGAGTTTAAATCTAATAATTTTATCTCCTCACTGTACGATGCAACTAGTCCGACTCGAGTTATTTACGATAAGTTAGCGTTATTAATGTTTTCGTCTAAAAAAAAATGTGACTGGTTGAAACCAAATAACCAAGAGTTTACCGTACATTAAAATCAATACACTTTCACATTCGCGTAAATTTTTAAAATACCCGGTTCTTTAGTAAGCATTGCACGTATGAAAAAGCTTTAACAGAATTAAATTATAGTTGTACAAGAGATCTAACCTCCACTAAAACGATACGAATCTGTTATAGTTCAAACCTGGTCATAATTTCGAAGATCTTTTTGTCGTCGACGAGTTGCAAGTTGCGATGAAGAACGATGACTATGTTTCGTCGCATCCCATGAACAATCCCGTTAGCAAACCATCCGAAATCGCCAATGTATTCGACAGTATTGCGTACGGAAAATGTAAGTAACTAAAAATTTACACGCAATCGCAACAATTAACACTAATATTCAATTATTCGAGCAAAATACGAGACAGTATCGAACGCGTAGTCACTCACAGTCGCGTCGTTCCGCCATATTGCTTTTTTCCCCCTCCTTAATTCACACTTCCAGCGTCCAGGTGGCGCATCTGTCTCGCGATAATGGCGGGCTTTTGTACAACTGTTTTAAAAATAAATAGTACTTACGAATTTTCTTCGAAAAATATTTGGATCGAATTCGGTTCTCATGATACGAGAGGATTATTTTTAAACTGCAGAAAACAGAAACAAAATACAATATAATTTCTGCTATTATTGAAGCCTATTGATTAGATACTCCATAATTAAAATTAACCGTTTCGCAGCATCCAGCGTAATACGAATGATAAAGAATTCATTGGCCCCGGAAGTTTTCTCAAAAGCCACGCAACGATACTTGCGCGAAAATCGATACAGTAATACGAGTCCGAAAGACCTTTGGAAAGCATTTGACGCCGTCATTAACGAGACTCACGCTTTTGGAGATTGGAAGATTTCCATGGAAACTTTAATGAACAGTTGGACCAACGAAGCAGGATATCCGGTTGTTTCTGCAACTTCGAATGGCAATAAAATAACGTTAACTCAGGTACCATTTACTTGGAACAGCTCGAATGGAAAATTACTATTCCATTTTGAATAAACGCTATACCTATTGTTATTCCAGAAACGTTTCTCGCTAAATCAACACGAGGAGCCCACGAAGGTCTACTTTTGGATCCCCATCACAATGGCGTCTGCTTCCAATGTGAATTTCATAACGACCGCGACGAACGTTTGGTTGGGTGAAAAAAGTTTGGACGTTGAGTACAAACCGGGCGACTGGTTTATACTAAACGTTCAGCAGAGCGGATACTATCGCGTGAACTACGACGACGATTCGTGGCTGCGTTTGATAAAAGCGCTTAGGCAACCGACGCACAGCTCTATCCATCAGACGAACCGTGCACAAGTCATCGACGATCTTCTGAATCTAGCTCGTGGTAGTTACATCGATTACAACCTGGCGTTGAATGGTACGACATACTTGATCAAGGAGAAGCATTATCTGCCGTGGAGATCGTTCTTCAACGACATCAGTTTCATCGCGCAGCGTTACGAAGGCTACAATGATAGCCGCGATCTTCTTGGAAAGTACATTATGCACTTGACGTCGGATATATACAATAGCATCGGTTTTATGGACAGCGAGTCCGAGAACCATCTGGACCAGCTGGCCAGGGAACTGATTCTGACTTGGGTGTGCAAATTCAACGACACGAAATGCGTCGACACGTCTAAGAAACTGTTTGCCAACTGGCGTCAAGCTCAACAGTACACGTAAGCTTTCACAATAATGGGTTTAAGAGATTTTTTTTGCTCGAGACACCTTAGATTGGTTAATTCAATTGTCATATTTTGGCTAAAAAAGTGGTGTGGTTCTTTTAGAATTTCTCCAAACGCGAGACCAGCCGTTTACTGCACAGCCTTGAAACATGGATCCATCGAAGATTGGCGTTTCCTCTGGGAACAGTACCTGAAAGCAGACTTTGCTTCAGAAAAGAAGATCATACTGGATGCTCTTGGATGCACATTGAACAAGGAGCTACTGCACGAGTGAGTATAAAAATAAATTATGTCAGTACGGGGTATCATACCTTTACCTAATTTTGTCCCACTTCGAATGGTTAATATTTATCCTTGAATTCGGATGAAACACCTTCCTCCACTTTGTTCTTGATCATCCATCGATAAAATGGTTTTAAACAATTTTTGGGGCAACAGCTTGCGTTCCCTTCAATTAAGAATAATTAAAACTGAAAAATCCTGATTAAATGAATTTGTCACTATTTTGTTTCATCGCAGATACATTGGCGATGCATTGAATGTTAACTACACATCCAGCATTCGAAAGCAGGACGTAAGCGCAGCACTTGCTTCTGTCTACAGCGCTGGACAGTTTGGGCTGAACGTGATGTTGGACTATTTGTTGGAAAATTATGAAGAAGTTTACAAGTAGTGAGTAAATAAACATAAGAGAGCTTGCATATCTATGCACTTCCACATCTTATGAGGAGACTTGCATGTTCGTTTCTCTTCTAGTTATGGCGAGTGGGAGAGTGTCGGAGACCTGTTCTTGAAAGTGGCATCTCGCTTCTCCACCAAATCCGAAATTTCAAAGGTACTTCTATCGTATTGCTTTTCAATGTGATACTAAATCTGATCCTGTGGAACAGAAAGACTTAATGGACGATCGATCGTTTCCTATTCCACTTTGACAATATTTTTGTTCCTTTGCAGCTACAAAATTTCGCAGATACTAAGAAGGACAGCATCACGAGCATCTCGTCCATGTTGGATAGAGCGATTGCAGCAGCGAACAAAAATTACAATTGGTACAATTCCAATTTTGATAAAATCAATTCGTGGTTGACTTGGTACCAGAACAGCAATTCTAAAAGCGGAACTGGCAGAGTAGTTGCAAGTGCCTTCAGTATAATTTCCATGACTGTGTTGTCGATAATCGTGTATATAATTGGCCGATAGAGAATTGTAAAAACACTTTGTACCAATATGTTTAATATGATCAGAAACCAAAGTATATTTTCTATAAACTATGTATCGTATTAGTGGTATTGCCATAAAATAAAACAGTATATGTATATTTATATATAAATTTTAGTCTGATTGATTTTTAAACATTGAAGATATAAATTTTCATCGCAAAAAAAAAAAAAAAAAATTATACAGGGTGTTCGACCAACCCTGGGAAAAATTTCAATGGGGGATTCTAGAGGCCAAAATAAAACGAAAATCAAGAATATCAATTTTTTGATGGAGGCTTCGTTAAAAAATGATTAATAATTAAATTCAAAAATTTCAAATCGTTCTGAAAAAATTATTTTCGGTTGCGGGGGTCAATTACAATCATTTTTGGTCATTATACATACACCCGAAATCTTACGCACTGTCGAGAAAAAAATTCTTTACCGAAAATCTAATATAATAAAGTGAGAAAAACCCCCTAAAATTGGTCCAATATTCAAACGGCCATAACTCCTACAATAGTAGAGGTATCTCATTGAAATTTTGAGAGGAAGTGATGTTCATGGATAGCTACACAAAAGTATTAGACACCTTTTCTGTAGAGCGCTAATCAAATTTATTAAAAATGAAAAACAGATTTTTAAAAAAAAATCGACATTCTCCTTTTTCTGCGACAAAAAAAATTTCAAATCGTTCTAAAAAAATTATCTTTAGCTAGGGGAGCCAATTTCAATTATTTTTGGTCAATACATATACCCACGAAATTCTACCCATTTTTGAGAAAAAAAATTCTTTACCGAAAATCTAATATAATAAAGTGAGAAAAACCCCCTAAAATTGGTCCAATATTCAAACGGCCATAACTCCTACAATAGTAGAGGTATCTCATTGAAATTTTGAGAGGAAGTGATGTTCACGGATACCTACACAAAAGTATTGGACAATTTTTCTGTAGAGCGTCAAACAAAATTACTAAAAATAAAAAACGAATTTCTAAGAAAAATCGACGAGGGTACTCCCCTTTTTCGGTGAAAAAAAAATTTCAAATCTTTCTAAAAAAATTATTCTCGGTTGCTGGGGTTAATTAGAATAATTTTTTGTTAATACAGATACCCCCAAATCCTACGCAATGTCGAGAAAAAAATTCTTTACCGAAAATCTAATATAATAAAGTGAGAAAAACCCCCTAAAATTGGTCCAATATTCAAGCGGCCATAACTCCTACAATAGTAGAGGTATCTCATTGAAATTTTGAGAGGAAGTGATGTTCACGGATACCTACACAAAAGTATTGGACAATTTTTCTGTAGAGCGTCAAACAAAATTACTAAAAATAAAAAACGAATTTCTAAAAAAATCGACGGGGGTAGTCCCCTTTTTCGGCGAAAAAAAATTTCAAATCGTTCTAAAAAAATTATTTTCGATTGCGGGGGTCAAGTACAATAACTTTTGGTGAGTAGACAAACCCTCGAAATCCTACCCACTTTCGAGAAAAAAATTCGAGAAGGTGTGAAATTTTTTGACAAAATTAACAAATTTCAAACCGTTCTGGAAAAAATTATTTTCGATGGTGGGGGTCAATTACAATAATTTTTTGTTAATACACATACTCCCAAATCCTACGCACTGTCGAGAAAAAAATTCTTTTCCTAAAATATAATGTGAGGTTAGAAATATTGTATGTTGTATGTTTAAAACATTATTACTTCTGAACGACTTGGAGGATTTTAATGTTTAAAAAGGCAAATAACGTCTATTTTAGCGAAGAATATGTAGAAATTCTAGCAATATTGAAAAAGTTGATTCTTAACCCCGAAAAATGAGAAAAATTACATAAAAATGGTCCCATCTTCAAACAGCCATAACTCTTACATTAGTGCGTATATTTCAATGAAACTTTTTTCTGATATAGAGCTCATAAGTACCTACAAAAAAGTATTAGACAACTTTTCTGTAGGGCGTCAAACAAAATTACTAAAAATAAAAAACGAATTTCTAAGAAAAATCGATGAGGGTAGTCCCCTTTTTCGGTGAAAAAAAAAATTTCAAATCGTTCTAAAAAAATTATTTTCGGTTGCGGGGGTCAAGTACAATAACTTTTGGTGAGTAGACATACCCTCGAAATCTTTCCCAATTTCGAGAAAAAAAATTCTTTACCAAAAATCTAATATAATAAAGTGAGAAAAACCCCCTAAAATTGGTCCAATATTCAAACGGCCATAACTCCGACAATAGTAAAGGTATCTCATTGAAATTTTGAGAGGAAGTGGTGTTCATGGATACCTACACAAAAATATTGGACAATTTTTCTGTAGAGCATCAAACAAAATTACTAAAAATAGAAAACGAATTTCTAAGAAAAATCGACGAGGGTAGTCCCCTTTTTCGGTGAAAAAAAAAATTTCAAATCGTTCTAAAAAAATTATTCTCGGTTGCGGGGGTTAATTACAATAATTTTTGGTAAATAGACAAACCCTCGAAATCTTTTCCAATTTCGAGAAAAAAATTCGAGAAGGTGTGAAATTTTTCGACAAAATTAAAAAATTTCAAATCGTGTTCTTGATTTGCATCTTATTTTGGCCTCTAAAATCCCCCATTAAAATTTTTCCCAGTTGTGGCCGAACACCCTGTATTATATTATTCAATGTTTTTGTTAGAAAATATAACCAAAACTGAGTTATCGACGTGTGTCAACAGCAAAGAAAAATATAAAAAATCGATACAACTTTATTATATTGAAACCGAAATATACAATAATTATACTTGTTACAACGGTAGATCATTTTTTTTTTCTGTTTCACAAATACACACTTATATTTTCATATAACAACAATCTCGTTTCACGAACAGTAACAGTTAAGATCTGTTTGTTCACGTTTCGGCGCGCTCGCCGCCTAGAAACGATCATTAATTATAAACAAATTCATCGTTATCTTATCTTGTGCGCCGTGAACGTTAATTTCGGAAGTCCTTTGATTAATACTGAATGTAAAACTTCCATTACACATCCTACTGATCGAACACATAATTATTTGTAGTAATTTCCAACTGTCGACACAGCGTTTATAATTTATTAATCAACCTGGTGGGCATAGTGCCAAAAAACCGATCTCAAAAATTCATAAATAACAATTTAAAACTACCTATGAGAATTAAACGGGGAAGATCGGAAGTTTAAGGTATCAATTAAAAATGGCCGGGCGGTTGGAGGTCGACTGTGAATTTTAAAAAAGGATTGATCCAAGTTACACTTTGCTCTCGTGCCACTCCGCGATAATTATTATATTTTCAATAGTCTGCGATATGAAAGCTACGTTGCCTAATAAACAACCTTGTAAAATTCGTTTAAATTAAAAAAATAACAATTTCCTAGTTTCCATTTGGCGGAGTCAATCGGTTCCTTAATCAGGTGGCTCGATCATGACACTCGAGGTATGGAGGATTTTAATATTGTTATGTACGTGGGCGGGAATCGACCAAACCTATCGCCTAAACATCTAAATACTTAATTGTACATATATCGTTCGACGTATATTTACAAAAAAACTTACAAAAACACTCGACACACGTTTGTAAATCTGAAAAAACCACCGTCGTCGTCTGTCTGCGTTTTGCGAACATTTGCCACAACAGCGCAGCCACGGGACTCACGGTCTCGAAATATGAATACCCGTTCATCAAAACGTCGGAAATTCATCACAAATACCTTTCTCTCATTACGCGGTGTGTCTTTTCAACCAATCGTAAATCGTAACGTGATTGGTGTTTACCCATCGTATGTTGGCTTCGGACTGTTCGATAGCTTGGTGGACCGTTCTCGTTGCGCTGCTCAGTTCGTGCTTGTGCTCCGTCGTGAAGTCCAGCAGCTATGTACGAAAACACATCAGTTTTACTATCAACTAGATTGTCCAAGAAAATCATTTTGACTGCTTTTTAATTTCAATTAGAAAAACAATTATGTATATGACACAATTTCTTAGAATTTTGTGACAATTTTGTACAACATATAAATGCGTTATACCTATATATATAGGACATATATAGGTATATACTAAGTTTCAGTCTTTCCAGTGTTAACACATTACCGACCGATAGCCTATTAATCGACTTTTTTACCGGCCAACACTTACCGACCGATAGCGTATCAATCAACTTTTTTACCGACCAACGCTTACCGACCGATAGCCGATTAATCAACCGCTACCGGTCGGTAAAGTGTTAATATTACTAATATTTTTCAGATTTTGTGAAACACAAGATATTACAAATAAAAATAAAAATCGTAGCAATTTTGATTTTCAATCTCACCTAACCTAAAATATTCAAATCTACATCCACACTTACATCTTTCAGCTCGTATTTAGTGTTTATGCCTCTGGTTGCTGATTTCACTATGCTGTTGATGGTCAACAAAGACGATCCGAAACTGAAACAGATATTTCCTTTCGTTTGGAACATTGTCTTTGGGGAAAGTTTAAAAAGCTGTTTCGATAAGAGTACTTGAAGAGAGTACTTACTATTCCCGAAGACGGTACCATTTGTTCCGGAAGAAGCTGAATGTCAGGGAATGGCCAATGTTGTTGTTGGCGACGGAGCTGAATACACGAGACACATCTTGCTTCCTGATCCCGGAATTCTCGGTGATCGTCCAGTCCAAATATTGGCTCAGAAGCCACATGTCTCTGGTGCAACCCAGAGCGTTCAAGAGCAGATCTTTTTCTGAGCCAACGTTCGTTTCGAGGTATCTTTGCCAAGCAAACTCCCATTCAGCTTGCCCACCCACTCTGATGGCCGTGCAATAAACGACGGTCTTCAAATTCGGTGAAATTCTGCGTACAAATGCGATGATTTCAACTTCGCTGAAACTCGGGATCAAAATGAATAACCGTAAACTTACGGATTATGTTTGTTCGGATTCGACGCGTTCTGCCAATTGTGGAACTGCATCATGGCGTTCTGCACGCAGTCCTCGTGACCGAAGCTGCACGCCCAGGTCAGCACGTCGATTCGAGTGAAGACTGTCAACTGAGGATCGCCGGGGTTATCCTTGAAGCCAACCTGCTTGTAGACGTTGTCCAGAAGCTTCAGAACGTACACCTGAAAAGATATTTAGCAAAAACATGTAACAGTCGAAAGGTTCACCGTTGGTTGATTTCGAATTGCTTACTCGGAACTTATCGTAACCTGGCATCTTGATCAACATGTCGTCCAGATAGTGCATGGCAGTGAAAGCAGCCTTCCAAGGTAGGTATTCGGTTTCATGGGCCAAGTACGAGGTGACGTCCAACGCGGTGCCATAATCCAGTCTTCTAGCTCTCGCTAAATTCAACGCGTCGTCGATCAATTGAGCCCGACTGATCGTAGATATATCCTTGAACGAGTTCTCGTTCAGCTGATGGATTATCATTTGCCAATTCGATCTGTCGTAGTTGACTCTATAGAATCCTGAAGAAACAACATCGAAATAATCTTCAATGAGCAGGTTAATGAAACAGAACTTGAGCTATACGTTACGACAGGTTTAGCGAATGTGGTAGACACAATTTCACACGGTCTGCGACATTACAAGTCTCACCAGTTTCCTGAACGTTGAATATCACCCACTCGGTAGAGTTTAGATTGAGATTCGGTAGCGTGATCGACTTGGTAGCCTTCATCCACTCGGAAGGCTGAGTTTTATCGAAACCCAACTGGCTCTGAGTGGTGTAGGTGATCGGTATCCACCACAATGGCTCGGTTTCGTACGTGGTTTTCGTAGTGGCGTTGCGAAGTAGAAAACGATCCTGGAACGAACGACGAGACTCGACGCAATTAAACGGTATTTGTGTCGTCTATGAGAGGAATTCGGTTGCAACAGACCTGCATTAACATCGCGGAGCCGTCCTCGTAATTTCTAGTGACCGTCACTACTGGGAAACCAGTCTGAAGCGTCCAGGTGTCCATGATCTCCTTAATCGTGACCGCGGGATCCAACACTTTGTCCTTGTGCGCTTGTTTCGTCAGAGCATCCCACAAATCATTCTGTTCGGCGCTCTGATATGCCCTGGTACGAGGTTACGAAATAGTAATTAGTAACGGTAAATAACCAGTCGACAATTGCAAATACTCACTTTCCATTTAGATAGTTTGTTAAACCCTGTTTGAAGACGTCGGTGGTAAGGAAATGGTCCATCATTCTTATTATCGAAGCACCTGTTCGCGAACAAACGTGCCACGTTAATATTATGTCAGAAAGATGATGTTTCTGCGCGAATCGATACCTTTTTCGTAGGAGATTCTGTCGAAGATCTCGTTGATCTCGTCCGGATGGCCAACCTCGATCGATATCGGGTGCGAAGATTCCAACGCGTCCAATGCGAGGACGGATTGCAAATCGTGGACCACAAACTGTTCCAAAACCTTCCACGTTGGCTCCACCTATGAAAAATTCAAAAGTCTTTCGCAACAGTTTTTTCTAATAAGTTTGCTTGTGGATTTTCGAACCGGGGAACAGCGAAAGAATCTTGTTAAATTTTCCTTACAAAGGATTCGTCGACTTACTTGGTTCATACCAATGTATTCTACGTAGCTGGCAAAGCCTTCGTTCAACCACAAATCTGTCCACCAGCTCGGGGTGACCAGATTTCCAAACCACTGGTGGGCAAACTCGTGGGCCACCACCGTGGCTACACGTTGCTGGTTGCTGCTGGTCGAAACATTCTCTTGATACAACATACCGGTCTCCCTGGAAAACAGAATTAACCGAATAAATGAGAATTACCACTTGCTTATTAAGTCTAACCAAATTGCTGGTGAAATAAGCGACGTTTTTGAGTTAAACATTAGAAGAATGGACCTTTTGTTTGAGAGCATAGTTTATAATTACCTGTAAGTGATTAAGCCCCAGTTTTCCATGGCACCCGCTGAGAAATCAGGCAGAGCAACGTTGTCAATCTTGGGCAGGGGGAATTTAATCTTGAAGTATTGTTCATAGTACTCGAGAATCTTTGGACCGATCTTCAAACAATAGCGTGCTTGGTCGATCGCCTCGCTACGTGTCCAGACTCTGAAGTTCCCAGATTCCGATTTCAACATGGCGAAATCCGAAACTATGAAGGCTACCAGATACGTGGACATTGGCACAGAGCGTTCATAGTGATCCCAGACGTAGGAAGGTAAACCAGGCCTAAAAAAATGCGATATGGAAGGTTATAGGAATAAGGGATAGGTTAGGTTTTAAACCACGGCTGCTCACACTGGCATAGGCTCCCCCTTCGTAGGCATATTCGAGATGGATGTCATATTCCTGGGTCGTGCGATGCTGATTTGGAACCTGGCTTTCAGGGCTGGCTCGTCGAAGCAGGGAAAAGCACGTCGAGCGTCCGTCGCTTGGAATTGCGTCGCGGCGATCCATCTTCAATAGAAAAGCAGAAGACACGGGTGAAAAGTTAACTCCTCTTTCGAGTTATTTTCATCAGAAGCGTCTCTCTCATTTAGAAACGATGAAGAACGGATATACACTCGCAGGCAAAATGATAGCACACGGGTGGTGTCTTTAATTTCTTCTGTTAACTCTGAGTTATAACGTACCTTCTATGAATATGTAAACATAACATAGACTGACCTTACTTCAATGGGTTCTCTTAACCTTTCACGTCCGGTGACATCAACGTGGTGTCATTGACAAGCCGAAGAGAAGAGAGAACCTATTGAAGTAAGTCTATGTTATGTTTACATACAAGGTACGTTATAACTCAGAGCTTCCACGCTAGCATAATCCTAACACAAGAAATTAAAGATAGCGTGTGCTATCATTTTGTCCAGTATTCTAGAACGAATGTTGATGAAACAATTTTAATTTGAACCAATCGAGTCCGAAATATAGGTTGATAACGTTGCTCTGTAACGGTTGTTAAAAATAAAAGTTGTTCGTAGCTGCTAAAAAGCTAAACTTCTGTACATACTCGTACGTAGGATAGTTTCTCGAGTCCTGGTTACAAGGTAAAATTAAATTGTCTGGGCATTTACCTCGTCTGATTGCCAACCGTGTACGAGCTTCTATAGAACCCTTGGAGATAGTTGTTCAGATAGCCAACAAACTTTAGATGCACCACGTATTGTTTGCCCCCCTCCAACGTGTCCGACATTTTAATCACGTGAAACTGCCGTTCAGTGTCGTTTTTCTGCTCCACGATTCCAATTGCTCTGGTCTTGTTGCTCGTAGCTGAATACTCCTTGATGTTCGTGAAACTTTCATCGATGTCCATGCTGACCGCGTGCAACGTTACATTACTCGTGTCCTCGGTTACGTTTATTAGTATCTTGACCTAGAAACAAAATGGGCACCGTGCAACCAAACAGACCGACTTAACAATCTTCTTTATCAACCACGTGGGCCAGATCGTTTTAAAATTATGATATATGTAAAGAAAATGAATTTCTTTAATTCAAATTTGGCGCCACGCCTCCAAATGGCGGGAGAGTAGGGACTGCCCCGGTCTCTCCCGGGAGAGGGAGGTGAAAAGGTGTGAAAACGGAGTTAAGATTTACTTGAGGATTGTAAAAGGGAATTGACGTGAAGAATAAACTTTAAATGTCGTTTCACTGTTTCAAAGCAACGCACGAGTGTTTATTTCTTTGGCATGTAACAATAATAGAATAATCTTATAAAACGACATTTAAAGTTTATTCTTCAAGACAATTCCCTTTTGTTAAAATCTTCACTACGTTTTCACACCTTTTCATCTCCCGGGAGAGTTTGGGACAGTCCCTACTCTCCCGGTATTTGAAAGTGTGGCGCCAAATTTGAATTAAAGAAATTCATTTTTTTTACATATATATAAACTTATCATATGATAAATATATTCCATTTATTTAAAAATGATTAATTTTCTAGTGTCATATTTATCGAAAAATTTACAACAGAAATCTTTGAATGTACAGACGAATAATATAAAATTGTAATATCCGTGTGGAAAAAAATTTGTTAACCCGATTATTATTTAATCACGGAGCACGACTATTCGGCAAGGAACGAAGAAACAGCATTTCGAACTTTCTAGTTGGAATCGCTTACCGAACAAGTTTCGAGTACTTTCACCCTCACAGAGAACCACGTAACCGTCGTCGTCGTCGTCCTCGTTTTCAATATTATTTCACGAGTCCGTGAAAAGGAAAAATGGAACCCAGAAAGGACCGAGGATTAAGTATTCGCCTCTTGATCTACATCCTTTGACGCGAGTATCGGGATTTAGAATTCTCTTTTGTTCGTGAAATTGAAAGAAAGAAACTCATCAAACGATATTAAGGGTAACGTTAATCGTGATTGTTCGATAATCGATAACAAAGGTATTTTTATCGTCCATGAATATTACTCGTTCAAGTGAAACAGATAAAAAATAGGTAGACAGTACAGGTTTTAATATCCCACGAAGTGGTTAACAATTATAAATAAATTATTTACGTTGCATACTGGGAAAAATTTTAATGGGGGATTCTAGAGGCCAAAATAAGATGAAAATCAAGAATAGTAATTTTTTAATTGAGGCTTCGTTAAAAAGTTATTAATGTTTAAAGTTAAAGTGTGCAGCGCGCGCGGTTCCCGTCTCACAGGCGAAACTTTAAACGTTAATAACTTTTTAACGAAGCCTTCATCGACAAATTGTTATTCTTGATTTTCGTCTTATTTTGGCCCCCAGAATCTCCCATTAAAATTTTCCCCATGAGTGGCCGAACACTCTGTAGATACAATGGAGCAGAGAGGTATGCAGGTAGTGTAGTACCTCGCCATTGAAAGTGAAGTTTCCCTCCCATATAAAGGGTGTCAACCTGAGCTCGTACGAGTCGGGCACGACGGATCTGGGCAGCCTGACGTCCAGTTTCTTCTTGGGGAACAAGTCCGGGGAGGAGGCGTCGCGGGATTCGAAATCGGAATTCCTGTGATCGTTGCATGACTTGACGAGCTCCTCCTCGAGGCATGGCGCGAAATGATAGACCAAGAGTCCCGTTACTACCAGGGATATCAGGACCGCTGCGCCCAGGAGGAAACCGCCGTAAGGCGATACCGTGCATCCCCGCTTCCGGCCGAACGTTGTCGTGTGGGCGTCCATCATTGCCAAAACCTCGCGGGACTGGGTCATATCATGCGCGAACCTGAAAACCGCAGAAACAAGTTCGATGATTCCCGTTAGATTCCGGTATTTGGTCGGTATGCATAATAAAAATTCCATTCTCCGAAGAATAAATAAATTTAAACAAAGCTCCCTAACTTGGTAAATTAACCGTTTTAACCATTTAACCGTTTACCTAAAAATTTCAACAACTTTTTAAATAATATGACATCTTAAAAAATATTAAATAATCATAAATTTTCCAATTCCGGTATACGTTTCGTATTCTTTGCAATTGTTATTATTATTAAGAATTATTATTATTATCGATTGTTGTTATTATTATTCCCTACAATTTCAATATATCTTTCTTATTTTTTGCAATTGGTATTATTATTGTTGTTAACAATTATTATTATTATTAACAATTGTTGTTATTATTATCGATTGTTAATGTTATTATTCCTTACAATTTCAATATACCTTTCTCATTCTTTTTAATTGTTATTATTATTGTTATTAACAATTACTATTATTATTATCGATTGTTGTTACTATTATTCCTTACAATTTCAATATACCATTCTTATTTTGTGTAATTGTTATTATTATTGTTATTAACAATTATTATTAACAATTGTTGTTATTGTTATTATTATTATTTCTTACAATTTCAATACACCTTTCTTCACCTTTGCAATTGTTATTAACAATTGTTGCAATTGTTATTAACAATTGTTGCAATTGTTATTAACAATTGTTGTTATTAACAATTATTATTAACAATTGTTGTTATTAACAATTATTATTAACAATTGTTGTTATTAACAATTATTATTAACAATTGTTGTTATTAACAATTATTATTAACCATTGTTACTATTGTTATTAACAATTAACATTAACAATTGTTGTTATTGTTATTAACAATTATCATTAACCATTGTTGTTATTGTTATTAACAATTATCATTATCAATTGTTGTTATTGTTATGATTGCCGATTGTTATTATTATTATTCGTTACGATTTCAATATACCTTTCTTATTCTTTGTAATTGTTATTATTATTGTTATTAACAATTATTATTATTATTAATTTTAACAAAAGCTAATCAATAATTATGTATTTCCCATCTTCTTGCAATTTCAATATACTTTTCTTATTCTTTGCAATTGTTATTATTATTATTATTATTAACTAAAAAAAATGTAATCGATAATTATGTATTTTCCATCCCCTTGCAATTTCAATATACCTTCCTAATTTTTGCACAGGTTTTGAAATCGTGTAATTTTTACGGAAACTAAATAATCACGTGTCGCTTTATCGCAGATAGTGTGACATGTTAAATTTTCAGTTTGTTGAAACGTTTAGTTCGATGAAAAGTTGCTCGTCCTCGGTGGTATTATTCGATCGGTTATCATCGCGAGTTTCTACTCCGTAAACATTGGATTATTAGCATCTATGACGAAATACACCAAGGCTGCCGTTGGATCATTGTCCCGGATAAATTTCCTGGCTGCTGGTGTAAACAGGGCGAAGGCAACCGATCATTAAAAGTAATTTCACGTTCGGACTGAGCACGTCAAGGAAACGCGAGGGACGCGTATTAAACGACCAGAAGGAATCCTTGCTAAGTCTCGGGTCACGTACCATTACATTGTACTAACGAAATTTTAAGTATCGATGAGACACACGTATATACAATTACTGTTTATAAGTTTCTTCTACCGTCCAAGGACGTTCCCTGCCCGAACAATACAACGTTCGAACGATAACCAACGACCGGACAATTCAACGAATAATAATTTTGCAAACTGTTCTCTGTAAAATTGAAACTCGTGAATATTTAAATAATTAAATAAAATCGTTCTATAATATAAGCAAACGTTGTATATTTGCTATGTTTTCGCTATTAATGGATATTCAGATCGAAACGTATTTTTAATGAACGATCGAGAGTTCGATAACGATCTTCTACCTACCATCAACAATCGTCGAAGGTTGCTTAAAGGCGGCGAGAATAATGTCCTCGGAACTCGCGTAAATAGATCACGGCGATCGCTTGTTAGCGAACGATAGTTTTCGAATAACCGATAAACCGAGGAACGCTCGACGCAAGAACCTTCCGTACGCGTCGACGGTTTGCGCGCGACTGCCAAGGACCGACGCGCAACTTCCTGTCCCATCGCCCGGCCGGCTGTCGGTTGTCCTATCGCCTTCCGTAACCTTACATCCTTTCGATCCCGATCCTCGTTTCCCGTCCCGCTGACAACAGAACGCCAACGCGTCCCCAGGATCGATCGTTACATCGATGGGAATTCAAACTATTCCAACGTTTACATTCCAAACACTCGACCAATTAACACACTCACTGCCAGACCAAAACCGTACAATATTCTGCAAAAACAAAATTTGAATTTTAGACCACTGCAAACTACATAACCTAAAATTTGTTCCAGTAATTATTTTTATTATAGTTTTTTTAGTGTTTAAACTATTTCAACGTTTATATTCCTAATATTGGACTAATTAATACATTCACTGGCAGACCAAAACCGTACAATATTCTGCAAGAACAAAATTTGAATTTTAGACCATTGTAAACTAAATAAACTAAAATTTATTAGAGTAATTATTTTTATATTAGTTTTTTTAGTGTTTAAACTATTTCAACGTTTATATTCCTAATATTGGACTAATTAATACATTCACTGGCAGACCAAAACCGTACAATATTCTGCAAGAACAAAATTTGAATTTTAGACCATTGTAAACTGGATAACCTAAAATTTGTTTTTTAGTATTTCAACGTTTACATTCTTAAGACTCGACTAATTAAATGTGTGTACAGGGTTAGGTCTAAAATTTTACTTTTAACCTAAAATAATCTCTAAATAACCTAAAATTTGTTCCAGTAATTACTTTTATAACTTTACTGAAATCCACAAATCCAATTCTTTATTCCAGTCGACATCTCAAAACGAGAATTAATTTTTCTAGTTTCACAGTGGTACACCTGTCACCTATATATTGGTAAACATGTATGTATAGGGTTAGGTCTGAGTTAGATCTAAAATTTCAATTTTAGACAATTGTAAATTAAACAACCTAAAATTTGTTCGAGTAATTACTTTTATAACCTTGCCAAGATTCACAAATCCTATTCAAATTTATTCCCCTAGACATCTCAACTAGAAAATTAAATTTTTTCTAGTTCCATAGTGGTAAACCTGATACCTACACAGGGTGTTCAGCCACCCCTGGGAAAAATTTTAATGGGGGATTCTAGAGGCCAAAATAAGACGAAAATCAAGAATACCAATTTGTTGACTGAGGCTTTATTAAAAAATTATTAATATTTAAAGTTTCGTTCGTACTGAATTTTTTTCTCGAAAATGCGCAGGATTTCGGAGGTATGTCTATTCACCAAAAATTATTGAAATTGACCCCCGCAACCGAAAATAATTTTTCCAGAACGATTTGAAATTTTTTTTCCTGCGAAAAATTTGTCCCCTTATTGAATTTTTTTTCTCGAAACTGGGTAGGATATCGTGGATGTATGTATTGACCAAAAACAATTGTAATTGGCTCCCCTAGCTAAAAATAATTTTTCTAGAACGATTTGAAATTTTTTAATTTTCCCGAGAAAGGGGACAATGTCAATTTTTCTTAAGAATTTGTTTTTGATTTTTAGTAATTTTGTTTGGCACCCTATAGAAAAGTTGTCTAATACTTTTTTGTAGGTACCCATGAGCTCTACCTCAGAAAAAAGTTACATTGAAATATACACACTATTGTAGAAGCTATGGTTATTTGAAAATTGGACCATTTTTAGGGAGTTTTTCTCATTTTGCACGGTCAAGGAACAACTTTTTCAATAATTTTATAATTTCTACATATTCTTCACCAAAATACGCGTTGTTTGTCGTTCGAAACATTAAAGTCCCCCAAGTCGTTCAGAAGTTATGAGATTTTAAAGATTCGCATGAAATTTCGGGGGTGCATTTGTGGCTTCACATTAGATTTTCGGTCAGGAATTTTTTTCTCGAAAGTGCATGGGATTTCGGGGGTATGTATAATGATAAAAAATGATTGTAATTGACCCCCGCAACCGAAAATAATTTTTCCAAAACGATTTGAAATTTTTTTTTCCCGTTGAAAAATTTCACACCTTCCCGAATTTTTTTCTCGAAAATGGATAGGATTTCGAAGGTATTTGTATTCACCAAAAATGATTGTAATTGATCCCCGCAACCGAAAATAATTTTTCCAGAACGATTTGAAATTTTTTAATTTAATCGTTAATAACTTTTCAACGAAGCCTCCATCGATAAATTGATATTCTTGATTTTCGTCTTATTTTGGCTCTAGAATCCCTAAAAATTAATTCTCAAGTTAAGACATCGAGAAAAATAAATTTGGATAGAATTTATGAATTTTAGCAAATTCTATGTAGCTTACAATGGTCTAAAATCGAAATTTTAATTTTGCAGAATATTACACGGTTTTGATCCAACAGCGAATTAATTAACTATTCCATACAATGTATTAAATGGTATAGCTGATGGATCCCTGACGGAAGTTAAATCACTATACATAAAAGCATCGCTATAGCTCGAGCAACGGCACGAGATATAGTACCCAATAATCCTCCAAATCACCAGGAGGTGGGTAATTGATTCAGGCGCGTGTCCCTAATTGATTGAAATCATCTTTGCTACCCGCGGCGGTTTACGATGAATCATCACACCGAAGCCCCTTCAATTTCGCACCGACGATAACTGATAATGTAATTCTATTTACCGAACAAACAAAACGTGGATCAAACGTCATAGAAAAATCGTCCAAAGTATCGTGTACGACAAACACGCCGAATAAAGGTGGATCCGACGCCATTTCTCGATTTCACTAGAAAAGACATCAAATTTCTTCTCGAGTGGCTCTCGATAGGGGCGAATTGAAAATTCCCTGCGTATAATTCGATCCCTCAGGACGTGTCCCACCCACATAAGACCAAGATTAGGTTACAGTTCATTCCGGTGTACTCTTACGGAACAAAACACCGTCATTTATTACAACCGACCAGGGATCATCTATCAAACAAAGCACGTGGTCATTTTGAATAGAAAACAATTGAAAAAAAAAAGAAGAAAAACAGCTTGTACAACTTTGTTTTACCTACTAGGGCCCAGGAATCTTTCATCCCAGGGGGAACCACTGATCTAATGCACCATTGTCATAATCAGTACGCTACGCCGTGGACAATGATGTCGACAATTTCTCTACAGCCGATAAACGTAATTTTTTAATTACAAAATCGACGTTTCTGGTATCTAAAAGAAGCAACCGGATCAGCTTACGGCGATATTAACACATCCCAGCGTGTTTTATTTCTCGTTCCATCGGTCACGAGACGCTCGGTATTAACGGTGTATCTGCACCGTCCGTCTCTTATCATCGTTGTTTTTTTCTTTCTCGAATTAATAGCCATCGCGAGAAAATGAGACGGGACGGGAAACGTGTTGCAACATGTCAGAGCTCCCAACACCCGATTTCGCAAGCTACATTCATCGTGTGTTGCAACAGTAATTATTTTGAAACTTGTCGACCCTAAAATGTTTGCTAATTTAACAACACCATTGATAAATTTTTAATGGTACAGACTTGTTCCGCTTAACCTTTAGTGACATCAGTTTTTATCTCAGGAGCTCATGAGTCCAAAGAGATATACACTTGAAAGTTGCAAAAATACAATAGTGTAAATGAAACAGATAGTTGAATTTGTTCCTCTGTTTAAATTCCTATGCCGAGTGCGACTTGATATCAGTTTTTATCTCAGGAGCTCCTTTGTAAAGTCCAAAGAGATATACACTTGAAAGTTATAAAATACAATAGCGTAAATAAAACAGATACTTAATTCAATTTGTTTGTTCCTCCGTTTAAATTCCTATGTAGAGTGTGACATCAGTTCTCATCTTAAGAACTCCTTTGTCGAGTCCAAAGAGTCCTCTATTTGTTCAAATTGCCCTATTTTTTAATTAACGTTAATTTCATTCACATTGGGAGCTGATGGTAACAAAATTATCATAACGTTAGCTTACTTACAAACATAATCGCAGATATTATGTTTACAAGCAAGCTAATCAAAGATCTTAGTGTTCAACGATTACACAATTGTTTCCTTCGTATGTACCATGTAGATATTTAAGAGATTTCTATTTTAGTCACCGCAAAACGTTTGGATCTCAGAACAGTGTAAATGGAATGATTAGTAATGCAAATTTTGCACACGCTGAAACAGATTTAATTGAACGATCATCAGAAACTCTGTATCCTTGCAACATAAATTTATTTTTGTTAAATTCACTAAGCGATAATGTTTGTGCTAAAGGATTTAATCCTGTTAACACTTTGACTGCCAGTCCAAAATCCTAAAATTGTTTACGAGACCAACACTTTGATTTTAGTCAAGCGTAAACTACAAAACTTAAAAGTTGTCCTAGTAGTTGCTTTCGTAACCTCATTAAAATTCATGAAGCCTATTAAAACTGATTTTCTTTAACATTTCAACCCGAGAATGAATTGTTTTAGTTCTGTCATCCACATATGAGTGACGTGGCAGTAAAATTGATAATAAATGAATAATAATAATGATAACCTGTTTACCTAGGGGAAAATACCTGGAGTTTGAAATAAAAGCTACGTTGAACAAAAAGTTGCAAGCTGTTTTTTTCTTTCCATCGACACCAATGCAGATATTAGCTTCTGGCCTTTAAGTCTGAAAGATTTTCATTGAAAGTTTCAACGAGCCTTTTTGCTTATACGAGAACCGATTAGGGAAGGTCAGTTATTTGTCACGACGGTACTCGTGACTCGGTTCACCGAGTAACTGATAGACCAACCATATCCAACGCTATCATTATCCACTTGCCTCCATGCCATATATCCCTCTCCCTTACCCCCGTTACGCTACGTCCACGTAGTACGTAGGTACGCTCGTAAAAGTAAATCGCATAATCGGATAACGAGAGCTACCTCCTTCGTGGTTGAATGAATAACCCGAGATAACTCGATTCTCAAATCTAGCTCTTCGACTTCCTCCCTTCCTTCTTTCGTTTAGCTTTTTAAAGCATGCCAGTAATGAGATCAACATTACGCAAAATTAAATGTATTGTAAATTTGTTTTACTCTTCTTTCTTATCAACTCGTCGGTGCACAATCTATTATCGTGCATACTGAACATTTAATTACATTCGTTCGTACGAAAATATTTCCATCGCAAATGGAAGGAAAAGTTTCCAAGATCGCTGAAAACTATAAACAAAAGCGAATTTAATATATCGTTTCAAGAGTTGGGATAAAAAAAAAAGTAATTATACTTTGAGATACACGTCCGTGTTTTTAAACATTTCTCTATCTTCATTGTTGGCAATAACAAGGTTTATAGCTTGCACAAAACAGCAGGTCGTTGACCCCTTACTAAAATAACCACATATGATCGTATAGTATCATTCTGAAAAAATTATTTTTGGTTGCAGGGGTCAATTACAAGCATTTTTCGTGAATACACATACCCCTGAAATCCTAACCACATTCGAGAAAAAAATTCGAATAGGTATTGAAATTTTTGGACGAAATTAACAAAATTTCAAATCGTACAAAAAAAATTATATTTAGTCACAGGGGTCAATTACAAGTATTTTTGGTCATTATACATAACCCCGAAATCCTACCCACTTTCGAGAAAAAAATTCTTTACCGAAAATCTAATATAATAAAGTGAGAAAAACCCCCTAAAATTGGTCCAATATTCAAACGGCCATAACTCCGACAATAGTAAAGGTATCTCATTGAAATTTTGAGAGGAAGTGGTGTTCATGGATACCTACACAAAAGTATTGGACAATTTTTCTGTAGAGCGTCAAACAAAATTATTAAAAATAAAAAACGCATTTCTAAGAAAAATCGACGAGGGTAGTCCCCTTTTTCGGTGAAAAAAAAAATTTCAAATCGTTCTGAAAAAATTATTCTCGGTTGCGGGGGTTAATTACAATAATTTTAGGTAAATAGACAAACCCTCGAAATCCTATCCACTTTCGAGGAAAAAATTCGAGAAGGTGTGAAATTTTTTGACAAAATTAACAAATTTCAAACCGTTCTGGAAAAAATTATTTTCGATGGTGGGGGTCAATTACAATAATTTTTTGTTAATACACATACCCCCAAATCCTACGCACTGTCGAGAAAAAAATTCTTTTCCTAAAATACAATGTGAGGTTAGAAATATTGTATGTTGTATGTTTAAAACATTATTACTTCTGAACGATTTGGAGGATTTTAATGTTTAAAAAGGCAAATAACGTCTATTTTAGCGAAGAATATGTAGAAATTCTAGCAATATTGAAAAAGTTGATTCTTAACCCCGAAAAATGAGAAAAACTACATAAAAATGGTCCCATCTTCAAACAGCCATAACTCTTACATTAGTGAGTATATTTCAATGAAACTTTTTTCTGAAGTAGAGCTCATAAGTACCTACAAAAAAGTATTAGACAACTTTTTTGTAGGGCGTCAAACAAAATAACTAAAAATAAAAAACGTATTTTTAAGAAAAATCGACAGGGGGGAATCCCATTTTTCGGCGAAAAAAAAATTTTTCAAATCGTTCTAAAAAAATTATTTTCGATTGCAGGGGTCAAGTACAATAATTTTTGGTCATTATACATACCCCCGAAATCCTACGCACTTTCGAGAAAATAATTCCTTACTAAAAATCTAATTAAGTGCCCAAATTTTTCGACGAAAAAAAAAAATTTCAAATCGTTCTAAAAAAATTAGTTTCGGTTGCAGGGGTCAAGTAGAATAATTTTTGGTGAATAGACTTACCCCTGAATTCCTAGTCAGTTTCGAGAAAAAAATTCAAGAAGATGTGAAATTTTTTGACAAAATTAAAAAATTTCAAATCATTCTGAAAAAATTATTTTCGGTTAAATAGATATACAATATCCTTTATAAATAGTATCCTTATAAGAAAAAAAAATATAATTTCTTGGATTGGATCGTTAGAATCTAATTTGGCAATTTCCGTATGTTGATGGATGACGATGGTTTGCAGATGTTTAGAAATCTATCCCCCGTGCGTTTCTAGCGATAACGCGTCTACGAATAAATTACGATATCAGTCAGTTGTTAGATTAAAAATACCTTGTTGCGCTGCAACATTATCCGTCAAAGAATTTTTATTCCGTTACCGCCATGTCTTCGTTATCTCCTACCAATAAGAAGTACGCGGGTCGTTCGCTAGAGTGCTTCGAACGGTTAGAAACGTTCGCAGACGGTTTCCGTACTCTCGTGTGTACCACACATTTTCATCTTTACTATCCTGGCACACCACCAATTTCAATTCACTGTGAGTACACGCATTCCTTTTCGCACTAATTTCATCGCAGAAACGACCATATTGTCTTGCTAACTACGACCAACTGGCGTTAAGAATTTTACAAAATTCACGTAAAACGTTAGCAAACATTCCAACAGTATCAGATCATAAATTCTAAGAAGAGTTTCATTCCAAGTTTTCCACTTATGCTTCTTTTGATTTTTTTCTTTCTTCTAATTTTTTTTTTTTTTTTTTTTTTTTATTATTGTCCACGTTGCTGCAACAGTGAATAGACATCGACAGGCTGACGATATTTCATGCTTTCGCGGTGCAAGAGCGTCTCGAAATCCCTTTAAGCATATTGGATCACCCCGATTCGAGCCAGCGTGGTCTGGGTCAAGTCTCGCCTAACGCTACATCTACACTCGCACGTTTATATCGAAACTCGTCCACACGACGATTACATACTAATAATAATATTTCTAGTTAGCGAGAAAAGTCGTCTGATACAGCTAGCAAAATGACTTTGGAACTCGCCCAATTTCAACCCCATAGAGTACTTAACACTTTAATGGCCGCAAGTCTACCACTGATATTGCAGACCAAAGTGAGATACACGAAGATTCTAGGAATATTATAAACGTGTAACCACAACAAAAGTAATAAGTTGAATGTATGATGAAATGGTGACTGATACAGTAGATCACGCACACGTGACAGTGGCCGACGCCTGCTGGCTGGCAAAGTCACGTATACGTGACAGCGGCCGTCAAAGTGTTAAAATGGATTATACCATGAAAAAAAATTTTAATGAGAGATTCCAGAGGCCAAAATAAGACGAAAATCAAGAATACCAATTTGTTGATGGAGGCTTCGTTAAAAAGTTATTAACGTCTAAAGTTCCACACGTACTGAATTTTTTTCTCGAAAGTGGGTAGGTTTTCGAGGGTATGTATAATGACCAAAAATACTTGTAATTGACCTCTGTGACTAAATATAATTTTTTTAGTATGATTTGGAATTTTGTTAATTTCGTCTAAAAATTTCACAGATTCTCGAATTTTTTTCTCGAAAGTGGTTGGGATTTCAGGGGTATGTCTATTCACCAAAAGTGATTGTACTTGACCCCTGCAACCGAAAATAATTTTTTCAGAACGATTTGAAATTTTTTTTTTCCGTCGAAAATGGGGATCCCCTCTGTCGATTTTTCTTGAGACTTCGTTTTTTATTTTTAGTAATTTTGTTTGACGTCCTATAGAAAAGTTGTCTAATACTTTCCTGTGGGTACCCATGAGCTCTACTTTAGAAAAAAGTTTCAATGAGATACCTTTACTATTGTAGGAGTTATGGTCATTTGAAAATTGGACGACTTTTATGAAGTTTTTCTCATTTTAAAATTTCAAGGAACAGCTTTTCGAATATTTTTGGAATTTCTACATATTCTTCACTAAGATACGCGTAATTTATAATTTAGAACATTAAAATCGTCCAATCCCTTCAGGAGTTATGATTTTTTAAACATATTTATGAAATTTCAAGGAAACATTTCTAACCTCACATTATATTTTCGGAAAAGAATTTTTTTTCTCGAAAGCCCGTAGGATTTCGGTGGTATGTATATTAATCAAAAATGATTGCAATTGTCGCCTGCAAACAAAAATAATTTTTCCAGACCGATTGCAAATTTTTTAATTTTGTCAAATTTGTCCACCTAATCGAATTTGTTTTTCGAAAATGCGTAGATTTTCGGGGTTTGACTATTGACCAAAAATGATTATAAGTGACTCCTGTAATCGAAAATAATTTTTCCAGAGTGATTTGAAATTTTTCATTTTTGGCGAAAAATTTAAGCACCTACCCTCTGTCCATGTTTCTTAGAAATTCGTTTTTTAATTTTAGTAATTTTGTTTGATGCTCTATAGAAAAGTTATCGAATACTTTTTTATAGGTATCCATGAACTCCACTTCCTCTCAAAATTTCAATTCAATTTATTGACTATTCTATGAGTTATGGCCGTTTGAAAACTGCACCAGTTTTAGGGGGTTTTTCTCACTTTATTATATTAGATTTTCGGTAAAGAATTTTTTTCTCGAAAGTGCGTAGGAATTCGGAGGTATGTCTATTCATCAAAAATGCTTGTAATTGACCCCTGTAACTAAATATAATTTTTTTAGTTTGATTTGAAATTTTGTTAATTTCATTCAAAAATTTCAGTACCTTCTCGAATTTTTTTCTCGAAATTGGGTAGGATTTCGAGGGTATGTCTATTCACCAAAAATTATTGTAATTGACCCCCGCAACCAACAATAATTTTTCCAAAGTGATTTGATATTTTTCATTTTCGGCGAAAAATTTAAGCACCTACCCTCTGTCGATGTTTCTTAGAAATTCGTTTTTTATTTTTAGTAATTTTGTTTGACGCTCTATAGAAAAGTTGTCCAATACTTTTGTGTAGGTATCCATGAACTCCACTTCCTCTCAAAAATTCAATCGAATATATTAACTATTCTAGGAGTTATGGCCGTTTGAAAACTGCACCAGTTTTAGGGGGTTTTTCTCACTTTATTATATTAGATTTTTGGTAAAGAATTTTTTTCTCGAAAGTGCGTAGGATTTCGGGGGTATGTCTATTCATCAAAAATGCTTGTAATTGACCCCTGTAACTAAATATAATTTTTTTAGTTTGATTTGAAATTTTGTTAATTTCGTCTAAAAACTTCAGTACCTTCTCGAATTTTTTTCTCAAAATTGGGTAGGATTTCGAGGGTATGTCTATTCACCAAAAGTGATTGTAATTGACCCCCGCAACCAAATATAATTTTTTTCAGATTGATTTGAAATTTTTTATTTAACTTTTTAATGAAGCCTCAGTGAAGGAATTGGTTTTCTTAATTTTCGTCTTATTTTCTTCCATTAAAATTTTTTCTAGGGCCGAACACCCCTGTATGTATGCATGTATGCATTCTCAATTTTTGTGTACCGTTGAACAGATCTGTTTCCATCGTCGACGTCTTCTAATCCCCTTTTAGGAATATTTCCTGCTTGGCAACTATCCTGGAATGTCGATACATGATTCCTCTTACGGTTCTTACATGATTACCCGCCACGCCAACGTAATAATCATTCCTGTTTCCTTCATTATGTCGGTATCGACATACATCACCATTGCGATTCCCAACAACATCCGCAAATCTGAACAAAATAAAATAAAACTCGTACAACAGAGGGTCAAATATTGTATAACAAAAATTCGATCCTTTTGGTAATTCGACTTTCAAAAAATATCAACGGGAGTCAATGTTAAACATTTGAGAATCAACAAACAGATTTTTAATTATTGTTTACATTTTATCTAATTTTTTTAGCTTCTAGTGAAAACGCATATGGCAATTGGTGTTAAAGAAAACTGTCGACATTGGCGGGGCCCGCAGCTGTGCAAAATTAGCATAATCTTGTCGCGTAAACGTGTAACGAGCAAACGTTGGACAATAATTTTCCCTTCTACAAATCATTGCCACATACGCTAGAAAACTATGTCGTAATTGCTCCTTTCTAAGCAATTACTCGCGAGGAATTCGCAGCTATGGATAACCCAAGAAATATTCGTTATTTTTTTTTTTTGTCATTTTTAAATAACACCACGGTGATTCCCCGAATAATTTCCAATCAACTTCGCCTGGATTTACTCTGTTGTAATTCTTCAAGTATGCGAATAAACGTCGTTTATTTTTCTTTAAATATTCCTTCCTTTTCCACCCAAAATTGGCGTTCCCGGATAATCGAAAATCTAACGAATAATGCGTGGCAGGTTGCATAATTCAGAAGCGAAATCTCGTTTCAACGGACACGCCTGAACGACGCCAGGCTGAAATAGAGCGGTTTGTTTAAATAAAAAGTGTCGTTAAATTTTACAATCCGGAATAATGTCGCTCTAACGGGTGTTCCGTTTAAAATGTCAAAAATATCATTCCAGAAATCCAATAAAACTAAGTGGCCAAAATTATTTTTTCTCAACCAGAAAGAAACTATTTGAATACCTAATTTGTTTTCAATTTTATCCAGTCTTCAAACAAAGAATTAAGAAGTTTGATAAGTCACATTATCGTCTCGTACAATTCACGTTTATGTGCATAGGGCACTTCTGGATTACACGGTGCAAACACTTGTGCGTATCTCGATGGTACTTGAAAGGCACACGGATCTATTACACGTGATCCCAACGTACACCTTTCTTAACGGTTTGCTCCAGTTTATCTCGCGGCAAGCACATCAGTCATGAAACGCGTCTCGATGAACAATCAACCAACCAGCCAAAGCAAAATTGCCATCGTGACATCGTGTTTTCGTCCATTAACGTCGAGGTCGAAATTAAAAACGATTTCTAATTGAACTCAAGGAGCCGTTCGACTGAGAAAATTCTCTGCCCCCCGAGTACCGTTCGATTAACCGCCTCTCAGCCTTATCTCCGTCAGTATAGTGCAGGCGTAAATAGGAGTTGGCCAAAACCTCCCGACAACTCGTGGTGAGTAGCTCGATCGCATCCCTTGCGAAAAAAGAAATTAAAAAAAAATAATTCGTGATCAATCGTCTCGTTCGTGAAATAATTAAAAGATAAATTATTACCTGAAGTAAATGGGTCATTTCCGTGAAATCGACAATCGATAAAAATAGAATAAAATGCATCAAGCGTGTTCGATTTCGACAGTGTTTGCTTCTGTCTATGCAAATGCACGCCGTACATTGTGAAACGATAATTAATACGAGGCCAAGAGATAATGCGACTTTAGGTCATTTCGTTTCTACTTTTGCCGCGCCGAGTTTATTGGCATTGGTCGTTCGATCGCTGGTAACGAACGTTGACCGTAGATTCCGCGTGAAAGTTGCCAGACGCGACTGATTGATATTTGCCAAGTTGGACACCGTTTGCGTTTGCGTTTGCGTGTTGAGACCACGAGTGTACGTTGAAAAAGAAACCTCAGGGGGATTTTCTAGGTGAGAACACTCTCCATAGAGACAATACTTCCATCTAATGTTACTTCTCCCATTTAGATACACAGACTCGGAATGTCTGGTTAAAAACTTTGGTCGCTTCGACGGGATTCTATGCACCTCAAGAGTGCAGAGTGACTCGAAGTCCCGTGGGCCAGGAATGTTAGAAAGGTAGAAGGGATACACCTATCCCCGCGTACACATTCAACTCTGATTCGCTATTAGACACACACGTGGACTACCTAAGAGCTAGGGAGCAAGATGGGCACATGGTTCGACCCATCTTGGCCCACGGGACTTCAAATCAGAGACCTACAGTACTCTTCACGGAGGATAGCGTCAATAATAATAATATTCTTCCTTTCAGATCACGTGTACGCAATGGCAAACCAACACCGACGAAAATAATCATTTCATGAGTCACCTAAACAAAGGAAAGTGAGATTAGTGAGATTCCGGAGGGCGTTTGGAAGATACTAGGAATAAATGGATAAATAGTCCCACCCGAAGAGATAGACGACAACACCTATATAGTTCTGTCGGTATCGTAGGCATCTGGAGACTGTGGAGCAGAAAGGTGCGAGTTAAAAAAAACAAATATGGCGAGCGTGGACAGTAACCTGGAGGAGCTGATGGGCCAGCTGGGCGAGTTCGGTAAATACCAGGGTTGGCAGTTCTCCCTGCACATAATCGGCGCCCTGACGGCGGGTCTTCACATGCTGACGCTGTTGACGGTGGCGGCCGTGCCACCTCACAAGTGCAACGTCCCTGGACTCACGTCCGTGATCGACACGTTCAACACCACGTCCTCCACGTGGAACTCCTCGTCGTCGGAGACCGTGCCGCGGCCCATCGACTCCTGCCGCTATTTGGACGCGAACGAGACGATCAGAGAGTGCGACTCGTGGATCTACGACACCCGGTACTTCGAGTCGTCACGCGGCATGGAGTGGAACTTCGTTTGCTCGCAACGGTGGATGGGCTCCGTGGCCCAGTCCACCTACATGTTCGGTGTGTTCGTGGGGGCGGTGACTCTGGGCAGTCTGGCGGACAAATACGGCCGAAAGATAATATTCTACGTGTCCTCCGTCGCCCAGCTGTTCCTCGGTGTGTCCGTTGCCTTGGTGAACGAGTACTATACCTTTCTGTTCCTGCGGTTCCTCTACGGGATCTTCGGGTCCGCGGGCGCGTACATAACGGGCTTCGTCCTGACGATGGAGCTGGTGGGACCGTCGAAGAGGACCGTGTGCGGTGTCATGTTCCAACTGGCTTTCGCCGTCGGTTTCATGTTGGTAGCCGTGTGGGGGGTTCTGATAAAGGACCGCGTGTGGCTGCAGATCGTCTACGGGCTCCACAGCTCCCTACTGATCGGCCACTGGTGGCTCATGGACGAGTCGCCCAGGTGGCTGTGGGCCCAAGGTCGCGTCTCCGAGGCAATCGCTATCGTGCAGAGGGCTCTGAGGATGAACGGGTCCAACGTGAACGTGGACGCGGCCAAGCTGATCACCGAGGCGAAGATTCGTCGCCTGGACAGGGAGGAAGGCAACGACGAATCGTACGGGGCCATGGACCTCTTCAAAACGCCCAATCTCAGAAAGAAGACGCTCAACGTGTGTCTCAATTGGTTCGCCAACTCTCTCGTTTATTACGGTCTGTCTTTGAACGCGAGCAACCTGGTGGGCAATCCGTTCCTGATGATGTTCCTGAGCGGCCTGGTGGAGCTACCCTCGTACATTTTCATGTGTTTCGCTATGGACCGTACCGGTAGACGCTGCATGGTATGCTCCTTCATGCTGATCGGCGGCGTGTGCTGTATAGTTGCTTCCGTTGTTCCCAAGGGCACCGACCTGGCTGCAACCATGATCGTCGTTATAGTTTTATTTGGAAAGGCTTGCATAGCTGGCTCGTTCGCGGTCATTTACAATTACACGGCCGAGCTGTTCCCCACGGTCGTGAGGAACACTGCATTGGGGGTCGGATCCATGTGCGCGAGGCTCAGTGGCGCCCTCACGCCGATGATCATGTTGCTGGATTCGTTGAATCCGAAGGTGCCAGCTATTCTTTTTGGTTTCGTGGCTCTGATATCCGGGTTTCTGTCGCTCTATCTTCCGGAGACCGTCAACCAGCCCATGCCGGAGACTATCGAGGACGGAGAGAACTTTGGGAAGCACGACACCTGCTTCACCACCACTTGCGCCGGCTCGAGGAAGACTAGCGCCACCTACCAAGTCACTATGAGCCAACTGGGTGACAAAGAGGAGAAGGAAAGGCTCAACCAAGACACAAAGTGATCGTCACCTTGTCTATCCACGTGACAAAGACTCTGTAGGTAGTGGAACGACGACGCCATTTCAAACGAGCTGTGATTCCCGATTTAAATAGAATTAGTGCCTTTCTAACTATAAAAAAAAAAATTAAAAGAAACATTATTAAAATTCAAGCTAATCCATGTACATTAATAATGCACAAAAGAATCTTTTCGCTGTCCCTCTAACGCCCTCTATATCCGTCTGCATCTTCGTCACATTATTATTTCTTTCTCCTAATTAATTTACTATTTCAGTTCCACGCAAACTAATAAAACTTTTTACAAGTCTACGATTCGAAGAAGGTTTTTAATGCCGATGACCTTTAGGATTCAAAGAATTAGGCAACTATAGTTGCATAGGCTACCGACCTTTCGACCCTAGTTATTTCCCCATTTTTCATTCGATCGTGAAAACAAATGTTTCGCTCCGGGAAACATAATTTTATCGTACACTTTCTGGCATGATTGGGTAAAAGCAGAGACATAACAAAAATCAGCAATAAGAAAACACTGACATAAACGTTTCGCCCATACTTTACATACATTTTTTAATACGCAAAGTATCTTTAGATCTCTCTCTCTCAAACTTGTTCTCATTCTGTTTTAGCAATTCCTTTCTTTTATATATTACAAACTGTATCTAACATCTGTACACACCTTAACGTGAATTAACGTTCCTTCCGTACCGAAAGATTCTACCGACGATGCATCCATTTTTCCTTCGAAATATTCCACGTCAGGCACATCTTCCTGCTCCATCTTAATCTTTTCTATTATTTTCTCTTCCTCGATAAACTTGTAATTTATTGTGGTCCCCCGTATGTTTAAAACGGTGCGAACACGCAGACCCAGAGTTGTTGCCCATTATGATTAACGCTTCCAATATTCTCACAGCGTAATCCACTGCATCCATAACTTCGCTCTTTATTGTTAATGCATTTTCGAATTCCCTATCGTTATTTTCTAGTACACCACGGTTCCACAAGTGGAAAGAACAATCTTCTAAACCATTATGGGAAATGGACGGTACACGAAGGTTAGCCATTTTTATAAACATTTACAAAAGTGATCGCGAAAATCATTAAAGAAGCTCGTCCTAGAAAACTTTGGTGGAAAATCACTAGAAATTATAACTACACTTTTATCATTACGAATTGACTAATTTATTTAGGTGATTATACTGTGCACAGTACGAAGGAGAGAGGTAAACACAACCATGTGACCGCAATGAGGCGAAACGGCGAGAGGCTGTAGGTTATGTTAAATAAATACGAATATGACAGATTTTTATACTAGTTATAGCACAGTTCTTTCGGAAAATTTATGTTTTTAGTCATCTTGACACAAGTTTCTCGATCCTTGGCCAAAGTTTTATAGAATTCGAGTTATCACGCGCGACGATCTACGACGCAAATCGACGACTAATAACTTGGTAAATAGGAACTGTTCGAAGGTCTCGCCGCAGCGCCACCAACGTCCACCACAGAAACTAAACGAAGAGGGAAATTTTAATTTTGCCTCAATATTATGACTATTAAACGCTACTACCAAAACATAATTATTAACCCCATGGTCGACTCTAGTAAGTACTATAGTAGTTAATAATAGTACACTTCTTTCGGAAAATTGTAAAATTTACTGTTTTTAGTCATCTTGTCACGCGTGACGATCAACGACGCAAACCAACGACTAATAACGCGATAGATAGGAACTGTTCGAAGGTCTCGCCGCAGCGCCACCAACGTCCACCACAGAAACTAAACGAAGAGGGAAATTTTAATTTTTCCTCAATATTATGACTATTAAACGCTACTACCAAAACATAATTATTAACCCCATGGTCGACTCTAGTAAGTACTATAGTAGTTAATAATAGTACACTTCTTTCGGAAAATTGTAAAATTTACTGTTTTTAGTCATCTTGACACGCGTGACGATCTACGACGCAAACCAACGACTGATAACGCGATAGATAGGAACTGTTCGAAGGTCTCGCCGCAGCGCCACCAACGTCCACCACAGAAACTAAACGAAGAGGGAAATTTTAATTTTGCCTCAATATTATGGCTATTAAACGCTACTACCAAAACATAATTATTAACCCCATGGTCGACTCTAGTAAGTACTATAGTAGTTAATAATAGTACACTTCTTTCGGAAAATTGTAAAATTTACTGTTTTTAGTCATCTTGTCACGCGTGACGATCTACGACGCAAACCAACGACCAATAACGCGATAGATAGGAACTGTTCGAAGGTCTCGCCGCAGCGCCACCAACGTTCACCACAGAAACTAAACGAAGAGGGAAATTTTAATTTTGCCTCAATATTATGACTATTAAACGCTATTACCAAAACATAATTATTAACCCCACGGTCGACTCTAGTAAGTACTATAGTAGTTAATAATAGTACACTTCTTTCGGAAAATTGTAAAATTTACTGTTTTTAGTCATCTTGTCACGCGTGACGATCTACGACGCAAACCAACGACTGATAACGCGATAGATAGGAACTGTTCGAAGGTCTCGCCGCAGCGCCACCAACGTTCACCACAGAAACTAAACGAAGAGGGAAATTTTAATTTTGCCTCAATATTATGACTATTAAACGCTACTACCAAAACATAATTATTAACCCTCATGGTCGACTCTAGTAAGTACTATAGTAGTTAATAATAGTACACTTCTTTCGGAAAATTGTAAAATTTACTGTTTTTAGTCATCTTGTCACGCGTGACGATCTACGACGCAAACCAACGACCGATAACGCGATAGATAGGAACTGTTCGAAGGTCTCGCCGCAGCGCCACCAACGTTCACCACAGAAACTAAACGAAGAGGGAAATTTTAATTTTGCCTCAATATTATGGCTATTAAACGCTACTACCAAAACATAATTATTAACCCCACGGTCGACTCTAGTAAGTACTATAGTAGTTAATAATAGTACACTTCTTTCGGAAAATTGTAAAATTTACTGTTTTTAGTCATCTTGTCACGCGTGACGATCTACGACGCAAACCAACGACTAATAACGCGATAGATAGGAACTGTTCGAAGGTCTCGCCGCAGCGCCACCAACGTCCACCACAGAAACTAAACGAAGAGGGAAATTTTAATTTTTCCTCAATATTATGACTATTAAACGCTACTACCAAAACATAATTATTAACCCCATGGTCGACTCTAGTAAGTACTATAGTAGTTAATAATAGTACACTTCTTTCGGAAAATTGTAAAATTTACTGTTTTTAGTCATCTTGACACGCGTGACGATCTACGACGCAAACCAACGACTGATAACGCGATAGATAGGAACTGTTCGAAGGTCTCGCCGCAGCGCCACCAACGTTCACCACAGAAACTAAACGAAGAGGGAAATTTTAATTTTGCCTCAATATTATGGCTATTAAACGCTACTACCAAAACATAATTATTAACCCCACGGTCGACTCTAGTAAGTACTATAGTAGTTAATAATAGTACACTTCTTTCGGAAAATTGTAAAATTTACTGTTTTTAGTCATCTTGTCACGCGTGACGATCAACGACGCAAACCAACGACTAATAACGCGATAGATAGGAACTGTTCGAAGGTCTCGCCGCAGCGCCACCAACGTCCACCACAGAAACTAAACGAAGAGGGAAATTTTAATTTTTCCTCAATATTATGACTATTAAACGCTACTACCAAAACATAATTATTAACCCCATGGTCGACTCTAGTAAGTACTATAGTAGTTAATAATAGTACACTTCTTTCGGAAAATTGTAAAATTTACTGTTTTTAGTCATCTTGACACGCGTGACGATCTACGACGCAAACCAACGACTGATAACGCGATAGATAGGAACTGTTCGAAGGTCTCGCCGCAGCGCCACCAACGTTCACCACAGAAACTAAACGAAGAGGGAAATTTTAATTTTGCCTCAATATTATGGCTATTAAACGCTACTACCAAAACATAATTATTAACCCCACGGTCGACTCTAGTAAGTACTATAGTAGTTAATAATAGTACACTTCTTTCGGAAAATTGTAAAATTTACTGTTTTTAGTCATCTTGTCACGCGTGACGATCTACGACGCAAACCAACGACTAATAACGCGATAGATAGGAACTGTTCGAAGGTCTCGCCGCAGCGCCACCAACGTCCACCACAGAAACTAAACGAAGAGGGAAATTTTAATTTTGCCTCAATATTATGACTATTAAACGCTATTACCAAAACATAATTATTAACCCCATGGTCGACTCTAGTAAGTACTATAGTAGTTAATAATAGTACACTTCTTTCGGAAAATTGTAAAATTTACTGTTTTTAGTCATCTTGTCACGCGTGACGATCTACGACGCAAACCAACGACCGATAACGCGATAGATAGGAACTGTTCGAAGGTCTCGCCGCAGCGCCACCAACGTCCACCACAGAAACTAAACGAAGAGGGAAATTTTAATTTTGTCTCAATATTATGGCTATTAAACGCTACTACCAAAACATAATTATTAACCCCACGGTCGACTCTAGTAAGTACTATAGTAGTTAATAATAGTACACTTCTTTCGGAAAATTGTAAAATTTACTGTTTTTAGTCATCTTGACACGCGCGACGATCTACGACGCAAACCAACGACCAATAACGCGATAGATAGGAACTGTTCGAAGGTCTCGCCGCAGCGCCACCAACGTCCACCACAGAAACTAAACGAAGAGGGAAATTTTAATTTTGCCTCAATATTATGACTATTAAACGCTACTACCAAAACATAATTATTAACCCCATGGTCGACTCTAGTAAGTACTATAGTAGTTAATAATAGTACACTTCTTTCGGAAAATTGTAAAATTTACTGTTTTTAGTCATCTTGTCACGCGCGACGATCTACGACGCAAACCAACGACCAATAACGCGATAGATAGGAACTGTTCGAAGGTCACGCCGCAGCGCCACCAACGTTCACCACAGAAACTAAACGAAGAGGGAAATTTTAATTTTGCCTCAATATTATGACTATTAAACGCTATTACCAAAACATAATTATTAACCCCACGGTCGACTCTAGTAAGTACTATAGTAGTTAATAATAGTACACTTCTTTCGGAAAATTGTAAAATTTACTGTTTTTAGTCATCTTGTCACGCGTGACGA